ATTTGCGTTTGTCTTATCGCTTTTTCGACTTCTTGCTTTATGTATGCTTCCAATCGCGCTTCTTTTGGGGGGGGAGTGTCTATTCTGGGTAATGCGTCCATCATTTCCCTGGTAAATGCGCTGTCCGTGCTGTTGGATGGCTCGGGCAGATCGCGATATTCTAGGTTGGACATTGAATGCGAGTTGGGGAGGAGGGGGAGTTTCGGATTTAATCAAAGGGGATGGGATTCTGATGGGTTCTATTTCTGGTAGGGGGAATTGCCCTCTGAATACGTAGTCTTGAGAGTAAATGTGTTGCTCTCCGATCCAAATGTAAAAATCTCTACTAAGCATAGAAAGGAGTTCACCAGTGATAAGCTGGATCGATACACCGCTTTCTAAGATCCTAGTAGTCTATCTGTTCTCTTTGAGTCAAAGTGGTCCTCTTCAGCCCACTACTGACTATGTATGTATGGTAACTATTTTTGTATTTTACGAATTTTTATGTAAAAGGTATAGTGATAAATTGGGGTCCCAATGTGACCAGCTTATTAAGCTTTCAGTCCTTCTCCCGACTGGCGGACGCAAATGCGCGGCCTGGTCAGAGGAAATCGAAATGGAAACTATGTAAAACCGAGAAAATCCCAATGGCTCCACACCAAAGAGATTATAGTGATATAAAATGTATTTACAGGGGGATGGTTACGAATGAGTCCTGGGATGAGGAAGGTGATACATTGGCGGGAAAGAAGGATAAGATGGTGTTGGGGTGAGCGGGGATGTGATGGAGTGGAAGAGTAGTGGTGGTTTGGGTTGAGTGTTTGAGTAGGGCTAGGATGAGCAAGATGATGATGATGGTGATGATGATTGTGGTTAGGATTGTTGCTGTTATATTCATGAACGGTACTTGTGGCAGTTGTTGATTGTGTAAAACCCTTATCCCCTATACCGAGTTAACGGAGGGATGAAGATTCAAATCAAACAAGTAGCGTTACAAATAGCAATTGAGAATTAATCAACAACTGAGGAAAGTATGTACATGATGGTCTACTATATATATGTTTCTGAAAGTCAGCCATGAGGTGCTGACTGATGTTCTTTGTAATGGTTCTAGACTCATGTCACGTGGTGGTCACGTGACCTGATATAACTACGTATTATGTTATCCGCGCTAAAGCAGCAGCTTAACATATCTTATCTGTCATGTGATCAGATATAAAAGAAAAAGAAAAAGGAAACTAGCGCTCAGACTAGCGCTTCTGGTTCAAGTTGTGACATACAACAACATTCAAATTGTGGAAGGAGACGAAAAGAAAGCAGCTTTCAGAACAAATAGAGGGCTGTACGAACCACTAGTAATGTTCTTCGGTCTCACAAATTCACCAGCGACTTTTCAAATGATGATGGATGCATTATTTAAAGATCTGATTGATGAAGGAAAGGTTGTAATATATTTTGACGACCTCATGATCTATACAACAACTATTGAGGAACATCGGGCAATGACACGCCAAGTACTAGATATATTACGGAAGAATCACCTATACTTAAAACTGGAAAAATGTGATTTTGAAGAAACCTCAGTAGAATACCTTGGTCTAATCATAGCATGGATCCAATTAAAGTAAAAGGGATTCTAGACTGGCCAGAATGCAAGTCAAAAAAGGAAGTACAAGCATTCTTAGGTTTTGTCAATTTCTATAGGCACTTCATAGAAGGGTTTGGGTTGATTGCCAAACCACTGACTAAATTGACTGGAAAAGAAGAGTTCACATGGGGACCGGAACAACTAACAGCATTTAAAGAACTCAAATGTTGAGTTAGTTCCACCCCAGTCCTCGCCTTACCAGCCGATGACGGAAAGTACAAAGTAGAAGCGGATAGTAGTGATTTTGCCATGGGAGCGGTACTATCACAACAACAGAATGGCATATGGAAACCTATTGCATATCTCTCAAAAGTGTTAAACCCAACGGAACACAATTACAAGATTTACGATAAAGAACTCCTAGCCATTATGGCGGCACTAGAAGAGTGGAGACACTACCTGATTGATGCAAAAGAGGATTTCGAGATCTGGACAGACCACCAGAATCTCTTATATTTAAACAACCTCAAAAACTCAATTGGAGACAGCCACAATGGGTCACAGAGTTGAGCAACTATAATTTCACACTACACCACACTCCCAGAACCAAACACATCAAAGCCGGTCTACTCTTGGGACGAGCCGATCATGATAGGGGGGCAGAAGACAATGAGGATGTCATCATACTAAAAGCAGAACTTTTTATATGAATGACCCTCACACCTGAACAAAGAGAAGAGATGGCCAGAACAGATAAAGAGAGCATAGAAATGTATAAATGGATAAAAAGGAGAATGACGAATGTGGATGATTTAGTAAAAAAGGTTGACAACAAAATAAAGAAGAGAGAGGATAGATGGTGGAAAGATCACAAAGGATTCATATTCTTCAAAGGAAGGATGTATGTCCCAAAAGATGCAAAGCTTAGAGAGAAAATCATACACAAAAATCACGACTCTATCATAGCCGGCCACCCAGGACAATATAAAACAAAAGAACTCATCACACAAGAATTCTGGTGGCCATACATGGACAGAGACATCAAAAGATATGTTGAAGGATGCAAAACATGTCAAAGAAGCAAGCCAATTTGTCAGAAAAAGGCAGCACCACTCCATCCAAATGAAATCCCTACACGACCTTGGGAAATCATAACTGTCGACCTCTTAGGACCTCTACCAGAATCACAAGGCTATAATATGATTATAATAGTTATTACAATTGACATACCAGCACCTACTTACGCTTCACTTTTTTGTACTTTTACTTTTACTTTTTCCAAGTCACATGACCAGTCATGGGACCATTTACTTTACTTTACATTTTCGACTTTTTCATAGTCACATGACCAGTCATGTGACCGGTCACATGCTAAGCATCGGACTTTAAACTTTATTTACAACTGTACAGTACCTCATGTATTTTAGTATATATACAGGAGCAATACATGGGGAAGGACTCAGTGAGTCCTCCTGTTGTCTACCAACAACTAACTTATTGAAACCTAATGGGTAACCACTCCCACCTCTTCCTCTACTTCTGAGTGTTGTTTTCATTGTGCTTCAGTGCCCCAAGACTGTGTCTTGTTGGTGTTGTCACAATAGCGGTAGACCAATTTTCAAAAATGATTCGAGTTATATCAACACAAGCAGAGCTTACATCAGAAGGAGTAGCGAGATTATTCAGAGACAACATTTTCAGACGCCATAAATTACATAACAAAGTAATCTCAGATTGTGGGACTCAATTTGTCTCAAACTTTATCAAAGATCTCCATACCCTTCTAGATATTAAAGGAAATCCATCTACGGCTTATCACCCACAGACAGATGGACAAACTGAACGAGTAAACCAAGAGATAGAACAGTATCTCAGGATATTTGTAAATCACAAACAGACAGACTGGGCAGAATGGCTACCACTCGCAGAATTTTCATACAACAACGAAGAACACAGTGCGACTGGATACTCCCCATTTTATCTAAATAGCGGTCAACATGCAAAAACGGGAACAGACACTAGAAAGGAAGTGAAGAGCGAGAGTGCGGAAGAGTTTGTAGAAAGAATGAAGGAAAGCAGAGAGGCGGCGGAAAAATCACTGTATCAGGCAGCAGAAAACATGAAAAAACAATATGACAAAAAGAAAAAAGATCCAATTGAGTATCAAATTGGCGACAAAGTATATGTAGAAGCCAGTCATATACAAACCGACAGACCAACAAAGAAACTTGATGGAAAAAGACATGGCCCTTCGGAAATAGAGAAGAAAGTAGGATTAGCAGCTTACAAACTCCGACTCCCCGGAAAGTGGCGAAATGTTTATCCAGTATTCAATGAATCTGTTTTAACCCCATTCCAAAAAGCCGAATTCCCATCACAACAAAAGCCAAAGCCGCCACCACCGGCAATAGTGGAAGGAAAGAGTATGAAGTAGAAGAAATACTTGATTCATGAATGAAGAGGAATAAACTAGAATACCTAGTACATTGGAAAGGATATCTGAAGGAGGAACGTATATGGGAACCTGAAGGGAACATAAAACACTCCCCAAAACTCCTACAACAATTCCATACAAAAAACCCTAGTGCACCCCAGAGGATCCAATTTGCATTGAAATTCCAAGCATTCAAAAACTTCACCAAAACTCCAAAAATCCATAAAAATCTGTTTAACTGGGAAAACGGTGAAACTCAAGGCATACTCTCGGGACAAGAGTCCTAAGGAGGGGGTCATGTCACGATCCCTTACTTCTAATATCCCTATCTCAACTGATAACAAATCCATCATATCTCCAAATCTTATCTAATCATAGTCACATGATCAACCACATGACCTATGACATAGCTACTTACAAAGACAATTACAAAGTGCCTCATGCCTTACGCATGGCGCTCAGTCAGCACCTCATTGTTAACACATGTTCTGTAGTATATATACCAGCTACCTCTTGTACATATTCTCTAGCTGTTGATTACATCTTTATTCACTGTGATAGACCCTTGCTTGTGATTTGAACTTCTGACTCTCCATTTGTTCAGTAAAAGAGTTGGATCTTCACACTAGTGCACAAGCTAAGTCAATCCCCAACCTCGTACTCCGTTCCGCTCCCCAATCCATCTCCGCACTCCAAACCCCGCTACTCCAAAGGTCACAGTTATGACAGGTCCAGGAATTAACTGTATAGTACTTAGCTACAAATAGCATATAACAAATACCTGTTCAGCATATATACCCTGCAATATATTGGAGACTCCTCAATGAGTCTTCCTGTTATATAACCAACTAACTCACTCCTACCCAGCTAAGCTTGTGTGAGGGCTTTCAGGCTACCCCAGCAGCTCTGCTCTTTATTTTTTGCTTGTTTTAGTTGTGCACTAGAGTGTTAAAACTTCAGTTGTAACAGTCAGACAGCACAAAGATAGAGAGCTACTAGATTGTAGTCTGTTCAGTAGATCAAATTGAAAAATGATTCAACAAAGTGCATCTATATCACTTTATTCCAAAGGCCAAAGAGAATACATGATCATGCATAACTTTGTAGTATAACAGACAAATACTTAGTGTCACAACAATATCAAACTTGAACCATATACACACAATTACTCCTTGACACTCAAACCAACGCAATTCAAAAGCATAGACCAACTAGCAGACGCAAACTCACAATCACATTTATTCCTTTAATATAGCCTCCACCTCGGGCTTAATACTGGCAAGCAGGTCTTTCGTAGTATATTTTGGCTTCCAGCCAAGAGCTCGTGCCCTACTGGCGCGGCAACGGGAGTTGGTGCCTAAGTATATAGTCTAGTCAAAAGTTTAGTATTGGTAGACAATATCAGAAAATCAGATGATAGTTGAACGTAAACTCACCCTAGGATCAACCTTCAGCTCTTCCTCAGTCACCATTGTGGGCTCCGGGCTCCTGCCTTTGCCAAGCTCATAAAGTGCTTCGGCAACCGCTTTGCTGACGTCGTACAACAAGTGTTCGCCGTTCTCCCCAAAGTACAAGCCTTCACGTCCGTGCCCTGCCTTACCAGCCAAGATGGCTTCGTATAACACAATATATAAGGAAGCGACTACCAAAATAATCAGTTTCGAGTCACTGTTATTTCATAAATAGGCTTACTATCATCAATGTGGACATTAGGCCATCGGTTTTTGCCCTCACCAAGAATGGCACCTTGTCCACGCTTCAGACCAATCCGTATAAGATACGGAATCTGTCTAGATTTTGGATTCTGAATGCCAAGCTGGACAAGTTTACCAGTCGCAAGGGCATAGATAGTAGAGGGAAGTACAATGTGCGTGCGTGCGTATCCTACATAAGATAACCATTATTTAAGGCTGAAGATCAATGTGAGTTTAACGAAGGGAAATGAAGCATACCTTGTTTATCAGCCTCGATAACCAAAAGATCAACATTTCTGTGAAGCTGCGTGTCTGGAAGAGTCTCCAATTGTTCGACATCTGTGTCGTCGTAAATGGTATCATAAGCATATTTTCCAGCAGCCTTATCCGTCAGAACGCCTGCAATTAAATCACAATCAATTCCCGCATAAGAAACTCACATCAGTTCAGGACTTACCAGTACCGGACTATTGGTTTAGTTGAAAGTGATCGATAAATAGCATGATATAAATGCGACACAATAAGGCTTACAGTGTGGATCAGAATAGGAGCTGTTCCTGTAGATTTATAGTGATTCTTCAGCCCAGCCAAAATAGCCTTGGTTGCTGGTTCATCATCAGCGTCCGCCTAGAAAATGCGATCAGAACAAGTGCTACAGTGAGGACAAGTAAGACATACACAAGCAAATATCACATCAGACTCGGAGGCAAGTTGCTCTAACTTGTCGAGATCAGAATTGGATCCCACAACGGCATGAACACCGATAGCTTCAAGCTTCTGTGCTTTTTCAGGAGAGCGCACAAGGGCGGTGAACTGCGACGACGACGATGTAGGGTGCTCGAGAAGCAGCTCAAGGACAGCACCTCCGATATATCCTGTGTCATGAAAGATGCATTCGTGAGGGACGTGAACGGTGTAGTAGTCGATTACATACCGGTTGCACCGGTGATAAAGACGTTCGTTGTGGCAGACATGATTACTAGTCAAAGGTGAGTTGATCGATATTTTCGTCATGCCTTTTATATGCCTGGGTAATTGTAATTGATTCATAAGCCAACTAGCCAGGAAGCTTAGAAATCAACTATGGAGAAGAAGATGGAAAGACTCGTGACGGTACCAACAGCAATTCCCCGCCCGGCTTATATTCGACAATCCTTAAACTTTCAGATGATCCTAGCACGGCCCGTCTTCATAGATTGCGTCAACAATACACGATATTACCATTCAAAGCGCCGTGCTAAGCCTGAGAGACTAGTTTTAAAAATGAAACAGCCAAATAAAACAGGGTGCGACTTACAAGAACCACATTTACTTATTAGTCCTTATATCTCCCTATCTTATCTTATCTCTCTAACTACAACCGAATTCATTATACGTCCTTGTTATCCTCAGAGCTCTCATGTAAATCACCCGCTGAGCGACGCTTCGATTTCCGGTTTAATGCTTGCCAGCATATCCTGCGCTGTGTACCCTATGGACCGCGAACGCTCGGCATGACAACGTGAGTTCGAGACCATATATGCCCTTAAGTGCTACAAGCATCAGCAAAGCCCCAAACGTCTCAAAATCTGTGTAACGGCTTACCTCGAAATATTTGTGCAGTTTTTCTTCTGTGAACATTGTCGGTTTTGGGCTCTTTTCCTTACCTAAGTCTTAGAGCACCTGCGATACCGTCTTGCTGATGTCGTACAGCCTATGTTCGCCAATTTCTCCGAAGTATAACCCTTCCGGACCATGACCAACCTGGCTGCCTGTAGGTTGATGTTTTGTAGCGGCATCATAGACAGCAATGAACAAATCAGAAACTACGCAGCTTCAGTCTCCAAGCACCAATGATGAAGAAGGTTAGGCGCTTACTGCCATCGATGTGAACATTTAGCCATAAGCTCTTTCCCTCACCGCTCCCAGACCCCGAGTACCATTCAATCATAGCACGTCTGATACCGTAGGTCAACGTTTCGGACATACCGCAACCTCAATTCCGTGGATCCATTTGACACCGCTTGCCTCGCAACGGCTTTCGTGGCCTTCTGGGGCCAAGCCCGGCCAGTGGCTGTCTACCTCCTACCTGCGCGCCCCTTCGTTGTCTGTCAGTTCACAGGTCCTGTTCCTCCCCTTGACAGAAACTAAGAAAAATGTCGGCGATGACATCTTTATCAGCAGGCAGGGAGGTGTGACTGACCCTTGCTCTGCCCTTTTCGTTCACTTCCTCATCAACAAGCCAGGCCCTAGCGATCTTCTGTTCAGCTACAGATCAAACAACATACTTGTGCCCCTCACAAAGCGAAAATTCCGGCGTCGCATCGGCGCTGTCCTCACCTCTTCCTCAGGCTCTAGCTCACGCGTGACTGGGCATTGCTTCCGCATCGGTAGCAAATCTCTTCTCCGTGGCGTCCCTCCCCACATACATACACTGGAATTGGACTTTGTTTTATTTATCATGGTTGGGTTTTGGGTACTGCCGAACACCTCATTCCCCGTTCTTATTTATGTATGCTTAAGTAAATCGTGTACACGGACCCTGACCCAACTGTATACGTACACCCATCATAATGATCATGCCAGTAGCATGTGTCTGCTCCCCAGGCCTAACTCGGGCTTCGTTTTTAAGGCGAGTTGAAGCGAACCTGAGATAGTTCCAGCCATGTCACTCATCAAAGTACCATTCCTTCTGTCCTCAGCTATTGGGATACACGCCACTAACACTGCACCGACCAGTACTCCTCCTTCAGATGAGCTAGTCAAACTCTCCCCTAGGGAGCTTTTCTTCAAAAGTTTTGTCGCCATTGCCCCAGCATATAAGGTGTGTGTTTTCCAGTTATCCATGAAGCAGGTCTATGCTAATATACTCTTGGAGGGGTGCTTCTGGTTATGCGCATTTGGGGAAACTGCTGCGATCGTGTTGCCTCGCATCTTCCCTTCGAAACTCCCAGTTGGTGTTCGTGTCCTGCTAGACGCCCTTGGCGGCCCAGACACCCGCCCCATAAGTTATCCATTCATTATTGGGACAACTCTTATGTCCCTCGCCGGTCTCCTACGCTGGCAATGTTATCGTACTCTTGGTCGATTCTTCACCTACCGGCTCAGTATCCGCAAGGACCATCAGCTAGTTAAGAGCGGACCCTATTCCATTGTGCGTCATCCAAGTTACTCAGCTGGTACGTTGTCTCTGCTTGGCGTGGTCATTGCGTATGGTCATCCGGGGTCGTGGTTAAGAGACTCGGGTGTGGCAGATAATTTACTGGTGAAAAGTGCAGCCATAGCTTGGGTTGCTGTGTTGGCCACTCTGGTCATTTCCTCACCTTCACGGTGTTTACAGGAGGATCAGATGATGAAGGAAAAATTTGGGGAAGAGTGGGAAGAGTGGGCGAGCAGAGTAAGGTTCCGGATGATTCCTGGCATCTTCTGAACAATCAACAGAAGTCGAGTCGTGGAACCTTTTTCTCAGGATAGCGACCAACTATGGCAATTTCTTCCTATCAATTCTTGATTGCAGTACAAACATTACAACAGGGATGATATGTTCCCGTAGCCTACAGATATACTCACACAACATGTTCTATCATTTGGACCGACATTGTGAGCCATTCTCACTAGCACTAAAGATAAGATTATACTACCGTTCTATCAAGCTTTCTCCAACAAAACAAGCTGAGTCTTTAATCGCTTCAATTCCGTCACAGCCTCGTCGATTTTTTCTTTGACCTGTGCCTCCTTGGCTTGTTCCTTCAGACTTCGAACCAGTTGTCCCTGTTCTAAGATCTTCGCTTCCAGCGCAATGACTTCCGGGGATTTAGGTCCGCTTGTTGTGGACACTTCAACTTTTGCATCCGCAACGGCTGCCTTCTTGGCCTTTCGTTTCGATACTGGTGCACCATCAACCGCTGGCGTCGCTTCTGGCGCACCTCCGAATTTTGCCTTCCATACATCCTCCATCTTCTCATCAATCTTTTTGAACAAATGTTCAGGTTTGCCGATCTGGTGTCCAGCAAGGATATCGATAGAGAGCAGTTCAGGGGCAATACGTGCAGGTGCGTTGAGTTGGACTAGTATGGAATCTGATGTGGCGGGCATGAAAGGGTATATAAGGGCGGACAACACGTATATCAGGTTGATGGCGCGCGATACGACCTGGGCACACCGCTGGGGATTTTCTGTCATCAATGCTTTGTTAAGCTTGGATGACTGAAGGTAATTGTTGCCTCTGTTTGATATCAACATGATTGTCTGAAGTCCAAGTCTGATTTTGACGCTATCCATGGCTGCTGTATAATCTCTGAGAAGAGAGTTGACTTCGTTAATAAACTCTCCATCAAGCTCGTCGTTGGGTGATAGAGGTCCAGGAGCTTCTCCACCATCGGGGATTATTCCATCATATTGCGAAGAGACGAATTTCAAGAGTCGGTTAACAAAGTTTCCGAAGCTAACATGATCGTGAGCAAAACTGTTAGTTATTCTTCAAGCAATGCTTACTTGTTCAACAGAATATTATTGTTGGCCGCAATCTGAGAGATAAGTTATAATGGGAAATCAATTGATAGTAAAGCTTCAACTTACACAGTCTGCCCAGGAGAACATAGAGTCCGCTGTCTCTGGCCGGGTTGACAAAAGGTAATATCGCCATACAGAAGCAGGAATACCAGTCTCTCTGGCAGCGGGGCCGAACACCCCACGATTCTTACTCTTGGAAAATTTGCCTCCCTCGTAATTTAGATATTCTACAATGGGGGCACAGTCAGAGATATTTCGTCTGCCGTTGCAATTTGTCACTGACCTGTTGTCGAAACGTGATGGAGCGTTGTCCATGGTCGTCCATCGCCAAGCTGCATGGCGGGGAAATATATTGTGTGAAAATACACATTGTCTTTACCCATGAACTGGTAAAGTTGAACGTTTTCCTGATTGTGCCACCACAACTTCCATTCGGGTGTATACTCAGCGGTAATACTGGCATAACCTATGACTGCATCGAACTAGGCAACACCATTAATTGATTCTAGCAAGGCATACGCTTTCATTACACTTACCCAAACGTCTGGAGACAGGGGTGAGCAATCGTTTCCAAACATAGCATCAATAGGACTCACAAAGGACTTTCCCTTCCATCTCTTTATCGTCATCTGTTCCTAAAGGTGGTATTGTAACACCCCATGTAAGGTCTCTCGTTACGGGAGTCGGCCTCAGACCTCCCTTCATGCGCGCATCGATAATTTCTCCGTCCGCATTGATCGTGGCATTGGGCGACCATTTGCCTTTCTTCCATGAATGTCGTATCCAGTCTTCCAAGCGCGGTTGAGTAGCATCCAACCTGAAATACATGTGCGAAGAGGATCGAGGAACGACGCTATGGGTTTTGTTGATCAAACAGCGAGGCTCAATTAGATCTATAGCATCTAGTGTTCGGCTACAGCCATCGCATTGGTCACCACGGGCATCCTAAAGAACTCTTACAGTAGGTATAATATGCAGGTGGTGATATACGCACGATATAGCCACAATTGGGGCAAATTCCCTCCACATAACGATCTGCTAAGAACCTATTGAACAAGATGTAAAGGACTTGGATCTAGTATGCTGCTTGTGAAAACATACTTGTTGCAACCTTCGCAATAAGTTTGTTCTTTGACCTGTTTCTCCAGCAACCCATTCTTCCCTAAATTTGTATAAATCGATTGACAGATTCTATAACAATGTGTCAGACAAAATCAACGCCAGACGGTGACGATGACTTACTCTGTATGCTGACGAGTAGGAGTTCGCCCGAAATGATCAAAGCTATTGGAAAATTATCAGATCTGAAGTGCCATCGACCTAAGACAGATCTTACCCAATGTCAAACCACTCATACGTTTCTTTGTGCAGTGCGTGATATTTGTCGCACAACTCCTTCGGAGTGATGCCCTCTTTCAGTGCCTGAGTCTCAGATGCAGTACCATACTCGTCGGTACCGCAGATATACAACGTTCTTCTGTTTTTTGTTCCTGTTCAGTCGACAGATTATGACCTCGAAGTATCAACATGAAAATAAACATGACGTACTGTTATATCTGTATTCGTAAAAGAAGATAAGCCTTCGTAAAATTTATATTTAACACATCACATACCGACTGAAGACATCAGCGCTTAGCGTACTTCCGATGATATTGCCTGTACGGATGGTATCGATAAGACCTGGCGCTGGGTCTACTGATGTAGTACTCACCAAGATGCGGTACGTTGTTGCAATAAGGCAGCGCAGAAGTGATCAGGATGTTAGTTTCTCCATCTTTTGGTAATCTTTGTCACGGTTTGTCAGAACGTGCTCGGCAATATAAGGATTTTGAGTCTCACATGGATGTTTGTCCTGGAGGAGGAATTGACCGCAAGACATCCTCCGAAGCTCTAATTTTCTGTGTCATGGCGAGTACTTTCTCCTCGGATTACTTTGGGTAGACTAAGAGATGAGTTTGAAGACGAAACAGAAGATAGGATACAGACCGAGACTTGTATCTGCTGTAAAGTTTTGAAAGCGATGCCCTATCTATAGTGACTCGAATCCATATCTGTCAATCTGACTCCGAGCCATGGCAGTTCCCCGGAAAATGAAACTCCGCGGCGTCAAGTGACCAGCAAAACCAAAACGCGTCTTGCTAATGCAGTCCATGGTCCCGCCACGGTTCACCAGGCCTTTCTTAATACCCACTTGAGGTTTACTCAAATACGCACAGACGAGAAGTAAGAAATGTTGAGCCTGCGAGGATGGAGGTTAGTACTCATCAGGCTCTTGGCTACAATCATCCTCACCAGACCCACAGCAGGCGCCTTGGGCTTGATAGCCTGACCAGAAGAGATGCCAATGACTCTGAGTCCAGTCAGCCGGAGTTTACTGTGAGCTTTTCACCCGTAATATCTCCGGATACTGGGTTACTTACACTTTCTCTAGTTTGCGGCTGTGTCCATCGGTCTGCTCATAGGTTGTTTGCTATGCTTCACGAATCTTTACTTTGGTCTGCAAACGGGCTGGATCAGCATGTGCGTGTACTTTGTTCACCAATAAACCCATTATAATGACATCTCTGCAGGATGTCCCTTCAATCAGCCCTCATAGGTTTCCTACTATCAAAGATGCTCCCAAAGCCGCTTTCTCCACAAGAAATCATCGTGGTCCAAACCACTGCGGTTGCTACTGGCACTGTGCGTTTTTATTTGCATCAAATATTTCATTTGCTTTATAACGAGAGCTTTAGATGCCACTTGCTGCGGGATTTGTGGGTATCTTACCTGCCTTGGGCTTACTTAGCGAGGAGAAGGATGGGACGCCTCCTATCCATCTCTCTTGGATTGCGGCGATAGGATGGTCTTGCTCTATTGCATTTTTTGGGTACGTATATCTTAAGCCTGAAAAGAAGACTGTTCAATGTGCAACATTAGAGTTTTCCTATCCCCACCCATTCGAAAACAAGTTGTAGGTCTATCTAAATCGCTGGTACTCGATCAAATATCTGAAATATTATTCTCAGATTATAGAAGAACAACTTGCATTTCCATCAGGGACAGCCACGGCGCAGCTAATCTCCGTTCTTCATCGATTGCCACCCCCTGATACTTCTCTGAGACGTCGTAATGGATATACGGAGGTCGACACAGAGGATATTTCTGAGGGCACGTTACTGAATGACTCATTGAATCCCGAGGAGAGTATAGATCGCGTAGAAGACGAAAGAGAAGTTGTCACCCAAGAAGGCTGGTCAGATCTCGTTTACAGCTTCCTTGCGTCCGGTGCTATGACAGTTCGTATCATTATCATAACACCATTTTCATGGGCAAATGTATCTGACAAAGTTTAATAGCTTGCAGCATACTTTTTCCCTATCGTCTTTTCGATACCTCTATTTGGAAAATACTTGGCGCGCGAGTGGCTGTGGTCGTTTACTCCCAGTTTATCTTACGTGGGGCAAGGTAAGGGATGAGTTTGTGTTGTGTTGGGAATATCGGAATAACACTTCTGTGTAGGAATCATCATGGGCTTTCCTACGACGCTCAGTATGAACTTGGTAGGTTACACAAAGTTATGACATTGATATGTGGCTAAATTCCACTAGGGTATGCTCGTGGGCTGGGGTATTCTTTCGCCAATATCTAAATACTCTGGATGGGCCCCTGGCCCCGTTGGCGACATGTCGACTGGTGCTCGAGGATGGATACTCTGGGTATCTCTCGCTATAATGTGTTCCGACAGTGTCGTTTCACTGCTTCCTGTTGTCTATGAATCTGGTATGAAGCTATTGCGAAGTTCCTCGATACAGCTGGAGGACGATCAGAACAAAGACCATGAAGTTGAAACTGAGGATAGACTGGTTCCCATTCGTTGGGTGGTGAATGGATTACTTGGCAGTGTCATCATTGGCACTCTCCTCGTATGGATGGTATTTGGAAATGAAGGTATCAAGCCATGGGCAACGTTGATTGGATTTGTGATGGGTGGATTACTAAGTATTCTTGGGTATGCAACAGCTCTAATGTGTACATTGTCAAGTCGCTAACACAAAAGCCTCAGAGTTCGCGCCTTGGGAGAGACTGATCTGAACCCTGTTAGTGGTTTGGGCAAGATTTCACAACTACTCTTCGCTTGGATACAGCCAGGAAATGTGGTGGCCAACATCATTGCAGGAGGCGTAGCAGAGGCTGGTGCTCAACAGTACGTGCTAGATTGTCCACTCGTCTTGTCCTTCGTCCTAACTCGTCGATAGGGCTGGAGATCTGATGCAAGATCTGAAAACTGGGCATCTCATACATGCGTCACCCAGAGCTCAGTTCTTTGGTCAACTGATCGGCTCATTGTTGTCCATCGTTGTCTCAGCTACTGCCTATACTCTCTACAATCGAGCGTACGAAATACCTGGGCCTTCTTTCCCCGCGCCAACCGCCTATGTCTGGCTCAGCCTGGCACGCCTCCTTCGTACGCAATTCCAAATGACACCTATTCTTTCTACTTACTAACTCTTTCCCGTTAGGTGATGGCCAACTTCCAGACTATAGTCAGGTATACATGGTGGTCTTCGCCGCGGTATTTTCTATCATCGCAGGCGTGAAAATCTTCGCAGTCCGACGACGTGCCAGCTACGCAAAGTGGATTCCTTCGGGGGTTGCGTTCGCCATTGGCTTTCTCAACACGCCTTCCTTCTCGCTTGCTCGTTTGATAGGAGGCATCGTCGAGTACCTCTATCACACCCGCGTCGCCAAGTCAGGCGGGGCAGACATTCGGCTGATTGTCATCGCCAGTGGATTCGTCCTTGGAGAAGGTGTCATTAGCATAGTCTCTCTCGTGCTTCGGACGTTTGGTGTGGGCGTCGCTAGTTGTTGGGGGTGCAGTGGGGGAATTTGTGCAGGGTGTCCTGCGTGAAAAACCATTGCCGTCGCATGGTCGACATCAGATTAGATTAATATATCGTTGCGCCCACGATTTCATTTTGTAAAAATACAAATTCATTTTGTGCAAGGGTGTTTGGCGCGATGGACACGTTGCCTCAAACGTCACTCCACGATGTTGTTTCCGTAATAGTCCAAACGTGGTTTTGCAAAAGGGCAACCCTTGCTCTCCACCCATCACATTCGCCCCATTAGGCCGCCATCTCCACTCCTCGCGCTTCATGCCCTCTGTACTTGCATTCTGAGCACTCATTATCGCTATATTTTTATTTGGGAGGAGCCCATCGCCGCCCTGACTGCAAACCACCATGTCTCGCGTCACCCTCGAGAGCATCCCTGCGCTCACATTCTACAAGGACTCGGTAACGCTCGCTCGACGAACGAGCCCTATCCCCCAACTCGTCTGCCTCGGGAAACCCTGCAGCCTATACACACCCGATGTCGTCCGATGCGAGAACATAGGAGGAAGCGGAGCCGAAGTGGACTGGAGGGTACGTCAAAACGCGCGCGCGCTCGAGGCTTTCTCGAGTACTGCAGTCCTCGGAAGCTGACGCCTTCCTTTCGTTATTCGTTTTTTTTTATTGTCTTTTTTTTCGCACTTGGTGATGTGCAGTGCGAAGCAGACCTCCCTTCCTCCCTGCGTTTTGGGAAAGTGCAAGTGTCTTGTGAGGGCTGGACAGGACCTGGTGATCCATACGTTCTAAAAGGTCAGTTTTCGAAACATCCCAGCCCAAAGCTTCTGTTTTTCGAGCTGCGAACCCCTCTGTACTCCATCGCTTTCTTACACCCTGCCCTTCCCTCCCTTTTACAGGTTCATGCGCCCTAGAGTACCATCTCGTCCAGCTCCCCAACAGCCTCCGCGACAACCCTTCCAGCCTCTCAGGCGCTTGGTCCTACCTAAAGGGTCAGTCAATCACTCCCAACTCTCCCCTCCCCATCATCATGATTAACACCTCCACACCCAACACCCCTGCCTCTGCCCATGCTTATGCCTATGCTAACTAACCAAAACCCCCCGCTCCTCCGCAGGCCTCGACCTCTCAGGCATCCTCTTCATCCTCGTCTGGACCTTCATCCTCCTCACGATCGCCTACAAAATGCTGGCCTCCTGCATACGCGCGTACCGCCTCCACCGGCCCTCCTCCTCCTCCGCCCCCCCGCAGCCCACCCCTCCGCCCTACTCCTCGCACGGCGGGGGAGGCGGGGGCCCAGGGGCCTTCCCAGGCACCTACAGCGACGACGACGCATCGTACCGCAGCCCCCCTCCTCCCTACACCAAACACCTCCCTCCCGACGCCAGTGCAGGTTCGAATTCCGGTGCAGGTTCGAGTTCAGGTGCGGGCGCAGGCGGCGGCGAGGCCTGGAGACCCGGCTTCTGGACGGGCGCAGCCCTAGGCGGCCTCGGCGGCCACCTCCTCCACCGCGGCGGCCCCGCCCCGCCGCGCCCCCGCTCCCCGCTCTACGACTGGGAGCGCGAGCGCGAGCGCCCGCCGCTGTTCATGGGCGCCGCGCCGCGCTATCGGCCGTCGTACCCGTCGTCGCCGCCGCCGTTTGGATACCCGGATCGGGGGGAGGGGTCGTCGTCGGGGAGGAGCTTGGGGGGGATGAGGAGCAGTACGGGCTTTGGGGGGTCGAGTGTGCGGTGAGGGGCGAGGGTGGTGAGGAGGGGGAGGGGGGTGGTGCTTGAAAATGTTTGAGAGAGAGAGAGAGTGTGTGTGTGTGTAAATTAGAAGCTGAAGAGGTGTTTTCGGTAGCTTTCTTTATCAATGTTGTTGTATCTGCTTTCATCTGCGTCAAGTCCGGTTCCAAGCTCTCACCCAAGACTCTCCGCGTCTGAAGCCTGCCTCAACCTCCCCGCGCCCAAGAACCGTTCACAGCTCGCACGACACCATATGCAAGATTCACAGTATCACACCATGATATTATCAAGCAAAAGCTCTAGCAAGAGCATAAAGACGACGACGACTAGGTTATATAATGCAACTCTTAACGTTAAAATAAACAAGGATCATACACATACCCCCACCTTTACCTTTCATCCCGAGTACCAGCCTTGTGAATGAATGCGTCGACGAAACCTACTGATACAAATTGCCAAATCTCCATAAATGCCTTTTTTTTGTTTTTTGTATTGTTTTTGCCGAAATGCTGAATGCTGAACCGCCTATATCACCCACCTCACCCCATCCCCCCCTCAAGCCCACTCAGTACGCAGTACCGAGACCCCTCACGACTCGGAATGAGCGCGTGTATAGAGAGCTTGGATCTCCGCAGAGTCAGATTCGCTCATGCTAGCCGCACCCCCTCTCAGATCCTTGCTCACCCTCGACCTCCCCCTCCTCTCCTCCCTCCTCGCCTTTCGCCGACCTCCCCCCACGCTCGCACCGCCATACACCACGTCGACGCTCCCTCCCATCCCAGCTTCCACCTCCCCCTCCCCCTGTCCCTGCTTCCTCCCCCGTCCACCCGCACCGGCACTCCTCCCGCCAAGCCCCACCTCAGGCCTCACCAAGCCCGTCAACGCCACCGAGAGCACCACCACCCCGGCCGCACACGCAAAGATCGCCTTGGGCATCCACGCCACGGTCGAGGCGTAGATGACGCTGAAGAGGATGGGCCCTAGGATGGTCTGGCCGACGGCTTGGAGGACGGCGAGCGCGCCGAAGAGGGCGCCCGGCTCGATGTCTTCCGCGTCTCCCTCCTCATCGTCTTCGGCGTCGTGTACCTCGGCGACTTCGCATACTTCATGGTCATCGCGTTGATGTGGGTCGTGCAGCCGACGAGACGCTTTTGCCTGCTCACGCACCAACGCGCGCGCTTGGAGGGTGCATAGAGCCAGACTCTGTACGGCCGGCATCACCCCAGAGCCAAGACTGCTCAAGGAAGTAGCCCCGACGAACAACGCTTCCGAGACCGCAAATCCCGTCCCTTCTCCTCCTCCTCCTCCTTGCCCTTCTCCCCCTCCCTGCATGCGCGCCCCAAGCGACGACACCGGCGGCAACGGCGCCAGCACCACCAGCGTGTGCGAGATCACGTCGAGGAAGATGGAGCAGCGCATGAGCAAGAGGTCGAATTGCATTTCTCTCAAGAGATCGTTCTTGGTCGGTTTTCGCTTCGCAACGTTCAGCACCCCTTGATCGTGCCCGTTATTGCCTGCCTTTGCTTGCGACGTGGAGGTGGCGGCGTAGGATGTGCTCGTGCTCGCTGCGAGCTGTAGATCGGGCTTGGGTTGAGTTGGAGGTAGAGTGCGTGATGCTGACGCTGAGACTGAGACCGAGGTGTCGGATGGCGAGGTTGAGCGGATGGGCTTGAACGTCGTGATGACAACTATCATCATAAACAAGAATCAGCCACGACTCGAAAACGAAGAACAAAAACCAGAGGAACCAAGAGAGAACACCCACAAGGAAGCACGATCAACAAATTCAGCGCCCTCACCCCACCCATAAACGAAATATAGTAACTCAGCTTCTCAGCCGCCCAGCCATACACATGTTCGGCATAGAGGTACTTGATCTGGAAGACGCCGGAGGAGAGGAGGTGGAGGAAGAGGGCGAGGGCGAGGAAGGTGAGGCTCCAGTCTTTGGGTGGGTTTGTGAGGGAGGAGGGGTTTGGGGACGGGACGGGAGAGGGGAGGAAGATGGAGAGGGGGGAGAGGAAGGCGCGGGCGAGGAGGAGGGGGGCGGAGAGCCAGGTGGGGGTGGTGGATGGGGTAGAGGAGGGGAGATTTCCTTTGGACTTGCTCTTTGCACTGGCCCTAGCCTTCGCCCCCGCCGTCCTTCGCTCGACAGGTAACGACTCGGGAAAGACAAACATGACCAAAAGGAGATTGACAAAGGAACAGGTGATAGCCACCCAGAAGACACTGGTGACGGTCTGGAGCTCATGGCCGCCTACTCTGACTGTGGGGGTTACGAAGAGGGGCAGGGGGTGGGCGATGAGGAAGGCGCCGATGATGGGACCGAGGGCGAGGCCGATGAAGGAGACGCCGGAGAAGCGGGAGAAGATGCGGGCGCGTGAGCCGGGGGAGGTGCAGTCTGCGATGTAGGCAGTGAGGGCGCCGTTGAGAGTTGAGGTGCCGCCTGAGAGACCCTCGAGGATGGGTGCGATGATGAGGAGCTTGTGGGAGTGGGAGGAGAGGAGGGAGTGGGGAGTGGAGACGAGGATGAAGGCGAGGTCGCTGTGGGGGTGTTAGTGATTAGTACTAGGATAGGAGGGAGGGAACGAACGTGAGGAAGAGACCGCATGTGGCTATTGCAAGGACGCGTGTGCGGCCGTGACGTTCACCGAACTTGCCCCACCAGGCTGTGGTGAGAGCGGAGAGGGCACCCATGGTGGTTGTCATGATGGTCTGTGTGCGGGCAGCGCGTGCTTGTACTGCGGGGTCTGAGACGCATTTTGAGGAGGGAATGGTGCGTGGGTCGTTCTCTGGGTCGTCGTCGATATCGGTGTAGTGGAGGGGGATGAGGTGTGGACCTGCGGGGTCGAGGGAGTGGTGTATGGGGTGGAGGAGGGAGAGGTGGGTGTGGAGGGTGTGGTTGTAGAGCTCGTGGTCGTGGCCGTGGAGAGAGTTGCACGCGAGCTGGGTGAAGACCTCGACACGTGAAGCGAGGGTCATTCCGCGCTGAAAGAGAGTGAGCGCGCGGGGGAGTGTATGGCAGGCAGTGCACTTACAGTAAGGGAAGCGACGAGGGCGAAAGGAACGAGCCTGGTGTGGATGGTCAGCGGGAGACAGGAAAGAGGGGGAGGACTGACCAGAGTGGTCTCGGGCGGTAGAAGGGCTTCTTTGGGGTGGAGGGAAGGAGCGGGGCAGACTCTGCGAGTCGGATGGGCGAGAACGCGGTGTTCTCGTCAGCGACGATGGGCTCTGTGACGAGACTGGACATGGCGGTAGTGCTGAGTACGATACCAGACTGTGTATTTTATAAGTCTGACCACGCCCTGACCACGCCTCGCGATATGACCAATCCAGTCCATTCCCTTATCGCCCTTATCCCTCTCGCCCCCTCCCTCCCGCTCGTTGCCCACCACGTCCCCTCCATGTCGTCGTCGTCGTCGTCGTCATCGTCTTTGTCCGCTCGTCGTCGTCGTCGTCGTCATCGTCGTCTCCGACGTCACCCGTCTCGACCACCGGCATTAGCCGACTCGATCTCGATCACGGGACTAGCCCGGGGAACCCACCAAGCTCTCCCTCCACCCATATCGGAGGCAACAACCCCCACTCGTAGACGCCACTTGGCCATTAAAGTGACTTTTCGCATGTTCCCACGTGTAAACGTCGCCCACAGTCATACGGCATACGAGTGCATGCGACATTCAAAGCACTCAACATGACCGTCATTGATTGATGGGCCCCGAACTTGCTGCACTAGACCGAATCATGCAGCCTCGAAAGCGTGATAGTAGCATTCGTAAACAGTCATCGATCGTATTCGAGCACACACCCCAACAAACAAACGATATAGGTATGTCGTTTCCCCGTGCAGTGCCGAGCGACGTTTTTGCTCACCCTCCTCTTTGCACACCGCTGCAACAAGCAACCGCATTACCTCTTGACAAACTTCAACGGCACGTCCTTGATCCCCAGCGCCAGTGTCAACGTGGCCTGCATCGCGCGTTGGCGCCATTCCTGTGGAGTGGGAAAAGGGGGGGGTAAAAGGAGGAGAAATGATGAGATGGTTGAAATAATAATAATAATAGATAAAGTAGCCACCCCTACCTCGGTCGTCTCTCCCGTCCGTAACAACGGCTCTACTTTCCAGTCACGAAGCAGTAGCGTGAGGAAGCATACGGCTTCTGTCGTGGCGAACTTGCGTCCGATACAAGCGCGCGGGCCTGTCGGATGAATCATTGGGGAGATGGTGGAAGCGGGAGGTGGAAGTTTTGGAGGATTGATAACAATGGTAACCACACCCAATCGGAAAACGTTTAGCACGCTTGACGATAAACACAAGCCACAATTGGTGAAGAACCGTACGCACCAACACTGAACGCCGTAAATGGCTCTGAATCCTGCATACTAGATGGTCCCTTGGTGGCGTTGTCACCGTGTTCCACAGATGACGATGATTCAGATGTATTCTTTGAATACCATCGTGAGGGGCGATACACCTCTGGCTCTGAAATATAGCGAGGGTTGTATTCTGGATGCACAGGTCACAGGTTAGCGAAAGTAAAGGTAAAGGTAAAGAGAGGGGGATGATTGAGGGGTATACGCACGAACGCCAACCATGTCTATCAGGATTTGCACGCCCTTCGCGACGGGTAATACTACGTTTTCCTCAATTCCAGCCGAGCTTAGCCTGGGATAGACAAGCGTGGTGTCTTGTTTGGCTTCTCGGATGAGCACGGCGCCGCCAGCTGGATGAGAACACAAAAGTGATAGGGGTGAGGGGGGCAATCGAACGAAAGCCACTCGTCAGAAACTTGACCATATAGAATAGGGGGTGATACATACGGAACATGCGTACACCCTCGTGAAATGCAGCGAGCACTTTATCCAGTTTTGAGTAGTCTTTGAACGTCTGATGATTTAAGAAAGGATTAAATGAGTTCTCATGGGGGGAGAGATTTCGTGTACGTGTATGTCGGTCATGACAACACCCAGGTCTGATCACGAATAGACACGGGCTACGCATGGGAGGGAGTGGAACGTACCGGCTCTCTTTCTCCGACGATGTCCTGAATGTGTGCTACGATTTCATTTTGAACTGTCTGGTCGAGCGCTAGTAACGCGAGTGTGGCAGCAAGGGAGTGGGCAGTTGTTTCTGTTTGGAAAGATGGTGGGTAAGAGTAAACGCCAGCGGCAGACGCGCGTGTATCAGAACAGGACCAATGGGGCTGGGCTGGGACAAGCGAACATAAACGCACGGTGGCCTGCGATCAAAAGCACAAACACATTTCCAATCTAATACAGATATGTATAAGTATATAAGTGCATCTGATATTGTGAAAAAAAAAAAAAAAATCTCTGAAAACTTACCAACTCATAGTCACTCAAAGTCGCTTTCCCATCCGATTCACTTTCCTGCACTAGCAGATTAAAAACGTCCTTCCTCCAATCATCATTTTCCGCCTTCCTCGTGCGGATGTCCGCCTTGCGAGACTGTATATGGTTCCGCATGAACGTCCGCATCGTATCGTACGCCTTGCGCGTGCGCTGAATCCACGGTATGGGGAGCGACCATAGCCAGGTTGGCGCAACGATGGAGAATGTAAGCGTTTGCGTGATCGTGTAGACAGCGTCTTGTATCGTCATCGACCCTGATCCGCTCGGAGGCGACTCCCATGTGAATGGAAGACCAAAACCACACGAGGTGATGATGAGCAGCGCGTATTTAGACGCGATATCTTGGAAAGACGGGGCTTCGACCACTCGTTTCTCGTCCCAGCCTTCCGCAGCTATCATATCGTAGTACGTCCGGAGAGACTCTGACCACACCAGGTCGTAACTACGTGTGTAAAACTATAATGAGGGCAAGAAATGAGCTATATCGAATCGATATGACATACGTTTCGTTGCTGAATGCTGGAGCCATGACGCGCCTGTATTTCCGCCACTGGGCACGTCCCGCATCTACAATATTAGGCCCCCAAAATCTGTATGTGATTGACCGTGTCAGGTGAGCGATACGAGCACACCCCGCAAATCGGTCGTGACGCACGTGAGTGCTGGAGTCATCGCGTTTGACTTGTCAAAAGGCCCTGTCTGACTCTCGTTTGATATCACCTGCTTTGCTATTTCCATGTTGTTGATATATAATTCTGGTGCACCGCTTAGGATGGGCACGACTGAGAATATTTCGGCATTGAATTGTTTATAAACTGTAGATTTCGAAAGATACTAAACACGATAAGTAAGATAAGTCATCAAAAGCACTTACGAAACTTCCTCCAATCCCACATAAACATCAGACCTGGATTCCATTTCTTTGAGGATGGGAGTATGACTCCGATAGGAGAAAGCGGTTGAAATGGAACTCTGAATCCAGGGAGATGACCCACAGCCTAGAAATAGATGCTATCGATATTTACAGCTCGTGGTGATCCCTTTCAAGGGGAAAAGTCAATATGTGCACCTTAAGGTTACTATTGAATTTGACAACCCTTGACACCACCCAGACGGCTATGAAGGCAAGCGATGCCTCTATGATGCTGACTGCATGCAGAAAAAGGTGGTCAACGACATAATATAATATTTGCGCTTTGGATGGAGAGTGGAACGCACCCATATTCGATTTCGCAAAAGTTCTCGATCTTGTGTTTGTTTATACGTACCTGATTGTGTGTCAGAAAGATAACAGTTCAGCGGAATGTCAGAACGATTCCCACTGGAACTATACTTATGTCGAGTCGGAGTCTCGGGACATATTTCGGTTCATAGACTGAACTAAGCCGCATCCCAAATCATCAGCCTAATGACAAATTCTCACCACATTCAATTTCACTGATTTACGTACAATGTTTTGCTGAACCGACCTTGAAGCTATGTTAGTAAGCATGGAATGGGCGCTGAAAGCGAACGACGTACAGTATTAGTACGCGTAGCATACGATCACAGACGTACCTTCATATTGTGTAGAACTATGCTCGTCCGTCAAAGATAGTTTATTTATGGATTCCAAGCGTCCACTAGAGCAGACCCACACAAAAGTTGAACGAGTGTTTCCGTCCGTACGCGATGATGAATGATTTCGAATGAAAGACTGCAAGCAATAAAACTCTCCCACTAAAAATTACTTCCCAATCGCGTAGCAGCGCCGCCAGGAAGCACACAGCTTCTGTTTTGCGAACTTGCCCCCGATACAAGGGCGTAGGCCTATACCAGTGGAAGTAAAGCAATATTGGGCAGTATCACAGTTTGGGAAAGATGGCAGGAAATGTGTCGAACACTGGGATATATCGCGAAACGTGATGGAGGACGAGATTTTTGGATGTTAGAGAGGCCACGCAAATAAAAAATATCAGTCCACTTATCAACAACGAAGTCAAGTGAAAAACTAGCGTACCGATACCGAAAGCTGTGAACGTCTCCAAATCTTGCAAACTAGATTCCTGCTCCGCTGTATCACCGCCCGAGGATGGTGATGGGTCCTTTGCATGTCGTTGCGACAGGCGATACACGTATGGCGCTGGAAAGTGGAACGGACGGCATTTCAAAATCGAGACTGGTAGCGTGTATCAAGGGAAGAAGATAACATGACAATGAAAAAAAATAAAAACCCAAGTCAGTGTCCACGTAGAACCCACAACTGATGTGCTCAGTTTATGCACGAATACCAATCATATCCACTGCTAGAAGAAAACCAGGCTCTCTTCAATCGACCTTTAGGATTGGGGTAAGATGTCGGAAGAACAACAACGCTCTGAATCCAGGGAGGGGAAGATAACCCACAATCTGGAAGTGGAAGCATCACAGCTATTGTATGTCGTCGTCGCCATGAACAAAGTTGAAAATGCACCCCGAGATTGCTAATGAAATCGATAACACCTCGAGACAAGCCAGATAGTAAAAACACCAGTGGTGCATCTGTGATGGTCCCCGGATATATTTGGCTAGTGAAGCACTTGCGCAAGCGGTGCTTGGATGAAAGGATTGGGCTTACCCATATTGAAGTTGGTACATTGATTCAACGTACCTCGGGTGAACCGAAGAGATTTTGGAATGAAAAGAGCTTGATATATCCTTGTTATGGCCACTTGCGCATGTCTGTAGGAGCGACCTGTGATGCAAATCCCAATCCCTTTGAGTAGATCAGCTTACACCTGAACATCTTGTATGGGAAACTTATTAGCCCTCCAACGGTGACTGTGGTTAGCTTTGGCCGGTCATGTCGGGAACGAAGTGAACGCGCAAAGTCTTGTGCGTGCTTATATGCTTGTGGTCTCTTCTGAGATCGATTTCCAACGATAAGTACGTGAATAAGGGGATATGGAAAATGTCTGAATTGCATGTTAAAAACATGGCGTCAATCAGGCGACGTTGACTTGAGAACATACGAGCTCGCCGAGGGTGGCGAATGCCTTGCAACCTCTATGTCAGTCGTTTTCGCCGCAGCACAACTACCAACGTACCTTTGGTCCTTGATAAGGCGTTCAAAGTCCCCTTGTGTATGAAACCGTGAATCCTGGACCACAATGATGTTTTGTGGGTATGGTGAAACCGGTCTGCCGGGGCATCGCCGCAGGACTCGGACCAATGCAAGCTCTTATCAACGACTTACAGTCATCAGTGCCACCATCACCCCAACGTTGTGCTCGCCCTACGTCTTCAGCGACCTCGTTGTCGCGCCTCGCGTTCGCCATAGCCGCCATCGACGTCCACGCCAATATCTTTGGTAGCTTCGAAAAGTTTCGGTTTGATCGGACTCTAATTTTTTCTCCGCCACATTCGGTTTCTCACCTCCGCGTCTCCTTTCCTCCAAGCTCGTCTCCACCACCCAGCGCACGACCGACAGAGAGGATCATGGACCCGTCCCACTCCAATGCGCAAGCTGGTCCATCCAACATCTCTCTCTTTCTCGCCCCACAGCGACGTACGCACAAATGGCGCTCTTGTCGTCCTTGCTTTTACTAACATCTCAATGTTCAACAGCCCCTCCACCTCCCCCCATTCTCGCCAGCACGCAAGACCTGCTCGCACGATTCAATCTGCTGCCGGCATACGACAAGTATGTACGGCCATACTCAGCACCGTTATCAACGCCTGGGCCCTCGTCGGGTGATACGCCGATGGCGGTGGACAAGGGAAAGGGGAAAGACAGGGACGCCACACCAGGCGATCTGGACGATGAAGATGGTCGGGGTGAGAAGAAGAAAAAGAATAGCTACAAATACTTGATAAAGGGTGTACCAGGTGCGTGGGTCGTCCCATCAGGGGGTCCGTTGGAGTACAGTGACTGATATAGGACATATAGGGAAGCACTCGATGAAGAAGGATGACTATCTCACAACGATGATGCAGGTACCGCCAAAACAGCGGATACCAATCACACCGTTTGACAATCGAACCCAAAGAGAGGCGTTCAACATGAGTTTGGAGGGACTCAAGGGCGTACGTTGGCGGGTCCCCAGGCTTTTTTCAATCTGGGGCTCACTAATTTTACACTAATATTTTGTTTGCTAAATTGTGGATTTGCATACAGTGGAATATCGCCACACTCGTACTTGAGTCCGCTCAAGCTCGTGAAGACCGAAAAAAACGGGTTCGTAGCTTGCCACATTTATTCAGTCACATCCTTCTCCTATTCCCTCGTATTTCCCATTTATTTCCTTTGCCACTCTTTTCTTGCCATCACCATACGCCTTAGCTGTTCAATTTGTTCATTTGAACCAACTTTTATAACGTTCGCCTTCATTGTTTGTCTATTATCAATACTTTATAATTATTTCTGAGGGCTGTCCCTGTTTTCACGCATGTCCCTTGGATCAAAGATAGCTAACTAGCAAATATAGAAGGAACTTAAAAAGCTAGCCAAAGCACAAGCACTAACGGGCGGGTCACAAGGATTACCATCCACACCACAAGCGCAACCATCACAAGCGCAATTTTCAGCCCAACAACATACGCAGCCTTCCTCACAAGCACCTTCATCTCAGCCACATCCACCAATACACGCCCAACCTTCCCAAACGCAAGGTCCGACCCAAAATCGCGCCAGGCCGCCTCCTGTACAGATACCACCTGCCGCGACAGGCCCCCAATCAGCTCGAAGCTCGACGCCCACCAGCGCAGTGGCGAAAAGCGCGAGGCCGGGTGGTATGGGCTCAATGGCAGCGGTAGGGGGAGCGAGGAGTGCCACGCCTCTACTCGCTAGTAGTGGCGGTGGCGGACGCGGAAAGAAGCGAGAGCACGAGGAAGGAGGTGGAGTGGTGGGGCAGGGACCTGGCAGTGTGGGTACGGGCGTGGGAACAGGAGTAGCAGTGGGGATACCGGGGAATGGCAGTGTGCCGCCTGTAATAGGTGCAAAGCCTGGTTCTGGGGGCGTACGACCGAGACCTGTGAAGAAACAGAGGATGGTGAGTGGACTTGCCTCTGCATCTTCGTTGCGTCCCATGGCTTGGTTTTGCCTCCTTGGGGGGCAGCATTCTGGGTTCGGATAGTGCAGTGTAAAGCACTGGATGTTTGATAAGAGGTTGACCTTTTGTTCGGCTCTAGGATCTGCAAGGCCAGGCGAGGGATATGCCCATACAGCAGCAGCCAACGCCGCAGGGTGTGTGATGGCACTGAATCTATGTGATGGCTGTACAAGGCGGGGCGGTTGCGGCATCGGTAACATTGTCCTTTTTGCGGTCTGGCTGCTGCAACATGGTGATATTAGAGAGCATGAAAGCAGTATTCAGCTGAATTTTCAATCTCTAGTTCTTGATCCATCACATACATTACTGTTTTTTCCTAGTTTTTATCTAGCATCTTGCGACACCTATCTGCGTTGACAATGCTCGCTGCAGTAATCATCTTGATGCCGCCTCACCATGTTGCCGTGTAGATTATTACGAGCGAGGAATCTAACCAAGTTTGTGCGGTTTGGTCCACCCCCCGGTGACTTTCCACATACGTCATATCCCGATTGGCTTTTCACTACATTATCGTTTGTTACCGAAAATCTCACTACATGCTTTTGAGCTAACAAACGTGGTAATGACGGCTCAGTTGTTCTGGCGCTGGCGCTCATGTGCTCGTGCACAATTTCACCTACGTCTTGCACTTGTACTACGCGTCGAAGTCATGCAGCAGAGTCATACCGTGATCTGTTATTTCGCACTCATGACGTGTTTCCAATCTTGGTAGACATTCACTACCTGGTATGTTGCAGGCAAAATGATAGAAACCAACCCACTACCGAGGTCGAGCTCGAAGGGGAGACTTGAAGAGTGATGTGTAATGCACTATGATGAGCGTCTGGTAAGTGGAATCTTCTTATCTTCCAATTCGAAGCCCATATAAATTTGAACTGCCAGTGATTTGTTCTGCGTATATGCATGGGTTTATTGTTGCACTGTGCGAACCCTAATCATCCATGCAGTTACTCAAGCTTGAGACTGAGCGCAGCCTGAGCTGTCGTATCGCATGTATCACACTTCTCATTATCTATATTCTGGGCTATGGTTTACTCCACCTTCATCGTTGCTCGTTTTCGCGTCCGATGATGCGATACCGTTCCATATGTGTTTGCAATAACGTACGTGTGTGAGTAGTGCTGCCTTCAAGGTTCAAGAGTATCAACGAAATAATCACATCAGTTTTAGCATCTCAGCGAAACTTATGGACATCTTGTGTTATCACATCGCAAGGCTGTCACGCTGCATACTGGTTAATTTCCGTTCGCCGCTATCATCGCACGGAAGGAATACAAATATCATGGTACTATCACTAGGTCAGTTCTCTTTTTCCAGCCTCGTTCTGGCGCTAGAATGTAAAGATATATTTAGCTATTTGGTTAACGGGATCACAGGGAGGGATCTTATCGGAATGTATTCTCGTGATATATAAACACAAGTCATGTTGGAGATAGAGAAACAAGCGTCGTACGAAGAGAGGAAGTGGCGCAAGCGCCGAACTAGGCAGGCCTAGTAGATGGAGTGGCCCGTGCGCCATCAGATAGCATTTAATTTTTGATTCCGTTCTCCCATATATACGCTATTGTCGTTAGGCAGACACCTCAGACATTCATTCGAAGTCTGAGGTGAGATTCCCCTTCTGTATCAAAGTTACGAGTACCTAGCTTATCCTTCGTTTCTTAGTTATTCTTTGCTAGGTACATTATCCCAATATATCAGACATTCATTCGAAGTCTGAGTTATTCTTTGCTAGATCATATCCGAGCGATTACAAGTCACAAGAAGGTCTGCAAGGCATATAACGTCTGCCATTGGACTATGGGTACGTCCTAGTCACCATCAGGATGCTGCTCAGCGCCCGACTTGTGACATGACGATATTGACTATTCATCTGTGCATAGTCAACCTGAACGTCACAGATGCATGCCTGGCCATATCGCTTATCTGGGTTATCTCAAAGGCTCTCAAGTTCAATAGCAATCTTAAGGTGAATTCCACAGCTGCTACTCATGACGATATGCAGTGACAATTCCTGGTGCTCTATCCACATGCTGTAGGTTATCTTCCTGGATACAGAGTACCATTTCAGCCATTTTCTCTCCCGGGATTATTCCTTCCATCCTCTAAGAAATGGAACCCGGGGTTTCTGTTTTTCTGGGACTGGAAGAACTTCTGTAAGTATCCTACTTCTGTCTCTGCATTCTTACTTAGCCCTTTATTGAATTCCCAGTATACAGAAATGCCGAATTATTCTCAGTCGTACCCTTTCTGCATGGCGCTCCAGCAATCTATACCAATAGTATGGAAGTAGCCAAGCAGGTAATCTCAGAAGAAAGCCAGACCGCACCATTCAGTAAACCGGCGTCGATTAGTTTAGGACTAACGTACGTTACGAGTCTTCGTTGGATATGCTCATATTATTGAGATTACGCTGGAAATTACGACAGATTCTGGGGCCCAAATATTATATCCGCTGAACAAGGTGCATGGAGAAAATACAGACGTGTAGTGGGTCCCGCCTTCAATAATGAAACGTGCGCACTTTGGAGTTATAGAATTTTGTCTCACCCTATCTCATTTTATCTACACATGCAGCTACGCTCTTGTGTGGTCAGAGTCTCTTCGGTCATATCACGATATGATGGCGGCGGAAGGCTGGGACAAAAAACAAGTGGTTGAAATTTATTCTATGCAGCGTATCACATCCAAATTTGCTCTCCTGATCATTAGCTCATGTGGTTTTGGCCTTCCCTTTACATGGGAGTCTCCACCAATCGAATCAGAGTCATCGGTGACTATACAAGACGCTATCTACACGACTGCGAGATCATTGGCGTTCGTAAGGGCACCAGGTTGGGCTTGGTACCTCCCTGTTCCTTGGATACAACACACACGCAAGGCATTCGATACCATGCGTACATTTATGCAGAATCATGCACAATCTCGTAGGGAGGATATCCGTAGTAGAAAGAAAGAGCACGACGACTGGAGGAAGGATGTATTCAATCTGCTAGCACAGGCGAACGATGATGAAGGGAAATTGTCTTTAAATGATCATGAGTTGGTGAGTCTCAGAGATCGATGTTGGGTGGCCTACACACATTTCTATTAGATTGGAAACGTGTTTGTACTTCTGTCCGCTGGACATGGTGCGTTTTACTTTCTCCAGCATTCACCGAGTCCTCCTTTATATGTCTTTCCCCCAAATATATATTCTTCAGAAACAACTGCCTACACTCTTGCTGCTACGCTTGCGTTACTGGCACTGAATCCAACCATTCAAAGTGAAGTCGTGGAACATATTCAGGAGATAGTTGGGGAAAGGGAGCCGGTACGTGTTGATTTTGTGGTATTTATCCTGGACATATAGCGGCAGGTCATTATGGCTTAAGTGCCGATGCCATTATGAGAAACTCAGAACCTTTCACTTTATAATGCTCAATCACCCTCCGTCCACAGACCTTTCAGGATTATGCGAAGTTGGATAAGGTATTAGGTGCATTTTATGAGGGCCTGCGAATGTTCCGTGCGTTTTCTTCTTCGGTTTGCAGGATGGCCTTAGTTGCTGACGACTTGTTTGTTTACCTACACATGATCATTAAACTGGCCCTGGCTTCATATGATACAGCCGCCGGTGCCTTGGTCATCCGTGAAGCGAGACAAGATACCACGCTCGTCTATCCTAGGATTAATTCGAGCGGAAACGAGGAGAGCATATTTTTGCCTGTAGCCAAGGGTACACACATCTTAGTGGATATGGTTGGCGTCCGTACGTATGTCGAGCATCTTTGAACCATGCAGATGATGACTTCATTATTAATTTGCCCCTGTGATATTCTTCAATCCCTGGATCCCTCCACTCCCGACATTCAGAACGCAATCCGCGCTATTTCTTGGACCCAGATGTGTATCGCCCATCTCGATGGTATGCGAAGAATAAGAATAGATCAGCACCCGAGGATGGTGGCAAACCAATAACGAGACCTACTTTACATGATTCAGAGGAGTTCACGGCTTTCAGCGTTGGTATGTTCGTTCTTCATCCAATTTGGTTGATTTTGGGTGTGCTGGGTTGTCCATCTGCGTGGATGATCGTCGCGAAGCCTACACAAAATATGTCCACCATTACTTTACACCTAATGTACCTGCGTGTTTTTATGCTTAGTCTTGTTCTATCATCTCTACCCAGATCTTGCTTAACATCATTGACTACAACAGGTCCTCGAGCATGTATTGGCCGCAAGTTCGCCACAACAGAGGCCGTGTGCCTCCTGACGCTGCTTTTACGTGACTGGCAAGTGGAACCACTGCTTAGAACGGACGAGACGATTGAGGTAGGCTCTATCTTTGATTTCATTGTGCATATCAGCATCCCCCCCATCAAATTCGTCGACTTCTGACTATCCCAGTAAACGTTTTCTGAATCACTGACCATTCAAACAATCCACAGGAATGGCGCGAACGTGTGATGCAAGTTACCATGACTCAGACGGCGATGGGCATCAAAGATGTTCCATTAAGGTTTATAAAGAGATGAACCATGGCTGGTGGGCTTGAGTATCTGGGAACCTATTTCTTGGAGTTGCCGTGAAAACAAATTATGTAAATAGTGCTACCTATTTTGACATTTTTGTCTTGATATGCCGTCACGAATGATACTGCACGATACAATATTGGTTGGCTTATACATAAAGTAAGATGAAAAGTGAAAAGTGCCAATTTAGAATATCGTTTGGTTGTGAAGATGAGACTGCATTGTTCCGTGAACGAGTTCAAAGCAGTAGGATACAGGTGATGGCTAATCAAGAGATGTCCCATTGACAATACCATTACCTACTCGTTAAACCCATTGCGGAATTATAGGATCATCCAATGAGACATTTCCAGCTTCAAGTTCCATGAGTAGTGCCTCTAGTGCTTCCATATCCGTTTTCAAGGCTTGATCCCTTCCTGCTTTCGCTGCCGTTGAATCCACCCAAATTTTCAGCATTTTGGGGGTCGCATCACGAATGCGCTTCAGTACATCTAGCGTTGTCCTCAGTGGTGTTCCGCATTTCCACATATTAGTCAGAGCACAATGAAGATACCCTGTTATTCGAGTTAGGCGAGTTTGAAAGTGTGTCAAAGAATTAATATATTGGGGGTGTACTTACATACATGATTCTCATCATCTTCCGGATAAACGCTGGCTGCCTCCATGTAAAATTCAGCAGCCTTCCAATAGTGGTGCAGTTGCTCTGCTATTTTGTCTTCGGCAAGTTTTGCAGACTGAGCGTGATAGTATCCTTTCATTCTGCAGATAAGCCTGGTATTAGCATCATCACAGGGTGAAAATATTGGTCTCACGAGAGTCCAACTCCAATCGGATATATGGAGAATGATGAGATAAATCCAGGATCGTATGCTGCAGTGGTGCTTAGGGGGTTCGCACGGGTTTCCTTGATTAAGTCATCTGCCTCTTCATAGATAGTGTCAAGTGGGAACGCGGCGCAATCCTCATGGGAAGCCTGTCAAGGTATAAAGTACCAGAACAGTATAAACAATATGTGCACCTTACAAGCTTGTAGATTTCCAGATATTGAGTATGTACACCCCTTGAAAAAGAGTCTTCAAAAATGGTCCCTCTTTGCTCTTTGGATGCATCCTTCCATACTGAGCGACCGGTCTCAATGACCTCTATAGCTCGTTTCAGGAATTCTACGGCGGATTGATGAGCATTGGTCAAACCAGATGCTATAATGGCACGCATAATCCAAGCACTACGTGTTATATCCATGAATATGTTATGTACAGTATCAACATGAGAGGTGTCAAACATACCACACAGTGACCGACAGGGCAGACCGTATATCGTCCCATCCACGCTCACGTTGCCGTTTTTGAGCATCCGCCATGATAAACTCGGGCCCATGATGAACCTACGCATTGGCATTGCTCTTCTGAGCTTCAAGCTCGACTGATATATGTAGAGTAGATGAAATTAACAGAGAGAACCCCCGTTACAAGTAACTCACCTTGCAGATTGTAATAATCCATCCATTTGGGGTCATCCAGGTGAAAGACTCGAACGTCGCGCATAAGACCGTTTGTTAGTTGTTCAATGGCCTGTGCGGTGTCAGACCATGAGTAATGTTGAAAATTTTCCATTGGATTACTGACTCCGGTCATCCCACCCAACATATACCGATTTCCTCCTACGTGCTTTTTCTGGACCTTCTTCATTTTATCGACGCCTTCTTTGAAGTCCTGGAGATATCGTGAGCTAACTCTCATCAGGAACATGATAACAGCTTGCCTCATACGCCAAAGCAATGACCCAAGCCTGGCATTTTGTGGACGAAGCGGTCAGAAAAACTTTCACAAGCTAGAAGCAGTACATACACTACTTCTTACTGTTTCCATCTGGCGACGCCGCAGTTCCGGCAACATATATTGAGCCAACTGCCATGGAGTCTTTCTTTGTTCGGCATTTGGAACCACAACGCCGACGTGAGGAGTGTTTTTATAGGTATTGAATTTGTCCGTCGTAGCTTTCAGCGCCGCGGTGCATTCCTTTTTCTGTTGGTCCTGTGCTGGTGACAAATTTGTTTCGGGGAGGGCTTGAATGGCCCGCTTCCATGATTCGATAGAGCTCGTGTAGCTCTCTAAAGCCTAAATTAGACGTTATCAGATTATTGCTTATATCACATAGTACAATTTATTACATCTTGGGCAGTGGCTAATCGACCCCAGGCTTTTGCGTATGTTGGGTCAATTTCTGTAGCCTGATAGCGAGCGTAAAGAAAAAGTAAGAATAAGTCTCGAGATTTTGACCAATAAAAAGACCTCTTACCTTTTTTGCGTCAGAGAAACCATCGAGATATCTAGCATCATGGGAAAGTTCATCGATCAACATCAACTCAGAAATCAATTCGATTCCGCACCTCTTCATTGCAAGACCACATGCTGACCGATTAGCATAAAGGACAGCATTCTCGCTATCAACTGCGATTGCCTCGGTGTATTTCGCGTAGGCTGCAGCATAGTCCTTCTTTACGAATAGAGCATTTCCTGCATCTTTGAGGCTTGAAGCTGTTGGTGCTGCTGACATATTGACTGAGAAAAATTCAAGTGACTCGATGAAGGAACGAGGAAGACAGGCTCGTCGCGTAAATGGGAGCTTTGTCGAATGGACAGAAGGTAAATTTTTGTACCCTGCTAAATGCCATTGAAATTACCTGGAGAACACGTGTAGCATGTACGTAGCAACAAAGAGTCGCGCCGTGCTCCAGTTGATATGACCAAGTTATGCCAGTGATCACTCACAACCCTTAGTATTTACTGTAACATATAATTTATACTACGCCTTATGCTCCAATATGTATAAATACTATCCTTTGATCTAGCGGTACTTCCTTCTTATTCACTGTCTTCGCAGCTTTGTCCAGTGCGACGGCGGCATGCGTGTAGTCGGCTCCATCTTGAAATAAGTTGGAGTAAAATTGAGAAACCATATGACACGCGGTTGCATCGTCAACAGCCCACATCGTGCCTATAACACTACGAAACCCGGAAAATTGGATCCCAGCGGCCAAGTGGATTACTTCATCTGGCATATCCTTGTCACCAGCTGCAGTATGGCAAGCTGAGAGAAAAGCGAATTCAGGATGATCCAGACCAGCATGTATAATATCCATGAGGCTCAAAGATTTGTCCCGCAAAGCGAAGCACGAATCGAATGCCTGTGAAAGGTCTTGTTTGCCGTGACAAGCAAGATGGATCCATTCGTTTTTTCGGAATGCATCAATTACAGTATCAACAGTGGCCCTATTCCCCGTAAGTTGTGAATATGATATCGATGATGGAGCCAGCTTCTTGATGAGCTCAAGTTCTGTATCCACGGATTGAAGGTCAGTTTCATTGCTATTTTCATGAGGTTGTGCTTGCCCAATTGCGATAAACCTGTGAGGAGGACCAGGTAAGTTAGAGGCAGCCTCTGGAGTCTTTCTTGATCTGATCAACGCAGATAACGTAGGAGTGTAGGATGAGACAAAGAAATGTGCCAGATTTGGCTCACTTCTGCGATATGATCCTGCAGCGTGAAGTGGTAAAGAGCTGAGCTTTGATGTGGGACACCACCAGATCCGAGAGCCTTTCGGGACCTCACTTTCAATGGTTCCGAGTAGCTTCACGATGGGAAAAACAATGCACTCCCAGAGTTGGCGTAATATAGGTATCAGCTGCCTCTCTCTTATCCTTTCCTCGCCTACAGCTGCAGTCTTCTTCAGCACAGAAGCAAACTCTGTCGATAGGGACGAGATGTCCTCATAAGTCACGCGGGAAAGAGAGAGATGGCGAGGTGGCCCAGACCGTAAGACAATAATAGCGTCACAGGAATACCTGCTTATATTGACAACAATTACCGGTCCGTGTAAGGCTGCACTTTGCAATTCTGAAAACGGTTTAGACATGAGAAAATGGGTGAAGCCTTCGGTCTGCCGTATTTGCTCTACGACTGTCTCCCAATCCTCTGTCAATTCCCGATAATGACGAGCATCTTTTGCTATTGAAAGTTCGGAGGGGAAAAATTCGTGTGACTTCTGCAAATCTGAAGCATGTTTGCTGTCTAGCAGCCTGCTTATCCGCTCGAATTTCCTGGCTAGTTGTTGTCCATGACTTCCAATATTTCGAAGACTGTCAAGTGGTGTGCGAAATCGGGCCAATTGTGCCCATAGTAATGCTCTGCCTTGCTCTAATAACTCTACGGCCACATCGAGTTGGCCTTCACGAATTGCGCATGACGCTGCATCTGAACTGATACTTGGGGGGATTAGTCTGAGTGCTGCATGCCGCCTTTGAATGGAGGAAGTTGCAATAACGTGTCGGTCAAGGATGTTTAATGTAGTTCGATAAGCTTCGAGCTTCGACGTGTGATCTTGCTGTTCACTGGCTGCAATCCATTTTAGGGAGGCTAATAAGCAATTCCAGGATCCTGCAGCAGGGTGGGTGGAAGCCAACCTATAACACGCAAACACCTCATCCCGGTCAGCTGGTTCTTGGGTGACTGAGTGTCGCAAGCTGTGCGCTCGGCTTAAGGTTTTGTAGACATTGAAGAGGAGTGGATGTGCCTGTGGTAGGCTATCCAATAGAGCGTGTAGGTGACCGAAAGCAGAAGTAAGGTCGGTAGGCTGCCCTAGCCGCTTTGAGCGAGAAACAAGAGCATCGGCCAAATTGGTGAGATACAAGGAACAATAAGTGTGCCTCGGCGAAATCGACTCTAGTGCCTTGCTATAGTAGGTGATCGCAAGCTCTAGGTCTCCAATACCAGATTGCTGCCCGGAACGAGTATAAAGTGCCGTGGCAAGATTGTGCAATGAAGAGTGATGATCAGGATGCCCTTGCGGACGCAACTCCAAAACGTCGCGATAGTACTTGATGGCCAGCTCGATATCTTCGGGGGTGCCTCGGTGCAAAAGGCTTACAGCTAGACCCATTAAGGTTGTCGCACGACGAGGATGTCCAGGCGGCTGTAGTTCTAATGCAGAATAGTCATAATGTATCGCAAGGACGAGGTCTTCCGTGTTGCCTCGCAAATCATAACGCATCATGAGAACTCTGGCAATGCCAAGCAACGAGGAAGAGCGTTCAGGATGTCCTGGGGGACGCAATGCCAGGGCACTATATAAATGGTCAATTGCTGATTCTAAATCTCGAATGTCCCCGTACTCCTGCAAACGAGTCATCAGCACAGTAGCAAGATTGTTCAGGGGTTGGGAGCGGTTCGCATGCCCTGGAGGACACAAGTCCAGGGCACACTTATAGCAATCTATAGCCAAGTCCAAATCCGCGAAGGTCCTTCTCAGTTTAAACTGAGAACGTAGGGCCCTGGCTAGGTTGTTGAGTGACAAAGAACGCTTAGGATGTCCCGGTGGTCGCAACACTAGTGCGCTACCAAAATAGGCCATTGCCAGATCGAGATCTCTACTTTCGCCCTGAACTCCGAAACGAGTATAAAGAGCTTTGGCGTAGTTATCCAAACACGACGGGTAGTCGGGGTGTTTGACTGTACACAGATGTAAGGCACTTGAAGCATGCTCGATTGCCAACTCAACGTCATGAAAGTCTCCTTTATCTCTGAAGCGAAGCAGTAAAGCATCAGCCAAATTGCTCAATGACGAATAACGATCGGGATGGCCAGGTGGCCGGAGGTCCAGGGCAATTTCATGATAGTGAATCACTAGCGCAAGGTCCTGTTGGTCTCCTTGGCGTCGATAGCGAGTCCGAAGAACGATAGCGAGATGAGTGAGCGACGAAGAGCGATCAGGATGTCCTGGTGACGAACGCTCCAGCGCTATGCTGAGGTAGCTGATGGCTAACTGGAGGTAAGGACCATAATCTCTTTGCTCAAATCGAGCGTGGAGAGCGGTTGCAAGATCATATAATAGTGAAAGCGGGGTGGGATCACCGGGAGGGCCTGCATCATTGAACTGCTCTGGGGGCAGCTGCTCAAGACGAAACAGAAATGCACCAACAAACTTGTCCCTCATCAAAGAATGGTCCGTATGTTCAGATGGATGTAACATCAGTACGGTATGGCGTCGTTCAATGGCGTCATCCAAATCTTGAAGGTCCCCTGAAAGCTCAAAGCGAGCTGTCAGACAGTCGGCCAGTTTGTCGAGGAACCAGGGATAAATGGGATGGGATGCTGAACCAACACATATAGCACTTTCCCATAGTTTTATCGCTAAGCTCAAGTCTCCACTGTTCTCCGTCCGCCAATATCGGTCTGAATGAGCCTCCGCCAGATTTATCAAGCCGTCAAGATAAAATTTCTTGCGGAACCAGAATAAGAAGCTAGCCACAAACACTACGTGAATGAGACCCCATCGCCACCAGAGAGGGACCAGGAAAGCCACCAGCAGGTAAGTACCAGAGTTACCGCATTCAACGTCTGGTTGCATATCAACTACATCTGATTTCGCAATATCATTATCATCAAAATCGAATATAGGGTACTGGCGTTGAGTTTAAGTCAGAATTGCTCTGCTGATGCAGACTTCCAAATGCTGAACTAACTCACTTCGAGAGTATCATCGAGCCAGGAAGTAGAGCTACTTTCATGCTTGAGCATTTGACTGTTAACAATATATTAGCTCACATGTAAGTTCTACTAGGTGAAGGAACCGGAAACCTTGAGCCCAGGGAAATACGCTCGCGTAAATTAGCATTCTCCCAGCAAATACACCTAAGAATAAACTGTCCCTGTTCCACGGATGAAGAGGATATATGAAGAGGATATACGAGCTCTACGTTATAGTTGGTGGTCTAGTCCACAAAGAAACTGCGAGGGATCTCGACGCACCATCGTTACTACGAGTTAGCATATCACTAACTGTGATATTTCCTTCGCCGAGTAGCAGTTCTTCACTGGACTCCTCAATGTCGGAAAACCCATATACGCTAAATGATAAGATCGACGTATGGACTGCAGTGCTGAATTGATTTAGCAAATTCCGTATGTTGTTCATTTTGGTTCTCATCCACGTTGATACGATACTCACAACGTGAAGGTCTCGCCCCAAGCTATCGTGCCAGAAGCATTGATACCAATTCGACCAAGTTCGCAGTTATTGGCCTTCGCGACAAGCCAGGACAGACGGGAAAACGTCTGATGCGGTACGTTGATATCGAATTCTAAAACTATTCAGGAGAAGTCTTCACATCAGTGACTTCAGGAACTGCTACAAGAAAAGATACAAAGCCACCTGTGAAAACTAGATCTACGACTAGAGTATCTGAGTCCACTCCTGCCATTGACGTGAGTTCCAATGTATATGTGGGTGATAAATGGGTGCGAAGAAAATGTGGTCGTTAGCTGTTGCTGGTGAAATACTGCAGCAAAGCGTTTTTAAGATATATACAAGTTGTAGGTTGCTTGTGACTTACATATGCATGAATTCAGATGGAGTTATCCAATAGAATAACACGTTGTCAACCCGGATCACAACGAGGCACTGCAAAAACAAGGGGATCATTTCCCCCGGTTTACTCACTTGTCCTAACATGCTACTGAAAACAAAAGGATTTCACGGTGAAATAGAGCTAGGCCATCGTGCTCAAGGTCATACCAATTACAACGATGATCATGATCAACATAGGACTCCCACTGACAGGTTCAAGTTGGATGGCTTAAACTCAGTCTGCCTGTCCACAACGCCTAGCGGGCTTTGAATGTTTACTTCCGGTACAAACTATGTGCATCTTAGGCTACTTTTCTTTACTATCACTACAATGTGGTTTATTGGACATAAGTTCTATCTATGCACTACTGTTTCTGAAGCACTATCAGATCTTGTACACTAAAAACACCTAAACTTTTCTTGGTAACCTCGACCTATGCGGTGGTCCAGTTACTCAAATCCCTAGACGTCCGGTCCCAGTACGAATATTGTATTAAATCATTGCCTCTTCAACATACCTAGGGCGGCCCAGTACGATCACAATTGCCTGGACTTAGTTGGACGGGAAGTTGGACTTTATGAGCCCAATTCTGCCTTGATTGCGACGCGCTCTTGTTGAGCCAAGCAGCGCCTGAATTGAACGAATCAAGTTACCCAAGGTGTTCTCTCTCTACACTTAACTGCTAAACCTAGCTTCCTGCCTTTAGATCATACAATTTTCCAGTGTTCTCCCCATGCTTTGGGTGAACGTCAAAGGCTAGAGCAGTCTCGTCAGACTGGTTTGATCGTACACAGGCGATCGGTTTGCGTCGGTGACATGAGGCTGACATGTACTATTTCGCCACGGACTATCTTGACAGAGGTATAAAATATGTCCATGATGAACTCTATCTTCCCCATCTCGTTTGAACTCCTGCTTCTGCTGTCTGTGGTCTGGGCTCTCTCGGGTATCAACTCATACCATCGCTATCCTCAACCATGTTATCTTCTGCTGTATTTGCTCTGGCTTCGCTAAGCACATCTTATGCTGCAACTATTGTCTCCCATTCGGCACCGTTTTCCCAAGGCGATACTCCGGCCGTCCTTGGTGCAAAATCGAACCTCGTCATCGCGAACAAAGTTATCGCTCCCGATGGTTTCAACCGCTCGTCAGTATATTTATCGCGTCTCAGGCTTATACTCATGGTTATACAGTACTGTCCTTGCTGGGGGTACATTCCCAGGTCCCATTATCAAAGCTACAAAGGTGTGTATTGCCCATTGATGCCTTGTCATCTTAGCTCACATCGATCCTAGGGAGCTTCCTTCAGCATCAACGTAATAAACCAACTTACGGATAGTACGATGCACAAGACTACTAGTGTAGTGAGTAGTCCGGTTAGTCACTTAGCTAAATAATTTCTCACCAAGTAGCCACTCATTCCAGCACTTCCACGGTATCTATCAAAATGGAACTAACTATGCCGACGGAGTGTCGTTTGTTACTCAGTGTCCGGTAGCTGCCAATGATACTTTCACGCACAACTTCAACGTCCCCAATCAAGCTGGTACATTCTGGTATCACTCTCATCTTTCCAGCCAGACTTGCGATGGTTTGAGAGGCCCGCTCATCATCTATGACCAGAATGATCCACATGCTAAATTGTATGACGTGGATGATGGTTCGTAGTTCTTTTTTATTACCATTTTCGTTTTCACAAGGGCAACATACTTTAGAATCAACCATCCTCACCCTGGCTGACTGGTAACCCTATTTTTCTTCATATAATTACAATTCGTATGTAATAAATTCCCTAACAGGTACCACCTTCCTGCTCCTGTTTTGAATACCATCCTTGGTGTCAAGCCTAACACAACACTCATCAATGGACGCGGTCGTTATTACGGCGGCCCAATGACAGATTTATCTGTTGTGAACGTAGAGCAGGGAAAACGGTATCGTTTCCGCCTTATTTCCATGGCTTGCGACCCTCTCTACACGTTTTCTATCGATGGCCATAGCTTGACTGTTATCGAAGCTGATGGTGTTTCGACCGAGCCTTTACAAGTGGACTCTATCGACATCCTTGCTGGACAACGCTATTCCTTTGTCTTGACGGCAAATCAACCAATCGCAAACTACTGGATTCGCTCTCTTCCTAATACTCCTCGGGCAACGTTCGCTGGTGGACTCAATTCTGCCATATTGAGATATAAAGGTGCTCCAGCCGCAGAGCCGGCAACCATTCAGGCCATCAGCGTCGCTCCTCTTGTGGAAAGCAGTCTTCATACCTTAATCGATCCAGGAGCACCAGGAAAGCCTGTTCTTGGAGCCGCGGACATCAACATCCACCTTCGAGTCGATGTGCTTAATGGTATATTCTCGGTCAATAACGTTTCTTTCATACCCCCTCCCATTCCAGTTCTCCTGCAAATCCTCAGCGGTGCGCGCATCGCAACCGAATTCCTCCCCACTGGAAGCGTTTACGTTTTAGAGCCTAATAAAGTTGTTGAGGTGACCGTTGAGGGTAGTGAATTTGGACCCGTGAGTGACTTCAACCCTAATATCATCCCATGTTTTGTACTCATACTTTCCACTTCAAGCATCCCATTCACTTACACGGTGTAAGTCGTCTTTCATGACATCTAACGATCAGGTTTTGATACCCCTCACAGCACGATTTCGACGTCATCAGAAGTGGTGGAAGCAACGTCACGAACTTCGTCAACCCTGTTCGTCGTGATGTCGTTTCAACTGGCCTGCTTGGCGAAAGTGTAACCTTCCGTTTCGTTACCAACAATGCTGGACCGTGGTTTTTGCATTGGTAAGCGCTAAATTTATTTTATCTTGTACAGTAACTAACAGCGGGTTGCGTGCGCTCTAGTCACATCGAATGGCATCTTGAAGCGTAAGTATACTCGATATTATTGTCGATCTTTTGGTTTCTTATTTTTATCACAGTGGCTTCGCCGTGGTCATGGCCGAGGATCCGTCTGGAGCTCAAAGCCATATTGGATCAGCGTCCGGTGAGAGCTACTGTTACATCTTCCCTTGTTACGTTACTCACCGTAGACACGTAGAATCTTGGGAGCAACTATGTCCCAAGTACAACTCGCTCACGCCTCCTCAGCTAGGTGGACTGATCCCTTAAATCCGGTCATGGCAGGACATTTTCAGGACAATTATTTCTATTCTACATATATTAGTAATTCGACGTTCTAGCGTTCATAATATTTCTCCTTTTTACTGGGCTTATTGGATTTTCATAGAATGATAATTGATATAATTTTGGTGTGCGACCTTGAATCCTCATTCACAGCCATTTTTGGCGATCAGGTCAATATTGTCAAGTAGCTATGAGTAAAAACGACTCCATAATTATACTGCTTACTCATGGGCAAGCTTGGCAAGGAAGGAATAATACTATATAACCAAGCGTTCCTGGACCTATCGTCGTACTATTATAACGTAGTCTATCTGGGGAAGACTGTAGACGAATACGGGTACGGTGCCTGCGTTTCCGGATGACGGTCATCAAATACTGCTGAACAAAGTCATAGTAGCAATATATCATATTCGCAACGTTAACTTCATCTCTATTACCATGTCCAATAGATTCACTATTATTAATTTACGATACGATAGTAGTAAAGATACAAAAAGCTCGGTAGCTGGCGAAAAAAAAACGAGCGCAGTATAACGTATCCATTAACGAGAGTGCAAGGCTATTCCGCCATTGAAAGATAATCTAACTAGAGAAGCAGAACCAGGAAAAATCAAAACATAAAAACAGCAGCTTCCTGCCTCCATCCTCCTTCTCAAGACAAAAATGCAAGCTCACTCAACCGTCGGCTTTCGTCATCTGATATTCCTCTGGCTTCCACAACGATGGTCCCTCGACTGTGCATAGTGGGGCTGAGAGCCGACCGGCGCACAGCAGCCCCACCTTGATGTCCTGGCGCCAGACCTGTAGACGAGGGCGCGAGCCGTGGAACTGCGACAGATGATACGCGTGATTTACCGGCTGACACACTATCCACGAACGAGCGCCGCATATTGGAGAGCGATGTCGTCGTTATCTTCGCCAGACTCCGCCGACCTCGCTTTAAGCCATTCCCATTCTCGCCTTCATCTAGCGCTGTTGCACGGCGTCTCGGCTCAAGTGGTGGTAGCTTTTGAGTGGAGTTGTTGGTAGTAGGATTGGCGGTAGAACGGCGAAGAGGCTGGAGATGTGTAGGATGATGGATGTTTCCTGTAGGAGGGGGATAAAAATTTGGGTGTGAACTATCCTCCTGCCCTGTGACATCCTCTTCAGGAATGCCAAACTCGCCCTCGACAGGGCTTTCTAAGATCATAGGTGGGAAATGGGACGCATATTCATCCGATCCTCTCTGTATGACGAAACTATCCTCAACAGGACTCTCCACAATGATCGGTGGTCTGTCAAGCATACAGTCTTGTGCCTTGAGCCAGGACGTATGCCCCTGCCCGTGGCCGTCGCTCAGCGTGTTACCGAGACCATAGCTTATTGGGGTCGAGACCGTAAACGGTGATGGTGGAGGAGAGGTGGAGTCATCCCCGTGAGCCTCGCTCGCAGAGAGACAAGGCACCGGAGGTAGCGAATCTTTATCGCTATACTCGTGAAATGTCGATCTACGCGCCCCTAAAGCGCCTATGGGCGGAGAAGAAGGCTGGGAGGGTGGCTGTTCTGGAAGTGATGGTGGGGTAGACCTAGAATTGGAACGAGATGTCCGTCTAGAAAACATAGACGTAAACTTCATGTCGTCTCCTTGCAACTGTGCTACTAAGCCTGTATGCGTCTCAGAAAGAGGCGAGTCGTTATCCTCAATTCGAAGGTCTGGCTCGTGACCTGTCGGTGATATGATTGCTACCGGGGGTATACCAGGAACGGATCCCACTGCACCAGTAACCCCATCTTCTTCCTGTTCTGAGGGTAATGATGACGTGACATCTGATAGAGGAACCTGCTCTATGAGAGGCGGTGGCGGGTAGGTTCCAGTATCGGGCCCGCCAGTCGATGTCTGAAGTCGGGATAAGTTCGGGGCGGCGAGTTGTGCTGGGTAAGTTCCGCATCGCGAGCTACCTGTCACAAACTCATTGTTGTTATTGTCGTGTATAGACGCTGAGGAGTGTTCGTAAACGTCCCGATTTCGCGCTTCCCATTCCTGTTTGATCTTCCGTGCTGCGGACTCCGCTTCATTTTCGCGTTCATTTCCGGATTGTGGCTTGGCCTTTGCAAGGAGATCCAATTTGCGTCAATTTCACGCTCTTGTTCACTGAGATCCTTTGCAGGGCCTAGGAGACCGCGTTCACGGAGGGCAGCCTGAACGGCGGGACTGTGGCGCGGTTTCTTGGGCGGACGGGCGGGATGTGTGGGAGAAGAAAGGGTTGTATGCGGTTGAATGTGATCATCTGCACGCGGATGGAGTTGAGTCGCGTGCTGGGAATGAGTCGGGTGAGGAAGACGGATGGATAACATGCTCGTGACACGGCGGATAAACGTCGGGTTTCTCTGATTCTGGACAGATGGGTTTTGAGGGCTGGGGATGAGAAAATATGATAAGAAAGGGATGCCAAGAGATCATTGAAGGGGAGGAGATGATGAAGTATAAGAAGCTAATGAATGGGAGCTCCAACAACACGGAGATGGGCTAAAATTAGAACGTAACCCTAGTCGCACCGCGGGCATGGCATGGATAACTGTCTTCACAGGAGAGCGGTCAAGGAAGCGAAAACAGAGTAGATACGAAGCATCAATGGTAACGAGTAAAAAAGTTCAATGATGTGGAACGACAGTAAATACCGCAATGCCGCTGTATCGATACAGGATGGGACATATCTTACTCACCTGAGATGTCTACGACTTGCTGTCACGGTATGGTTTTGAGGGTACTCCTTGTCATATCGTACGGCACCCTTTGCTACTGTTGTTGAGACAGCCTGGTCTAGAGAAACGCGATTGTTCGCTAGGACTGGTTTACTAGTAGTTCTGTTCAGCTTGAGCGCTCCGCGGTTAGGTTTGGGGTTCTCGATGTCGGGCGTGAGATGTGAACTGCCATTAACATTGACAGCGTTACGGTTTGTGTTCTTCCTTCCAACTTTAACTGGGGATACGGATGCAATCTTAGCTGAAGAACTGGGCACAGTGATGCGGAATGCGACGTCACCATGAACGCAATCGCGATCAGGCGATGAAGAAGAAGAGAGATCACTGTCATCCTCGCTGGATGGTGGGGGCTGGGAACGAGAGCGAAGACGGAGAGCTAGGTGAAAGGGGCCTGGCATTGTAGACTGGAGACGTCGTCGTCGTCGGCGATGGCGAGGGGCACAGTGACGGAGAGGATGTTGTGCGCAAAAGAGGACAGGTCAATGAAGGAGCGTGTTCACATGGGAGGTAATATATAAGTTGCGCCAGCAGCGTGATCAGAATGGGGCCTAGCCGACCTCGAAGGGAAATATGAATCCGCGATCAAAAACAAAAAGAAGCTCCAGTAAATCAAAGACCTCCACCTAAGAACCTAAACAAGAATTCCTGTATGAAAAAAAGTCTCACTCTCTGGCGAATCAGACTGAAGATTTGCCACATTCGCAGACCCGCATCGCAGACTGGCACGTCAGCCCACATCGACATATATGAAAACTGGCAGTCTGGCACGATATGGCGGATATGGCTTGAGCGTGGAATCGCGTCTTGTGGTCTTCCTCACCTTTACTCAACTAGTCCCGCGAGCATTTGCCGCAATGGGAAAGTGATCCGGCGATCTATTATTTAGTTACTTTGGTTACCTGTGTGCGCGCGGGGAATTTCATCAGCGCAAAACACCGCAATTTGGTGGCCTCAACAGCTTCAGCGCGTCATCATTCTAGGGTACTACAGCAACCATATTGAAAGCACGAGGATACACAACTCTCTCTGCTCAAATGCAATGCACACCCCATTTTTACATCCGCAGTTTCATTCCTGTCTTCCTTCTAGTTGATCTTACGCAACCACGCTAGAATTTCAGTGCCATGTACAGTACCCACCTCGCCTTACACCTTCGGTTTCACGCAGGTTGGCCCTAGCAAGTGAGACATCCGAGCGCACACGTCTGATGAAGATACGCGTGAGTGTGACGATGAATACAAACGCGTAGCTTCAGCGAATCAGAGCACTCACTCTCGACGAACCCCGACCCTTGCCATCCCTATCTCCTCTCCTAAGACGCTCGTCCGCGGCTATACTCAATTGCTATCGCGAGTGCCACTGTATTGCACCGTTCCATTTTAGGCCACCCCAACTCTGGGAACTCCCGGGGCGTAAAAAATGAATATAGTGACAGAAACCACATACGTGAATTATCGTGATTGTGTCATGTAACATGAAAATATTCCTGGCAGCTGCCAAACGCTGACGCCGTGCGGCGGTACCGTTAGCCGACATTCTGTTTGATAGTAGTTGTTACCCTAGCGGTAGTTTTCCGCACCTGAAGTACAGAAGTCAGCGCCACAGTTCCTTTCGTGCCAGTTATGGGATCACTGCGAACGGGCTCACATCGATGACGCTAGCATTATGGTAAGATCCAACTCTTAAGAAGATGAAGCGTCGGCGACGATATCGTACTTCGTCGGAGCCGTGTAGTTGGCAATAACCACGTGATTTCCATAAACACTGATGCTGAAGGTTGATTTTAACATACAATCGAAAGAGGCACCGGGCGCTCGCTTCTTGCAGCAGCGTGTGCAAACTGTTAGTGGCGATGGCGATGGCCGAAAAAAAGAAAGAAAAAAAAGGAGCCTCCTGAACGTCACGGTGCGAATCCAACGTTCTTTTTGCGTGTCAGGTTCAAACACCATTGAACATAGAACGTATCCAGAAGCAACAGCGACATTGCTTCTATCCAAGATGCGAGAAGAGCACCATAGCTTGGAGCTTGCTCGGGCGACGCGTCTTGCGCGTAGAAACGCAGTGGGTCTCTCCGAATCGCATCATTTCATGAGTGGCAGCCGGTTGAAACACCGGTCGTTGCGGTGGCGTCCAGAGGTATGAAAAAATCCGGTAAACTCCAGTGGATGCTCCCAAAGCTCGCCGTAACCATCAAAGGAGTGCACGAAAGGGGAGTTGAGGAGAGATGGATTACGCGCGAGATCCACGCTCTTTTTCGAGGGGTTGGCTACAACCAAGAAAGCCCAAGGTCGAGCCCGCTCGCCCAGTAGAGCTCTCCTATATTCTTATGGCGTGACATTGCAGCCATCGTAGTAGGTCTTTGGTCCTAGGAGTTGCAACGTCGTAATCGGAAAGGTTGCTTCAAGTGACTTGGTGAGTTTGAATGCGGGCGGGGAAGGACAGGGAGCGTGGGAAGTTCCCGCCCCGATCTTCTTTTTGCAAACAAGCGCACAGTGTGCGGCTCAGAATTGTAATAGAGGTTACCTTGAAAGTTATCATTTCTCGGTTTCTCTGTAGAGTCGCATTTTACTTTTTCGTCAATGGCCTTGTATAAGTATGGGAGCTCATCCATAGCAACACCACCTCAATACCCAGTTACAGAATTCGACATTCTCAAATCTTCACACAAGTAAGAGCATTCAGCTTAGTTCTCGTGCTTATTCAAGAGCTGACTACATATGTTACCCTATTCCTCCTGACGCTATAAAAACTTTCCAGATTCCTGCGCGATGATACCAGCAACAAAGATGCCTCGTGGAACGACCAACTAGCGCAGAAGTACTACGACAGCCTCTACCGCGAATACGCGGTATGCGACCTGAAGCATTACAAGTCAGGCAACGTCTGTATTCCATCCTCCTCTTGCCATACCCACCTCGTTGAATTGTATTTAGTTTTCGCTGCGCTGGCGCACAGAGAATGAGGTACTCTCCGGCGCGGGAGAATCAACGTGTGCGAACACGCGCTGCGAATACCACGAGCCTCCACGCCCTGGCGAACGGATACAGATACCGGCTTTATCAGCTCTCGAGCTGCCGTTTGGATACGAGGAACATGGCGAACATAAATCGGCCCTGGTGAAAGTGGTGCTGTGTGGGAAGTGTGTAAAGAAACTAATGTGGAAGAGACGTAAAGAGAAAGAACAGGAGATAGGAGGAGTAGCGATTAAAGTTGAGGAGGGAGATACCGAGGATCTTCTTGGAGATGCTGAGGAGAAAATGAAAGATAGGGGCTCGCGAAGGCAAGGGAGAGATAGGGAAGACGCAAAACCTCAAAGGTTACGACAAAGTTCACGATCACTCTCTCCACACGCACGTCAGAAGGATACGTCTTCATCACAGCAACGCCATTCGAGGGCAAGACCTTTTAGAGAAGGTAGCTCACGATAACTCGGCGCAGAGGGAAATATACTTTGATGTGGCTTTAGGGTGTGTGTCTCAGACCTCGTGCAATACGTGAGTCCAGTCAGTACGACTCGATATTATGTTATTGGATTCTAGAAGACCTTCCTTCACTCGACTGCAACAATAGTACTGATACGTACAAACCCACGGAAAGGGTCATCGATCCGTCGTCCGGCATTATTCAAACGTGGTCGCAGATCCTAGCAATGATACCATCGAAGTCGAACTCGGAATACCAATTTTCTGGGTTCAGGGGTACTCTCTCAGGTTGTGACCCTATAGCACAGTCATTACTCCAGATATCAATCACGGTGATATGCAATTTCGATGTTTGAGCTGATATGGATTGACTATTTATTGTTGACGGCGCTCTTGGCTGAAGTACTTTCCTTATATGTTCACGGCGTGGTTTGGGCTGCAGTGCAATTGATGTTGTCATTCCAGTAAGTACTAGCACTACACGAGGTAAAGCAGAAGCAGGTTAGGAAACCTAGAGCCTCGAGGCTGCATATCGTTCATGCTGTTACTAATTTGTTGCGTCGATACTGACACAATACCTTCTTCGCTCACTTCTTTCTTTAACTATCACCCTATCGCCACCTTGACATTGGCGCCCAGAGCTACATCATGGCTCAAACACCCACGTCGCTGCAGCTCAAAGATGCTGGCAACACGCTTTATCTCAAGAAGGATTACATTGGCGCTTACGCGAAATATACCGAGGCGATCGTGGTGGACGGTGACAATGCCGTGTTGTATGCTAATCGGTCTGCGTGCTGCCTGGCGATAGAAAAGTGAGTCGTGGCCTCGTTTCATATCTAGACGCCATCGTGAATGAATCGTGCAACTGCTAACTCTTTCTCTAATTCAGGTACCTCGACGCTGCTGAAGATGCACAGAAGGTAAGTTGATTTATTTGTTCCCAATCGTATCATACACAGAAATGAAAACTCCTCGTTGAATTTGTAGGCTACCAGCCTTAATCCGTATTACCCCAAGGCTTGGGCACGATTTGCCTCGGCCCAAGCTGTAAGTCGATACCACCATTCCCAAAGTTGAACTTTTCACAACATGGGTCATTGCGACTTCGACAGGCTTTGTTGAGGTATCAAGGCTCCGTGATTTCCTGGGAGAGAGCCCTGGATGCTCTACCCAGGCAACACCTCTCCGCTGCGGAACTCAAGCAGAAGCACGAATTCGAAGAGGGCTTGAGGTCCGCCAAGTTGTGTCTTGCAATAGTAAACGAACGCGGTGCTCCTGAGGGTAGTATCAAGATTCATAAGCCAGATCAGGAGAAGCTGCCCTGGCGGATCGCACAGAGAATATTGCCAAGAATGCGCCGCCGCAATCAAGAAGAAGCCTCGAAGAGTAGCGTAGGTTCTACTTTGTCTTCCGGAATTTGGGGTTGGACTGAATATTGTACGAATTCAGGCTTGGGTCATTGCTATGGCTTGGGAGGTACTGTCGTATTCCCTCCCGTGACATCATGGTAAACTCAACGTGTATCACCCTAGGAATTTGGAGAAGGAGTTAAACTCATGAGACAACTCAAAACAACGCCGAGAGAGGGTCAGCAATTCTTGTCTGAAGGAACGAGTGGGGTGAGAGAGTGACAGTCTTGGAGTCATTGTTGAAAGTTCATACTTCCCCCTTATTTAGGTCCTTCCACTGCTCACAAACGGTATCCTGAGAGACCGACGAGTATTCCATATAAGTGGTGCCCGGTGGTTTGATGATTATAATAAACAGCGTAAGTATCAGGATCGTTTCGGTGCTCCTCCAAGGCTGCGGCTCACACTATATTCACATAACAGTGGATTTCGAAGTAAAGGTTACTAAAGCATGGCCTACCCTCAGTCCGCAACAGGTATTATATCAGGCAAAAAGAGGGTTACGCCAGAAAGGCTGGGATGAAGTACGGCCTGCCATATCAACCACTATACGGTTCAGTTTGACCTGCTTTACCCGTCGTCCAAGCTTATGCTGATTCGTGTACAGAGCATGGGTTATGCTAGGACTCCTTGATTCGCTGGTGGGGAGAGCGCATCATGTTGCATTGGAGCATTTCAGGAAAGTTATTGAAGTGCTCGAATTGGGCCGTGTCTACTGGAAAACCGTTCCTAAGGAGCAAAGGGGCTCGATATTTGATGACGCGTTCATTCGCGGCATTCATGTACAGTATCTCGAAACTTACATGCAGGCGAGTTACGTCTCTTAATTTTGTTACTCGGCTGGCATCTTGATTTGGATTGGGTTGATAACTTGCTTTATTCTTCGCGGCAGGCATACAGCAAAGATCCGGGATTGAATTCAAAGTTTCAGTTGGCGTTACTCTTTCAAGAGGCAGACGACTTGATCAAGGAGACACGTGCAGACCATTACTTGCCAGAGATGCCATATGACCCCGGATTTTTATCATCTTTCTATATCTATCCGATAGGGGCAGGCCTTGCGTAAGATCTTGTTTCCGTTCTTTTTCGACGAGTGATGGAGCTGATGGCATCGGACAATCGCAGTGCTAAAGGGTTTTATCACGCTCAGATGGCTGAGTACGTGACCACTCGTGAAGAGATATTAGATCACAGCCATAAAGCTGCTCAATTCTATCTCGAGTCTGCGAACACATACCCACAAGACGATGAGAACCATGCCTGTGAGCACTCTCAGGAACTTCTTCCACGACCGGAGCAACGCACTAACTCCATTCTCCATTTCCGCAGGGTACCTCCGCTGTGCCGTGGAGTACATGTGGAAGTGCGGGACGGAACTACGGGTTACACTGGTCGTATTGAAGCGCATGCGAGAAGCAATACCAAAGATGAAGGAAATTTGGGGATTCGTTGAAACTGGGAAGATGGAGGAGCTGCAGATGTTTGTGGATGCGGAGGAAATGCTTTTAAAAGAGGTTGACAGAGGAAAGGTAACCTTGGGCGACTTGGCTGCCCCTGTGTGGGCCATTGACAAGGTACGATCATGATCAAGGTATTTCCAACGGAGTCTAAACTTGAACCTTTAGCGTCATCAAACAATGACTCCAGTTGAGCTCTAGTGAATAACTTGATTCACTCAGCGCTATCCAAAAAGATACGAATGACCTAAAACTTTAGATGAAATAGCACCATGCAGACGACACCACGCCACCTGCAGGGTTCTTTGTCCTGGATCGATATGTATGCAAGTGATCTTGGCTACGTCAGTACCTTTATCATCGGGATGAAAGAAGCCTGATCAGACCAGTCCACATCGCGTGCCTATAATTGAAAGTCGACTACGGCCGTCTCCGGCAACTGCAGAGATAGAACCCAGCCACGATAGCAAACTAAAGAAGTTTGTTTCGTCGAGAACGTACTTGAACGGTGGTGTTTGTCGTCCTCTGGGATACAAAAGGATAATGACATACAGGCTCGACTTTATCCGACTGACGAGAACCGGTCGCACGAACGCACAAAACCACAGCAATGCTGGTGACATAGAGACTTTGCGACATGTGGACTATGATATGAGGTTTAAAATATGTTCCAGATCAGATTCAGAAGCAACCGCAGCGGTCACGGATTTTCCCACTGAAACGCTCAATGGATACGAGCGCAGTGCATCGATGGACACGAATGCGTTTTCAATGATCACGCATTAGTGAACGTGGCCATGAGATGCTGCTAACCCTTGACCTTCAGGCCTTTCCATTCGGGTTAAGCTCATGATTAGGTTCTAGAAAGATATCGATATCCTCCATCCTGCCTATATGATCATGTCGGGGACAGAAAAACGAACTCAAAAGGAGAAGGTGTTTACGCCCTACGCATCTGGTTCTAATTGGGACTCCGAGGGATTCCTAGAAGGGCAGTTCTAGAACTGGAATGGGCGCAGAGCCAGCCCCTTTGGAGTGTGAATTGGAAGGACAACCCTTACAGTCACATATCAGCAGGAAAATAGTGGTCGAAATACTTTTGTTAGTGGCGCTAGTGTAAAAAGTGTAAATACGAAAATATTGAGCTGAGCAGAAAAGGAAGATACCAGATACCAACTTGGCAGAGAGGAATTTTAAATTTACAGAATATACATCGAAATACGTAATTTTATGATAAATATTAAATATCGCGGGGTATGTAAATCAACAATGTGGGGTAAACTGGCGTAAACGCCCATCAAGCTTTCTACTGTCAATGGTATGGCAGCATCTTGCAATTGCATGCCCAAATGTCCTATTTTGCAGATAAGGCTTACTGTACACTCGAAACTAGCAGATACCAAGTGGTTTTTGAACTTAATGCAGATGTTGTACCCAGGCTCGAAAACTTAGCCAAGCCACAGATATGTCTCATTAGCTGAACATAGGGGAGAGGCACACCACCGATCTACAGATATTCTCAGGTTATCGGAATAAGCTGCAAAGCTTGATGGCAGTACGTCCTTGATGAGGTACAATTCTACATACTTCCCATCCATTTTACCCGCGAATAGTCACAGAACCTCCAAGCAAAGAATTCGAAGGTTTCCACCATGAAATCCGCAATGATAACTGGAATCTGCGTTGAGTTCAGATTTACGATCTCGGAGCAGCAATATTGCCACGTGATGTGACATAACGGGACTTGCCAGGACATGATATAAAGGGTCGCCTGACTGATGTCAAACATCTCTTTCTTTCATCCCCCCTCCGTTGCACTCTCATTTCAGTCCAAAATCATGGAATCAAGCACAACAGTCAAAACAGAAGATGCCGTCAAGCATTCCGAGCCCATTCCAATCGGTTCTCACCATGCCCGTTATCGTTCCGCTTCGATGTCTTCTGCTTCATCAGGCTCTCCTGGTTCTCCACCACAGCTTCAGACACCACTGAATGTCAACCCCCCTCGAATCCCCACAGCCTCTCCTTCTAGCTCTCCCATCCTTTCTTACTTTATGACTCAATCGCCAAACAAAGGTTCTGCAACTTTTCCGTTCAAACGAGGCTTTGCAGCCTCTCCGGTCTTCGAGGGTGAGTTGCTTTGTGAAATTATTTGTGCGCAATGCACTAATATATGTGTACTTTAGAGGAGGTTCAGGACGAATTCCCTATTACTTCCCATGCTCGCCGTGCCAGTACTGCTGGTCGCTTCATTCCGCAGTCTGCCCCTGATGCCCAACAAGATCGTGGTGCAGGGTTATTGAGAAGACTTTCTCTTGGAGGCGCATTTAACAAGGTCAGTCTCACACCTTGTCCTACCTTCGATTATGCTCTGACTACCTCTATCCTTAGTCTTTAAATGGCACTACTGAGGTCACACGCCCTCAATCTCCACCTCGTCCCTCCACTCCACCCAACACTGCCGTCACACCTACTGGCAATGGCAGCAGACTACCTACAACACCATCTCGTACCAAAGGACGTCGTTCAGCTACCCTCAGCGTTGGTACTGGCCCGCGCAGAGCGCCTTCCCCTATGGGTGAAAGGATTCTGAAAGGGCATTTCGATGGCTTCAACTAGGAAGCCTTATAGATCTATCTTAAAGCGATCAATATTCTTTTCGCGTCTCAGCTGTTCACGCCCACTATACCCGCATTCGTGTGTGGCAGTATGCATCAGCATCTTTATTGCGCTTAGGCCCCAGAAAAGAAAACGAATTTAAAAAAAAAACCTTGCCATCTTGCATTCTCCAAAAGAAGCAGATCCCCGTTCTTCGATGGCACACTTGCGCATATCTCCGCTAATGTTGTTGGTCCCCCCCTTCATTGTATAACCAAGAAGCTCAGCGATTGTTTTGGCACCATCGACGTTATCTAGCCTTTCACGCGAGCACGGTTCGTATACAGAATTCAATAACTCCTTCGATGGAACATCAATCACCGTCGCGGACATAAAATTATCGCATTCGGGTTAATCGTTCCCCGAATACGGTACAAGCAATACATTATGTGTGTCGTGTAATGGTTGAACGTTGAACAATTGTGTGGTATGTCGAGGGTATCGCACCATATGCCACTCTGTATTTTCGTTTTCAATCTTGTTGCCCTTTTGCCTCCGCATTCGTTGTACTACTGGCTCACCGGTTTTGTAATTTCATATTTCTGGGGTATTGTGTTGTAGGATAGGGAAGAAATATATATCCATTGTATGCTACGTGTGTACCGTCTGGAATTGTACCCCATCGTACGCGATAAGATGCAGAGAGTGAGTGTATGAAGTAGCCGTTGTATGCGCTGGTTGATCATGATAGAATGTGGGGAGCGTTCCGCCTGGTCGTGACTCTCCTCGCCAACAGAATGCCTCTGCTGTATTCATTGATCAAAATCCAGCTAGGCCTGGGGTGTGAAATACCAGAGTCGAAGTACAATGTACTGTTCTGGCATCCTTTCAGCGAAAGAGAACAATGACCGAAGTATTCAATGCTCAGAGCATCAATAACTTGGCAGTAAGATATTATTAGCCATCCAGCAAATATAAGGATTGCTATCCTGTCTGAAACGTGTACGGAGCCTTCAACAAACAGTACGTAGTAAAAGTTAACCAACGTTACCTTAATGGCCATCATACCATGGGTGAACATGATCGGGTCACCCTCTGCGACTTGCATTCACAGTACCAGCAATGGGCATTGGTCTCTTCGAGAAAACGATTTTTTTCTTTACCACTGCAACAACGTCCCATCCAGCGGGTTCTTTTTGAGATTCATCACTTGACACCTGTGGTTCTCCGTCCTGATCATAATCATGACTTTGGATATGAGAACTAGGCTGATCGGAGTTTCCATTGCGATCCTTTCGATGAAGGACACCTAGTGGTTTGACAAGGTTGACGACTTTCCCTTCCAGAAGGTGATGCCCAATCACAAGAGTGGGTTTATTCTAATGCATTGGGCGAAACAGGCGGTAAGGGCTAATTTGTTAAACCTTGTTGCAGTTGCGACGTGAAATGAGGTTACTCACCGAGTCGTCCATCTGCAGCTTTCCCACTAGGCGACCATCTCTCTCATTAATTCCTGTGCCCTCTACATCAAGGGAGCCTTGTAATTCGATCAGGAAGAGTTCATCGTGGCCGAGCTTTGCTAGTTGAGGCGGGAGTTTTGGAGAGTCAGAGGTGTCAGAAGGAGAAGGGATCGTTATTGGAATTATCATGTCAAAGTGTTTTGGGGGTATATCTGGAAATGTGCAGAAAATACGGCAATAAAAAGGAGTTTGACACTATCAGTAATTTGGTGAACGCGAATTTCAAGAAAGTGTTTGTCAAGAAGCACATAAATGTGACATACCGCAAAGGTTGTGACGAACCGTGTAGCGTGACTCGCAACAGGGGCTTGCTAAACTTAGGGCTACTTAACTTCCTCCAAACGGTTCACCTAGACGCCTCGACTGACGTTCACAGGGTGATAGCAAGACGAAAAACAATTACAGAAAAATACAGGATCTCATTGATCAGCATGACCCAAAGTCGAAACAAATACTAATACCGTCTGGCTTCTGCAAGCCTATCCACTTGTCCTTTTTCTTTCGATATCTGCCGTGAGTTGCAGGTCTGATTGGGTAACATGTAGTTAAAAAATATACCATGATTTAATATGTACACTCGAATACTTCGACACTATAAGGAATACATATTATATAATAGCATATAGCATCGATTCAGCGATCATCTAGGCTGGAAAATCTCCATACTCCCAGCTATAGCAATCCTATACCACGCAATCAATGCCGATGATCCTGTAATGACATTTAGAGACTTACTACACAATCTGTTTCGGGTTCCGCTATTGGAACCTCTCTTCCAACCTCCTGGCTTGGAAGCCAAGGTTTAGAAAGTAAGTTATCGATTACGCTCACGATACCGTGTGTACGAATATCTACGGACCATGTCAGATTAGACACAGTGTCATATACAATAGATTTTCCCAGATGACACCTGAACAGGACCTTTAGTTTAAATAGAGTGCACATTATAATCACGAACCGAGTTTCCATCGCATAGCCACTCAAAGCACATGATGAGAGTATACCGTTGCAGGTACCCATTGCGATCGGATCCGCGGTGTGATATACATGAGTAACATGATGTGTCGAGGGCTAAAAAAGCAAAGATAAATTTTCAATACAGGCCATGAAGAAATTGCACAAGAAAACTACCGGCGAGGGCAAATGTAGGAGCTGTGATGCCCGCTTTTCTCCTGGTGACTCGAAAGCCACGACGGGGGTTCCAAACGTGACCCCGATCAGAGAAGCAAGAGCACCTCCTAATGAGTGACCTATTATCCAAATGTTGGATTCAGGATACATGTACGTGAGATTGTTATACAGATTCTATATAAAGAACAAATACCAGCTACACATTAGAAAGTCTCACTGACACAGATATGAAGATACGTACCGTTCCAATGGGATAAAACAGGCTATCTTCTATCAACGCGGCTTCTAAGCAGTCCTGGTTACATTTCCATCCTCCACGATAGCATCCACAGACTGTTGTCCATGTCCAATCTATGTGTGCACAACAACAACTGAACAAGAGGTTATCATTTATTTTGTCTTTCTTTGCAGTAGGTCCCCCGCTACCGAACAGTCCAGCGGATGTACCCTTGATGGACAAAACCACTGTAGAATTATCAGGGGTTGCGAAGACATAACCACGAAAGCCATGGGTGTCCGGCTCCCATCCGAACTTGTAGTCCTGTGGATATTGATCCGGGCATCGTCAACAGACAGCTAGGCGAGGGATATAGACATATGTTTGAACTCACGTGTGTCCAATTTCCGCTCAGCTTGTACCAAGCACTATCTTCGGGTGTAACATATGCATTGTTTGTCATTTTGGCAAGCTCTAACAACGTTTTTCTGCTTTCAACGTTGGGACCAAGGACCTCCTCTTCGGCCCATAGCAAGTCGGCGGATGGGACGTGCCGTATCGAGCGTATCCTGGCACGAGAATGCGCATCGAATGATGGTGGTTTATAGGACGTTATACGCTTGGTTTCAACCATAAAAGACTGACGGGCATCATCGAAAGTACTGGCGGGACTTTGAGGAATATCAGAAAACAAAACGTCGCCCAAGGAAGATATGGCATGCTGGTGCCTGAGTTCGAGAGATAATTCTGACGTAGGAGAGTGCACAGATGAAGTTTGGGTGTCCTTGTCAAGGAATAAGTCCAGCAGCGGGACGAGCAAAGTCGTCAGAGTAAATGGTAGCATGGGGCATACTAGTCCTTGGGCTAGGATCTCAGACAAGAAAGAGGGGAGAACGGCTGCTGAACATTAATAAGCAGGCGCAAAATGCCGTCATCCGTTGGTGACTACAGACTTATTGGCGCGGTACTAAGACATCGCACTGGTCTTACAGAAACATGTCTCTAACGTTTTGGAAACCGGGGACAGCAGGTCCAGGCAGCACTCTAGATAGAGCAACAGAGAGCGAGGGTAATGTCGTTCAATCTGCACCAAACCATTCCGCGTACTCCATACAGGCTCAGCGAGAACGTTTGCCTATCGCCAAACACAGTGAGTGTCACCTTGGTGCAGTGCGAAAGATGGTGCTCATTCAGCCATCTGAAGGAGAAAAACTTATGTATTGCGTGGAAATGTATGGTGTGACCATTGTTGTAGGACAAACTGGATGTGGTAAAACAACTCGTAAGTAATATGTACCCTCATTTCACCGTCTAATATCTTATCGTTAAAAACAGAACTACCGCAGTATCTCTTTGAGTGTGGTTGGGCTGCAGATGGACATGTCATCGCTTGTACACAACCTCGTCGCGTCGCAGCCACCTCTGTTGCTGGTCGCGTCGCCTCTGAAATAGGGTGTTCGTTGGGGGAAGAGGTTAGTAATATCCTTCGCCTACATTTGAACCCACCCAATATTATCTAGGTTGGTTACACAATACGTTTTGAAGATGTTAGTGATAAGGAGCGGACCCGAATACGATATATGACAGATGGCATGTTATTCCGGGAAACTCTCCTCGACCCTCTTCTCAGCCGCTACAGTGTCATCATGGTAAGTGAGTAGATTTAACTGAATCCATGTTTTCCTTCAAATATTGAACTTCGGTAGATTGACGAGGCTCACGAGCGCAGTCTATATACCGACTTACTATTGGGTGTACTCAAGAAGCACGTTAATCTACTTTGCAGCGCGTTTGACCATGCTAATCATTCTTGATGTGTTCAGGATTCGTCGAAAACGTCCTTCCCTTCGTCTAATAGTCTCATCTGCAACTTTGGATGCAACTTCCTTTCTGGAATACTTTACCTCCGGCACATCTCCGGAAGAAGCTACTGTAGTAAGCCTCGAAGGTCGTATGTATCCCGTGGAAGTGGCTTATCTTCAAGAGCCCACGCCGGACTACGTGAGAAAAGCGGCTGAGGTAGCTTGGAACATCAACCTGGAGGTCTGTTTTTATGCCCTTCGATTAGACCCTATATTTACTCCTTCGTAGCATGGACGTGGCGATATCTTGATTTTTCTTACAGGTCGCGAAGAGATCGATAGATGCCTAGAAGAGCTGGCCGAGCTACTCCCTACGTATGTTGTGGAACACTTTTTATGTTTCTTACTCATGTTGAAATACAAGGCTTCCCCGAGGCGCATCACGATTAACACTGTTGGCTCTCCATGCTGGCTTGACGACAGAAGAGCAGCTACGAGTATTCGAACCAGCAGAACAAGGTTTTCGTAAAGTCATTGTCGCCACTAATATAGCTGAAGTTCGTGCATTTTGCGTCTCCTAAATTTACTTTTACGATAGGTCCCTTTAGGCTAGCGTCACTATCGATGGAGTCAAGTTTGTCATTGATTCTGGTTTTGTCAAGGTGAGTATTAGCATTGACACTTTGAGGTCCAGTATTTATCCAATTTCTAGATTCGTACCTACAATCCCACCACATTCTTGGCGTCTCTCTCTACTGTACCTGTCTCGTTGGCTTCTGCGACGCAACGAGCAGGTCGTGCAGGGAGGACATCATCTGGTATATGTTATCGCCTCTACCCCGCTTCCACCTTTGCTTCACTATCTCGAACGATCCCTCCCGAAATTACACGTACAGACATGACCACTCCCATTTTACAATTGAAATCCTTAGGTATCGATGACTTGATGAAGTTTGAGTGGGTATCCGCACCTCCTGCTGAAAGTGTCCTTCGAGCGCTTGAGGGTCTCGTCTCTGCAGGAATGATAAGTGATAATGGTCGTCTCACTGTAGTTGGCGAACAAGTAGCGGAGTGTCCTGTAGAAGTTGGAGTCGCTAGGATGGTAAATACTTCGAGTAGACATCATCCGACTTTTCTAAATCTGTTTTCCAGTTGTTTAGCTCAAAGGAGTTCAAGTGTGGAGAAGAGATACTGACTATAGCTGCCATGACATCAGTACAGGTGAGCTATTCTGTTATTTTGGGAGTATTTTTGTATCGATAGGCCAATTACAGGACATCTTCGTCATACCTGACGGAGGGGCTCAAGGCGCCATCGCCGAACTAGAACGACGCAAATTCACTGCAGAAGAAGGAGTGCGTCTCTACCCCCAAAGAATATTAGGATATATTGCTCACTTCTTGACAGGACCATCTGACACTCCTGAATGGTATCTACGCGCCAATACCAATATTGACATACTACTGATATAGTATACATTTAATCTTAGCATACAATGCCTTCAAGAGGTATGGTCAATCATCATCGTGGTGTAAATCCCATGCTCTTTCCTTCCGTGCCATGTCGAGGGCTGTTTCAATCCGTTCACAATTGAAAAAGTATATGGTTCGCTTTGGTTTGCCTATCGAGAGTTGCGAGGGAGATGCCAAGAGACTACGACAGTGTCTTGTCAGCGGCTACTGGCGCAACGGAGCTCGCTGGGTCGCAGATGGAACTTATCGTTCTGTCAAGGGAAACATGGTGAGATATTAATATTATTCGTAGATTTTTTTGTGACTCATTTGACATATTTCTTCAAAAAGATTTTGCATGTCCATCCCACTTCAGTCTTGTTCACACGAAAGGCGAGGACAGGATGGGTGATCTTCCACGAGCTGGAAGAAACTAAAAAGACACAGTCAGTTGCTTCTAATCCTCTCGCAAACCTTCCTTGTTAATCGATCAGTACAGGATCCGTATATTAACTGAAATTGAGCCTGACTGGTATGTTTTCAAATACTCTATTGCTAACGACGATTTTCATTCATTCCGGATACAATTACAATGTAGGTTACTTGATCATGGACACAAATATCAGAGCAGGCACAACGGCGCTACACGATGATCTCGATTGTGTATGTCCATGTGGTTATATCGTTAACTTAATATACGAGAATAGTCCACCCATCCAGGACTAATCCACGGTAGACGAAGGGGTCTTAGGTCATTCAGTGGTGCGATTCGATTAGAGCATAGGACACAATGTACAAAACCAGCAGTAGCTGTAAGTTGTAGATAGGCCTTTCAGTATTCAAAATAGTGCTCCTATTTGGAACCCGAAGACACCGTGGCTGAAACGTGCAGTGTACTATAGCCCATGAAGGGTGTGTGGAGAAACAACTCAAAACTTCATGTAAGAATAGGGTCCACACTACGAGAATAGATTGTGGAATATATGATATGACTCATCTACAAACCGAAAGTAAGATGTTGGTGAGATACATGAAAATGCAGAGGACAAGAAAATAGTTCTAAAGTGTGCTGTGATCTAAAACACGGATCCATCCGCTCAAACAGTCAAAAGGCTACTCAGTATACCCATAGAAGCATTAGAGAAAAAATTACTGTAGGCCACAAAACCCGGTATTTATACATAACGGTCAATTGGAAGAAAGGGAAAGCGCTTCCATAGCCAAGCCTAGAGGGTCAGTCGCGGCAGCCGTTGCTTGTGCAGCAGCGATCTCTGCGGTTGCAGCACGACCAAAGAAGACCTCAGGACTAGTACATGCTGAGACTGCACGGCGCATATGCGTCGTCAAGAACGACAAGCCCACTTGGTATGCAGCTGTTATAAAGCAAGTGAGTGATAGTAAAGAACATAATTTTTGAGAAGGCTTACAGTTCATCCAACCAAAGCCCTCTCGGGGGACCATTTTGAAGTCGATACCTTGATTACCATATTCCGCATCTACCAGATGGGAAAGCTTGACCGCATCAAACTAAAAAATTATGTGAGTATATAGATTCAGTTATAATGTGTAAATATTTTACCTTCTCTGGGACCACACCATTGAAATCTACGAAGGCAGTAGTCATCCTATCGAGAAACATCAATCAGAGGTCCAAAATGCGTCGAGATAAGGTGACGTACATGTACAAAAACCTATAGGACAACCTTTGTGCCTCTTCTAAGTAGCCGTATCGTTCCAGACCGACCCATGTCATGATCTGATGAGGAGGCCTAAATATATTCAAAGATTAGATTGCCATGCACATGCACACATCTATGTAAACCCACCATGCATACCTGTGAAAACATTCAGTATGTATGCTGTGTATTGGTGAAAGAGAACGTACGGATAATCCCATTGCCGATTTGGGCGGTCTAAGGATATTTTTCCACGAGACTCTTCGGTACCTGACACTAATCCACCGAGGACTTCAAACTTCTTCAAAGATTGAGAGCTAAGAACCTATCAGCCATAAACGTAAGACCATAAAAAATCTATCACGTACACAAGTCTCCAGCCTTGCTCTTCACTGGCACACCCAGCCCACAGCGCCCAGAAAGCAGTCACGCTCTCATAAAGACTCTGCTTCTCTTGAACGGTGTCATAGTCAAAGTAGAGGCTCTTGCTTTCATTCCACAAGTATTTATCGATCATTGCCTTACGGTGTTCAGCTCTCTCGAACCACTCATCGCTTGTCTGGGCTCTGCCGGTCGAACGCTCTCGATGGGAGTTAGCGTAAGTCTCAACGGATGGGGGGAAAGGAGAAAGCGGGAAGTCTTCCTCCAGATATAATTCGTCGTCGAAAACCTCACGGATAGCAGTCCCTATGTCGACTTCATACTTGTATAGCAGTGCCTGCAAATCAATCGTCCCAAGGTTCGCGCAGCGTTTCTCGAACCGATAGGTCGTATCATGGCCGGATTCTCGTACAGAACGATCGTGCAAGAAGTACTCGTCAAGCTTGGGCTCCTTGAGAACGCCGTTATTATACTTTTCACTAAACTCAAGCACGGAAAGACCGTGCTTGTTAGCATATGGCTCGAGAATGTGCGTGAAGTGCGTGGCTTCAGTTTCCGGTGGAATGCCAATACCATCAGGACGATAACGAGACAACCCTGTCTTGGGATCTATGCGGGGTTCTGCGACCCAAATAGTGTGATACTCCTTGATGGCAGCTTGTATGGCGCGCTTGAGCCATTGTCGGTTGGACTCCATATCAGATCTGTCTAACTGATTGTAGATCTGCAGTGCCATATCCGTTAAGAACGGAGGTTGTGTCCTACACAGGTAGTAGCTCCTGCTTCCGTTCAAGATCTTGCCGTAATGTTTGATCTCAAATATGAAATGCTCAACCATGCCTTTAGCCATTGCCACCTGGCCATCAACCAAAAGTCCCAAACTGATGAAGTAGGAGTCCCAGTTATAGAGCTAAGGGAAAATAATATATAAGCGCTCCGGGATGGTACTTTGAAAAAGTTGTTAACAAACCTCATTGAACCGAGCACCAGGAACAATGAAGGGTATGCCTTTCAATGTGCGGCCACCTTTACCGTCATCGACCTCGTTCATGGCTAATGCCAGAAGACCGGGCTTCGAGTTCAGACTCCTGACAAAGTGGGGATCGTCATTCTTCTCTGGGAGAACCTGGACATCCAGGTTCATATGTGGCTTGTCCCTGGCTACCTTCCTGTAATACTCGGCCATGGCCGGCTCACCATAAGGAACATAGATACGGGGCTGGACACGACCTGTACGATTCTTTGGATCCGCGGTGATAATTTCCAACCCGTCTCCATCGATGCGTCGAGTCAGCGAGTGCCAAAAGGAGTTCTTAATCATCCTGGAGAGGCGGTCCACAGGATTCTCAGTCAGGCGGGCTTCATCAAGAACGATGCGCTTCCGGTTGTGGTCTCGAGCTAGGGCGAGCTCTTGAAGAAGATTGGATAGCATATATGTCCCCTGGTAAAACAGTGATGTTAGAGGGCACGATCTTATCCCGATTCGAAAGACAGAAACTAACTCGAATATCGAATGTCTTGAAGCCGTTGCTGGTCGCTGTCCCAAGAGCCATCATCTTTGGGCCAGCATCAGTAATACTGATCTGGAAGTCCCCATCAGTGTCTTCCTGCTCAAGGACAACACGAATGGTCTCCTCCACGTCGATTAAAAAGCGCCTTGGGCCAGTGACGCTCTTCTCATCATGGGACATCCTCCTTGGTCTCAAATGAGAGTCTTCTTCAAATAGTGGAGGACGCTTGGGGTTGTATCCATGAATATGAGACTAAAGTTAAGAGGTAGAGAAAGAATTGTTTTAGTAACTTGGCAATACCAAAGTAATGACGACCGCACATGACTATATGTCCTTGAACGAGTGAATGACTCGCCGCCGCCGTAGTACGTGGCTGCATCGACGTTGACGGGTCGAAGGTCATGCTCGTCGACGAATGCGACGTTCGTTGGGTGGTTGAGAGCGGGAGCCATGGTGGTGGTGGTGGTGGTCAAGAACAAAGAACGTTCCAAAGACGGTTGTTGGAATGTGGGGTAAAGAGACAGTGCAAGTCTGTTCGGAGTACAGCAATTAGCCCAAATTTATGCTAGCGAAGTATTTCGGCCCGAAATTAATTCCACCCAAATTTCTGGTGGAAATTACTGCTTTTGTATCGCACGCCCTCAGGTTTGCACTCGTCGTCGACAGCAACAGGCGCTTGCAGACGCGGGAATACCAGCACCATGAGTCAATTGTGAGTGATTTTGTTCCCACTCTGACGTTCGACGTTTTCAATGTCTACAGTCTTTTCATATGGTCCTTACGGATACACAGTTTCAGACGTTCGTAACTTGATCACTCACCTTATTTCTCGTCCTGAGGGCTTTGGAGTCTTCGATATGCTTGCTTGAAGAACACTTTTGCAATGGACACCAGTAACTGCCAATACAGGCAAGTGCAGAGAAAAACAAGGCTACTTATAATTTCCCCTCCCAGGTTGCGCCCTTATACCCAGGACCACGCGGCAAACGAGGGGTTGTACCTGTCAGTGCTTCCCACATCCTTTCTCGTACACGCCTGCTAAGTAACTCATTAAACACTCCGTGCGTCTATCATGCTCCTCCGCAGAAGTTCTAGAATTACTAATGATTCACTGACGTAGTACGTATTGAGGGTGTTGGCACGGATTACCTGGCTATGGCCCTCTTTTTTGCGAGTGGAGCGCTGTACTCGCCTTGCTCGCGGAAATATCTTTCCCAGTGGTGTTTTCGTTTTCACAAAACCGGACAGACCAACACAGCATGAACACTCACAAATCAGTGTACTCGTACTCAGGCCCGGGTTCATTCAGGTCCCCGACCCTGCTTCTCAGTACCTACTGAGTGCGGCTCCTCCTGCTCTCATATTAGCATAAGTATGCATGGAAGCACGGAAGATACAATGGACAGATAGGAGAAACGTTATTGCACAAATGGCAGTCCTGACGTCAGACGCCAATGTGCTTCTTCACTCAAAGAGATCTTATCTTACGGCGCCACGCCTTATCATTCATTATCGCCGCTCTCTTCGTCGGTTCAGCAGGTTGTGGTGCGCAATTCGGACAACTTGGTTCTGATATAGGAAATTTAACTGTACAAAAGCGCAATGCACATTTGTTCCCCATATAGGCACTTCTATAGATCTCATCCCTCTCTGATATCAACTGATGCGACCACAAGTAAAATTTGGGGGGAGAAACTCCATCTATCTTTAGTTCACCGTCTCTCAAGGACTCTCAAATAATTCTCGTCGCGCTTCAGCTTTTACGAAATCATCGCACTCAATCCGGCTTTTCTTCACGTCCACCAAATATAAGAAGACGGTACTGATGGTGCCTCTGTGTTGTGTGTGAAAATCAGACTGTGGACACTGATATTGAAAAAGCAAGAGGACGTACAGTCCAAATAGAAAGGCGAAGGGCATGTTGTTGTTATTGTCGGCGGCCGTTATAATTGCTGAAGATACCAAAGGCCCTATGAATGCAGATGTTTTACCTACCTGTTACATACACTCGCTTCAGTACGGTTGCTCGTTCACTGCTCGAGAACGTCATATGGAAGAGCTTACGACGGAGAAGAGAGCAAAGAAAAGGAACCTGCGCCGTTTATTTAGTCATACGGTAAAGATGGGTCGCCGCGTCACGGAAATTAGACGTACATTTGTGCAAGAGGCGAGACTTCACTGATCATGGTCTGGCTGTATGCATACCAGGGGCAAACCATTAAACCATAAAAGACCTGGTATAACCTGCAGGCAAGTTGGAGTGAAAACCCTGAAAGATTACGGAAGGAACGTTGCCAAACCATATTTCCCATACATGTTTGAATCCGAACTTATTGGTATGAACTCCAATAAGACCCCAGATCGTCAATATCTATGCAATCGCTGTGTGATAAGATATTGTACCAGGAACATGTAACAATATAACACTTACCAATATCCAGAACACATTGAAGGAAAGCATCTAGTATGCGTGATGGTGACTTTAAGCCTAAGGGGCCGTCAAAGGGAAAACGCAAACTTGCCGCTTTGGTAGAAATCTTCCATTTCTTCTGAACAATCCAAAACAAACTGATGTGTAAAGAGGTTTAGCTATACTCAAAATGCTGGAAGATAAACATACTAAATCCCCAAACCTTGCGCTACTATTCCAACAAGCAGAAGAAGAGTCAATTGCAGTGTAGAGTATGAAACAATACTAGAGGAACGCATTGGTTAGCATATACGGCCAACATAGTAACGCTGATAAATACCTATTTTGTAATGTCCCTATAACTGTGCTATTTCTTGTATCTTAGGGGATAAACTCAGAACCTCAGCCAATAATGTGCTCACACGGTGGTATTTAGTACGTCGCCCCTTGCAAATAGCATCAGGAATTTGTGGGAAACCTAAAAGTTTGACAAATACACGTACATGAGGAAATAAAAGATAAGATACAGAAATGTTTGTTTGAGTTTGAGACATTCGCGAAACGCAATATATGTTTGTTTGAATCCAATTGTCAAGAACGAAGTGCCTGGTGGCAGTGCTAGTCCGGGCCTGCGCTTTTCTAAGATAAACCACGGTATTGCACAGATCACTACAACCTGTCAGTAGTAGATCCAAAGCTGAGTCGAAAGGGTTACATACACCATACAGCGCCAGAAAATGCGATAAGGACACTGAATGTCTTAGTATTGTTTTCTACGCTGTCACCAGCCTTGAGGCCTTTGATAATTCCTACCATGACTGCGAGTACAAGTATTTCGCCAGCAGAGGAAACAGTGAAAGATATGTTCGACACGCGATTGCGAGCCAGGGATTCGTATGCAGCATGTTCCTCGATGCTGATATATACGAATAAGAGAAATGCAAAGCGCATAAAAGCATACACGCCGACCTCTTATTTCCTTCTGCAGCTTGCTCTGCGGATTTCTTTACTTCGGGAAGTTGTCGGGCGAGTCCAGGAAATGCTGCTGTCCAGAAAGTTAAAGCACCCTATGTCAAGATGTTTGTTTTTATTAAAAAAGAGAAGGTAGAAAAAGCAGAGGTAAATTTACTTGGTAAGTGATCACTGGTTGGTGACGCAAAATATGCAAGGACAAGGAGGGTGAGTCAGTAGTCGGAGGGCCTCATTGAGAGAACTTACGGCCCAGAATGTACAGGGCCACACCCGCCTGCCATTGGGAAGGGTCCTCAACGCCTAGCCAGGCAAAAGAAATAGCGATAGCAACCAGAGTGAAAGCAATGGTAATATTGGGTCTAAACGTAAACATAAGCTGGCGAATATTGATACAGCTAAAGTGCACTCTTAACCTCCACCGACCATAATCTGCCCAGGCTCCGATAGTTAATAACAAAACAGCCTGTATCGCAAAGCTGATTCCATTAGTTAGTAACACAATTGAGTTGACTGGTAGAATATCTATATCAGAGAGCATTCTATATTGGGGGACCAGGAAAGGCTGACTGTCTCGAATTTGGCCAAGATAAGGGAGTACACAGCCTGAGTCACTAGTGCAAGCGGAGGTCCAAGCAGGTTGGGTGGGGTCATAGCCAGCCAAGAAAAGTAAATTTTGGAACTGAGACGGTCCAAAATTGAAACCAGATAAGCCATTATTCCCCTGTTTACAGATTTATGAGTGGTCTTTATAACGATAAAGGATTATAAAAACATACCACATAATAGAGATAAAAGGACCACAGCTCAAGTCGAGTTGTAATATATGACTCGGAGTCTTGATCACTTATCTGGCTCAGAGGTTCGTCGGCGGTATCAAGTGCGTCCTTTTCAGCGCGTTCCTCGAGTGTTTCTCCAGACATGGTCGTCAAAAAGATCGAAAAAACCTATCAAGATAGGTCCATAAAAAGATCGGCAGGCGCTCGTTAGCTATGAGGCTTCCATAATAGTTTTTGATAGGGCATCATATGGGCAAGGCAAAAGCAAAGCCAACCCGGGCATGCCGCACAGTGCTCGCGGCGCGGGAAATATCGGACTTTGTGGAATTTGCTACACACTCGACCGTCAAGCTTACCTTTCCACATTATACAGAGCGGGGCCGGATGTATCGTGCCATACCTGTCTCCAGACAGGTTTCTTCAGCCGCTGGACGGGGATTCGTAAGGGTAAATCGCAGAGTACGTATTTCAGATGTTGTTTCTTAACGCGCCAGCGAACAATTTATCATTTGTATCCAATAGCGTTTGGCAAACACTGCACCTACCCCACCCCCAGCTACTGCACCCAAGAAAAAGAGCGTAGTACGGAGGATTCTCTTCTACACTGCTGCAGCTACAGGGACTTTCTACATCGGCAGTACTTTCGTCGCCTTTGAGAACCAAAGTTACCATGATGTCTTCACGGAAAACGTTCCGCTGGCCCAGGTACTAATGGAATATGCAGAAGCACATAATTGGGACACTCTTACTGTTGAAAATGTGGTTGTTTCTACTGTCGATGGTGTGAAACGCGTGTCCGGCGTCATTCAGAAGCAGTTGGGAATGGTTGGCTCGCAGGACCCGTCTGAGAAACCAGAAGAGTCATCCGCTGAGAAGTCGCTCGCTGCAAAGGAAAAATCACCTTCCGTGGCCAAAGAGTCAAAGGAACGAATCAAATCTGCAGCCGCAACCCTAAAGACGACGGTTCAGAAAAACGAAGACAAAGCTCTCGCGGGTGGTGCGAAAGCGGCTGCTATTGCTAGACACCAGGCTGCACAGTTTGCTAACGAATTAGAGGATCTCATACGGCAAGCGGAAGCTGCCCTGGCTGACAAGCCCATCGATTCCCCACCCGAAGCTACTACATCTCCTGCTCAGCCTGCTGGTTCTCCTCCAGACATAGCCCCTCTTCGTGCCGACGACGTAGAGGTAGTCGCGCAGGAAGCTTCTTCCGACAAGAAAATATACGCTGCTGCTCTCCCCATTGGCTTCGAGCCTCCACCCGGTTTCTCTCGTCCCAGTCCGCCGAAGCCTAAATCTGCACCTGCTGTCGCAATCACTACTCACGAACCTCTTCCACTTGTAGCCCCCGCTATCTCCGAAGTCAATGTTTCGGAACCAGTGATCACCCAACTGGCTTCCACCATCGATGACCTCGCCTCTCATCTGAACTCAAACCCTTCAGCGGCGGAGAAGGCAAAAGGTGTACTGGAAAAGGCCAAGTCGGACCTTACAGGACTGGCTAGTCGTATGGAGCAGTTAAAGGAGGATGAGCGTATCCAGCTCGAGCAGAAATTAGATGAACAAGCAAGAGAATATTCTCTTAAACTTTTAGAGCTGGAAATGGAGGCACAGGATAAGTTGGACAACCAGGAAGATGGGTTCCGAAAGTTCTTTGATGAAGAACGTTCGAATATTATGCAAGCCTATCGGGAGAAGTTGGATCACGAGCTGAAAACCCAGACTGAGCTAATCAATGAGCGGTGAGTAACTGGTGTGTGCTAGAGGTTCCCTCATTTCTAATTGTTACGCGTAGCCTCAAGGAAGAGGTGATAGCTCAGGGTATTGAGATGCAACGAAGATGGATCCGTGAGATCAAGGTTCGCGTCGAGCAAGAGCGTGGCGGCAGACTAGCTAAACTCGATGAGTTGGCTGCCAATATCAAGCGTCTTGAACGCGTTGCTCTCGATAACTCCTCGTATCTTGATGAAAATATCAGGGTTCATGCTGTCTGGACAGCTCTACGTGCTTTGCAAACCAGTGTCGATTCACCCAACCGAAAACCTTTCCGGGAAGAACTGCGTGTATTACGACATATCGCAGCTGCGAAGGAGGACATTGTCATTACATGTGCTCTTGATTCCCTCGAGAAGAGTGATACCCCGGACGTTGGCGTGGAGCCTTTCGCTGATCTCGCGTCGTGGTTCGCGACTAGCGTTGCTCCCCGAGTTACTAGTGTAGCACTGGTACCTGATCAAAATGCTGGTCTTTTAGCTCATCTTGCTTCGCACCTTTTCGCCTCCTTCCGATTCGAAAGGCATGGTCTGGTAGCTGGCACAGATGCTCTCAGTGTCTTGGCAAGGGCAGAGTACTACATGAACGAGAAAGACTTGGATAGTGCTGCTCGGGAGCTTAATCAGCTCAAGGGAACGGCAAAGGTACTTCTGGCCGACTGGCTCGCAGCTGCACGCCGGAGACTGGAAGTACAGCAGGCACTCCAGGTCGGTGCCTCGTACTCCCCGAATAAGATTTTTGCTAACTTGTCTTCAGATCGTGCAATCCCAAGCGACTCTTGCTTCTCTACTTGTGATTTAAATTGGATACATGCGCAATACAATAGATTTCAAACACATAACCTCTATTATAATACAAGAGTAAGGTATCAAACCCCCGAAGCAAAACCGGCGAGACCTGTGCCTACATGAATCAGTATTTTACTTCTATCTTCAGGTAATATACAAAACGTCAACCCATTTCCTGAAACTAGCCTGCCGATGCCAACGCACACTCACATATCACTTGAGCTCTTCGAACGACAGTGTGGATATGATCCGCAGACGCTGCCCCAGCTGGTGCTTTCGTAACCTTGACCAGACCAGGGAAAATGGTGGCCCCAACACGGTCTGTCTCATTACGCTCGCTCCTCAGACATCTTTTTACTAGCTCGATCTGTCGAGCATATAGCGTACTACCAATTTCCGGCACAAACGAACGGTAGAATGCATCTACTGATCCTCCCGAGCTTGAGCTAGCACCGTGCAACATGCGTGAAAATTCGTATGCCGATTCCATAACGTTGAGTCCGGGAAAGGGTGTCACAGCTCCTGATTGTGAAAGGAGTTTCATCGTGGCTGGAAGTTGCTCCAGGAGTAAGCGTTTTGTCATTTGAGGGGAACATGATTCAACTGCTGCAGAGAACGTCTGACGGCGCCATACACAGGCGACAATCGGGTCTCCTGGGTTTATAAAGTTCAAGGGAAAGAAAATATCTCCTAGATATGAAAAGCTTACGAGAAAAGAGGTGCTCGTGAATCCTCGTTAACTGATCATTTGTCTCGGTGGAATTGGTCACGACAAAGCAGTTGATGACAGCATCGTGAATGGTCTCGGACATCGCATGTCGAAGCAGGTTTTGAACTTGCATTGCTGAGCCACCTGGAGGGACCTGATCATATGTGCCTGTTAAATCTGCGAAGATCGCTTGATAAATTTCGTTCAGATGTGCTGGAGGGGATCTAACAATGTCCGCTGCCCATCGGTTGATCAATCTTTCCAGCTGGGAGGCAGCATTCTGAATTTAAGATGTGTTTTAGGCTTTCTGAATGGTCCTGATAAAAAAAAATTCGTACGCACCTTGATAGAAAAATCATCCACCGAGTTTCCACCTTGTTTGGTGTATTTGTTATCATCAATACCACTTCCTTCCAGTAGAGCAATACGTTCCCTGAGGAGGGCAACTTGTTTTTCTTGCTCCTCTAGCTGATGCCTTTGCTGCTCGACTTTTTCGTGCGCTATCCTCTGAAATTTGATGAGGCGTTATATATATACCTGATGCATGGAATATTCTACTCACGAAATTGGTCAAAGCATACCGGTATTGCTCCCCGCTGACAGCGTCGACCTGCAGTTGGTGCTCAGGATAGAATGCCATTCAAATGGGGTTGCCGGTGGATACAAAGATGGCACGTCCAAATACAAGAGCACGTTTTATTGCACTGATTGACACCCTTGTTGTTCTTTTAGGTGAGATATTAACCAATAGCGGAGAAAGTGGATAAGGCGCTCACTTGTTAACCTATCGCGATAAAGGTATCGATCATGTTATAATTGTAGTTAGGCGCACATCCTGTGCGCATAGTGACGGTCATCCGGACCTGATCAATATGTTGACATGTTGACTTTTGGAAGACATCGAGCCCGGAGGATTAATCTTACTTTATCAAAGGCAAGGACACAAAAGAGAAACTAGTGATCACGAAGGCTGCCCACATATCAACCATGTCGGTCCTAGTGGTGATTCGGGAAAGTAGAAATTACAACTTGGATCATGTTGGTACAGCCGTGCGACAGTACTGCTAACGTTACTCTTACAAAAGTGATTTTAAATAAAAATCCTGTAAAAAGCACAAACGAGTATTTTCATGTGTGCAGTACATAGGTTTCTGAATTATCTGACACGTAATGATTCCATACCAAAGTCACCTCCAGTACTCCGATCGAGATCATTGAATGGATCCCTCATGCTGCCTGTCTTGGCCCGCCATACTCTCGTATAAAGTTCCTTGACTTTTTGCAGCTCCGCATCTAGGGCAGCTGTCTTACTTGCAAGAGAGATGAAAGTGGCATGCTGTGCTTGAAGAGTTGCCGAAATCGCTATAACGATGAAAGATGATCCCAAGCACTCTAACCAGGATTCATTGAGACTGACCTTGTGGCGTACTTTGTGTCTGAGATGCTGCTGAAGACAGCCTACGCTCAATTTGCTGAGAAATTTGAGATTAGTGAGCGCACAACAGGTATCACGCGTTCATGAGATGTACCTCGATGGTATTTTTATACCACTGTAAACGCTCTTTCATCTGTTCCGTGACTCGATTAAAGAATCTTCAATGCTTAGATCAGTTTTTCGTCAGATGATCAAATGCCACTAGGAGCTTACTCCAATGGGAAATTGGCGTGGCTCCTAAGGTATGCGCCATTTTGTTGTGGGTTCTTAAAGCCGTCCACGATGTGCGTAGCGACTATAGTGTCTTGTACTGTTTGCTCCGTCTTGTGCTTTAAGTCTCGGGTGAAGAGAGCATCAGACTGAATTGTCGAAGTTACATTCAAGAGTTCCTAAACGACCATATGAATTAGTGCCATACACCAGACACATCGTCGTGTTACTGCACCTTATGAATATCACGAATGAGATCCTGCCCTTTTACCGCTTCTTGTCCTAATTTGAGTCTTTTGAGTTCATTGCTTATCTGGACACGGCCCTGTATATGATTACTTGGCCAGATGAGTCGGTCATCAATAAACATAACAGTAAATAGCCTACTCAATGCCTTCAAATGTCTTCTTCACTTCATCCGGTAAATCGTTAAACTTGGTAGACTTCGAGAAGATTGGCGTTACTGGAGGTTGAACAGGCGAAATACTGTATTATCATCAGTAGTTGCCCAAAAGTGATAGATGATTAACCCTGACCCCATCCTAGGTAAAGTCAGACATATACAACTGAGAAATGCCCTTGAACATACGCTGAAGGTTGCCTTTGTTGTCCAAAAATGGAATTTCCAGCAGTAGATGATCCTCCAAAGGTAGAGTTAATTGCAGGTAGTGTCTGCTGAGCTTGCAAAGTATTCGATGGCGTACTTCCCCAGTTAGATGTCTGTTGTGATGGATTGGTATTGAACCCGCCAAACGTGTTCTGCTGCTGGCCAGTGTTCTGAGGTTGAGTTGGATTATTCGTGGTACTCCCAAAAAGCGAGCTTCCAAAGGTATTTTGTTGCGGTTGTTGTGTACCAGCTGCAGCAGGTTGCGCAAACAACCCCGTAGACGCAGGCTGCGCTTGAGTCTGATTGTTTTGCCCAAAACCACCGCCAAAGAGAGACGAGCCTTGGGTCGTTGGCTGACTTTGTGTTTGATTTGTAGTGCCAAATCCACCGAAACCCGTGGTTGTTGGTTGAGTGCCTCCAAAGAGCGACTGCGCGGGTTTTGCTGCGTTAGACTGACCAAATATCGAGTTACTGGCTGGTGCAGCACTCTTATTCATCCCAAAAGCTGAGGAACTAGATTACCGATGTGATGATCATCTCAAAGAAGAGGATGGATACGATTCGTGGACTTACCTGGTTGCGAAAGACATTATGTTGGACTACGACGCGACCTTGACTACGAGCGTCTTAAAACGCGTTCAGAAATATGAGAAAACTTGGGCGGTGAGCGTGGCCTGAGTCCAACAGTGTTGCAATGACTTTCAGGTAGCAAAGTCAGACATCGAGTCTATGAATTCGTCCCAGAACACGTGCACCCGCGCGCAAAAGCTGTGGCGCATTCTCGCCCTTTTCCTTTGTGTTTCCTTTACAAGCTTTTTGCACACATACTGTCCTCGAAATGGACCTCGTCTTATCGAACCAGCCTGAGTTCTATATCGGAAGCTAGGCTAGTGGGAACTTAGAGGATAGCGACTCAACGTTCTCCATGGGTGACCAAGATTCCGAACTTCCTGAGTATTCTGCTCCGCTCTCTGAGCCTGTCCAAGGGGGTGCACAGGGACCAGTGAACGGACGGTCGGAGCACACTTACTCGTTAGAAAACAGCAAAGGCCAGAAATGGCTTTTTCTCGTGGTTAAAAGCCGTTCGCGAGATTCTCTGTCCCTGCCCACCTACTATGCAGGCGATGTTATCTCTGGACGAACAGAGATCAATGTTATAAAGTCTGAGTCAATCAAGGCGGTGACCATCTCTGTGAGTAAAACGTGTACCTCCGTGATAAAGTGTTGTCTGATGTGAGAATAAAACATAATGTCAGGTTACAGCAGGAACTACATCAGTGGGACAGGAAGAACAACTTTTTCTGAAGATTGAGAATGAACTGTGGAATCCTAATATGATCCTTCCGGATGGCACGAAAGTGTCAAAGTTCAGCAAAGGGATTTACTCTTGGCCCTTTGAAGTCACTCTACCTACCGAGACAGAGGTGCAAGATGGCACAGCCAAGAAGAAGTTCCCACTGCCTCCTACTTTTTCAGAACGAGCTAGCCCTGCCTATATAGATTACAAGCTGTTTGTTACGATAAAGCGTGGAGCATTGAGAGTTAACCAGACGTATGATGTTTTAATTCTATTTAATTCGCTTATGAGATTTACATGGAAATATTCTTACAGTCTGTCAACAAGTTTCGGGTATAACATTATCACACGAGCAGACCCTCCTTCGTCTCTCCGACAATTAGCGTACAGAGAAGGTAGCCCGCTTATTGGGCCAAAAGGTATTTCTATTTTTATGGTTAGCACTGTTATCCTGTTCATTCAAGTTGACAAAAACATTGCAGGTGATCCAGAAGGTTGGAAGGTGCTTCCGCCTGTGTCAATCAAAGGCACATTCTTTGGTTCCAAGGATGCAGTGGTTGATTGCACTGTGCGTGTGAAGATCATATGCCTTCCTCCCACTGCATATTCAAGCTGACCCCCATTCTCTAGCTAGCTATCGCAACGCCAGTGAGTAACGAGCCTTCGTATCCAGACATTTCTGATCATATCCGATAGTTGACATATGCTCGAGCGTCGCCGTTGCCCCTTACAATAACTCTTACCAGTGAAGATAATCACGCGCTTGACCTTCTCTCATCCCCTTCATCTATCCAGCTTCTTTTGGTCAGATCTATGGCCACAGGTTCAGATGCGACAAGTGAGGACATCTCCAGACGGAGTAACAATTTTTTCCTTGAGAATGTCGCTCGAGCTGTTTTTTGGCCATCCAGCGAAGGGAGCAAAGAGGATGGCAGGAGGGTTCTTAGTGGTGAAGTAGACATCAAGAATATCTTCAAACCAAGCTTTATGTTTCCTAGGTTTACCGTCAGGGTATGCTTCTCACTACGTTGAAAACCACTCTGAAATTTAATTGATCCTGCCATCTTTCCAGTACACGCTGGATCTACTGCCGTTTAAAGCAACGGGCTTTGTACCTTCAGTCGTCACGACGGAGCCTTTGGTGAGCCAGAAGATCATTCTAACAACTCTTCAGGCGCCTGGCGTTGTGATGCGCTCTCATGCACCACCGGGATACGTGCAAGAACAAGGCGGAGACTACAACAAGTCAGTAGGATTATTGGAAAATGGAAATCAGCGTTTCTATCATCATCATGGTTCTGCACTTGGTTAAGCCAGTCGCTTTCGTATCAATTAAAGGGGACCGAAACTGTATAGGAGCTGTGATGACAACTTTCGATGTAATTCTAGGAGGTATAATGAGTATATGAATTATCTGCATTGTCAAGCTTCCTTTATATCAGCGTCAGTCTCATCATCGATCATGCTCATGAAAAGGAATGTTTCGAATGTATCGTCTCCCTTCCTCGTCAACGTGCCATTTGCTCCAATACCACCGATCAGATCCTGATCATTATCAGGAACATCCCAATTGAAAGATTCTGGCCTACGATGTGCCACAAATACGAACGTCTGTTCCCCTGATGGACCAAAACGCGTCCAACCGTTGTGGTTCGATTGTTTCTCCGATCCTTTTGGTCTGAAACCGACAGGCTCAAAGGAGAACCACAAGCCAAAAGCGGACCAGAAATCAGCCTCCTTAGACAGACTGCGGATTTTATAGGAGATGACTACTTTAGCATAGTCCGAAGAGATGAATGGTGGTGACGATAAATGGATGAGCGATCGTAGAAGGGGTCCCAGAAGCTCGGGAAAGTAGACCTTTGTATATCCGTGAAATAGACAGATTGAGACGACATTAAGACAGGATATATTGCTCGAAATATGTACTCACCAGATCGCTACAGATAATATGAGTGATATAACGTGGATTCGCATTGCTCATGGTTAGCTCCAATTCATGAGCTATGCTCAATGCATGTTCATGATTTCCCCAGGACAATGGCCGCACTAGGACGACGTTATTGGAACTTGTGAAAGTATCAGTCCGGTCCTTCAAGAGGTCATGCAAGTTGCGTTCTAGTAGTGGGCAAACGTCGGGGAGGTCCGTAGCAATCACCAAATCCCTTTCAGTCAGAGATATTGATCTGGATATTTGTGCAGAGACGATCCCAGTTCCTGAGCCGAGTTCGATGAAAGTAAGCGGATGTTTCGTACAGTTTCCATCGAGGAGAGAAGGTTCAAACTCCCAGGAAGGATGATGGTCCAGATAAATATTCATAAAGTACGCAGCTTCCCTGTCGAGGAAGAGCTAAGACTATTATACTTGCTAACTTGAAAGATACCGATAATCACCACACCCTGCCAGCGATGCCATAGATTTGGATGGAACGTTGCTGAGCAACGACACCAAACGCGTCCTGGTCTTGTTCATTGACAGATCGCGAATGATCAGATTGTGAGAAATTACTAGAGATAGTAGAGTTTGTGGAAGGACATATATCGAGGTGATCTGGGAAATTTGGATTTGAATGTTGAATCCGCATATTCAAGATAGCTTTGGATAGGCGTTATTTATGGTTGTTATTTTCAGAAGCTATTGGCCTTTAGATTTATCACGTGGGAGCAATCCCCTTGATTGAAACCGGTGCCAGTGCCGACCGGGTTTCTCTAATAGCCTTTAGATTTGACGAGATTTATTTGTGCTTGAGCACGACTTATCTGTCCTTTATTCCTCCATTTTTACAAACATGTCGGTGCAGTCCAAACCTGTCCCCCAGTTGACTCCGTTCGGTGCAGCCCTCGGTGGAGCTCTCGGTGCTTGCTTCAGTAACGCGTGAGTTCTTGTGTGAACCTCCTCACAGTGATAATATTCTGACACACAGTAGTGTTGTCTACCCTCTAGATGTGTATGTTTAAACGTTGAAATACCTATATTCATGCTTCTGACGTCACTATCAGTGCTAAAACACGGATACAAGCATCATCTTCAGATGTGAAAGGCAAGCGGACGAAAAAGCTTAGTATGTTGTCTGTGTTGTTGCAGATATTCAGGGAAGAAGGGATTCTGGGTTGGTACAGGGGATTTGCAGCCACCATGCTAAATACCTTCTCGATGCGTGAGTTATTATCAGTCATCTCCTCTTCTCAATTCTTGACAGGCTTACTGTTCCCCAGAATACGCCTACTTCTTTTTCTATTCATTTGTTCGGACTTCTTATATCAAGCGCTTGACAAGAAAGCTTCCTGCGGGTTCGAAAGTACCTGCGCTATCTACGGCGGCAGAGTTGATGTTGGGCGCAATTGCTGGCGCTCTGTCGCAAATCTTTACTATCCCGGTTTCAGTTATCGCCACTCAGCAACAGGTTGGACGATCAACTCGAAAGGAACTGGCTTCGTCTTCGATAAGCCCCGAAGGTGTCGATAAGAAGGAAGTGTATGACGACTCCTTCTTTGGCGTCGCTCGTGAAATCATACGGGAGGAAGGTGTAACAGGGCTGTGGCTTGGTATCAAACCGGGGATGGTGCTCACCGTAAACCCCGCAATCACGTATGGAGTGTACGAGCGCGTGAAAAGTTTACTGCTTATCGCGCAGTCGAGAACGACTATGAATGAGAAGTTGACTCCGGGATTATCCTTCCTCCTTGGAGCTTTGAGCAAGACGCTGGCTACCATTGTATTTGAATTCCTGGTCTTATAATGTTGTATCCCGCTAAAATTTTCTCGATCCAGGTAACTTATCCATATATTATGGCAAAAGTAAAAATTCAAGCTCGTACTGCCGAAACAGATGCAATAGAGGAAGAAGAGCTGCCGTCACTAGTGGGGCAGTCTCGTCAGCGTCAGAAGCCGGGCGCCTTGGACATTCTCCTTCGGGTTTGGAAGAGGGAGGGTTTGTTAGGGTGGTATCGGGTTAGCTGTTTCATATCTTTGATACTTCCACTTGATCCTGATATAAGCCTCTTTAGGGAATGGGAGCTCAAATCACGAAAGCCGTGCTCTCACAGGCCTTGCTGTTTGTCTCCAAGGACCAATTTGAACATTGGGCAGTCGCAATCATGTTTCTGTTTGCGAAATTAACGTCAAATTCATGACAGCAGGGTGATGGTATATAATTGTCTATAAATGTAACAGCTATAATGATCCGTTGATGACATCCTGTTGCGTTATATGCATCCTTTCCATGCCCCGACCTTTTTGAGCATGGAGAGGTACAGAAGAAAAATCTAGACGGGAGATGACATGCCCAAGTTGCCTGAACTTTAAGGGCTACAGTTCACAGCAATCTGATCGTGACCAGGTCGAAAGGATCTTCCGTTTTCTTCGACAGATCCACGGGATGGCCGGACTTGAGGTGCCATCTTACTTGGGTTCATGATTGTAACCTACCGTAACATGATCAACTGCCCACACCATGGCTTGACCCCAAGTACTAGTAACCGAGATTATAATTGAAATTAGAGACGATAGACAGAACAGTGTACAGCATTAATGTAAAAGCTAGAGAAAACTACAAATGCATAATTTTAAGTGAATACAACAGTGATACAATGTCCCAATTCCTCCAACGAAAAGTGTGTATATACATATCCACCTCAACAGTTTCCGCTCTAAATGAATAATGATAACTCACAACCAAAATGCCTCCTCATAGATAGAAACTCCCATGCAGTCAAACACTAATTCCCAGCATTTCCCAGTCATCCTTGGCCATTGATAAATCACGGTCAACGTCCATCTGGGAGGCGACGATTTTCTCCAGCTCTTTAGTCGCAGATAGTATTGAGAGTGCCATCCGTGGGCCCATTAGAAGAATCTTTTCTCCTTCCTGTGAACATCGCATTCTCGTCTTAATCGCCACCCGGTATAAATCTGGCTCCTGCTTGGAGCGAGGAAATGATGCTCGTGGAGGAAGTGGCTTCCGATTTGGGGCGAGTGGTGAAGAGGCACGAGGACAATGCATAGGGGTGGGAGATGCTTTGGGGGTGGGGGGCGAGGCTTTGGGAGGAGATGGAGATGGAGCAGGTGTGATTGTGAACTCTGGGCGACTGCGATTCAATTGGTGCTTCCGTCGCTCTTTCTGCTCTTTATAATGACGAAGGGTGCGACTGTATGGAACGCGACTAGGGGCGTTGGGAGTGAATGATGATGGAGAAGAAAGCTGTAGCTCCGACTGATTTTCAATGTGACAGTCGGCCAAGGACAAATATGAGACGGTGCGACTGAGAGTCATGCGTGGAAGTTTATGAGGGAGTGGTTCAGCAAAAGACGACGAGCGTTTAAGAGATATAGCGAAAGAAGGGGATGTTTCAAGGGGGGAGGTTGTCATAAGTAAGACGTTGGGAGAGGGGGAGCTGATGATACGAAACAAAGCGATTGATAGCTGGGTTTTCAGACAAAAGCAGTACCGGCCTAGGATGGGCGTGAATTAAAACGTGATGCAGTCACACGTGACCGACAGTGCCACTCACCGTATGATGCCAACAAAGGAACAACAAATTGACAAGTTCCGATACAGAATGGACTAACTTTGGCTCCGTAATGAACGCAGAATACCCCTGATATATCCTGAAGAGATGACACAGTGCGTTCTAGTCAGTCTGGATGGCCAGAAGGTGATGAGGTATCCCCCGACCCAAGCGCTGCTACGGAATTTCTGAATACTGGAAATGGAAGCTCTCAATACACGCGCCTGGTGAGAACGGCGACGCCCCCATCCAGCACCAGTCAGCCTACTTATAGCGCCAGTCCACAGCATGCTGATGCTGCGCACAAGAACCGGATGTATATGACTCGGTGCCTCGTTTTGGACACGGCGGGACCTCGGATTCAGATGGAGCATGCGTGGGTGTGATCCGCAACTGGATCGTGGGTCTGAGGTCCACAGGCATAAATTAGCGATATGGTACCATGGTTATGTATCTGACATGAGTACCGCACGACTTGTCCCCAGTTGACTCGCAATCGGATGCATTTGGGTTGCAGCGAGGTCCAAATCGACGATTTTGGGCTGCAGTCCAAGTATTCATGGGCAAGAAAAACGAGTGTGAAAATTAACAAGAAGAAATGGGCAACTGCAACCAGGTTTGACAGAACGTGGTTAGAAATTTGGTGAAAATATTCGCTATATTATTTGCGGTCGTTGTTTGTTGCCGAGTCAATCGCAAGTTTTTATGCTGGAATGTTCGGATGCTGGGATAGTATTCTCCCTATGTACTAGTAGTTTTAGATATGGACCATTGCTTATCGTGCCAAGATTACTATCAGCGCTCGGGCACTTCTTACCTTGCTCGCAAATATCTATCCGATTCAAAGCTTAAAAGCTCACTTGCAATATGCACATTCTGCCACGAGAGCAAGAAAAAATCTTCCTGCATCAGGTACTTCGTTCAGCATTTGCTCAAATGGCTATCTCTGGCAATCCTTATTATCATTTATAGGCCGGATTTCTCGCTCAAAAGCGCCTTGCAAGAGGCCTACTACTAAATCGATCAGAAGCTATTGCACTCATAGCATCTCAATTGCAAGAACGCATCAGGGATGGCTACCATTCTGTAGCGGAACTCATGCGACATGGAAAGGCGTTGCTCGGGAGGAGACATGTGTTACCCAGTGTTCCTTCCCTTCTCCATGAAATACAAGTGGAAGGAACCTTCCATGACGGGTACGCATATGCCTGTCTTTATCAACCCTGCAACTCAGTCCAAACCTTAGAGTATTCCTGGTGACAGTACATGACCCAATCTGTACAGATGATGGTAACCTCAATGCCGCGTTGTATGGGTCGTTTCTTCCCATTCCTTCTGAAGATAAATTTCCTTCTGCTGAGACGTGTGTATGCGCACGTGAGGCCTTGCCCGGCGCTATCATAGCAAGAAAGGAAAGAATTCAGATAAACACAGGGCGGCATTGTATCAAGCTTAAAGTCACCAACAATGGTAGCCGTCCTATCCAAGTACCTACGTTCCCGTTTCCGATTGTACCAGGTTAACTAACGCTTTCGTGTTCCAGGTTGGATCCCATTATCCTTTTCTTGAGACGAACGCTGCCCTTGAATTCGATCGCATCAAAGCTATCGGAAAGCGACTCGACATTCCTGCTGGAACAGCCGTTCGTTTTGAACCTGGAGATTGTAAATATGTGATTCTTTGTGATGTCGCAGGTCGTAAAGTTATCACAGGCTGTAATGGTCTCGTTACTGGCTGTGTCGATGGTCTTACGCCTCATAGCTGTGAAGGTAACCCTGCAGCCCTTTTCAAACTGGACGAGATAAAAAATGACATTATCCAAAGAGGATTTGGATACTGTCCGGAACCGGGAGCGCTTGAAGTATATGTAGACGCTGAGACGATCGGTGAGATGAGAAAGGATGTAAGCAGGGAAGAGTATATTTCGATGTTTGGACCCACGACTGGAGATAGGATACGACTAGGAGACACCACACTTTGGATTGAAATTGAGCACGATAAGGTATGATTTATTACCTTACTACATACTCTTAATATTCACGCAACATAGACTGTATATGGCGACGAGGTCAAATTTGGAGGCGGTACGCTGTATCATTCAGCTATGAGAGCGAAAGCGCTAACGACTAACACAGGGAAGAGTATACGAGATGGAATGGGGCAAGCCTCAAACTTGAGTTCCAGGGATACTCCCGACACAATAATAACGAACGCTATAATCGTTGATTGGTCAGGTATCTACAAGGTTTGTTGCGCATCGATCTTCATAAATATCCATCAACTGTGACACACTGCAGGCAGACATCGGTATCAAGGACGGAAAAATATGTGGAATCGGAAAAGCTGGCAACCCGGATATAATGGATTGTGTCGACCCAGCATTAGTTATCGGCTCGTCGACAGAAGTCATCGCTGGTGAAAAGCTAATTGTCACCGCTGGAGCTATTGATGCCCATGTACACTACATATGTCCTCAGCAGGTGTTTGAGGCGCTTGCAGTTGGAACGACAACGATGATTGGAGGAGGGACTGGGCCAAGTGCAGGTACAAATGCGACGACATGTACACCGAGTCCCTTTCATATCAGGTCCATGCTAGCCGCTACAGATGGCCTTCCAATGAACTTCGCATTTACAGGGAAAGGCAATGATTCAGGACCGACAGCCTTGGAGGAAGTCGTAGTTGCCGGAGCGGCTGGTCTTAAACTGCATGAAGATTGGGGGTCTACACCTACTGCTATATCGAATTGTTTGGACGTTGGCGACAAGTATGATGTCCAGGTCAGTCGGATTTAAACCATCTTTGTGTCGCCACCAATTCTGTAATCAATAGGTCAACATACACACGGATACTCTCAATGAAAGTGGCTTTGTCGATAGTGAGTGATCGTACCATCGTTCTTTTAAAATTCTGATGTATTGCATGTTAGGTACTATCAACGCATTTGGCGGGCGGACAATTCACACTTACCACACGGAGGGTGCTGGTGAGCTAATATTGATGACACTCGCTAACGATCGCTCACTCTATCTGTGAGGCGGTGGACATGCACCTGACATCATTGTGGTTTGTGGCCTCGACAACGTCATCCCTTCTTCGACCAACCCTACTAGACCATTCACTAGCAACACAATGGATGAACATCTCGATGTAAGATACTACAGAGCCCTTTCAAAAATCAAACATTCTTCTCATCCAATTTCAAGATGCTCATGGTGTGCCACCATCTAGATAGATCTATTCCAGAAGACCTGTGTTTCGCGGATTCTCGTATTCGAGCAGAAACGATGGCAGCAGAGGATGTCCTCCACGACGCAGGGGCTATATCAATCATCAGTTCAGATTCACAAGCAATGGGTCGTGTTGGCGAAGTTGTAAGCCGGACTTGGAGAACTGCGAGCAAGCTACGAGAATTTAATGGACCGCTCGCCGAACTACACGACAGTGAAGGAAAAGACAACGGACGGGTAAAGCGTTACGTCGCAAAATATACCATCAACCCGTGAGTTGTACTGCATGTGGCCTTGATTCAGTCAATTTCAATAATTGTGACGAATAGCGCGATTGCGCATGGTATAAGCCATGTGATTGGCTCCGTCGAAGTTGGGAAACTGGCCGACTTGGTTATCTGGAAGCCAGAGAATTTTGGTGCTAAACCCGAACTGGTACTCAAATCAGGCACGATCGTGTATGCTCAGGCATGTTCCATTCACTTCATTCATTATGATACTGCTGATATTAGCTACTCTCTACCCAGATGGGCGATGCGAACGGTTCCATTCCGACGGTGCAACCGTCCTACTCCAAGCCTATGTGGGGTGCATTCCCAATGGCTGCCGCTCTCAACTCGGTTGCTTTCGTTTCGCAAATATCATTGAGTTGTGGTGCCATTGCATCCTATGGCTTATCCAAAAGATGTGAGGCGGTAGTCAATTGTCGCAACATCACAAAGAAGGATATGAAGTGGAACGATGCAACGCCGACTCTCCACGTTGACCCAGAGAACTACGAAGTTCGTCTCAATGGTCCAGAGGGCCCCCTGTTGGATATTGGGCCTGCATCGACAGTGGCTTTGGCAAGGCAATACAATTTCTTCTGAGGTAGGTACGACAAATGATCTTTAAGTGGAGCATACACTAAGGTAATACATGAAAAAAGGGATCATGAAAGCATTTTGGATTTTCCTTGTAGTGGTAACGATAACACCGAGAAATATACTACACTCAAAAACTTTACAAAGATTCTGCATTGACTACTTCTACACGATTGTTTCTATAATGTCCGTCTATGAATTCAATAAAATCAAAAAAGACTTCTTCTGTGACTGGTATAGTCTGCCATCTCTTCATCACTGTCCGAAAACAAATCCTCATCTGGTATTTCAGGCAACTCCGAGTCGAAATCATGTAAATCCAGAATGCGAGGACTAGCAGGGGGAAGAATGTTCATGTCGACTATTTCCGGGTCGTCCATTAGGGAAGGTTGACGCAAGGTAGCAGCCCTAACCTCATCCCACAGACTGCCTTCCTCTTCATCGCCTTCTTCGTCTAGTATCTCCCCATAGTCACCTATTACAGCGATGGGACCAGAGCTTCGTCGTGGCACCTTTGACGGCCACGACGACTGACAAAGTCTGCGGGATAAAAGCTTCTTGCACATCGAATCCCTACGGCATTCTTGACAATGTCCAGAGATACTCTCCACTTCTCGAGGCTGGTAACGATCACAGATACTAAACACAAGCCAACACGTGGCCAAGAAGAAAGTAGGGAGATAGATGATGAGAATTCGAGAAAACAAATGCGAGACAAACGAAAGATCCTCACGTTCTGGAGCGCTCATTTGGACTTTGGCGGTATCTTGCAGACATGACATTTCTTAATGATGAAGTGCGTAACATGACCTTAGCTTGAGCGCTCCACACTAGATCCGGCTGTGGGTTTCGAAGAGGGCTTAGAGGGGATATAGTCTTTGGAGAGTGTTCGTTTAGCCGCAAGCACAGGAAAAGACGATCCAACTCCTTCGTGGACAACTTATCCTCCTCCACAGGCATTCTTCCTTGAGTTCCAGAGACGCGAGCGTGCCTGTGTGCGGGAAAGGCACTTGACACCCCAGACGGTGGCCTGTCGACGAGTGACTGAGTGCATGAAGAAGATGGAAATGAAGAAGAAGATTGAGGGGATATACGGCTAAGATTTGCTTTAGGCGTTGGTTTGGACAACATGGATAATACCCTGCTACGCTCAGCGCCGATGGGAGCCATCGGTTTCCCACGCATTGCGTTCGTAGTCTTTGAAGAGCCTATCGAATAATCTGCAGACGCTAAGGGGACTGATTCTGAGTCCCCTTCATGAGACGTTCCTGAAGCCAAACGTCGCTTGGCACTATGAGAAGTTAGACCAGGAGGAGGGGTGTTGTATAATACAGAGTTAACGTTTTGAACGGGAGGATGTATATTTGTAGCAGGTGGGCTGAGAAAGGGAGACTGATGCTTTGTTATGCTCGATTCCAGTGGCTCTGATTGCCAAAGGTCAACCGGAGGGCGGCGGACAAGTGGCAAAGAATTCGAACGAGATCGAAATACTACAGGGTCATCACCATCACCGGGGGTAAAAGCTGAGGGGCTCCACCCATGGGAAACAGAACAATCGCTTATTGAAGAAATGGTGGTGTTATGAAGTACAGGTGGTGGCCACGCAGGAGAGATGCTGTCGTTGAGATCCCGCGGCGGTACTGCATTCTGACAGGTGCCAGTGCCACCACTACTCTTACCGTGATTGCGCAAGCTACTGCTGTCGTGTATAATATTGATGGTGTGCGAGTCAGGGGGCCACGTATGTGCTTGGATTTCTGATGAGCTAGAACTGTAAATCATCTCATAACAACCTTCCAACTGTTGTTGCAAAGGCGAGCGAAAGTCGGGCACAGACGTCGAGCCCTTGAGAGAGCGATTTGAATCATGAGAAGTTCGGGCCTGGGCACGAGGACGTCGATTCTGCAGCCCTGAAGCTGTGAGCGGATCTTGATGTGAAGAAGATGTAGTCGCTGCAAGAATGTGAGTTACTATATTACACTTACCAAGTGGAGCTCTCTTGTCTAACTCAGAATGTAGATGACGACGCTTCGCATCCATTTCTGTACAATGAAACTCGCCTTCGCCATGAGATAAATATGATCTTTTGGGAGACAACTGTGGCGAAACTGGGTCCTTGTTTTCTTCTGATGACTTCAAAGACAGAGTAAGGGAATGCAGTGGCGACATGTTAAGAGACGTCGAGGATGGGGTAGATGAGGGATAGAGATGACGAGAAAAAGAGATTTTATACCAGACACGAGACACACGGGAGGAAAAGAGAGCTTACTGCCGAGCATGCGGAAGTATATATGCGACCCAACCGGTTGGACACTGCCACGGTGGTAGCAGTTAACAATTAAGCCATTTCTTACGGCAATACCAGTCCACAGAAAACCTTTCTTGGAAGGACTCCATTGTCAAAGCGGCCAAAGCCAACATCGTAACGGGTGGTAAAAGAAAACCTCGTGTCAATGGAAACTATGCAAATTTGGCGATACTGTGGTCAGGTAGGCAGGGCAAAGCAAGACAGGAAAGGAAAGAAAAAGGTATGGAAGGAATTCTCGGTGATTCAGCCGTCTGTGGCAGTGCGGGGCGCGGAGCAAAGGAACATGCAATTGGAAGGTACGGCCACCATGGCCCAAAAGCAATGAATGACGCTCTTATATTTCAGCTGGTAACAATACAAAGTAGTTTATAGCGATACAACATAACGAATGGCTGGGAATCCGAGTCTACCGATTGAGCGCAGGGACGTTAAAAGGCAAGGCTTGTAGTCATTAAGCGGTCGGCCTCGAAGAAGATCACGATGGATTCGAATCCCAGGGCACCTATTCTTGATATGGCCGAGCTCTAGTCGACCTACAATTCCAGATAGGAATGAAGTTCGTCGATGGGATGCATACGTTGCGTCTGTGGGGACCTATGGTAGTGGATTTGACTGTTCGGACTATCTAGTGGAAGGCTGTGGGTAGACCGAGTGAATGATCGTTGTCGCTTCACGATTAGCTCTTCACAGTCTGCCGCTGCTGGCACGTCGTCCACCGGGGATATGAGAAATAAGGTGGCATCGCCCTGAGACGGGTCCCACCTAGGATCGCAGCCGAAGTAAATCCCTTTGTCGTTGAAGTCGTTCGTTAACTCTCCCTCTTGTTCTTCGTCGGCCACCGGGAATTTGGTTGATGGTGGCACAGTGGCACTTTGAGGCAATGGAGGGACAGGGCGAACAGGTGGAGCCAGTCGTTTCGCACCAGTAGCTTTGCCCAGCGCCTTGAGGTCAGGTGCTGATTTGGTGGTAGCTGACTTCTTTAAGAATTTCAGGGACCTTTCGCAACCGGTATCTGCTGTGGACTCTATCTTCTCTCCACGGCTCTTCAAAGCGTATGATGGTTTCCTAAATGTAAAGGTCATCAGAAACAGAATTTGTGAATGTTGAATTTTGTACTTCAACATGAACATACCCCAGCGCTTGCATGAAGCCGGAGTACTAGGAGAAGGCACTGAAAGGGTCGGTAAGGTAATGTCTTGTGGTGATGTCCAAGCCGCGGATGGGGGGCTGATGGGTTCGTGTTGCCACTTAATGTTGGCAGGTGAACCTGTCTGCATTGGACATTAGCGTGAGTAGGTATGATCAGACTGATAGTTTTCATTGGATAGCTTACTGGAGAAGGCACGGCATTCCACTTTTCACGTAAACGTTCAATCTCTCCCAGAGGAACGCGTCTCTCAAGAAACAGATTAGGCTTAGTCCTAGAAACTTTAGGACCTCGTTCTGTTGGAACGGCAGTGTGAATAGTCATGTTTGCGTTGGGGGATAGAGGAACGTTGGGAAGCTCCTTCATCACATTCAACACCATCCTGGGAACTAAGATTGGTAAAGGATGAAATGGGGTGAAGAGTGATGTATGATATTGCAGAACCATTGAGACATTTAATAAGAACGAATGGACGAGCAAAGCGTTATCTAGTACTTCGTGTCCTTTAAAGCGGATGGACGGACAATAGCCGATAACTCCTTACTCAAGTCTATGGATGCCACAAGCCGAACTCTCCGAGCTTATGCAGATTGTAGGTCCAGTCCACTGGTTGCCAGATGAATCCATGGTTGGTGCCTGTGATAGTTATATGTTTCAGCTGCTTGAAGGCCTTTGAGGATTATATAAAAGGTATTGCAAACTTTTAGAACAATGGAACAAGAACTTGAATGAATGTGGAAACGCGTCTGTGTCACGGTATCACGTGTAAATAAAATCAAGATCGCGTGGCATAGCCGGGAACTAAACAGTAGCCGGATATCATTGAAGTTGCCAATCACAACCCTCTGTGACCACCCAAAACCATCCCAAAACGCACCCCTAGTCTCCCTGTTGATGTTGATATGGATGTGCAAACGGAGCATCATAAAATGAAGAAAGTGCTGATATATACACGCGTCGACAAGGTTTACAGATTGAGAAAGTATACATGAGAGGTATACAGTGTGAGGAACTTCATATTACCAACTACAAAATACCAAGGTATGGTTATTCGCGTTCGAACTCTATCAGAATCATGCTCATCGGCCGCCCAAAAGGCTGGTTCTTTCCTCACCCCTCAACCACCGTCTTCCTGATATCATCTTTACTAATCCAAGTGCACTCCTTAACAACCAAAACATGGAAAGTATCGCAAATCCGAGTGCGCTCCAGTGCACAAAATCGGAACGTTCGACGGTCTGGTGAGCGAAGATCGCCCACAGAGACCAGGATATAGCAATACAACCTGGAAGGTCGCCTTCGGTGGAGGAGGAGGCATAAGCAAAAGATGCAGCTTCCAGGAAGAATCTATCAATGATGGTAAAATTAACTAGAGCATCTCGGGCGATGAATAGAGATAGCGCACAGTCCAAGGAAGACGAAGCTTGCGGTCCAAATTCCTGCAGGCTCAGCGATCGCGTCGACACCGAATGCTTCGAATGCAGTTACGATAACGAGCACAGTTGACCAACCATGGTAAAGCGAAAAGGGAAGGTGCAAGAATAACTCATCAGAGATGTTGCGCGAAGCTGTCATCTTGATTATACTGTATATGTACTAAAAGGTTATCATATCAGACCAGCGACTTCCAAGGGAGGTAAGATATTCAGGCTTACCGTGACACTGGAACTGACAAACAGAATGAAGAAAAGCTCTACGAGGAGGGTGAAATTACGTTCTACGGAGTAATGTGCTAATTTTTACCATATAGATGTTCTCCGATGGTCCAGGAGTAGATGTACATGGCATTGATGATTCCTAACATGGGAAAGCGCCATCCTAGACCGTCGATAATAATTTGCTTTCCTGGCCTGGTAAATTGGTATATAATGGTCCCCAGAAGGAGAAGATGAATTAGTGCCCTGAAAGATCAAAGGTTTGAGCGACGTTCAACTACGAAAGGAAACGAACGAACCAGATAAAATAAGCCCAAGGAGCAGGAGTGAAATATGTTTCCTTGCTAGTGTAGTATATATCCTTTGGAGATAGCACAGTGTACGCATTGGCTCCCATAAAGAGTACATATATGATAACGTTGCAAAGCTGAGTGGGACGAACAAAGCCGTTCAGCTACGCGCAAGGCTGGACATGGAGATGGCCATATACCTTCAAGAGAATGTCATCTCTCCATGAGGTTCTCGTGGTTAAGTCCAAAAATCGTGCCATTGGTGTCTCGTAGTTGCGTGAGTGGGAGAAGTGCGAAAGCGCAGATTATAGCGCAGCTCCATAGCAGACCAGTTTCTTGTGTTTATGTATACAGCTCAGGGCTGCTCTAGATTCAGAACGACGAAGGTGCATGAACTGCAAGGCTTCAGCCTGTTTCACAGAGCCTGAATGGGTAAGTATTGACCATTGTGGACTCGGAAGTAGTACTAGGCTGTACAACAACAGGAAAACGCGTGTTGATCACGTGCCTCCACTTTCTCTCTGTCACTTGAATTACATTTCTACAACGACTCAGAGCATGGCCATATGGTATAATATGGTATATAGGCGAACTTGAAGTGGTATTGAAGACGTCCTTCGCGTTCCCGAGCTGGCATTCCCTTCAAAAAATCACAAGGATGCAGCCTTGCGTTGTTTCTCGGATATGGTTATTTCGTGCACCTTGTCTTCAATTCATATGCGACACTACAACCAGTGCCAAGGTGTTCCATAGAATAGAATCAAGGATGGAATGGAGTAATATCTCAGCTTTTGCGCAGCCCCGCACTGCCAGTGGTCACATTTCGATAACGAAGTCGACACCATATTTTCAAGTTTTCCCACTTGTTAGTGCGTCTTTTACGAACATTTCCCCAAGTAGTACCCTGTTCGTTTATTTTCGTTTTCTCGGTGATCCTCGCGCCCGCTACCCCATAACGAGAACACGTGCCATCGCTTTGCCCAGTGGACGTGTATAGAGTTGCCTGTATGCCTCTGCATGTCCTCGGCCACCGTGCATTGTCGCTTCGAGTGTAACCTATGGCGCCTTGTCGTGGACCCTTGATTTTCTAGCGGGTTTTTTGTATGGTTTACGCTTGGCGGCTACTTGTGATGTGTCGGTACATTTTGAAGTAAGCACGTTCTCCGAGCTCCTCCATGCTCCACCTTTGTCGACGATCTTTCTTGCATTCCCAGATCTGCGAGGCACTGATAATTCTAAAATCACGCAGGTATCGTCCACATCTAAAGTGCTTGGCGTTGTACTTCTTTTTAACTTTCAGATATCTTCAACGTGTCATCTGCAGCGCTTGAGTTCTGTATATGAGCACTGCACTGTATCTAACTTACTGATCTACAATGCCTTAAAGTTCATCACAGGAACCACAGTGAAACAAATTTAACGAGACATCAGAACCAAAAAGAACCCCCTATGCATCAAGCCCCCTATGCATCATATCTCAACATTGAATGATCTACCTCCTTGTCTGAATGATTGTTGAGACAGAACACTTCAGGAAGCTCTAAACTATTCGTGAAGTTGAGCGCAGTGACGACGACTCAGAAATGAGCCTACGATCAACGACAAAAACAAAGCCTATCCTATCCTTAACAATGCTGTAAGTGAGTATGCATATTATCAACGAGGCACTCACAAACATCTGTACTGTGCAATATAGTATGTTTCACCTGTGCTTTGGATCGTATTCAATGCTGTGAGATGCTTTGTTCATCTCCGAGTCCTCGTTGCCTTTGCCATGTTCATTTTGACTATTTCAAAATATAACTTCTCTCACGAACAAGGCCCGTAGGCACGGCAGAGTCCCAAAGCTCCAGTCCGTATCTTCATTGTCGCGACTGCGAAGCCACTACCAAGGAAATGGGGTGGAGCTTTTTTGTTATGTGACAACACAATGTATTATTGACGTCTCGTTCCTTTGCTTGCTGATTCACATGTCCGACAGATGCGATCATCCATAGATATCTGTTGGTTGGCGGATAGGACATATATGGCTATCAAGGCAGCATGGAACAGGATCACGTTGCGTGATCCTTCCCTTTCATAACTCTCCTAGATTGTTATATCTATCCAGAACGGAACGATCATTTCGGAAAATCACTCAAAGCCTATCTGCACAACCTGATGCTGAACAGCGCGATCCCGGTGCGGCTGCCCTTCTCCCGTATGAGAAGGGAATAATCTCGAACCGACAGTGGCTTCTCTTACCTGCCAAATGCAAATCTCGACCGATGAGGTTCATGCGCGAGTGGCAAGTCATCATAGAACTTTTACATCCGTAACCTTCATCGTCAAGATCACCGTCTGCTTTATCTCATCGTGTCTCGGTGTCGGGTGAGCGGACCGTTGCGCAACTACCGGAATGTAAAGATGTCTCAAAGTCAATGTTGTTACGGAAACAGTGCTTCGTGGCTCTACTACTTAATCTGTGCAAATGAGTGCGCCCGGTACTACTTATGTCGTTCATGACGAATGTCGCAAATTGTTCATGAACGAGAATACCACTCTTATCAAAAACAAAAATGGAGACGTTATCTCATCGATGTTATCATTGGCATGTTCAGTCAAAACACGATATGCATTGAAAGTCAAGTAGAATGTATACAATATCATTCAAAGCTAGGATACATACGCATAGATCTACAAGTTTATTGTACATAACATGTCCATAGGTCCCAAAAACCGAGGTAGTCCCAAGAAATTCCAGACTTATTTGATCCGATCATGCCTTCAAGTGGAATACCTTTTTCAAAGATTGCCACTTGGAAGGGTTCGAGAAGACGACCTGCCACCTGTCCGGATAATCTTAAACATCTTATTAGTATCAGACATAGCGCATCGAAACTGACCTGATGATAAGATCGCCCCGTCCTTTGGTTTTTCCAGTATGGAAGACAGGCATACCGGCCCTTTTGATAATAATTTTGCCTTCGGTCGCTTGGTCCTGAAGGGGATAGGGCAAGGAAAACATAATCTCTTCGCCATTTATACCTTCGACGCACAATTCCCCACCCTGATCGGCCAAGGAATCCACCCAAGGCACGCAAATATCCAGAAACAGGTCGTCCTTCACGCGGGAGAACCGATCATGGGACACTTCTTCGACCAAAAAGACAACGTCCTGCAACGTTCCGTCCTTTCGCTCGTGTCCAGTGCCTGGGCACACGATTCTGGTTCCGCTCCGACAACCTGGGGGGATGTCGATTTCAATTTCGACCTCCTTCTTTTGGCGTGACAGCATTTCCCGGATAATGCGAAAACGGAAATTCGTGCCGTGGTACATGTCGTCTAGCGTTAAAGGGAGTGGGAAGATCCATTCTTTCGACGAGCCCCGGGGTGATGTGAGTGGACGAAGAGGGGACCCATAAACTGGTGCTCCTTCATCTTCGGAATCACTTCCATCTTCAGCCTTACGTCGTTTAGGCGTCTTGGGCTTCCCCTTGGACAACTTCTGAACGAAATCACTGTACGCGCCATTAAATACCATAAATTCTCGGAAGACAACAAGGACTCACTCTCCGAAACCAAAACGAGATGATTTGTGCAGTTGCGAAATCGGCGGGATCACAGGCTTGGAGGAGTTTGAGACGTTTGTAGTATTCCGCGTGAACGAGATGTCTTGGAGCGAACGGATGTCCCAGACTCAGCAGGAGTAGCAGTTGATGTAGCACTAAAATGAGTGTGTGATGAAGGTGGGTGAGTATCTTTGTCCTTCTCAGAGTGTGTACCAGATGGAGGCGACGCCGAGGTGTGCGCACTCCCGTGATGGCGGCGAGAACTTGTACTCCTCGCCTGATGATCGTCCATCTTGTAGGAAGAATGAATGTGTTCACGACTGGAGTTCGTACTATGAGATTCTGACGGAGTTGCATGAGAAGGCATAGAAGATGGATGGTCGTGTTTTGGTCTTGAACGAGTGTTTGGGGTTTTAGATGAACGAGAAGATGAGCCAGAATAGCTTGATTTTGAATTGGATTTCGCTGTGGAGGAATGAGTGTTTTTGGTACCGAACTCAGAGTCTGGCTTTGGTGAAGCAGACGTGTCAGAAGACGTTTCATGTTCCTTTCCAGCTGACGACTTCGAGTGCGTCTCATGCTTGGAGCTAGAATGAGTGCTGTGCCCATCAGACCCTGAGGCTGACTTTGCTGTATCCTCAGCTAACTTAGAGTGAATGGTCTCTTTACCATCCATCAATGCTCGGTACGCAGCGTTGACCTGATTAGTATCGTAAGCACGAGGATAGGATGTAGCGAAACTAAGTTGTTTACTTCGATGAACATTTGTGCAGCATGCTCCTTGTCAACAGTATGACGATCTGGATGCCATTTGAGGGCCTATAATGCGAAAATGATAAGTGTGGGTTTGACACGTCATTGAGAAGTGGAGATGTGATGCACACCAGCTTCTTGTAAGCTGAACGGATTTCATCATCCGTAGCGTCAGGGCTGAGACCAAGCACGACGTAGCGATCGTTCTTCTCTAAGCCTGGGGGGTGAGACATGATATGTACGAAGCAGAAACGGAGCTGAAAGAGAGGAAGAGCGCTAATCGTGAGGTGTCGTTGAAGGGAGAAAGAAAGGAGGATGAAGAAGTATGACGAACTGAGTATATATGAGGTTTGTAGTTCTAGGTCCGTTTCGGTGAGTAACTGTGTGGTGTCCAATGAGTGGATAACGGGAAGCGATCACACTAGATTACATGAGAGGACCTAAGACAGGACCTTGCCCAAAATCACTAAAGCCTCATGTACTACACGCGTCGCGTGCGATCGTAAGTAATGATGATTCTCGACAAAGACATGCCCGTATTGTGATTCCACCTCATCATGCTCACCGCAACGACGCTGCTGCAAGCTGTCATGCTCCCTGCCTGGGGCATCGTCCGCATCGTTTGGCCCATGCCTGTTCGCCGTCAGCTTTGTGGAACGCGCTTAGAAGACGGATGTGAAACGGGTGAAATCGCAAAAGGCGTCACAGTCGTGGGCGCGAACTTGGATTTCCTAATGCGGACTATTTTCGAGGGTGTGGCTGTTCCAGTTTGGGTCTTTTGGCTGGGTCACGCTCTTTCATCACCACATCCATGAAAACATGTCTACGAATCGATTTCATACAACCTCGTACCGATAACGGTCCTTTGGAGACCGGGTACTATCGACAGCATGCTCGCCGTCCTGTTTTTGATTCGGGTGGCCCAACCAGTACGATCGTTCATCCTCGTCTTTTGCATATTCTGCATATCCGAGTCGTTTCAGACATGTCAGATCTTGCTCAGAATCTTCCAACTCGAGGCTGCTTTCTCTTGACGTAAAATCCTCATACAGGAAATGCTATTTCTGATAGGGGCTGTTCTCACCAGCAAACACCAGCAAACCTCCCGCGACAAGGATATCCCTATTGTGTTCCTTGCTGCGTTCATCTAGATTCTCCAGCGTTTGTGCTGCTCTCTCCTCGGCTTAGCCCCCAGCTCATCTAATCATGTCCATGGTGATTGTGCGAGGTAAGTCTTGTTCAGTTTATTTCCACTGACCTGTTGATGTCGGTCATCCAACACAATGGCTGCACCAGTTTCGAACATAAAGGCAATCCCTCCTTAGGACATGAACGACGTATCACAAATAGCGCCTTAAATCCGGATAGTACCAGTAAGCATACCTGTCAATGTCGTCTCCAGGCGTCAATCACCATCATGTCCCCTGGTATCCCCAATCTTTCTCTCATCACACGGTCGTCTGTTTATCCTGCGATATGATTTGGCGACCACACAATGTCCCCCCCGCGCTCATTCCGGATCTTTCGCCGCGTCATAGTTTACAAGATGACGATGCTATGATCACGCAACTGGACGAATGGAAGAATCATCTGTTCGCAAGGAATTAATGATGATCTCAATGGGGCTATGTATCCTATTGCACGTTGTGCATTCGACTCAAGACGACATTTATATCTTGCCTTTCGTACAAGAACATCATTCCCCACATCATAATGTCGTGAGTAATAATACATCTCTGATCTATACATACCCCTTTATGTCGTAAGGGGGAAGGCACTTATGCATCATCTATGTATGTAGAAGTTTATCGCATGCGCATTCGAACTCTTTGCTCACACGACCATGTCGCTCGCAACACGGCCAAGACATTCTTAGTTATCTTGTTCGCTATGTGTTTACCTCATTATGTCGATGGCATAAATTTAACTGTTTTTTTAATTAAGACTTCCAAGCAAGATAATATTGAGGTCGACACATTGTGATGACCAAGTAAATTGCCAATGGTACTGTAAAGGTGCTTGATAATAATACATATTGTAAATTCCAGTCCAAAGGTAGAGTATCTCTAAGCATGGTTTAGCCTAATATCTTGCGCAGGCCATCTTTCTGTGATTGTGTGAGACGGTCCGGAAACACAACATCCCATTTCACTATCAGGTCTCCTCTCTTCTTCGCATTTCCCTCCTTTCTGATAGGCATACCCTCATTGGACACTGTTGTCTCTTGGCCAGGTTTTATTATACCAGACGCAGGGAGAGGTACCTGCAACTTTCGTCCATCAAGCATCTCCACGGTCCGCTTGCCACCGGGGCTAGTTAATGCGTCTACCAAGGATATCTTTGGTCGGCATACCAAATCATTCCCGTTCCGTGTGAATACATCATGGGGTTTTTCTTCGACAACGAACACTAGATCCTGCGCCTCTCCGTTTGGTTGTTCATTCCCAGCTCGAGGGAAACGGATCTTTGTGCCGCTCTTCCAGCCTGGAAGAACTTGGATTTCAAGGACCTTATCCTCTGTTTGACCGTTTAATAGCCGCCGGCCCACTTTAAGGTGTTTCGTTGCGCCTGAGAAGAGGTCCTCTAGTGAGACCTTCAGTGGACGAGATACCTCGGGATTTTGCGATGAAGGGGCGGGTGAAGATGTGCGCTGGGGTCGTCCTGATGATCGCCGTGGCATACCTCCAGGCATACCGCTGTTACCAAAGGGGAAAGATGCGCTGCCCGGGCCCTCGTCTTCATCGAACATGCTCTGCGCGCCGCCGAACCCGCCCGTGTTCATATTAAAAGTTCTTCAAGATAAGCGTAAATAAAGCGGGAAGGTAGATGGTCGATGGGAATGGCAACTCACTGGAACATATTCTGCGGACCGCCAGAACCGAGTCCACTACTGAAAATCTGCCTGAATAACAAAATCCATGAGGGGGCCGAAAGAATTCACAGGCAGAGAAGACAGCTTACTCGAATATCTTCTGAGGGTCGGTTGGAGAGAAACCACCTTGTGGGAAACCATTAGAGGAGAACGAGAACGTGGTTCCACCTGGAGCGCCTCCGAAGTTGGAAAACCCTGAGGGGCCTGCACCTGCCCCTTGGGCTGCTCCTCCTCCGCCCTTCAACCCGTCTTCTCCAAATTGATCATACACAGCTCGTTTGTTCGAGTCGCTCAACACCTCGAATGCTTCTGATATCTGCAAATAATCAGGATGATAACACAACCTATGAAATGACATGAGACTGCTAACCTCTTTAAACTTCTTGGATGCCTCTTCTGATCCACCATTTCGATCTGGATGCCATTTTAAAGCCTAAATGCATAAGGACCGTATCTAAGCTTCGGATATGGGGCTAGGGGCTCACCATCTTCTTGTAAGCTTTCTTGATTTCATCGTCTGAAGCACCGCGGGCAATGCCCAGCAACTTGTAGTAGTCTGCACCCATTCTGAATGTAGGAGTGTGGTTATGGTTGATAACTGAGGTTTATGTAGTGACACTAGGCAGTAACTTGCTAGTGGTGTATTGCATCATCCAGACCTTGCTAGGGGACCAATGAACGTGCCAGAACAGTCCAGAAAGGCCTATGTGCTTAAGGTTAGGGTCACGGCAAAGACCGAGTCCTCGCCAGTGGTTGAAGTTGGACGACGGCTTTGAGCTTCCAGCAACGTCCCAATGGCAAATGGACAGCAGCAGAACAGTGAAAACGACAAGTCTGAACGCAATGGAATCATAGGCAGATCCTGGAATGCATTGTCTGACTTTGTCTCTCCTTTCTCGTCGTCTGCCTTGGCGTCACTGCCCAAGGATACAGGGAGACCTGCACGCTACACACGCGAGGACCATATTCCGGAAACTACCCAGGATGTCAGCGGAGATCGACCGGCCATACGCGACTACCATGCAATAACATCTGTTCCTCCCGTAGTAAGGGTTCCCAAGAAAATAGCAACCTCCATCAAGGTGGAAGGAAAAGTCTGGTTTGCGAACGAAAGGAGTCAGCAGTTTTATTCCGCATATATACAGTAGCGATCGTAGAACTGACATTCAAACAGCTTGGGTGTCGTGGCTTAACCTGTCTGTTCTCATCGGTACCTTGGCCCTGGCGCTATTCAACGCTTCCAAGGACTCAATCGCTCGGAATTTCGCATATATTTACGCGCTGATCAGTATTGGGGTTTTGGTATGAAAATTCATCTGTCATGCCTTGTGCTTCTTCCCACTGACGTCTTTCGCTTCCACGCAGGTCTATGGATTCTTCCTATATCAAGCTCGCATCACCATGATTCGGAAGCGTGATCCTGGACATTACGGTCTGCAGCGTGTATTTGTTTTGATCAGCTCAAGTGCCTTATTCAGATATATCTTAACACCCAGATCAAATCATCGGGCCAGTTGTAATAAGTGCCCTCCTTTTCTTTGCTGTTCTGGCCAACTTTGTCTTTAGAGGTAGGTTTCTGGAATCATCTTTGTGCTTTTTCTGACCCAGTGCTATTGTCTCCCCAAATGTTCATTAGTTCGCGAACTGTATGTTTCAATATGTCCGCCTTAAACATATATCATCTGACCCATCTACAGGCGGCAGCGGAATGTTCCTATTCCCGGGTTAGGCTTCTTGTTTGATAATTCAAGTAATCAGTCCCATGCGCTCTTTTGAGCTTCAATGAATAACTTTCATGCGATTCAACTTTCTGAAATTGCATGCGACTTTAGGGGTGTGGTAGTGATATACCAAGATGGGGTATTTTGTCAGCTGAGCTTAGTATTGCATTCTATATTCTATTCCTAACAACAAAGGCCTTCTTCCTATACATGGCAAAAGACGTCCTAGTCCCCATAATACCTGTATACTATCATTATGTAAGTGTCATATGGTATTCTTTGTGCATACTGTTCTCCGCCTAATACGCCATATCAGTTACATATTAAAAATAGCTTAAAATAGTCTGTGTGTCGCCGGCGACGTCGAGGTTGGTTTTACAGGTGTGCTCTTGGTTGAGCCGGTACGTCAATGGCGACGAACACGAGGTGAGTGATTTTTCTGCTGTCAACGGAGGGATCTGATGATTCCGATTCGATTCTAAGTATGCATCATGAGTACTGTTTTTGGACACGTCGATGAATTCAATTGCGAAGCTCACCTTACGGTCACCGTTTTATGTCGCTCAAACTCGGCAAGCATGTCTGAGCCAGGCAATCGCTTGCGCAGCCCCTTGATGACATAAAAGCCACCAAACACACCCTCCTGTTCAAAATTCAACCATGAGTCGTTTACGTTCACACGTACATGGTAATACACCTACTCGGTTGGTACTCGGATCCTTGGCAACGTCAAGAGCTTGCTTCCACTCTACATTGAGCCCCCTTGCAGATGAATGTCGCATGGTGAGCACTAGTTGTTTTAAACCATCCCGATTCAATGGTGCACCGTTTATGGAGGCAGTGAGGTTTTTTGAGAAGGTGGCATCGATGGCTTGAAGACTGTCTTCGTCTGTTCTTGTTTCAAATATACATCCAACATGCTGAGAAGACCACGCAGAAAGGGAGGCGAGTTTTGCAGCATGCCGTACGTGGATGTCCTTGTTATGTACTGCCTGCTCCATCATGGACATTAGGTGAGGAGAGGAATAAGAATTAGATACGGGGGTGCTTCGAGCACAGGGGAAATTAGCGAATATCTTGGGGGAATGTGCTGACCTTTATTCGTTCCCTTTAAATAGTCGCATTTTATCAATGGTGGACCCGCATATAGATCTTGTTACCGATGGTGGGGAGCGTGAGGAAAAGAAATGGCATCGCATGTCAGATCGCTCGCCTGATGGCAGACACGAGGGAACCCGTCACAATGTGGATTGACGATGATTGGATATAATTTCCGCCCAGGACGTCTATCTACGTATTTGACTGTCAAGGTAGATTATCTTATGCATAATTATGTCCCGTCGATCTGATGTTGAGATAATTGGTTCCAGACCTTACAAAGGGACATAGAATCCTCGGATCGGTCAGCCTGAAGGGACAGATACCTGAACTTGGTATTCCACACACACCTGCCTATTGCATGCATTTACAGCTACGCCCTAGCTTGTTCAAGTGGCGAGATCCGAGTTTATATTCATGCAGGTAGTAGTAACGCGTGTGATTGACCTGCGTCTTTCTTGTCAACAGGTACATCGATTACCTGCCTTTTCCATACTTCGCCGGCCGACAAGCATATTCAACACCTTTTTTTTTCTTCCTTATCTCATGAAAGCTCCACTCTTAAGTTGGTCAGTCAGCAATGTTCTCCCACTAGGTCATCGCTTGGATTTACAGCCATGTGATTCACTTCATTTCATACACTGCCCTTGCAATGAGCAGAGTCTATACGTAATGAAGTGCATGCAGCCTGCCTACATGCTCGTTTCAAGTTTTGTCGTTCGTAGTCAAAGAGTAAGGGTCGATTTCCGTGTTCTCATGCCATGTGCCTGTAACGTTTGAAGCCTACTGTCCCCGACGATACCTTGTGTCCTCTCACACCCCAGAGTAGTCGTGCGACAAGAACCGTGGATGGCAGGCTTGATGATCACTCTCTGTTACGATAGCATGGTGAGTAAGAACGGGGATATGAACGAGGCTCTATGTTCTCAATAAATATAGAAAATTTTCGCGTCCGCATAAGCCTTATAAGCTGTTTGTGCTCAAAGAGGGAAACTGCAGATCGAGATAAGAGACGGACAGCGAATGAAACTGTTAGACGCTATTACTTACTTTGTTTCACTCCTTCCCGGACCGCCGCTGGAAGGGGCAAAACGGCCACCTCACGCCATCTTGGGCCTTCTGTTTCCGTTCGGCTGCGTGGTTTTCATGTCGACGTGAAGCAGCATTACTAGCTATAGCCTTGCTGGTCCGGCCCAACTCCGAGTCCGTGTGTGCGGTCCGCGGGTTACATCTGGTGTATATATAAAAATAATAATAAAACAGAGATGGCGAATGGTGTGCGGGGGGGGAATGCAGACCTGCACTCTGCTTCATTGAACCACGTAGAAAAAACTTGACCTGTCCAGCGTCCTCGACAGATGTTTGACATGCACTTTAATGTGCACTTTAATGTGGCTTAAATTAAGGCTAGTTAACGTTAGCATCATTGGTACCAAGCAAACTTCTGCTGTGTCACCGCACGGCAGCGTAATGTTTCTTTAGCCAGCCTCGTTCCTTCAGGTTCATTCTCGGTTTTCACGAAACAGATCAGAGATATGACGCTCGTGAGAAACCCACAGATAAGTCAGAGAAACCACAGACAGCGGGTAAGAACACATGCCAGAAAGAAGGCTAATCGGCTAATACAAGCTATACCCTTAATAGAACTCCTTTGCACTCCGCGAGTCCTTCTGTCAGGCCATGGAATAAAATACAGTAAGGATTTGCAGCTGAAATCAGGAACAACAGGCGGTTGTAGGTGGTCTTGGCTCTGCAGTCGACAGGCTCGTCTGCGGTTATCGATAATCATCCAAGTCCAGGAGCTGTTTCCACATGTACGGGGGGACGATCACTGAAAAACATCGATCCACGCCCCACCCACTAGCACGTCCCACGTTTTTTACCCTCCCAACTGTCAATTTAAGGTGAGAAGTCAAGTCAACACTCGCAGACTCAGATCCCGAGGTATGCCATGTATATTCAAACTATCCTTTCATCCGGATAGAGAAGGAGCTTGCTCGGCGAGCCGCTTGATTATGGCAAGCTAGCAACAGTTCTCACAACCTCAAGATGCTATCTTTCTGTTATGGCCCACTTCAGAAATTGAGATACACACGTATACAAGTCGAATCAGAACTTGGTGATTGATGGCTATCATGTTTCTCCGGTGGGAAGTGGGGAGGGACAGTCAAGGTTTGGATCGGGGACGGAAGCGATAAGCTTCGAGAAAGCGCCAAGAACAATCAAGTGATCTCCTTCATTTCGCCCTCTCGTGGCAAAATTTTAAAGGAAGAAGTATCAAGTTTATCAGATTACTCGGATTTGCCAATCGAACGAACATGTTTCCTTCATGATGGGAGATTTGTTATCGTCCGCTTGAAAAGCAAAGGGGACCAGCCCAAGCAGTGCCAGTTTCCGATAATTGTCCTTGATCGCCTACAGATAGTGCAGGAAAGAGCCAGGCAACTGCGGGAACCGCAGCAGCATGCATAGGGCGTCCCGCCTGACCATGATTTCGCCTTTGAGAATGAATTGAACCACACACAGAGCTAATTTGTCTTCCATTCACATCGTACCACTTCGTGTCAGGCCACTTTTCGTACCTGAAATGTACCTGAGAGAAAAGAGTCAGTGAGACATCGCTGCTTGTCATCGCTGCTAGCCCGAATCAATCTCCCATGGGAGAGACCTTGTGGTGCACCAAGGCGGGGAAACTAACGGAGGTAGTATACCGATAAGTCGTGATGACATCATTAGAATCTTTCAACACAAAGGCGTTACAAAAGGAGATGGACAGCACACTCTTCTGCTCATTTCAAAGCTTTTCTCATTTTCTAAGAAACAGAAGATTCACAAATACTCCCGTGAGTAGATAATGCAGCAGGACGTACCTCCTCCATTTCATCCAAATCATTAGTCTCAATGCGAATAATCTTCTTCCCAAGAACCTTCTCAATTTCCTCCATCTGCAGCCATGTCCTCTTGTCATGGACGAAATTTATTGATATTCCTTTACGTCCAAATCTACCCGTCCGGCCTATATAGTACCAAGTCATGTTATACGTATTAGAAACCTTGGCGTGGAGTCACGCAATACGGGGGACTAAAATCACTTACCAATACGATGAATGTATGTTTCAATATCAGGCCTGGCATCCTCGGCATTGGACCGCTCATTCATAAGCGGCAGGTCATAATTGACGACCATGTTGACCTGGAGAATATCAATTCCTCGGGCGATAACATTGGTCGTGATGAGGACCTTCTCACGTCCCTCACGGAAATTATCAATGATAGAATCGCGTTCTGCAGCATCTTTAGCGCCATGAAGAGATGCGACCTTGTGACCTTCCGCCGTCATTCGCTGCGAGATTCGGTCCGCTGTATGTCGGTGCTATATTGCCGCAAACCTTTATCAGGACTTCGAGAAACAGATAAACATTCGAGAAACATCGGTATTACCTGACAGAAAATGATGCTCTGACCTATCGTAAGCAACTGATATAGGGATACCAGTATGTCGTATTTATGATCTTCATTTCTGCAATCCATGTAGAATTGACGAATCCCATCGACCGATAGCTCCTCTTTTTGAAGTTCGATCTTGTTCGCACTAGGAGCAAACTTGCTGGCAAACATCCGGACATGATCAGGGAAAGTAGCGGAGAAAAGAATGATTTGGACTGGTGATGCACGCGGTAGCAAGCTGTCACCAGGTATAGGTGTCAGCGGTCGACAGACTCGTGGTACCAACAGAGCACTCACTTTTTGACCCGAAGAGTCTGTTCCCCAAGGCCATCCTGGTCAAGCATATTGTCGGCTTCGTCAAGAACAAAAACTTTGACCTCTGATGGGTCAATGATCTTTTTCTTGAGAAGATCTATCATCTTCCCTGGTGTCCCTACAACTACATGAGCGGTAATCCGGGTGGCGCCTTTGGGGAGATTATCTCTGATAGCATATTCCGTTTGGACCGGGGTGAATTTGCCCATCGCTACTACCACTGACATTATTTGTCGGGCAAGTTCTCGTGATGGGGCGAGACATAACGCCTGCGCAAGTCAATGGTAAGTATATTCGTATATGTGGAGCGAGACATACTTGTGTTTTGTTTTTGGAGAAATCGATCCGGCTAAGCATGGTAAGAACAAATGCTGCTGTTTTCCCTGTTCCAGACTGAGATTGACCAATCATGTTCTGGGGGCTGGAGCATCCTATACTGAGTACTAGACATGGGTATAGAAATGATCAAACTCACGGGTTCGCAAGTAGTAAAGGCAGAGCACGTTCCTGGATCTTCGACGGTTTAGAGAACCCTAGGTCATATAACCCCTTCAAAAGGTCCTGATGTCTATGAAATTTATTTAGTTGGCAGACGTGCTTTGACCTAGAAGCAAGTTACGTACAAGCCAAGCTCCTCGAATGTTTTAGCACTGAATAATGGAGATTTTGGATCGGCCTGTTGATCTGCAAGTGTAACCTTGTACGAGTGTTATTGATCAAGACAGGTGGGACAGATGGGAGGAAGCATACCGTGACCTCAAACGTAGATTTTATTAGTTCAGTGTTGTCTGAACGCAGTAATAAATCAGTACAGTCCCTCTCGACTATCAGAAATAATGCTCGCACCTGATGTACTGGCTTCAGGAGATGGCTTAGCCTCGGGTTCATCTTCAGGCTTAACCACAGTGGCTGGTGGTGCTGTTGGCGCAGCTGGAAGTGCAGGTGCTACAACAAGAATGAGGTCGATGCGCATTTAAAGCAAACGAAAATGCAAACGTTCTGTCTTTGGCGTATAAAATCCATCTGCGTCTTTCTCCATTGCTAGAATTACAACAACTTCAGGTTGAAATCGTCAAGTTGCTGCCATACCCAAACCCGAGTTCCTTACAGACAGGGATATTGCCGAGCGGAGTTTATCGGATTCTTATCGTATCTAATCACGGTTTGTCTCTCTCCTCCGTGTCCCACACAGCACAACCAGAACGCTAACTCTTCATTTCACAAACATGCCCTATCAGTGATGTCTGGTTCATTATTACCGCCAGCGTTCTCAAGTCGCGCTTCTGCCTTGCTCCACCGTATTCAGCGTGGGTCATCAGCTGTGGAACTGGTTTATACGTCTCATGACCGCTGGCCATTTCCGTCCAATGACTCCAATCACATTCCTCCCAAACCAGTGCTAAGGATTTCAGTTTTGGACTCCTCCTTTAATCCCCCGACATTGGCTCATCTCGCCTTAGCAAACACACAGCCCCCTCTTTATTCTGAATATTCTGTTTCATCCAGTGTGCTACCCGAGCTCTCGGCGAGAGACTACGATGCAAAGCTTCTGTTGCTATCTGTGCGCAATGCCGACAAACTGTTGAATCGTGGGGATGCTTCGTATATTCAGCGTCTTGAGATGATATACCTATTAGCCGGACATATCTCACATCCGAATTCAGAGGGTAGCACTTCACCATCCGAGGTTGCGAACGTCGCAATAGCCATTATTGACGAGCCCACATTTGTTGGGAAATCAACTACTTTGCTCACCTTCCTTCACTCGCGCATGTCTGGTATTTCATTAAGTTCATCAGCAAAGCCTTCGGCCTTGAACGATACTGCCATTGCTTTGCCTTCAATCAGCTCTACTGTTCCTAAACCTCAACTTACATTTCTTCTTGGTTTCGATACTTTGGTTCGGCTTCTTTCTCCCCGGTTTTACGCTTCTGAGGAAGCCATGACTCGCTTACTCCACGCATTCTTTGCAACCGAAAGCGATGACTCCCGAGTCGTATGTGCACGTCGCCTATCTTCTGGTGTCGATCGAGAAGCTCAAGAGGAGCTTGAGTCGAGGACCTTTACGTTCGTAAAGGAATTTATAGGGAAAGACCATGTCGCATTGATCGACATCAATAAAGACGTACGCACATTTAGCTCGAGTGAAGTCCGAAATAAAAGCAGTGGCGGTGATCTTGACTGGAAGAATCTGGTGCCAAATAGTGTGGCGGAATATATAGTCAAGGAAGGACTCTATCCCCAGCTCTCAGACCAGTAGCATGTTGAACATCGTGTTCCACCACGAATTGCTCAGATATTGTCAGCGCTCGATGTGTAGAAACTAAGAATGTTATTGAAAAATTATAACGTCATTTACATATATCTATATCATATCAGTGCAACGGATTGAAAGTACAACAGCATAGCAATAAAAGTCAAAATTCATTATGTCGTGATCCAAAGTCCAAAACCGTATGAGAGTGAAAATAATCATGTCTATGAAGCCTGGGCAAAAGCAATTGCAACAGTCTAGAATTGGGTAATGGTCAATAAAAGAAACTGCGACTATTCAAGAACAACAAACCTCGGAGTGGCTCAAGGATATCAAGACACGATTGATGCCATTTTGCTCAGCAGCAGCCTTGGCTTCGCCGTGTAGAGTAACAGAAGGGACACCCGATTCATTGGGCAGTATTTCTATATCTTTCATACCTGCAGCGGCACCCTTAGACTGTACGCCAAGCGACTTGAAGACGGCTTCCTTGCCTGCCCAGCGAGCGGCAAAAGACGAGGCAGGACAAGGTTGGGAGCGGCAGTAAGTGGCTTCAGCATCAGTATAGTTTCGCTCAACGAATGTCGGGTTCCATGAAGGCACAGAAGATATTAACTCTGCCAATGTTAATCAGTAATCATACTTCCATCGTATACATAAGGGATAGCTACCTTGGTCAACACCGACACCCTTGGCAGATCCATCGGGACCCAAAGAGTCGGACACCACTTTGACGTTGGCAACATCAAACGGAACACTCTTGTTAAGCTTTGCCTGGTAAGAATAGCTCCCGGTCTTGGGATCGAATGAGGCTCGTGCCATGGGGTTCATTAATACAGGCTGTTCTAGCTCGGGGCTGTAAGGCGGGCCATCCTTGATCCTCACGAGTGAGTTAGAGGTCATCATCTCGGTCATAACTTTGTAGGCTTCCTGAGCACGTGCGTGGTTGCGGATTCTGTACGATTCGAATGCTGAAGGCTCCAAGGCGGCGAAGAGGTATCGTGGGTGAACAATCAGGGCTGTGCCACCAACTTGACCAAATCCAAATGACGACTATATGATATGTAAGATAGTGTTCGAGTAATGCAAATAATATCACTTGCCATTACTCCAGCGCGAATTCCATCGGTAAAAATGGATTTCGAAGGGAACATCAACAAGTGGTGAGCCTCGAACCGGGCATCAATGTTGCTGTTATATCTCAATCAGTCTCTGAAAAAAAGGTCGAGCAAAGATAACCACATACTCGCTGTTGCGATTGCCGGGGATAATACCTGTGTTGACTGCTTGCAACAAACCAGCCATTTGCCAAGCGGCAGATCCACCCTTCGAGTGGCCAAGCAAACTTTTCTGCGCCATGATAGGAACGGCATTTCCACGCGTGCGAGAAATTGTCGCCAAGATATTGTTCCACATTTCTGTCTCATTCTTCTCATTGGCTCCGGTACTGGTGCCATGAATAGAGAGAACACCAATGTCGTCTGCCTTCAGTCCCCAAACCGCGAGAGCGCGGCGCAATGGAGCGACGCGGGCATCAGTACCTTCCAGCATACCATACATCGCGAGGGCATCTTTGTCTTGACGAGCAGCTTCCTTTTCGATATCCGCCACACGAGAAGAGAAGTACTCCTCATCTACTTCTTCACTTTGAGCTTTGCGGAAGTCTATCTCTTCACGTAACTGAGAATGCTCATGAGACAGCCATTGAGAAATCTGTTTCCTGCGGAACGCGAGCTGACGAGAACGGTAGTCGAGATCAAGTAATGGCAGAGGATGTTTCGAAGGGAGCTCTCTGGCAACCGAAAGCGCGCCGCGACCAGGAGCTGGAATAGATCGACCAGCTTTGTCACTGCATTAACGTTGATCAACGTCAGAAATGAAAGAAAACAAGGGTGGATCATAAGGAAAAGAAACGCACGTCGACGTGGAAGTAAAAGCAAGAATACCACGGATTGGAGCACCGAGTTCAAGGGCAGTCTTGGCATTCATTACGATATGGATACCAGTACCTTGCGATTCCATAAACTACAAAATATAAGTATGATGTCAGAAGCAATATGGGTTAACAAATGCACTTACCCCTGAACGAGTCGTGGTTGCAGGACGAGACATTTCGGTAGGCTCACGACCCATTGCAAATTCGGTTTCGGCGTTACTTGTTGCTTTCATGTTAGCAAACTCGTAAGAACCTTCTTCACTGATATCGTCGAATCCACCAGCAATCATGACTTTGGCTTTGCCAGACAGTAACGTATCACACGCAATCTCAAGTGATTGTAAAGCAGTTGCACTAGGACAGACGTTATATCTCATGTTATCTTGTAGTTAATGGAAGGGTACTCACCATGCTCCGACGGGAATTTTAACTGGACCACTCGATGACATGAGTAAGAGATTAACCCAACCTGCTGTTGTGTTGATGAAACTAACCAGGAGTCAGTGACGATGGACAACACGTCCGAAATGGGTCAACTTACGTTTCTTGCAAAACGTCATTCTGTACGTCTTTCTCCTCTCGACGATCCTTAAACATCTTAGCTAGACTCTCAGTGCCTCCCATGCCACTGCCAATGCATGTGCCAACTTCTGACGGGTGGAAGAACTTGTATAGTTCGTATGGGTCGGTAATTCCAGACATATTGAGGGCTTCTGCAGTGCAGACCAAAGCCCACAGAGTAGCCCTATCGGTTTGGGCTATGATATCTGCGGGTATACCATATCGGCCTGCATCCCACCCAGTAGGTATCTGACCAGCAACGAGACGACTGAATTTGAAGGCCTTCGGAACGAAAACGCGAGCGCCTTTCTTGAACTTCACAAACCATTGATCACCCTCCCCTGTCCAGATGTCACACTTGTCACCGTGTTCATACTTGAATTTCTCTGCCTCCGACTGCGCAACCTCAATAGGCTCCAGATCATGTATAAGCTCAATCTCTTGATTGAATACCTTCTTCTTCGGATCATAACCACGGAACAGCTCAGGTTCTGTAGCAGAATTAGCAATAGTATATACTACGATCTGAAGCCATGCTCACCGATTAGTCGTACACCGGCATGGCTTAGTATCTCTTTCTCGTAACGACCCCTGACATCTTTGTCATCGACGGGTTCTCCGCTCTTTGCATCAATCCACCCAACGTGTAGAGAGCCATTCTTCAGACGTCCATCGAAGTGTTTGATGTGGCCCATAAGCCATGCCATTTCAATACAACCTTCAATTGTAAACTCTCCTCGGGCTTCCATTTCCCATCGAGTACGAGAACTACCCCAAGGTCCGACTTCGGCAAAACCAGTAATGACAATGACTTTTTCCAAATCGACAATGCCGCGCAGCTTAGCAAGATCTTCCAGGGACGCAGCTGAGTCCAAGGTAGGGAAATCAAAGGTGAAGTTGGCGCGAGGTACGACATTGACAGTCTGGAGGACACGCTCGCCCTCAGCTCCATTGACGATCTTGAAATCAGCAGCATTATCTCGAGCAATTGCGCGACGAAGCTCGCTCTTCTTGTTTAGATCCGAACGAATGCGAGTGGTAATGTCAGCGAGGTCAGGCAAGCGATCCATTCCTCCATTGAGATCTGCCCATATAGGCTCCACTTGAGTGATACTGAAAAGCAACGGATGCATCAGGCCAAGAATATTGAACGCCATTTCCTTCGCAGAGAACGTGCGGACACCATAGCTCTCTACCTCATGGGCAACCATATTTGTAGCGTCCATTAAACCGGTACCACGGGTCCAACTTAATTATAATCATTAGCTAGATGGAATGAATAGATCAATAGATTGTACACACCCGATGACCGCACCAGCCAAGCAAAGATATTCGCCCCAGCTCTCCGAGTTCCAACGGTTGAATAGAGTTTCCAAAGAAATCTTCGACTCGGAATATAATCCATCATTCCCGAACAGACCATGGTTAGGGGATAATGGCAATATGACCTGTGTAGGACGAGTGACGAACTGTCGCGATGCTTTTTTGCTTTTCACTGCACCAAGAATTCGTAACAAGTTCACCAGCATGATACGATGAGCTAGCTCAGATTTGTCATCAAGCCCATCAATCTCTCGGCCGTTTTCGGGGACAGCAGCGAAAGGAAGAATGTAATCCAGATCAAGCCCCAGAGTTGCGTATATATAATCGACAAGAGCTTCAACATCCTGTTTAGAACCTTGGTTGAATGGCACGACAGTGAGCGCAGAGCCGCGAGCGCCGAAAGTTTGATAGATGGATTGGTAGTATTCAACTGTGGATCGGTTGTAGCGTGACGTGGTTATGACGACGTGAGCACCTCCGGATAACAATCCCTTGAGGATCTCAACACCTATTGAACCTTTGCCAACTCCAGTCAAAAGAGCATTCTTGTCTTTAAAGGTTGTTCCCGATGTCGCGATTTCGTGCAGAATGTCGAGGTAGACGCCAGTGAGGTTACTACTATACTCCCAGTTTGTGCCAACTTTACGCTTTAAGTGAAGAAGAGGGACCTTGTCAGCCGACACCGGGGTTACGCTGGACATTTGTGGACGCAAGAATTGTGAGGATGAACGGCGACTACGAACGCGTGAACGTGGCTGTTCAGGTCCTTTCCTCAGCGAACGCACGACTCCCTCGTACAAAGCTTTGATGCGGTTTTTCTGATCTTGACTGATGCCAGGTTGCGATTTCACGACTGTCCACAATTTTAAGACATCGTCCTGAACCTTTTGAATATTCACTGTGGAAATAGTATCGCCACTTGCCATCTCTTCGACGTAGGCTTCCAACTTGCGCACATTCTCACGAACGACCTCGGAATATACGATATCTCCCTTGGCAGTCACTTCAGTGTGAGGAGCAGTGGGGAAAGTGACTTAATCAAGAAATTAAGATTAGCTATCGCATCGAAAGACCACATCATGACTCACCATCTTTGTAAACAGGCGGCTGCCCTAGTACTTCTCTGGTGTTGTCAATCAACTGTTGACCAAATTGTTTCGCGAGGGCATATGTTTCGCCCTTACCAGGGTCGCACTGATCGATGTTATACTGCATGTATGCGAGGAGTTCGGGATCCGCACGATTGAGCAAAGATATACAACGAGCCGTGATTTCTCGGTCAACCGTAGTGAGACGACCATGAATAATGTCGTAGTACATCACAAGGGCATCTTGACGGACCCAGTTCCAAGACGAATCGAAATGCCTAGCTTTCAAAGGATCGAAGATGGGCTGAATACCATCAATATATGAGTCACCGTGTTCCTTCGCAATAGCATCCAGACGAGCTTGCAGTTGAGAGGCATTTGCTTTCTCTTTATCATAGGCGATTTCTCCAGCACGCGAATCACGATTGAGGTAGCGCATGTACAGCTCAACATGCTGCGCAGCAAATTGCTCTTGATCTGCTCTGAACTTCAAGAACTCCTCGCTGTTGATAGTGGCGCCAGCAGCAGCAGAGCCACCTGCTCCACCTGCCCCGCCGCTTGACAAAGAGATACCCGCACGCTGAGCATATGCAGCAACAACGACATCAAGCCATGCTTTACCCTCGCCCTCTGAACCAAGGCGTTTGGGTGGTTCCATCGTCGTTCCGAGAAGAAGAACTGCATCGGCTCGGGATGACCCTATTCCCCACGTCTTCGACAAGTGGCCTTTGATTGCAGACGAATTGAATCCACCGGGCATTTTACCACCGATAAGACGGGAAACCAGACCAGAAGTGTATTTGCCCAAAGCACCGGAATGACCCACTCCAAGGCCCGAACCGAGCTCATCCAACGGTAGTTCCTCCCCTTTCTCAGGAGCCGAAGTAAACTCCAACTGCAAATCACCGAGGATCTCATTTTGAAGCGTGGACTTGCCTCCCACAAGATCCTTGATGGATTTAGTGAGGGGGACTTCCTCGACCTTCTTCTTCAGTTTCTGAGCGATGATGCATAACAGGATCTCAGAAGCTTTGATAGGTACATCTTCTATAGTAGCGGCAGGGCCGCTGGAGGTGACAGGAGACGACGCAGGAACAGGAACAGGTGATGCAACGGCGACAGGTGCCGCTTCGTGGGTTGGCTCTGCGGTCGGCTCGGCAACCTCATCCTCGAATTGATAGTAAATCTCACGAGCGTTCTTGGCATGACAGAGAATGGAACGTTTACGGCTGACTGCATCGTCCTGAGACTCATATTTGGCCTTTAGTGTGCGAGCTGCCATGCCGGTCAAAGTAGGAGAGGGGCCCAGTTCGATGAGACGTTCGAAAGAGAAATGAGTGAAAAGAAGGTCTTGAGTCTCGATCCAACGGACAGGCGAAGCAAACTGATATGACAGAAGCTCGACCAGGATGGTGTACGCTAACTTTTGACGTTGTTCTGCCGAGTCCCAGTTCTCCTGGTCCCATTTCTTCAAGACCTTATCAAGGCGGGGAGAAGATGTTTGATCGTAGATAAGCTGAGCGTATTCGCGTGTGATATCGAAAGGACGAGCGACAAGATTAGGAATATATTTGCCAATTAGCATGTCTGGGTTCAGCAACGAAGCATTGATTTTCTTCGAAAGATCTAAGCAAGAATAATCTTGTCAGAATCCCACAATTGCACAAGCTAACAAACTCACAAGCACGGAAGGGCATAACACCTGCCCACAGATAGCGCGAGTGGAAAGGCACGTCGATGCCTGCCAAAGGAATAGTAGCAAACCCACGGTCCAACTTGATATAGCCTTCAGCGACTTGTTGCTCTTTGGCACGACCAAAGGATTCCATGACAATGTCACCAAGCATTTCCTTTACTTTCTCAACAGAGAACGATTCAGTAAGCTAAAGCACACCATTAGCCCATATAACATATGTAACACTGATCCGACGAACTTTTGCGATGTCAATTTTCTGGATTTTCAGATAGTTGAGTACATTGGTCATCGTTTGCAAAGCAACAAGCTCTCCAGCACAAACATATTGTTGACCCTGTTCACAAAAAAGTTAGCAAGACATAAAAATATACTAAAAGCAACAGATAGTACCTCCACGTTGTAATTAACAATCTCCAACAGCGATCCAGTACGCGAGGCAATAGTGTCAACCACTTCGCGAAGAGCAGCGTCTGAGAATGTTTTTGAGATCCGGCTGGGATTCACTGCACACATGGCATAGTTCGACCTGTTCTCAGCATCGCGCTCAACCGCCCGTTGCATAGTTATACCACGATAAAACACGACATCCACCAAAGCGGAAATATGTAGTACATCTGCGATGGACGCCAGGGCAGAGTACTCGCCTAACGAATGGCCAGCAAATGCACAATCTTTCTGGACAAAGCCTTTGTCACGCATATCCTCAAATGCAGCTTTCTCTGTGACGACTAGGGCAATCTGAGCAAATTGAGTGGCGAAGAGAAGACCATTGGGATGACTAAATGTGTACTTGGGAGTACGGACATCAATGTCTGAGAAGAGGGGGAGCGTCTTCACATTTCCATCTTTATCCATAGTGTCGTACGTCATGTCCATGTACCGCTGGCGAATAGCCTGACCCTTCATGCCTCCGAAATGGATTGTTTTTTCCTTGGGATTGTCTTTGACAATTTCGATGATGGAGAAGCCATATACCGCAAGCAAATGTGCGTCAGCTCCATCCCAAACGGCCCGTGCAGCGGGAGAGCTATTGTAAAGGTCCATGCCCATGCCGGGCTCTTGGGAGCCTTGACCAGTAAAGACATACACTGTTGCGGGTTGCGCAACTTCCGCGGAGCCTTCAAGTACCTTTTCGTCGCGCTGATTGATAGTTTCCACTTTCACGACCATGTTACCGTCACGCATACCAATGTGGCGGATCTTCACTCGAAGTTCGTCACCAGGTAGCACCATTCCAACGAAAGTCACATCATAACTTGTGAAACCATTCAGCAACATACAATGATAAAAGGCAATTAAGCTTACGCCACAACACGATCCGCATTTCCTTCCGCCACGATATTCTCAACATAACGCCTGGTAGCAGCACTTGACCATAATCCATGGGTAATTGTACCAGGAAGCGAAGCATAATCCGAGAAATAAGGATTGATATGAATGGGATTGAAGTCACCGGAAATCTTCGAATACGGTTCATTGGTGAAAGGGGTGCTGAACACCGTGGAGACAGTGTTAGACATGGTATAACCTTCGTTGGTCAGAGGCGTTAAGCGGCCCTCAGGATTTCCATGACGTTGAAGATACGCAAGGACAGGGTTGCCTTGGCATCCCTCCTGTTCAAACTCGACGGAGCCCACCTTGTTCAGCCTCTTCAAATGGTCGCGCACGAAGACATCACCTGTCACAGCAACATCACGATAGGAAGTTTTGTCTTTGAATGTTACGGCAGATTGTATACGGAAAACCAAGGTCGTTCCAGCTTGGAGAGGCTTTGTTTCGTCATCCCATTGGAACCACTCTTTCGATTGAACCACTCCAACTGCGGCATCGTTGACAACTTCCACAACATAATCGGGCTCATCCACAGTTTCAAAAGTATTCTCGTAGTCAACGAAGCGGCCACGATAAAGGAAGGACGACACAACTTCGATGACCGCTTGGCCACCACGATATACATAACCCTTCACTTGAACTGCTTTTCCGGCGTCCGTATTCTTAACGGATGCGATGCGAGCATGAGCAGTGCAAACATCACCGGCAAGTAGAGGCTGCGCGCCATCCACCATACGGAAGCCATTCGATAAGTGCACAAGTTTCAACAAGTCTCCGTCAATGGCAGCAGGGAATATAGATTTCATGATCGCCTATAGAATAGTTAATATCATTTGTTTGTTTGTATATGAAGATAAAACACGCACCTGCCACCCTGTGACAATAGCAAAGTCCATGGGTGCCTTCACAATGCTGGTCCTCGTTGTCTTGAATTCCTCCCCTTGGTTCCCAACGACAGCGCAGAAAGTTTCGATGTCAGAAGATTTAATTGTAACGTCAGGACCAACAAATGTGTCGCGAAGATCGATTTCGGGAAGAACTTCATCATCACCGTACCACAATTTCCAGTAAAACTCCTTGATTCGCCTCGTGCGACCTTCCGCGACTTCATGGATCGGCATTGATCCCATCGAAGGAACATATTTGTACTGAAGCGATAGAGGCACGGAAACATCTCGCCTATCTTCGAAGAAAGTAACATCGATCATCTCGGTATCCTCGTCGTAGTTGATTTCAACCGCCTTGAACTCTGGCTTATGGGATCCATGTGAACGTGCTGCGCCATATACGGTCAATGATGTGGGTTGCGAGTCATCTAATTCCACGACCACTTTTTGCCCTTGACGTGGAGCGAGGACGCGACGGAGAGGATTCTCGATATATGCAGTTCCTTGAACAATGATTTTCGAAGTTAACAAGGCCTTCAACCACGTCAGTTCCGATCCAGCAACGTATTGCAACCAGGTGGACGTCTCTGGTAGCTCGCCATTAAGAGTGTAGGTAATGTCGTCCTCAGTCTCTTCTATCTGAATACCTGCGGGCCTTTGCACGACAGGGGGTTTCGCTGATAAATAATCCACAACAGGCACGTCGTCCTTGTTGCCTCCATATGATCGTTTCAGAAGCTTCTCAATGAGAGAAGAGTTGATGTTGCCTAGCAGATCCTTGATTGGTTCATCCTTGACCTTTGCATATTTCACCGCGACGGGTCCTTGAAGGATGCACACACGCTGTGGGTCCTGGTCAAACACAGCCTCGATATCCTCGGCTGCCCAAAGAGAGTCCTTCTTGAACCAAACCTCGAAGCTAGCGTCAAGAATAGGAATGAAAGGTGCCGGTTTCTGGCCAGGACGTTGAGAGATTGTCAAGAAGTAAGCACGATCCTCAGCAGCGAGCAACTGCTCCTTTGCGGCCGAATATTTGTCGAAGAATTGTTGTATGAAAGCAGATGGCTCGTCGAGGGCCACGAAGCTTTGAATGATGCTCGGCTTCAATCCACCTCCATTGACTCCAGCAAAACGCTCTTCTACACGTCTCAACCAGTCGCCCGTCAAATTCCTCAAACTCGTGTCAATCCATCGCTGCTCGTGTCCAACGTACATCAACCTAATCATGCGGAGAGCAACTTCTTCGTAAGTCATGTCGGCTAAATCCTTAGCGACAGAGCCATCCTTCTTCCATCCGAACCAAGGCTTGGCGAAATCGTTATTGAGCTTCTTAATAACCTCGTCCTTGTGCTCAGCCAACCACACAACACGCTTCTCTTTGGGCAGCTTGAAAACAGTGTCGTCAAATTCTTTCCATAACTTCACAGCACGAGTTGCGACTTTGTGGATAGGTTCTCCAAGCTCAGAGCGGACCGTCAGGATTCCACCAGTAGGTTTCACATATGTGCCTTCCCAGTCTTTGTCGTCGACACCAGCGGCAGCCACTATCAAATCCTTCACTGACGAACTGGTATGGGCTTCCTTAGCGACCATAACCCGACTTGCGAAAAGGAATCCGTCGAAAGGCATAGGTTGCACATCATAGTGGTCGACCGACCACTCACCCGTCAGGTAGGGCCAGACATCCTCTGCTCCACCAAAGCCAGATCCACCAACGAGGCAGATGTTATCATACTGACGAATAGAGCTGTAAGTCTTCAAGATGGGAAGATGGAAATCTTCGTAAGAGTGATGCCCTCCGGCACGTCCACCCGTCCACTGCAAAATGATAGGGAAATCGGGATTCGAGGCGGCAATGTTCACTACCTGGTTAATACCCTCAACGGATCCAGGCTTGAATGCAACATGCTTAATTCCAGCACTCCGTAAGCCTTCGATAATCTCAACGGCCTTCTCAGTGCTCGGAATACCGGCAGCAACACAAAATCCTTCAACCGGCAATCCCTCTTTCCGCATCTCTTGCCAAAGAGGGAACTGGAATCCGAATTGCCGAGGATTAATGTACAGAGCATTAAGAGTGATACCAACGCCAGCTGGAATCTTGCTTTGGATTTCCGCGACTTTGGAACGTAAGGCCGCTGGGTTGTAATGCCCTCCACCGGCGAGCTCCACGTGATACCCAGCCGCAAGGACTGCGCTAACGAAACCGGCTTTGACAGTGGTAGGTGTCATACCAGCAACCATGATCGGAGGTTTACCCAAGAGACGGGAGAAAGGCGTATCAAGGTGAATCGTGCCATCGCTAATTCACGTCGTGTCAATCGACACTCCAGGGATCCAAACAATAGAACTCACCCTGTTTGCACAAGCTTAGGCGCATACTTCTTACTCCACCACTCCTCGTACTTAATCGCCTGAGTATCAAAAAGTTCCGCCTCACCGCGACCCTTGTCTCCCAAAACGACAACCCGTACACCTCGCCCGTCCAGATTACGTGAAGTGAGAATGCCCATGCCATTCATCCCACCAGGACCAAAGTCGATAACATGCGTTGCCGTTTCAGGGAAATTGGTCGCCACATTCCAATGAATCGGCTGGGTGAAGATCTGCTCACATAGGGAGCGCGTGATGGACGTCGATAATGAACGCATGTCAGAACCTTCATTAAAACCCGATATCAGTATTATCGATCTCAGTATAAATTGTGCTATGCTTACCATCTTCAGTGTTAAACACCGGGGTTCCTAGTTCCTCTACATTCCACAGCTCTTCACCACCCAAATCTTCATCACAAAGCTTATCGGTTGCGGGACTCAAATACGCGCTATGGTATGGCACATTCACCATCAAGAACCGGACAGAGAACGATGGTTTCCTTTGAGAGAACGGAATCTTGCTCTGCTCTTCTCCAGAGGCCGCGCGCACTTTACGCAAGTTGGTCACAAGACCGTAGAGAGCTCGTGGAGGACCGGTAACAACGAAGTTCCTTGCACCATTGTACAAAGACACAGACAGCTGTGAGTTCTCAGGAAGGTGTTTGTTAGTCTTGAGTAGTTGTTGCTCAAGTTCCTTGACGAGAAGGCCGTTGACCGATAACATGGGAGTGGGGGTACCCTCACCACCATCAACCGAATCCTGAACTATGGCTGGCTCGAGTGCTAAGACAGGGAAAGCTTCCTGCCCGCGAAGACCACAGAAGAAGAGCCAGCGAAGAGCTTTCTTTGCGTTGATTGTAAAAGACTCCCAAGTACTCGATGCGGATATGGCAACTGCAGAGACGACACCTTGAGAATGCCCAGTTGTACCCGAAATGCGCTGACGAAGCTCCCCAGGCGTGAGCTCAGAAATGCGACATACGATAGAATATTGGACCAGCTGCGTCAGTCCGATGAGAGGTAGGGAAATGGGAACCGAGGCCAAGTAAGCAACAGGCGGGCGAGGCACGGTACCAGATAGCCATGAAATGACGTCCAGACCATACGCGTAGAAATTTGTTGATTCGCGCTCCAAGGCAAGAGGTTTAAGGATTTCGTTGGAGATCGCAGTAATAAGGGGAGCTACGTATGGTTTGTAGGTGTCGTAAAGAGTCTGGAATTCGTCGAAGTACACTTCATTGGTACCCTGACCACCAAAAAGTGCATATATAGAGGCGTCGCCTTTGGTTGCCGCTGTAAGAAGAGCTGAAGGAGGTGCACTGGGAATATCAGAAACCCCTTGGGCTTCGAGAGTTGCACGAGCTAGGTAGTAGGAAGAAAGCACCGTCTGCTGCACTTCCGTGTCAAAAGACAATACGAAAGAATGCACGTCCTTCTCCGTAAGGTAGGTGGAGACGAAATGAGAAAGGACATTGAAAAGAAGCGACGTGCGTGCTTTCGCGCATTGGGATTCACTATTTATCTTCTGCGAGATAAAGGCAAGGAAACGGGCAAATAAGTCTGTTGTAGCCTCTGCAGCGCTCTCAAGCTCAGCAGTGTTATCCAGGGCATCTAATTGGGTCTGAGATTGAGTGAAGTCATCTCTAAGAACTTCAGCTGCAATCCATTCATCGTTGTTCGTGGACACTGGGATGGATACCTGCAATATAGATATGACGACAGTCAACGATCGCGACACCCAAAAGAAAATTTGCAAAAAGCAAGGCACAACGTACTCTAATATTTGCAATGGATATGATTATAGGACGTGTAGAGATACCATGTTCGCATGAAGCAATTTCACCAGTCGAGGAGGACATTTTGAAAGGATATGGGGGGCTTGACGTCGTCGTGAAAGTCAGCGTCGAGGATAAAGAAGAGTGAGACTCGAACAAGGGATTTATACGAAAGTCCCAAGTCCCAAATTTTTGTTTGGCCCCAACTTGGACTGAAATGTGCCATGCCCCCCAAAAAGTTTTGTCACATGACCTGTAAGACTATTTGCTCTTGTACGCGTCTCATTACGTATACTTGACTACTCAAAGTGGAATTCATGTTTGAGCTTCCACTCGGCAAGTCGCCACGCAGACTGGCGAGAGTAGACTGGCAAAAACGTGTACAGTATACCCTAGACAATCCAGGTGACTGGCTATGTTTTACCCTTAATGGGACCGTCATACTTCACGATGAGCCATTGAACCTTAATAGAGTATGTTTGATGAGCCTTCTTCTCTTCTCTTCTTAGTGACCCAGGAATACATCCCGTCGTCATCTTCGTGTGTCGATAACGACGTCTCGGTGATGAGCCTATGATCCCCATGAAATATATATGTACTATGTGGGTGATTGGTATCACTCATGCCCAACAATTACTACGTATTCTCTGCAGAAACGGCCAGTCACCTTCTATATGTTAAACTTATGTTATACACGTGCCAGAATGAATTAGCTTTGTCAAGGAAATCAACACGAGACACGTACAAAGAGTGTACGCGAATGCCTTGAGGCTGAAAATGAGGCTAACATGTGTAGATACTACTACCAGTGATAGGAGATATCAACCATATCGTGATTCGGATAACACACATGACTTCGTCTCACATTCCAGATGGCCCTGTACAAGATAATAGGGGTGATCGTCTTCGTGTCTGCGTGGTCGCAAAATGCACTTGCGCTATCCGAGCTTTAATAAACACGACCCGCACCAGCTGGAAATACGACGTGGCAATTTTATGCCAAAATATTCCTGTAGATTGTACTACAGTGGTAGCTATATATCATAAATAAGACCATCCATTGCAATCGAGGGCAACATACTACACCCTACATTCCTTAATCATGGGCCCTTTCCACTTCGACCCTCTCTTTCCACTTCCCAAATTTCCCTTATTCCTTCTCTAAACCACACTACATTCCATTCTACTAGCCCTCTCCGCATCTCGTACACTTCACTTGGCAGAAGGGCAAGCAGAGCCAGGTGAGGGGTCACCAGATGGTATGTGAGCGTCGTACCGGGATGTGAGGGCGACAGGGAGGTAGACGCAGAAGGATAAAAAACTGGTTTCGAGCCTGGTGTCATTGGCAATGTCTTTGGGAGATTAGAGACGGTCGGAGGACCTATATTTGGATGAATGGGGTTTGGGGACGCAAGAGATGTCGATGGGGAAGTGATCGCTGTAGGTGGCGGTGTTGATGGGGACTGGTCGGGAGGACTCGAGTCGTTTGTCATATTGGATCTGCTGACTTATGAGTTTCATAAAAGGTGTAATGAAATATGCCTTACTTGAACAGTGGTCCGAATGCATTCAACATGTATAGATAATCGCAGCACAGGTTGTGAGTCGCTTGATCGACTGGAGATGCATCTGTAGCTACATATAACCTACTAGTGGTATCGAATAAAAATGCTTTTGGGGAAGACGTATTCTGTGATCCATGAGAAACAATGAGAGAGCTGTATGCGCGGAAAACTCACAGAACAAAAAATATTGAGCAAGTCTTCGAGAAAGGAAAGTGAGTCGACAAGTTTATGGAGAACGTGAGAGAAAGCATCTTGGAGTGAATGGTCATAAACAGATGTTAGATGAAAGTTCAATGGAACTTGTTCGTATTCAGGGGATTCATCCGCAAGACGGTCCATTACCCCTTCGTGTATCAGCCGATAGTATTCTAGACAGGCGTCAGGAGTGAGAATTGACGCATATATAGCAGCGTACCAATTTTATCGTCCTCCATCAATTTTTCCGCCTTGTGTAAAAAGACTTCAAAGTTGATGTCAGGGTTGACTTGGTGAGCTGCGACCATGAATTCAACGAGTTTGGAAATGGGTTCCTGATAAAGGGCCTATGGTCAACAGATCAATATAACTTCTCTAGAAGACAGACTACGTCGATGCGACTTGCTCGGATATCTATGACAAACAGAATTGTTGTGAACTCGGATAACGGAGTATCGAGGGAGTCGACTGTGACGTCGCCTGGACAATCCCATATTTCTAGAGGAATGAATGTGCTGATGCGTTGGTTAGTACTGGTGAACGAACTATTAGAGATGGATGTCGACGCACTCAAAGGCATGTTTCGTGATCCGCTTAGTTGGCTCGATGTAGAATGTTTGCTTTGGCGGGAGGTTGTTGAACAGAACCTGTTGAATTGAAGTCTTGCCGCTCCTTCGTGGGGTCATGTCAGTGTCGCAGAGGAAGAGAAAAAGGGACGCAGACCTCTTTGTGCCCATGAGCAAGATCTTTGTCCTGCGAGCGAAGTCATTGGAAGGTTTGAGTGCCAGGCTGTCCTGCATGGACGCCATGACTGTTGGTTAGATCGGCGCAATGCCGGGTGCAGAGACTGTAAGAGCACGGGGATAAGAATTTCCTTTTTGAGCGCGATCTTGGCTTGGTGCTATTCGGACACCGACACACGTTCGAGCGAGAGTCTTCCGACTCTGACGTTGTCCAGTGTCCCCCTTGCTATTTTGCCTTCACGCGCGCATCACTTATCGCGCCTCTGTTCATATCAACACTTGCTTCTGCCAGTACACCTTACCTTTCAGAAGTATATAGCGATCTGCAAATGAAATTTGGCAGGAAAATCACTGTGCGTATTTACCCATTGACCCCGTCTTGCCAATCTCACAATGGCCGTGTGGACCACCCAGACCGACCTCTACAACGAGTGGAGGCCGTTCTACATCGACTACAACTTGCTCAAGAGAGAGCTCAAGGTTCGTCGTGCTTTCTGTGGTTCAGGACGTAGCATAAATTGTAGCTGTGTAGAGTCGAACGACGTTTCATGACTGGGATGACAAGGATGAACGTGAATTCACTGCCATGCTCGAAAGAGAGCTCGACAAAATTCACGACTTTCAAAAGAAAAAGGTTCGTTCAACGTCACTCGTTTGTATTACTCACCTTGACTCATTGTGCCCATCACAGACGTCAGAATTATCTCGACGCATACGCGACGCGGAAAAAGACGTTAAACGACTCGTAGCCCAAGAAACACCCTCTCCTATCAACGCTGCCGACCTCGAATCCCATCAGCATCGCCCAAGTGAATATGGCCCAGACGAGGGCTCAGACGACGACGACGATTTGGATGGAGATGCCGAGTCTGTAGACGCACTTGAAGACCTCTTCCATGGGCTAGAGGAAGAAGTCGCGACTCTAGTCGCAGACGTGCATGACCTTGCACTGTATACCAAGCTCAACATTACGGGATTCTTGAAGATTCTCAAGGTCTGTCGGTGATGCTCGTGACTTACGTTCATAAGCTGATTTTCCACGTCTTTCAACTATCTTCTAGAAACACGACGTATGTACAACTACCCATATATTCTTTCTCGATGCTAACGCACAACTCAGAAACAAACAGACTTGCCGCTCAAACCTACGTTCATCCAAGACTACCTGGAAAAGCGACCTTTTTACAAGTACAATTGGGACGCACTCATAGTAAAACTTTCCAAGCTTTACAATCTCGTGCGTACACGCGGACATCCGGTTCAGGGTGATTCCAGTGCCGGTGGAAGCCAAAGTGCTTTTGTGAGACAGACGACAAAGTACTGGGTATGTTCTTTCCCTAGGTGACATGTTAGGTAGACGAAAGAAGCTCACGTGTTTGGTTCAGGTGCACCCGGACAACTTGGTACCACTCAAGTTGGCTATTTTAAGACATCTACCAGTTTTGGGTGCGTGCATTCGACACTTGACATAGTTCGATTCTGTTTACATTACTCCTGTCAGTCTTTGACCCCGAGAAGGAATTCGAGGCCAAGGACGCCGGTTAGTGTCAATCCAATCGTTTATTCCGGAGGGTGAACTAACCTTTTCACACAGCCATCACCTCCATATACTTCGACAATGAAGATCTCGACCTCTACCTCGGACGTCTAGAAAAAACGGAAGGAGCCGAAGCTATCCGTCTACGGTGGTACGGTGGCACCGACGTAAAGACGGTCAGATATTACCTGTTGGTAGTTATTTTATCCACTAACATACTTCGTTATACAAATATAGATATTTGTAGAACGCAAGACACACAGGGAAGATTGGACTGGCGAAAAATCTGTAAAAGCGCGTTTCCCCATCAAGGAACACCTCGTCAACGCGTTCCTGAAGGGCGAGTACATCATGGATGCCGAATTTCAGGCCTTGGTCACGAAAGGAAAGAAGAGCCAGCAAGAAGTAGATTCGATGATCCAACTGGCAAACGAAGTCCAGTATCGTGTTTTGACAAGCAAGTTGGCACCAGGTACGTTTGGTGTAAATCCGCGGAGCTTGGCTAATATATTTCTACCTTTAGTCATGCGTTCTTTTTACAATAGAACCGCATTCCAACTTCCTGGTGATGCCCGGGTGCGCATTTCCTTGGACACCGAATTGACCATGATTAGAGAAGACAACTGGGATGGCCGAATACGCGCTGGTGATAATTGGCGGCGAACTGATATAGGCATTGACTACCCGTTCGACCAGGTGCACGAAGAGGACAAGGAGCCTTTCAAGTGCGTTCCATTTTTACAGCCTAGTAAAGTCGATATCGTATTTCTTAACACTTGTCGGTTAGGTATGGTGTCCTCGAAGTAAAGCTGCAAACACAATTTGGCCAAGAACCACCCAAGTGGGTCACTGACCTTGTTCAGTCACATCTTGTGGAAGCTGTACCCAAGTTCAGGTAAGTCAAGCTCCTGATACCTACGTTGCTACAGCCTGTAAAGATGGCGTATTCAGTAAATTCATCCATGGGTGTGCCACGCTCCTTCCCAATCGCGTAGACTTGGTACCATTCTGGATGCCGCAGAGTAAGCATGTTTCCTGCTCATGTCCTGTCTGTCTTTTATATTAAGCTTTGTTCAGTGGATACCAACATCTTGAAACCAAGCACCGGCTATCTCACCATCGAACGTCCTTCTCATGTTAACTCTTTGAAAACTACTCCTGAGGCGCAGTCATCCGGCCATGTCACGCCATCAAGCCAGCAAGAACGTGCGTACGTCGAGCCTGTCTCGGAAGGCGAAGAAGACGAGGCAATGGATCTTGCACCCGCGAAAGATGAGGATAGACGCACTGGTCTGACAGGACAAGCCGTCGCCGAAGCCATCGCTTATCGCGAGAAAATGCTGAAGGAACGTGAACCAGCCGCTCCTTCCGAAAGTGTCATCAGGCGAGATATGGATGGTGCCGCAGCACGAGGCGAAGGCAGCGGCGAAGGCCATGACAGCGACGCAGACGACGAAGCTGAAGGAGATGATGATGAGCACATGCCGTTCCTCAAGAAGCAGCGGTCAGGTGCAGGTGAACAAGGCAAAACTCGTAGGACCCTATCCATCGATCCTCTCGCGCCGTCCTCTGCGTTCGATGAAACGCTGAGGGAGCGCTTGCAGGGTGCATACACGGAAGATAGTAATGAGCGACGTGTTTCAGCTGAAGCGAGTCCTGCAAAAAGGCGGCGATCCGAATTTGTTTCCGAAGAGCCTGAATCTCCCCAAGAAGAGGATAGGTTACTGGTCCGAGAGTGGGTTGCTCCTTTGGGCAAGAAAATTGCGGTGCCTGTTCGCGTCGAGCCCAAAGTGTACTTTGCCAACGAGCGCACATTTATCGTAAGCCATCTTTTTTTTTTTTTTTTTTTTTTTTTTTTCTTCTTCTTCACTGCTTCATCGGTCCTGATCTTCATTTTTCCAGAAATGGCTCAACTTTGCTGTTCTCATTGGCTCGATTGCAACCACTCTGCTCAACTTTATTCCCCCTGATGACTATGTTGGTCTTATAAGTGCCATCATGTTCACCGTGGCTGCCCTGCTTGCGATAGCTTATTCCGCCATCATATTCGTCTATCGCGCTTTGAAGCTCAGGACGCGTAGCGCAGATGGTCTCTACTACGACAAGTTTGGACCTACCGCGCTTTGCGTCGTACTGTTTGCAGCACTGGCAACGAATATCGGGTTAAGACTCGTTGAGATGAACGAGTGAAGCTGATTCTTGGCTAGCCAGATGGACTGTAGACCTTCTTGATGTTTTCTGGTTATATGATATGTATTTAGGGATTGTCCCCCTAATTAATAGTTCATTATGCATCGTGCGGCCTACTCTCATTAATACCAATGTCGAACCGCCTCAAGCATGTCCTCGATAAATCGCTGTACAGAAAGATCTGAATTAATATTGTTTTCCGAGCCGGTATAAAACATGGGTGATTGGGAATAAATTCATATGCTTGAACGTCCGAAGAAAGAAGATAGAGAACTTGCGCTGAGAGCAGGAAGCTAGTGACGACGATAATAGACAATACCCTTCATAAGTGATAAGAGAAAATACCAACGAAGATGCGATTTGATGCGGATGATGCGTTGGAACAAAACACAAGTTCAATTGAGAAATGACGAGAAATGGGACAACCAGAAAAAAGACGGTTGAGAGCCCTTCAATTATGGTGTCCTAGCGGAGGGTATAAGTCCTTTAAACAAACAAACCGTCTAATCCATTCGATCACAGATCCCGGTTTCACGACATCTGGCTTGCGCTCTCAGCACTCGCATCTATCCTCCCCCACTACCGCGGACCATACCCATAAGCACCCTGAGGTGCGGGCGAAGCTCTGCCACCTACCACCGCACCAGGTAATGGGCTCCTCGATCTATCATCCATCCCATATCCTAAAGCTACCTGTGGCCCGGGAGAATGTCTATTCGCGGTTAACGAGGGCGAAGCACGGCCCGTCATGTCATACGCGAGATTTGGCGCAGGACTCCTGGTTCGGGACATTTGGGTCATTGGAATTGCCTCCGTACCGTGCCCAACGTCTGAGGCCCCATCATTGAAGGTATTCGGTATGGGGCCTCTATATGGGTCATAATATCCATTTTGGCCGTAGCCTGGATCGTCACGGTAAGGCTGATTAGGATTTAGGTGAGGGAGCGGAGGAACTGCGTATGGGTCTGAGGTTGCACCGTATAGCTCTGGAGTGGAAGTGGTGGCAATGGAATGAGCATATCCAGTGCTAATACTAGGCGCCCTATTCAGATTCACGTCCGAAGCACTCTCAGCGCCAAAGCCAGAGCGTCCGGTGGAGTTGGTCGGTAACGGATGACTGTCCTGTCCGTGAGTGTTCAACTCTGGCCACTTGATAGCTTCGTCTGGGCATCACGTAAGTGAAAAGATAGCAACATGCGGCTTGCGTTCTAAACTTACTATCGTCAAAGTCAGTGAAGCGTTTCCTGGTGAACTTCCAAACGAAGAAGGAGATTATGCCGATAGCAGCGACACCTCCCGCGACGGAGAGACCGATGATGGAGCCAGTGCCAAGCCCGCCGCTACTGCCGCTGCCGCCGCCACCGCTCGAAGAAGTCGTAGAGGCAGGCGCGCTAGAGGTGGGTGTCAAGGTGAGGAAGACAGTACTTCCATTTGCACCCGTGCTTGCGGAAGTGACTTGATCTGTGCTGGTGTCAGGTGGCTTTGAAGGCGTACCAGTAGTGGTGAGCGATGTCGTCGTCGTCGATGAGGCTGACTTTGCTGTGGACGATGTGGAAGGCGTCGCTGAGGGCGAAGCGGCAGACGAAGTAGGCGTTGTGGTCGTCGACGGAGGAGTGGTGGACGTCGAGGGGGGCGACGGAGTGGTGGACGGGGGCGTAGACGTGGTCGAGTCTGATGGAGAGGATGGAGGATCCAATATTCCATCACGTGGGTGGAATACCTGTGTGCGCTCGTCTAAAAGATCATAGCGAGGGGCAAAGGTGAGGAGGAGGACTGAAGATGCTACGAAAAGGAACAGCAGACACCGGGTCGCCTTGTTCATCGTGTTTTGGACCAGCGACCAGACCAAAGAAAAACCAGTGATTAATAACGAGTGTTCTCTAGTAGTAGTAAGAGGGAAGCAACGTCGGGGCTGATGTCGTCGTCGTCGTCGTCGTTGGTGCCGTTGTGCTCGCTGTGTGTGATAGGGCGCGGTGAGCAGCAAACGATGAACTGAGAGAGAAAAGTTGAGTGATTGATGAAGGTGCCCGGTGGCGGTGCCATTGGGCTTCAAGGCGTGACCTGAGGCGGTCCTCCAACACCGCAGTCTACCGCAGCTCCCATTCCTCGGATACACTAGCCTCCATGCGAATTACCTGTGCTCACTCCAATCACATACCTCATTATTTGTGTCCCAATTATCTAGCCGCATATATGCTGTACAAGCTCTCTTTTTCTGCTGTTTTCTATATTCTCCTCAGCTGGTCTCAAGACCTCACTCTGCTGACATGCGTGGACGGCATGGTCTAACACGTGCCAGTGGCTTGTCCAAAGCAACGATCAGCCCATCCTCGTCTATCTTATCAGTTTGCCATCTCCACACCAGCATCTCCATCTCCGTCTTCACCTACATACACACAAAATCTTTACATTCTCATCACCCGGTGATCTTTAGTATATCCAATGTCCACTCCAACAAGCACTTCTTTCTTTTGGCCTGCCCAGCACTTCGCTCAGAAATAAAATAAAGGGCGTATTAAATGCTATGCAACGGTCTCCTAGACTCGTCGCCAAGTTACTACAGCGACATATTGCAGTTGGCAGAATACTGCACCATCGCTTCTCCGTTCCCCACATGTTTTGCACAGCAATAGCCTTTCAACCTGTCAGCGGCTCCCATGCCATACACAACCCAGAGTGTGTGTGTGAGCTCCGCACTCTCGTTTTAACCAGATGGCTGAACGTTGAACTTCTCGTGGGATGCTGGCGTTTCCTGCGCTGATATCTGGTTCCACAACTGCTACAATCATTCACATTATAGTGTGTTTCGCTGCTACATCTCATATCATACGGTAAACTATTATATATACTTATACACTCATAGTAAATGTTTAGAAAACAGCGCCCGTGTCTCATCACGATCATGATCGGATTCTATGCGCCCCGTCAGAACCCCTTGCTCGGGCTTTTACCGCAGACATAATTAGTGCCTCGAGTTTTCAATACAATCTCACATCTCCTTACTAGTTCGATGTATACGTAGCACAAAATAACTAGCCCAATGTACATTTCTCATCATACTCTAAATCCCCAACAAACCAAGCATTATCGATGCATTATCAGTGGTACGTTGACTTACCGAACTCATCCATGAAACTTGGAAGACGTGCGGCCGCTATTAATCAAGTGAACGCCTCCCCAAGAGTTTCGCGATTTCGCGGTGTTCCTGTAACCAGATAGGGAAACTCGACTCCTTGCCTTCTCCTTGTCTGGTCTCAATGAGATAGTTGGCGAATACGATAAGGGTCCCATATCGATATCTAACATAGAAGATTCACAAAATTCCCTTGGCGAAAACACTTGACTATACGCACAGGTAATTCACAGCGACGCTCATCAGCTTGCGTTGTTTCACGCTTCCCTTCTCACAGGCTTCTACTTTCAGCTTATAGCTGAGGTACAATCATCAGTATTGAACACCAGAAAACGTTGTGAGATGTTAACGTACTCATATATAGCCTTTCGTAGATTCTGCACGTCTTGCATCAAGTCGATAGCACGATCGGTCAACCGTTTAGCAACCTTGCCGTGCGAGAGCACACCGACGAGCTGCAGAATCGTCTTGTATTCTCCTGTCAAAAAAGGGGCCAGTTGTCAAGCCATCCTCCGACTCTATCTGCCAACTTCGTACTTACCTTGAAGGTACGCCTCTTCTTCCGAAGGGCCGTCGATTGTGTCATAGTCATCAGTCATGGCTTCCTCATGGCCATCGACGTGATCCTCGCCCCGCCAATTCATCGTTGTAGATATCAAACATGCGCTGACCATTCCCGTCGTAGTACGTCCTCGGCCCATCTGGCAGTTGAACACGAAGTCGCCCGCTCTTGGATATCCAGACCTAACGCGATCCAGTAATTGAGACAACGCGTCTGGTAGAGGCGCTTGTTCATCAGTCTAGAAAAGCAAGTCAGCTACAGAATCGAGAAACTCGGACATGATCAGCTTACAATCGCAACACGGTCGTAATCAATCTAGAGTAAGTATTCAAATTGAGCGGTAATTCTTAACACCTGTTATCGAAGGTTCGTACCTTGAAGCCCTCATTTGACATCAGATCAAAGACATCTCGAGGGGTCATGATGTCCTCTTCTGACACTGTTTCCCAAATTGGTACGATCGAGAACACGCCGGGGCGTTCCTCAATCTCATCGTGTAACAAAATGCGGCCTTTCCCGGCTCTTACCTCCCGCAATACATCCTTCTTCAAGTTTTCTTCCATTGCCTCAACTACGCTAGTGGTCACACCGGTGGCCCTTGAGACATTTCATCAACCCCTCGAAGAAGTAAAAGGATCTACTCAAACTACTTACTCAACGTTCTCCAGAGGCTTATCAACGAGGCGTAAAACGTGAGGTCTTCCTGCAATATACAGGACAGGCTCCTAAACAATGATTGAGCATTAGGTCGGAAAGTGTGCTCAGGGAATTACTTCTCGTAAAGAGGTCCAGAAGACCATATTTTGGCCTTGCAGACCAGCATCTACCCTATTCAATGCGCGCCTCAATCTGGCATAATCGTGTAAGCCGATGAAAGATAAAAGAACAACTGCTATCATACCCTTGCACAGTAGGCATCCCGCTGTGGATCGTCAATAAGAGAAAAGGAACAGATACTGTGTGATGACCCACCTCCCACAGACCATCTTCCCATCACTAGCGCCGCCAACCACGAACTCTGTCCTGTCTGTCGGTGAAGCCTGGCCAGAGGAGATTAATCGTAGTGTCAGTGGCACACGGCGGAAGTTCGGTGATCCGTCGATACGTCTACACAACACAGATTATAAGACACGATATGGATATATGGGATAAAAGCCTACTCAGGTAATGTCATCTTTTGCAGGTTAGAGAAGAAATCACTCTTCAGGATCGTTGAAGCAGATAAGATGCCCCCTGATCGGTTAACTACGACTTGCTTGACTTCATCCGGATGGGCCATGCCATTCTTAACATCAACCCGTTCCAGAGGCTTCAATGCGTGGATGCCATCGGCAAGAAGTTCTTTCTCATAGGTCTTGAGGACTGAGGCCAGATCAGGTATCACATACGAGATAAAATCACGAAAGACTAACCTGGTCTATTGCGAACAAAAGACTCAAAAGATTCAACAGACTCAATCGTGTCTGGTTCCGTGGAATGCAAGTAGGCTTGGAAGACGATGAGCCCAAAGTAGCGTCTCAAGTTTTGTAGCCCTGGAGAACCAATGAGGAAGGATACCACGGAATATAGACTTCCTTCTATATACCTTTTGATGCGTGACTGCGTCTCTGTCTCTCATCTGCTGCTTGCTCTGCTTGCGCACGTTCTTCTTCGATGGAATCTCGCAGATTGCAGACGACAGCACAGCGATCAATGGCTTCATCAACAGTGTTCTTGACAGTAGGGCCCTTCCGGATGACTCGCAGCAGATCTTGAGGACATATCACATCAGCAAGTATATACGACAATAAGATGAACTGTTCATACTATTGATGACTTGGTAGGATTGGCGTAGGTTCACGGGCTCGTGCACCCCGTCGAGCTTCGCCATAGACATAGTGGAAAGGGAACGATGGAGGAAACGTGGTGATCTCTGCGATAAAGTTCTGGAACTCGCTAGCCATTGTTGAATCAACAAAATAATGATCTAGTAGGAGTAGGGGTGGCCTTCAGGACAGAGAAGAGAAAAGTCACGATACACGAAAGTTACTCACCGAGGTCAACGTGCTTCTTCCCCGGCCAAGCTGACAGTTGACTACTATCGCAGTACTCTCAGAATCAGAGCGAGTGATCACATCTAAGAGTTCGCTCAAGTCTGTGAAGTCAGCCGGTCTCTCAGCTGTAATCGGGATTCGACAGTATTGGAGTTCTACACCATCCCCAACAACCTTCCGCGATGCCATCAAGTCCTTAAGAACAACGACATTGCCGCTTTGAACATCTTCCCAAACAGGTATCACAGCACCGCCAGGAGTCTCAGTGTGTAGAAGTAACCTGCGTTCAGTACATGTGAATAAAATGTAAACGGTTACCGTGGTAAAGCACATACCTCCCACCAAACTCGTTGAGCTCAGCAATGACATCATCTCTGAGCCGCTCCTCTAGAACTTCCAAACGAGAAGCTGAAATACCTCCATAGTCTGAAGTCAAGTAGAAAAGGTTATCGGGAGCGCATGACAAATCATGAGTAGTGTTACCTTTCATATTTCGAAGGGAGAACCGCTCCCTTCTTAGACAATATGGTGCACCATTGATGTATACAATTGGCTCTTCTCTCAGTGTAATCCAGACGATGCGGTCTGCATGCGGATGAGCACTCTTCACACGATTTACCACTTCATCAACGGCCTCAACAGTAGGTTGACCCAACGCGTAAATATTTGTTCCAGGAATATTGCGCCAGTTGATTGCTCCGCGGACACCCTGCTCGACCTGGTGAGATTCACTGAGCCACTGGTCCGACTTAAGAAGGGTGCTTGGGACAACATGTAAGACACTCCAGTAAGTAAGTAGGAAGAAGAAAGAGGCAAACCTCTCTCGCAAGATAATTCCGCTACGATTCTTTTACGGGGATACTTTCAGCACGTCAGGAGGTATTCCAAGATAAAAAATTACCTTGACCACGTGATCAGAATACTCGTCCCCCAGTAATTGTCCGCCAGCAATCTCAACATCATTCTTTTGCCCAGGGACTAATGCTCTGTCCTCAGAGCCGGACTTTGAAAGCAAAGACAGGTCATTGACTGGTGCGAATACGTTAAGTCGTGAACCGTAGGACTTCCTGAGGAACATAACCTGACTGCAAGGTGTGGCATTAGATAATGGGTAGAAACTCGATGCTTGGAGAAGACTCACTTCCAGATCTCTGTCCTTGTCTGGCAAAGTATCAACATACAAGCCTTCTTATAAATATATATATATTTACCTTTAACCAGTCTGAAAAGCTCTGCTCCAAGTGGTCCTCTGATTCTACATAACTCGCAAAAGCGATCATAAAGAAGCTAGATAGTAACGTCAGACCTATTCAATATCGTGCGATGACAACATAATACGACGACACGTACTATTTCTCGAGCGCTCTTCGTGCCTTTTTAAGAAACTCTTCCCTTTTGGTCTCGTCTGTAGTTGCTAAAGAGTACCTAATTCTATACAGGATAATATCTTCCCTTAAGTTTGTGACATGATCGCCTATAAAAGATTGTTGCTGTTGGGATAAATAAAAAAAGTGAATGAACGATACATACATGCATCTATCACTCGATCGACCAACTTCTTAGCTTGAAGACCATGATCCAAGCACCCCAGTAGGCTCAAAATCGTCCCATAGTTGCCTTGGTGTGCCTTGCGCAGGTTATCCAGTAGAGTAGGCTGAGCCATGAGCAATTCGATAGCAGATTCAGAGTGGAGATCTAAAAACTCCAATAATGAGAATTTTTTTAAAAGATGAAGTATGAAATTGTTTGCCAACTTCGCTGCAAGATATAAGTTAAACGAAGCAATGATTTATTGTTGTCTTGCTGGGCGTTTGCATATTCCAAAGATTGCATGAGCTTTAAGTCTGTTGCTAGCTAGCATATATGTTGAGCTTGAACGATATGAGATTGAAAATTTATTATCCAAATACCTGATTTGTAGGCTGTAAAGACTGTTAGTTTCTCTGGTACGCTGAATATTTGAATTACTCACAGTACTAATGCCAGTATTGCCACTACTTTGTATACCACTATGACCATTAGTGATACCTGGTACCTTCCTTGCATATGGATCTTCGAGACCATTGGACAAGAGCAACTTTCTTCTGACAATCAAAGCAGCTATCATTGCAAAGGTCGTCCTCACTGCGCCCATTCCACAAGAAAATACGAGCGCTGTCCGGGAAGGATCTGTATTCTTGATCACGCGCAAGTATGCATCAAGATAATTGTCCTAAAAGTACCCCGCAACTAAGTGGGAGATTGTAAAACGGACCAAATAAACTTACTTCAATAGGCCGATCAGGGGAAATGGGTATACTGGTTAGTATAATTTTGTTAGAAATCAGAAAGGGTCTTGAACGATATGGGACACACCGGTGATACTAGATGGATAGAAAAAATAAACTGTGAAATATGAATGGTAAAGTGAGAGCGTAATCCAAACCTCCACATTCCAGCCATCTTTTTGCATGTTATCCCATAACTCTCGAGACGTCCGTACATTTACCGAGTCAACATGCGTCCATGTGGGTAATATAGCACCTTCTCCACTGTCTGCAGCTGGAAGTCAGGGAAAATCCACATCAGTACACATGACCACAGTAACATCGAGTTTTTCCGTGACAAGATGTACCTAGCTCGTTGTGCGTTAATATCAGACCTCCATATCTGCAATCAATTCGTTTTAAATATCCCAACAAGGAATGTCGTAGGTTCTTACTTGCTAGCTTCCTGCAAAATGTCGGATTTCAAACGCTCCTCTATAGCCTCAAGGTTTTCTGCTCGATCGGAAAGAGACAATGTCTTGCGTGGTTCCGAAGAGTCGCGCAACACGAAAGGGCGACCAGAAAGATATACTGAACATACCATGAAAATACAGTGATTGTGAATTTCATGCGGGTATACAACGCAGTAGCACTACAGGTGAATTCACTGTGCTCGAGCACTATACACCCTGATCCATGCACAACGAGGTTACGAAATGATTGACTTACCAATTGGCTCTTCTCTCGTTGAAAACCAAATGACATGCGATGGGTTAGGTGTGCCAGGACGACATCTGAGAACGGAGAGTATGGCCCTAAGACCCTGTGTACGTGGTTGAGCAACCCCAAACACGTTGAGATTGCCTTGACGAGGTGCTCTGAAGTTGGGGGCGCCATGGACGTTAAGATCCAGGTCGAGGGCACGACCTTCGGGATAGCGTCAGGATGGTCCGGCCGAGAGTGCTGAGGCGACATACCCGATGGATAGTAATCCGTCTTCAAGATCAGACCTCTAGATAACACACTCCCTGTTCTTGTCTTGACAAGTGAAGGCTCAGACCGCTTGAGATGCGTCATTAAGTCGAGTGTGATAGGACTGTCTTTGGTTGCAGTTGCGACCTTGGAGTCACTAGCAATTCGTCCACGGATATCTATACCCTCGAGATTGCCTGCATCTGTCTGGACCTTTGGTTCTGTGAATGCTTTAGTAGTCAAAGGTACCGATGCTGGCCGCCCGTTGGCTCCCATCCTTGCTTCTGTTCGGATTGCGTTTCGCCGTTCTGCCATTCTGGATGATATATTTGCAGTTTGGAAAGATAAGGAAACGTTTGACACTAGAATCCGATGTAAAGCTTTATAACTCGTGGTTAAAGGGCATGAGCAAACTGAACGTGCGCTGGTTAACCTGGGTCTATTAAAGCACCGAGTAATGCGATCATCGACTTGCAGGAGAAAGCGTGTACAGTCTCGGATTTTGACGTAACCACGTAAGGCTAGACGTTACGTAATTTAGTAGTCGCATCGGATCCGGGTGGATCTACAGATAGCGGACTTTCAGATTGGCTCTCCGATGGGCAATTAGACCCGCGTCATGACTATTTCCAGTAAGAACTGTACAGTTTTACGACCTGTGGCCCTTGCCACCCATTAACTTACCCTTAAGGTTAGGGTTTGCGTCCACAGACTTTCAGTCCCTCGTCAAGATAAGAGTCGGATTTTTGAAAACACCACAGCAATTTACTCAAGTCAGTATGTCCTCGCATCACACTCCAACACCCAATAACTAACACATTCAATCCTGCAGTAACCTTACGCATATCCTACAAAAATGGCAGCTCATATCAGCAAAAAGCGCAAGTTCGTAGCTGACGGTGTATTCCGCGCAGAGTTGAACGAGTTCTTCACTCGTGAGCTCGCAGAAGAAGGTTACTCTGGATGTGATGTTCGTGTCACCCATGCCCGTACCGAGGTAAGGCCCTTCATTGTTTAGCCTGTACATATATCTTACTAATAAGAATACATAGATTATCATCCGTGCTACCCACACCCAAGAAGTCCTTGGTGAAAAGGGCCGTCGTATCCGTGAATTGACCGCGCTTGTCCAGAAGCGTTTCAAGTTCCCTGAAAACTCCCTCGAGCTTTACGCCGAAAAAGTACAGTTCCGTGGTCTCTCCGCCATTGCTCAGTGTGAGAGCTTGAGGTACAAACTCCTTGGTGGTCTCGCTGTCCGTAGGTATGTACTTCAGAGTATAATCAACTTACAGGTATAAATCAATATATTTTCAGGGCTTGCTATGGTGTCCTCCGTTTCGTTATGGAATCTGGTGCCAAAGGTTGTGAAGTTGTTGTCTCAGGAAAGCTTCGTGCTGCCCGTGCCAAGTCGATGAAGTTCACCGACGGATTCATGATCCACTCTGGTCAGCCCGCACGGGACTTTGTTGACTACGCAGTCCGACACGTCCTGCTCAGGCAGGGTGTACTCGGTATCAAAGTTAAAATGTGAGCCGTCCTTGAGTTCAGATTTCGGACTGTCAACTGATGGCCTTTCTGCTAGCATGAAAGGTTCGGACTCTGAAGGTCTGGTCGGTCCTCGCAAGCCATTGCCCGATTCCGTCCAGATTATAGAGCCACCCGTCGACAAAATCGTCTCCGAGCCTTCCTCCGAGTCCCGAGAGCCAGTTATTGTTTCGGCTAACCAGCCTCCTGCAGAGGAGCCTGCCGCTGCATTCGCTGAGCCTGCTTACCAAGCTGATGCATCATTTGCTGAGGCCACTTTCTGATCTATCAGTTGTGGATTTACCGGAGAGGGTTGAGTTTTGTTGACTGTACTCGTAGTATATGCATACTTTACAGTTTGTCATGCAGCAACGATAACACGATGAATGCACTATCATGTTCAAAGTATTCAACGAATGTTATTCACATATTCCGTTCCCGCTAACTTATAAATGAATAAATGAACAATCAATCTCGGAAAGGTCGACATGTGGGTGCTTGTCCACAAGTTGTTGGCATCGACTGCCATATCAAAATTTGGTCCGACTAAGAGAGACTACCACAAGTCAAGTTCGAGACACATGACGACAAAAACCGCATTGAACACATATTTGTAAGATTCCTGTGAGGGCCGAGTGGAATGGCTCTCTCCTCCAAGATGTCATTGCTGAGTATCAGATGGAAATCAAGTGCTACGTGTGCCGAGCAGAGCGAAGTAATATTCCCTTCGGATAAGACGAGCCCGAGTAAAGAGCGTGCTGTCACTTTCCATTGGAAATATATGGACAATAAATATCGGCGAATGCGTCAGAAGTTGGAGGCCGTCTACTGAGTTGATTATCACGATGTTTCAATAATGAGACACACGAAAGACACTGAGAGTACTTACAATGTTGTCAATGGTGCTCTGTGCCATGGATGCCATTGGCTCCGGCGTTGGAACAGTCGATTTTAGTAGTGTCAGATGTCGAAGAGTGGTACCTTGCGGATAGAGAAGAACAAAAAACGCACTGTACAGTGTCAACGCTTCTAGTACTAAGATAGAACGTGCAAATGGGGAAGGTGGAGTGCGAGGGCAAGTTAAAAACAGCCTTGTCTTAAGGAGAAAGTGTAGTTTCAAAAACACTGTGAAGTTGCGGTGTCAACCGGTCAACGCAGACAACTAACTGGACCAGAATCTCGAGCTCAAAAGATACAAGGGGATAATGTACAAGGTCACGATGCCTCCGCGTGAAATGGTGTCCCTATCTGACCTGTGCATAAATCTAAATGAATTAGAAAGGGACTTGAGTGCGTTTTATAGTGAAGACGCTGTATTGCACTCTGGAAGGCCTTGCCAATCTAAAAAGCTTTTGAATCCTTTGAACAATATGCGAATTTTGCTCCTCGAAAGCATAGGAATAAGCCCTTCCACGCCTGAAAATGCGCATGACAGAAGACGATAACGGTATTGAGTCTGGCAAGGCTCGGATACTAACAGTACGCATTGTGAGCGTGAGAACAAATTAGTACCATCGTCCCAAGTTCCTACTGTTGCTACTATGGTGCTCTATGGTGCAATTACTTGATATCAGTCTGGCTATCAGAACAATCCTTTGCGTTTTTCAAGTTGGCTGCTACCCAGCATGAGTCCATGTGCAACGCTTCTCAATCTCTCATTCCCGAATCACCAGGGATGAGCATTACCGTGGCTCCCCAGACTTTTACCTCCAAACCGCCCGATGATCATCGAACTATCTCCATGCACGATATGTAGAAGCAGGCGAGCACACAAACATGCAATAGTGTCCTTTGGTTCACTCGACATCTTTTCAACGACACGCTTCCAGGACATACTAATTCTCTGCTGGTACTCTGATAATACTATTACACAGGGCCGGAACGTCCAGGGGATTACTTGGTCAGAGAAAAGCGGCATATGCAACTTCAATCTATTCCTTCAGACCATCAAACGATTTACCGCTGAGCGCTGAGGCCTAAGGCCCGGATTTTGCCCGCCCCCTGTCTCCGCTATCCGCCGACCACAGGCAGTTTTTCAAAGTGGGGATAAGAAGTAAGGCATTTGTTAATGAAGCTGGGTAACATGTGCTGTCTACGCTATAGATATGTCCTCCGCAGATACTGATTATCTGCTGACCAGTGCGCGTTACGACACCAAGGTTCTGAATATAGTGTGCCGGGTTTCCTAGGGCTTCGTGAGAGCACTGGTGGTGTCCGCGCTACGAAGAGTCAAAGCGGTGAACGTAGCCCACCACTGCTGTTGTTTTTAACTGCAATAATTGAATACATGAACAGTGCCCACCGTCTGACATTACTTTCAAGAAACAAATGAGGTTGTTCTATTCAACTATGCAAAGCGTTCGGGTCGTTCGGAAGCAAGTATACGGGCTAGAAGAAGTGTCTTATGTGATTGCAACATCATGTGTATGTGCTCATCCTCCGTCATGGTCTTCATCTTGATGCACGATGCTAGAGCGTTATTAAAATCAGACTTGAACAGCCAATTTGGTTAACGCTCAAGCCGGCCACCTTTTGTCCAGAAATAACTATGTGTTTCTTGTTCGGTTGAAATCTACCAGCCGCCTTTTGTTCAGTCATCTCATAATTTTGAATAGGGTCACAGTACTTGCTTGGAGATGGGAAGAGAGTGAAGTGTCAGTGTTGTACAAGTAGAAGTTTGATATTCAAATCTTATTTTTCAGTGTGAGTACCGCATTATCACCCAACAACTCTGAACAATTAAAATTATGCTAACGCGAAATGTAGTATTTGTTTTAAGGAATATGGCTTCACTTCAGGACTCTGTGGGTGTAGCGCCTGCCCTGGCGTTTCATCTTATCCTTGGATCGAACCGGAGTATTCTCATTTCGCTGTGCTTAGTATTTGATTAACCTTCGTACGCCATTGGACCACCTGACATGTCTTGCCAGATCTCCTTGTACTAAGGCATTGGTCATATGCGTCTCTTGGTCAAGTCGGCCTTGGACCCGGTTTTCTCGTGTCTCAATTTGTACTTGGGGCGCTCAACGTTTGTGTATAAAATGCTTGCAATTTATCCCTTCTTCACCAGCACTCTCGTTCCAATCCTCATCTACATCTCACAAACAATGCAATTGACTATCCTCTCTGTACTGGCCAGCTTGGCTCTCTTCACTCCGTCTGTGCTCACGCAGGGCGGCTTTTCGTCGACGTGCGACAATTACTATGTGACTGGTTCTGTCTTGTACGCAGACTGTGAATCGGTCAGCGGCACATACTATGCTACTGAGGTTGACCTCGACTACTGCCTGGCCAACAACGGCGGCTCGCTCATATGCAGCTCTGGGTGAGTATTATGACCTGGATGCTCGAATCCCTCGTTGGAGTGGTATGTACTGACAGATCGACATCGGCAGTGGCTCCTATAGTTACACTTGCTCCGGGTGTTCGCTCGAGTCTGGCACCTACTTTGGTTGCAGCGCGTGTAGCGACTGTACCGATTGCGGTACTTCGTCGACTGGTATTGACCTGGGTAAGTCGCTCCATCCCATCTGTTATACACTTGTAGTTCCATCCACTTATCGTGGTGCGCTTCAGACCAATGTGTCAGCAATGACGGCGGTTCTCTTTCTTGCACTTAAGTTGGAGCACAAGAACATTTCAAGGTATAGGCTCTATCAGTCTTGATCTTAGACTTATTCCCTACTAATCAGAAAAAATGTAGAATTTTGTTTCTGTTCAAAGGGCTTGTATGAGGGTGTATACAGTTTCTTTTTTTTTTGTAACAATGATGTTTATACCTATGTCTTTAGATGTATTTCATGCGTTGTGACGAAATATACAATTCCATTGAGCGGTACTAAAAAAATTGAATACAGTGATTTAAGTCTGCCGCCACACTATCGAAAGTATAAACAAAGTCCGCGAGTTGAACTCCGAACAAACTTCTACTAGCAATTTTTTGGCACTTGGAATGGGCTCTTAGTTATTCGACCTCGGTAATATGCCTTGCTAGACACTCAGCTATCGACCATTTTGAGCATTCCACATGGAATCTGAAGGCGATGACTACAGTTAGATCAATGATAATACCAGTGGGTTTTATTTGTTATGATTATAACGTATGTACGAACAACCTGGTCTCCATACGTCTGGACCATTGATGTACTTCAAGTCTAGGCTCAAGCACTCTTGGTGCTACCGCCGATATTTCAGAAGCGCTGAATGAGCTAGCATTCGGATTGTGTATTATCTACGATTGCTCCGTCCCGGAAGACTGGCTGACTGATAATCATAATCTTTGGCTAATCTACGTATAGATCAACAGATCCACATGCTTTGGGCATGGTGCGCGGCTTGCACGGGCGGAATGTGCACTCATGCTGTGGTATACGCAGAGTATTTGTACGATGTTGGCCACCACCCTAGCCCGACCAAACCTGGACTTCTGGTCCTTCAACCTCTGTGCATTTTTCTATTTCCATCCTTAAGTTTGTCTGCTCGATATGCCGTACATCAAGGCCCATTGCCACCCCTTCCTTTTTGCCCTAATCACCGTCTGCGCCATGGCAGAACTTGGCTTGACGGCGTTCTTGATCAACGACAGTAACGAGAAGCATAATTGGCCCAATCAACGCTATCAATCCCTGTACGTCGACATTATGCCAGTATTTACTCTTGCTGACAAGTATGTTAGCGTCATTCTCATGGAATTCAATGCTGTTTGGACCACGGTATTTGGGGCAGCTTACATGCTGTGGGTAGTAGACGGAGCTGTGCATGTTCTCGCGGGCATTGCAAGTTCTGTGGTATGGTTAGGCATGACATGCGTTCTTTGGGTGAGTGTATTTCAATACAATTGTGTATGAGTTTGTCTCAGTTCAGTCTGCAGGGCACTGCTGCTGGCGTAATGCATCAGACGCGAATAGGTGGGGCGTGTACAGCAACGCTATCTGGGTTTGTGGACGAGAGTCTATATTGTGATTCACCACAGGAGCTGAGTAGTGTCCCCAGATGCAGGGAAACGTTGACAGTGGAGATCCTTAGTTGGGTAGAGTTTGGATTGTGTTTGCTCACTCTGATAGGGACTTGCTTGTGGGTGCGGACGAATAGGAGGAACCATGTGAGCGATTCGCGTAGGCTGGTATGAGAGGACACCGGACAGATTGATGGACATGTGGGCATGTACGAACAATGCTTTGTGCTCTATGATTATTTGGACTACAGGCACGTCAATGGATATAACTGTATTACGTATGGGAAAGCTGAACTACATTATGAGACTAGACGGGCTCGATAGGTCAGTTGTTCATCTTATGAACCGGCCTGAATTTAGGACTTGGAGCGAGAGATGATGGGTCCGAGGAACTTGAATTTGGCGGCATAAGGTCATGTTATGAGCTGGCGGTACTCCAGCGTCCATTGACCTTGATCGGCCAAGGCTTTGATGTATCGTATCTCTCCGACACTACATCAGCGGGCTACCCTTTGGTACCGAAATAAGTAAACGTGTCATCGTCCTTGTCGTTAAAAGTGGGCGCTGTGTCCCAAAGATGGGATGAAGACACTCAACGTGCGTGATTGCAATTGATTTTGCTGCTCTTGGCGAGTTCTGGTCGGCCGTGTTTTAGGTCAACTACAACGTGTGGAGTCGTTTTCAAACGTAAATATCTGTTATCGAGGATGGGTCATCGAGGATGGGTCAGGATTGCGCTTGTCTGGATCAAAAGAAGAAAAAAAAGCTTCTCTTGGGAGAGTAAAATAACACGTTGGATGTTCGAAACTAGCGTTGTTTCCGTGGGGATGATGGTGGTCTTTGGAGGGCACGTTGCACTGAATTTGCTTACTTTTTGAATAAGCTGTGAGTTGGGACTAAAGATGTAGCTCGGGAACGCGACGGACTCGGATGCTGGCGCGGCGCGACTCGGTTCCGTAACGCGACCCACCATTATAAAATGCAGGTCATAGTTAGGAGCTAATCGCCAGCTCACCACTTTCAAGTGCAAACCCGCCAACGAAAACGTCCCCATACAAAGGGAACAAATGGCACATATCAATCCTTGTTTTTCTTATTATTGTTCTGGACATGGTGGGTGCCTTCAGATGTGCGCAGTGTAATTGTTTCTGACTATTCAATCCAAGGATATGGTCACGCTACCAGAGTTTCTGCATTCGCTTGCCATCTCCTTTCCCTCGAACCAACCCCCACTGTTTACATAGTCTCTTCTGCACCAAAACACGTATTCTCAGACAGCATTAGTGCTGGTGCTCGATACCGCTACGCTGATATTGACCCTGTCATTGTACAACCTATTGCGTCAGTGACATCATTTCATTTATTTTACTTGCTAACGTTCATCATACTACCAGTTACCGAGTGGATCGACAGAAGAGCTTTTCGGTATTGAAGGACTTCCTTCGAAGAAAGGATGTCATTCTCGAACAGGAAAGAGCATGGCTTGCCGAAATATGCGCTGATTGCGTGCTCAGCGATGCAGCCTTCTTGGGATGGTATGTGCAGCAGTATGTCTTTATATGTTATGTTTACCATTGACATTGTACCTGTCCTACGTAGCCTGGCAGCCAATGCTGCTGGCTTACCTTGCGCCCTCATAACCAATTTCACTTTCGACTCAGTGTACAGTTATCTGTCAACAGGTTTCAAGGACCAGCCGGCTGTTCTTCAAGCGATACAATCTCCTTCTGACAACTCATCATCTTTAGAAGATTTCGTTCCAGATATCCCCATTCCTGACTGCGAACTCGAGCCTCTCGTACAACAGATCTATGACGGTTATCGTTGTGCGGACCTTCTTATACTTTTACCTGGCTACATCCCTATTCCTTCGTTCGCTCAAAACGTAGCTTTGCCATCTCCTTCATGGACGGATCAATCTACAAACACTTTACGTCAAGATATTATTGCACATCTCATCCAATCACCCTCGATATACACATTACATCCCCCTATACCCTTCTCTGACACGAACTCCTCTCTTCAAACCAAAGCGAAACCTCTTCCACGTTCTGTTATTCAGGCACCTTTACTTGTACGATGTCCATCGGAATCTTCTTCAGTGTATACTCCCGAAGGCCGCTCGAGACTCCTATCTTCCATTGGTGTCCCACCGCATCTGCACGATCCAGACAAGACCAAAATACTGATCGTTTCTTTTGGTGGTCAAGTATTCCGCAAACCATCAAGTCGGCCTAGTTCTGGCGACAAAACTCCGTCTAGAACATCACATACACGCTCTCCTGGGACTCCAGTGAATTGTACCTTCGCCGAAGCTCACTCTGGTGGCCCACGCGTGCCCCCAGTATCAAGGCTGCGTGAAGATGAGATTTGCCATCTTGTCGATGGTTCACCTCGCAACAAGAGAGCATCCCTCCCTAGCTTAATCATCCCCCCAGCTACAGAGGTTGAAGAGTCTCCCATCACCATGTCACCCAGGCTCGCTACCACTTCACATCTATTTATACCAGGCGCTCCTCCAGCATCCAAGCCTTCGCCAACAACACCTTCAAGTGTGTGCTCTATTCTTACCGAGTCCATGACGTCGATGTCAGTCTTTGACCATGGCTGGAATGAAGAGAAATCTTCAAATGTCACAAGTTACTCGTATTTCGACGCAATCATCAGTGAACTTGATGGCCCTCGTCTTCTCCCTGATGAATCCTGGATCGCCGTCGTGTGTGGTGTATCGAAAGAACAGTGGAGCGTAGAGGGAGGGAATGAAGAGGATGGCTTACCAGAAGGATTCTATGTCGCTCCGAAAGATGTTTACATGCCAGATCTCACAGCAGCGGCAGACGTCCTCCTAGGGAAGCTGGTAAGTTCAGGAATAGAAGTTCGTCTACCTGTTTAATACTCAGTTGCTCATCGCTTTGGGTATTTAGGGGTATGGAACGGTGTCAGAGTGCGTAGACTCTTACACGCCCTTTGTTTTCGGTGAGACATTTGTTCCCCACGTCAGCTCAACGTGAACTGAAGTTCTTTTTAACAGTATCTCGCCCCTTATTTGTTGAGGAGCACGGATTACGGCTTCTTCTAGATCGCGATGGAGTAGGAATAGAGCTTTCTCGGGGTTCATACGAAGCGGGAGATTGGGGATCAGCCGTCGAGAAAGCTTGGTACCTCGGACGACGTGCCAAGTCGATACGAAGGGGCAGAGCAGCGCTAGGGATAGGTCTAGAACAGAGGCGCGAGGAGGGACGAGAGTTGGCGAAGAAGGTTGTGGATTGGACCAAGTCATGGCATGGATCCTCGACAGACTCTTAAAGACAATGCAAGCCAACATCTGGTGGCACAGTAAGGATTAATCACTTCTAACTTCTAATATATGACACTGCTATTGGACTTGTATCAGTAGACTTTGAACCATTAGTACTTGGACTACTTGTTTTATTTTACGCCGTTGTAGTGGACTTGCATATGCGCCCATACAATATGATCCGCAAAACAACCCTGAGCAAACGTAAAGGTCCGAGTCAAAGGGGCTCAGCCCAATCTTAGCCTTGGCCGGCTTACGGTGTCCTCCGTCCTTTAGGCCCACACGTGGCTTACCGCCCGCTCACCTTATAACGCCGTCTCCAGCTGTGGCTCTTCCATTCGACTAGTCATCTGGAATAGATAGAACCAGTCTAGTATATCCATACAATGTCAACACCATCCAGACCTGTGAACATCACAAGTCCTCGACTTCAAACTCATGACACTATTTCAGGCTCTCCCACTCCCGTAGGAACACCAGATCTTCGGGCCTTACGCGCTCAGTACTCTGGCACACCTCCTCTGCCAAATATCCCAGCGAGATACACGCCAAATGGTCCGAATCGTGAAGGCTCGCCTTCTGTGTCTGTGGTTCCTGTCTCAGTCTCCGCATCGCATCGACCATCCTTCGGAGGTGCGAGCGCGCGACGTCCAGGAGCAGTCGGTACCCCAGGGAGTGGCAGTGATGCAAATCCTTTAGATTTGGACGACCTCCCAGACGAGGAGAAGGCTAGGTTTCTGAGGAGACATCTCGTCTACAGAACTGACAGACACAACAGAAGTGATGCAAATTCTGTTGCTGGATCCGATCAGGATGCGCATGCTTCGGAACAGGCGCCGTCCCAGCGGTCTACAACGCCAGTGGGGCAATCTGGAATGCGGAGTGTAGATGTAGAGGCTTTCCCAATCCCATACGATGCTCCTGGTGCGGATGTTACGTGAGTCGGGTTATTCACGTTCTCTTGGCTTTCTTGTCCTGACTATGCTTTCAGGCATGACATCTACAAATGGCATACAGACCAACGGCGGCAGTCAGCACGGCCTCGAGCCTCTTCTTTTGCTGGGTCAGAGGCGCCACACAATCCCGCCTTTGACCATATTCACGAGCCAGGCGGATTTCGACGTAATTATGTCTTGCTTCGTGCCAACGAAAATGGTGAAGAGGAGCCTCGCGTACTGAATAATTTCATCGACTTTTTGATGATCTTTGGTCACTTCGTAAATCTTCTTGTCAACTCGTATGGGTCCTTTGTACTGAAATCATGGGCTTAGGCTGGAGAAGATCTTGAGGAAGATGAAGAAGAGGACAGACTTGCAGACGAAGAAGCTGACGCTCATGCAGGACCTTCTGGAGCTTCCGCACTAGCGCAGTCAATTGGAGCTGACGAAAATCAGCCGTTGCTGAGCTCCAAGCCCAGATCACGCTCGCGACGCAGAGCAGCGTCGGTGGGACCTCATGGCGACGCTACCATGACTCAAGCTATATTGATGGTATATTTTCACCTCTCATTGGTCTCCACTAAATTGTTAACTTCGTTCCTTTCTCAGCTTCTGAAGTCATTCATTGGCACTGGCGTGTTGTTTTTGGGCAAAGCGTAAGGCATATTATCTGCACTTTATCTTGCCTTACGCTGGACTTTTCACTATATAGGTTCGCAAATGGTGGTCTCATCTTCTCTCTCGTAACAATAGCAGCTATTGCACTAATCTCGCTTTACTCGTTTTTGTTACTTGTGAGAGCGAAGTTCGTCGTTTCCGGCAGTTTTGGAGGTTGGTTTGGCGGCACATCTTTGAAAGGATCACTTTCTCACATCCTTCAACAGATATTGGTGGCGCTTTGTATGGTCCCTGGCTACGATACGCCATTCTGAGTTCTATAACTATTTCCCAAATTGGCTTTGTCACTGCATACACTATCTTCGTGGCTGAGAATCTTCAGGTAATTATCCACTCCATGCGTGTTACTGGGCCATATGAATATGAGATTTCTAGGCATTCCTATTAGCCGCCAGCAAATGCGTGACTCAAATGTCTGTTCCGGCCCTTATTCTCGTACAGCTCGTCATATTCCTTCCGCTTGCCATGATTCGGAATTTGGCGAAGCTAAGTACAGCAGCTCTTGTTGCAGATGTGTTCATTCTAGCCGGTATTCTCTACATATTTGGGAGTGAGTTATCGATCATTAGCAAGGACGGAATTGCCGAAATAAAGATGTTCAACTCGAAGGATTTCCCACTCTTCATTGGGTAAGTGTCGATGTGGTTATGCCTGTAGATGAGTTCTGATAATGTCTCTAGAACTGCTGTGTTCTCATTCGAAGGAATTGGCCTGGTGAGTGAGATATGGATATGGTTGAGTAGTTTACATATCTGAATTCTTGGTAATAGGTCATTCCTATTACCGATGCAATGCGCGAACCTCGCAAGTTCCCCAAAGCACTGACGGGTGTCATGTTATCGCTTTTAGGTGATTAGCGCTGAAGTTTTTGGACGAGATGGTTTACTCACTTTTATCTCGTTTTTAGTGCTTTTTGGAGGGGCTGGTGCTCTGTCTTATCTAACGTTCGGTTCGAATGTTCAAGCCGTGGTTCTCGTCAATCTCGATCAGGAGAACAGGTTCACTCAAGCTGTGAGCATCTGATACTAGTGGAGACGATCCTTCTGCTTTCTGACTCATCCGACTTTCAGGTTCAATTCCTCTACTCCCTTGCCATATTGCTTTCGATACCCCTACAGTTCTTCCCTGCTGTCAGAATCCTTGAAAATGGCATCTTTACCCGTAGTGGGAAAGCCGATCCGTATGTCAAGTGGATGAAGAACCTATTTAGATGCGGTCTTGTCATGGTTTGTACTGTTATCAGCTGGGCGGGAGCTGCGGATTTGGATAAGTTCGTCGCTCTGATTGGAAGTTTTGCTTGGTACGTTTATTTTCGCTTCGTATTGTGTACATGCCTTAATAGTGGTGACTAGCGTTCCATTGTGCTTTGTATATCCTGCTATGTTGCACTACCGTGCGTGTGCACGAACGCGCAGGGAGAAGATTGCAGACATAGTGTTGGGCGTATTCGGTGTGATTGCAGCAGTATACACAACTTACCAGACGCTGAAGGTATGTAAAGATGACGTCTCGCTTGCGATCGATTCTGATGCGATGCCCTTTCTGTCAGTTGATGGCTGAACCTGCGCCTGGGACCAAGCCCGGCAAGTGTGAAGTAGTGCCTTGAAGGTCTGGGAAATATGAGAGTGTTCACGTTTCTGAAGTAGATATGTGGTTTGACAACATGGAGACACTTGTCGCATACTAATACTTTACCTCTGCACACACTTTAATATAAAACATAGCATGTTCGAAGTATGTTCGTTTACTTTAGGATCGCAATCAGAAGTTCATACGTGTTACATAAAGTTGGTGCAGAGAAGCTTGTGTTGGAAACCGCTGAGCTGTAACTTGGGCGGACTACTCCGAGTCGAGGTCGGTTATCGAGCAACGCCAACGTCGAGAACGCTTTATTACTCGACGTCAAACCATCGTCAAACACTTCATCAAACGCGGATTTAGCAGCGCATCTTTCAGTCTCGGTTCTACGGTTATTCACATCGACAGTAGCCCATTGTATGTGTGAGTCTTTGTCGTTGCCTCGTGTTCTACTGCCGCAATTAAGGTGATATCCGTGTTGGTTGACACCAATTATACAACGATAATGCGGCGACTACGGCATCGATACCCTCTGTGGCAAGTCACGATGGGCATGCAGTAAAACAGTTGCCTAAGGCGTGCCCAATGCAGGGTTGCAATTGTGTATCCTCACCCAAGCCACGAGAATGGTCCTTCATATGCCTTGTACTTCCTTTGACGAGTCTTCGGTTCCCCCAGTCTCTCTTTCTTCCCCCTCTCGTGTCTCTGAGAGTCCCATTCGTTCTTAAGTTATGACCGGTGTACAAAGTGCAACCATCGAGCTAGTACCTGCTGTCACATCTCAGCCTCGCATCAGACGTAAACCCCCGCCAAATCTCGAATCAGACGCGCGTTATCCTGAGCCCGATCCCCATGATCCATTCGCTCCTCTATCGGTGCTTCGCAGTCGCACATCGAGCACACTAGCTTTCCTGTCTACTTCTGACCTGCCGTCGCTTCCATACACGGGGGGCGGGCCATATCCTCCCAACCCTTTCACCGAACAGCACGCAGGTAGTGCGCCGGCTTCTTCTGAGAAGAAGTACGAGTTCGCAGCGGGATGTAAAGATTTCCCGAAGACACCGAATGCGGAGCATGCACCCCGGCGGCCATGTTCACAATTGCATCCTTTGCAGGCTCAGAACCCAATTCACCAGAGAAGGCGATCGCAATCGGCCGTTTCGCGAAGAGAAGCTGATTTCTCGGCTCCTTCGCCAAAGCCCTCGCCCTACGGACACCAGAACTTGCAAGCTTATGTGCTAGCCAGTTCAAACTGTCAATTCGCTGGGCGCTCGCCCGGAGGCTATTTACAACCCGATACAAGTAATGCCATCCGAAACAACAACATCCAGTTTGTGAGGCAGTCCTCTCTCCCTGGACAGGCTTTCAACGTATCGGTATATCCTGGTTCATCACATTCACACCTTCCTGATCTTCTACAAGACCCTTCCAAGCCTCGCACCAAAGCACTCAAATTTTCTCGCCTTCTTCCATCAAGGAGCCGTTTGAACCTTGCCCAGAGCTCTACAGAGAATATCAATACTAGGCTGAGGAAGCCTTCTCAACTGTCCTTTCCGTCTACACCCCTGTGCACACCTTCAGACTTACCACCAGCTGGTCGAGTCTCCAGAACGAGGGATTTTCCTGTGGAGAACACCTTCCGACCTCGACGAAAGTCATCTGCCATATTTTCAGCAATTTACCCTTCCCTAGACACATGCATGTCTCCAGGCATGTTTATTGAACCTCTCAGTGACGTTGAGCTCGGATACGTCAGCGAGCCGGAATCCTCTTGTTCTCATTCAACCTCGACACCTCACATCTCAGCCCCAACAGCTTTGATGCCACGAAAAGCTTTCACTTACCCCCAACCACGAGCGAACGTACCGTCAGCACGATCACCTGGTAGTGATCTCGCACGCCCTAACAAAACACAAACACAGCCGGCAGCTTTTGATGAAAATGCTATGCCTAGCGCAAAGCAACTTGCTGATGCTGCGTCTTGTTTCGTCATCGCTGAGAATGGCTTGCGCGTGCCTTTCGGTGATATATACAAGGACCAAAAGACAGTAGTGATATTTATCAGGCATTTCTGGTAATTTACCATTATCATTTCCTTTGACGAACTAGTGATTGATTTTGATGCATGTCAAAGGTGCCATCTTTGTCAGGACTATATGACCTCTATTTCAGAGAACGTGGACCCGAAGGCGCTCAGACAGGCAGGTGTACAGCTTGTCATCGTCAGCAATGGTTCATACAACATGATCAAATCTTACCGTCGTACGTTTCTCACACACCTACTCGGGAAGTCTTACTCATGATGTTGATGAGCAGGGATTTTCCACTGCCCATTCGCCGTCTATACTGACCCATCGCTGCGCGTTTATAAAGCCCTTGGAATGACATTACGGGCACTGGGATCCGGGTCTGGGCCACGGCGAGGCGGGTATGTGCGGCACGGACACGTACGTGGATTGACTATGGTGATGATGAATGCACTACGAGTTGGGATGCCTGTTTGGGAGAAGGGAGGTGACATAGGACAACTAGGAGGGGAGTTTGTGTTGGGACCTGGGTATGCATTTCGTATGTTGACTGTTGAGCTGAATCGCTGACCCTTGTACATTGCCAACCAGGATGACATGTACGTTTGCTCATCGCATGCCTACGACGAAGGGGCATACGTCAATAGTGGATGTCCTTGCTGCTGCAAATATTGATGTGTTAGCGCGTTGCGAGGAATGGGTCGGGACCACTGGGCGGTCTCTGCAACTGATGTCCGAAGATGACGAAGAAGCGTGGATGGAGGAGAGGCGCAAAAGTTTAGCAAGGCTTAGAGAGAAGAAGCGGGCACGAAGGGGAGCTAGCTTTTGTGGAATTGAAAGCCTGGAGCAGAGCATCCTATCCGAAATTATAGAACACAACGAAAAACAGGCATTTGATTCGGAGGAAACTTTTGTCGGTGGCTCAGGAGCAAAAGATGTTATCACAGAAGAAGACGAGGAGGAGGAGCGAGAACTGGAGTCAAGAAGGGAGAATGTCGATGGAGACGTTACAGCGGAAGAAAGCAGCTTCAGTGAGGGGGACACTTCGTCGTCGGAGACACGACGAGTCCATGACGCCAACGATACCAACGACACCAATTCTAGCTCATCAGGCGGTACGAAAACTGACGAACATGATCTCAATCGTTTACTGGAAAAGATGGTTGATTCTTTCACTCCAAATTTAGAACTAAACCAAAGCCTTGAAGTTTGTGTAGCATAACCGACAGGTGTGCTGCATGTTTAGGCTGTGATGCGACGTGGTCTTTTTTTACCTTAACATTAATGGGATAAAATGTGTATTTTTAGCGCAATGAAGTGTACGACTGCTGCAATGTCATTTTTGTCATGCTTTATTAGATGCGAATCTAGTCCAGCAATGTAGGGATACAAGTGTGTGCGTCGCCAGCCCAAGATGGATAGAGGTTGCTCTCTGATAATGAAGGTTGAATTTGGTGGATGGAGACGGAGGTATCAGCTTGAGAATTAGGATATAAGGGTGGTCTGTGGTTATGCCCAGTTGTCGATAAGGGAATCGCGCATCTCTCCAATGACTGCTGTGGATTCTTGTCCTTGCAGCTCTGATAATCATAAGCGTTAGAGGAGGCGATTCAATTAATAAACAGTGGACTCACTGAAGGTAGCTTCGATGACACTTATTTCCGTTGCTGTTGTTTCCAGGCCTGTAAATGCACACCAGTCATTTACCACTAGACCCGCGCCAATAACATCTGAACCACGATTCACAGTTCCAGCCTATTTGTGGTAGTCATATCAGAAAGGGAACAGAAGATTCAACGATGAACTTGAAAACCTACAACTAGTGGAATTTGCAACAAGCTACTCAGCTCATCCTGGTCCTGAATACTTGTTTTAGGATGGACTAGTCCTCCTTGATTCGTGATCGCGCTATAACTGCCCACGAGGACATTATCAGCGACCGTCTGGCGGAAAACTTCTACTTTTAGTACATCTGCGATGATCTCTTCGGTCTCGCGGTCGACATCGGGGTGGACGAGGGCGACGTAGTCGTTGCAGGCAATGACATTTCCGAGGGCTGAAAGACGTTCTTCGACACGTTGGATCGCGACGGCATCGGGCAAAGCATTGCGCAGATGCTGTAGCTCTTGATCGGTGGTTGTAGATGGTACGAGGAGACCGTGTCGGTTGCCTGCGCCGAGTAAGAAGTCATAATCAGACCATGTCAACTCCGATGCATCAAGGATCCCTGCACCCACCAGCCGTCAATCGTCCTATTATACGGGTTCCGCCGATGGATGTATGGATGATGGGGATAACATCACCCAGCTCGCTTTCAAAAGCGGAGTAAAAGTTGGTGCTGCCCTGTATGGCAGCTAGGCAGTATGTGTTGGTGAGTTTTGCGAATACACCGATATCGCTGCTGTTTTCGAATTGTATACCTGATGTAATGGGTTAGTTTTTTTCTTTGAAAAAAGTTGAGCTGATAAGAAACGTGAACGTACGTGTAGCCATGACTATTGGGGATGATCTTTTTACGCTTGGGTTTGCTTTGATGTAACTTGAGATGAGAAGATAAAGTAATGTACAGTACAGTACAGATGCTAAGACGGTTGCAGAAAATGTTTCTGCGAATGAAGGGTGCGATAACAAGTTCTGAGCCTGCCGCGGACTGAAGATATACAAAAAAAATAACCGCCAGTTCCAGTCAGGTTTGGTCATCTATCCGGTCCCGCTTTCGTAGCCGTGACCTTGCTTTCTTCTTCTCATTCCGAGTCTCGACGTACGGGCTCGCGTGGTGAGTCGTAACAACACAGCATAATATTTCGTTGAACAGAACAAGCCAAAGGCAATAAAAGGTTACCCCGCAACATGTATGCTCTTCAAGTTGGAACTGCTGTATCTCGGCGAGGATGGCTCAAAGGATGGCCTTCGTGTTCCCGGCTTACCAGCTGCAGAGACTCCCTGGCGGGCTTGGGAGGAAACAACCACGTTAATTCTAGGCGCCGGTACTCCGAAGTTGGCTTGGGTTCTCTGACAGAAGTAGAAAAAATTATGACAGACAGCGTGAAGGTCGGTTTCCGTCACTTGTGAATTCCTTCAACTTGTTCACCAAGTGGTAACAAGGCTACAGGCCCAATATCCTTCTCAACATACATGCAACTATGTCTATCCCATCCCACACATGGGTATTATATGCGCAATGAGAATGCGGTTTTTGGTGCAAGAGGTGACTTCATCACCAGCCCAGAGATCAGTCAGGTTTTTGGCGAGGTACGTATCCTCTCTAATTAGATGAGTTATTAGAGGTAACGAACATTCCAGTGCAATTAAAATCAGTTAACAGCAATTTGGTTGCTGGAACGGTGGATGAGTGATGCTCGAGCGAAGGAGCAAAACTTCCGACTTGTGGAACTAGGTCCTGGAAGAGGAACTTTGATGGATGATATTCTGAGGGTACGTGTCCGCAGCTCTTCTCCTTTGGCATAACTCACTCACCAGCATAACCAGGTTGTCAGCCAATTTCCTAATCTGCGGCAGAAGCTAAAAAGCGTGCATCTCGTCGAGACTAGTCAGTCTATGCGCACTCTACAAGAGCAGAAGCTCCGCCGCGTTTGTCAGAGCAACGGATGGGAAATTTTCTGGCATGACTCTGCCGTTGACATCCCTCAGGGCACAGGAGAGTACACCATGCTCGTAGCACATGAGTTTTTCGATGCGCTTCCCGTGCACGTTCTCGAGGTAAATAGTGCACGATTTTCACTTTTGATGTTGAAATACTGATATTGTCTAGAAAACGCAACAAGGGTGGCATGAAGTTCTCATTGACATCGCGCAAAGCCCTGTTGACAGGTTCTCAGTGAAAACGAACCCTTCTCCTCTTCTCATCAACCAGCCTTCTATGACCTCACTTTCTGCTCGCTGGAAACGCGTACTCTCTCCTACTCCAACAGCCATATCTACACTTCTTGGCTTTGCCTCTCCGAGGTTCAACGCACTTCCTATTGGTGCCAGAATAGAGGTATCTGCCGTCACGATGAAAACTGCGCGTCAAATCGGTGAAATGATCCAGGAGGGTGGGTCTGCGCTGATCATAGACTATGGCAAGGATAATGTCTTTGGAGATTCGCTTCGAGTGAGTGATATCCGCGTTCTCCTCGTTTGCGTTACAATGTGAATATCCACCCTTAGGCTTTCAAAAATCATAAAATCGTCGACATATTTCATCGGCCGGGAGAGTGCGACATCACCGCTAATGTTGACTTTGCTTTCCTGAAAGATACCATGAGTGACATTGGTATGTTTATGTTGGGTGCTTTCCTCGGTAGTGTGCAGGATATTGATGGATTGTTATACAGTCACTACACATGGTCCTATCCCACAATCTACGTTCCTCGCACGACTCGGTATGCAACTTCGAATTGATGCACTGGTGCGAGCAGCGAAAAGCCCCGAACGGCGAGAAACCATCGAACAAGCGGCAAAGAGGCTAATCGATCCTCTAGGAATGGGGAGTCAATACCAATTTTTAGGCATCACAAACAAGATGGAGGGAGAGAAAAGTAACGAAGGAGTGTGGCCATTTATAGACGTCAACGAGGAGTCACAAAATAACACAACTACAACTACTACATGACTATAGTAGAGCCCCGTACATAAATCGTACACCATCCTTAAATAATATTTCCATTGACATATTGTGTTCACGGCTTGGATAATAGAGTACATTTTAGATAACGAAGATCATACTGCTTTCTTCCATTCGGATAAGTTACCTGATTTACAGCTGATAGCACTCATACAACAGTCTGCTGAGCTCCGGAATATTCGTACTTGATGACATCTGCAAGTTTCTCTGCAGCAGCAATACACGCGCCCGCCTAATTAAAGTCGATGCAGTCATCATAAGCTATCTTTAACCTTGCTGCAATTTCCAACAACACTTACCGTGTGACCAGACACCAACTTCGGGAAGATGGAGGCATCACAGACCCTCAAATTATTGATGCCATATACTCGAAGCTGAGAATCAACCACACCTCCTCGGTCATAAGGAGCCATGCGGCAGCTGCCTACGGGGTGATAAATGGTCTCGACGCGCTCTCTCACAAGCTCCCGAAGCTCGTCATCGGAGACGTTCATGAGGTGATGGTCAAACTTCGGGTTTTTGCTATCCGTGTCCACAATAGATGCAAGTGGTGCGGTATGGCAGATCTTTAAGCCAGCGCGGATACCCCGCATGAGAGCGTTGACGTCATGCTCAGTTTCCAAATAGCTAATAAATAGACGAAGTGAGTTGGGCGAAGAGAGTAAATATAGGTGCAAAGCCCCTTACTTCGGATCAATGAGAGGATCCTCCCAGGGGTTCGAAGACTTTAGTCTGAGAGTGCCAACACTTGTCGGTCTTAACAAACATACGTTAACAGAGTCTTTATTAAAAGAGTGTCCGGAAAGACTCACCTGAGCAGAGCGACCAAGACAGAGAAAGCGTGGAGGTGTGGCTCAAAAACTTCGTTATGGTTGACGGAAGCCACTGGGGTGAATACCAATTCAATGTCAGGGCTGTCAGGTCCCGAGTTGCTGTCCTCAATGTTTTTGGGGTATTCATTGGGCGGGAATAACACAGGGTCATCTGTGCGGAAGAACGCGACGGCCTCACCGATCTGATATCATCATAAACGCATCATTTTAAGCAATCGGCAAACACGGGAGGCTCTGGTCTTACATTGGTTGACAGAGGCCCCTTTCCGGTGATCTGGTACTGTACAAAGTGAGCCAAAAACCGGGAAATGCTGAGTGGATTATGCAATCCGAGGAAATTCAGGCTGATGCCGGCCTTCTCTTGCAACCGGAAATTGAATACAGGGTGATCGAGGAGGTTGTTGCCTATATTTGGATGGTCACACACTAAAGGCACATGGATGTCTTTGAGATGGTCGGCAGGTCCCACTCCAGACAACATTAAAATCTTTTGGCAGGACATGAGAAATATACGTTATGATTAGAATAAGAAAACAACTCTACCTGGGGCGTGTGGACAGCTCCACCACTACATAAAAGGAGGGTGTTACTACTAAGTCAGACACTCAGTGGATATACTTACGATACGATAACTTCTTTGCGCGCGCGACAGTGAAAACGTGGTCCATTGTCGAACCTGGATTTTGCAAACTCGACACCCACAGCCCGAAGTTGGCCTTCGACTCTCTCGAACAAGATCTTGGTGACGCGAGCATGTGTGACCACCTTCAGGTTGGGTCTCTCGAGTACCTTGTCCGTGAGGTAAGCAGACTCCATGGAGACCCGCTCACCGCGGCTGTTAACATATGTCACTTGATTCGAGTATTTAGAGACACAGAGCGAAAAAATAGGATGGTTAACGTACTAATCTTTTATCATCCATAGATTGGGTTAGCCGTGTGCTTGCTACTGAGCAGAAATAGGACATTACTTTGTTGGTTCCTTTCGTGCCAGCAGTAGTTGTAAAATCCGGGCTGAAGGGTATACCAGCTTGAATGCTAGACTGAATGAATAGCTCGCTGCCTTTCCAGATGTGCGCGAAATATCCAACTTGTACAGGTCCGTCAGTGCCACGTAAAGATGGATCGACATGGGGGAAACGCGGGTCCGGAGTATACTTCTCAAACTTTCTGAAGTAGCTGTGGTGCAATATGAGGGATGGTTAGCTTTAATGACAGCTGTATGCGTACCGACTAAAGTTCTCCCATGACCATGAATCGTCGCCCGTAATTTGCGACCATTCATTGAAATCTGAAGGGGAACCATACTGGGCCCTGTGTGCTACTAATCAGATATAGGTAGGAGTGATATAAACAGATCTAACATCTGTGCATTGATTGAAGAGCCTAAGGGTAACGTTATAAAAACCTTGAATGACAAAGAAAAAGGCCACTCACATCCACCCAGAAGTCTTGCTATAAAGGACCCCACGTGAGCATGTCTCAAAGAATGAACTGCCATTCATACCTCGTGGCCAGAATTTCTTTTTGTTGCCAGCATGTACCTGGGGCTCAGTGTAGAGGTTATAGTCTACTCCGCTACGGAGTAGCCTACCATAGCCAGATGGAGTCCGGCTTTCGACAAGTGCCTTGCCACTAAACAGAAAAGTCAGGTTGCTGGTTTCGCAGCGTACAAAAGCAAGGGACCGCACCTTCCACCAGCTTCTATGAGTAGAACGCGTATGGATGGATCCTCCGTCAAGCGCGAAGCCAGGACACATCCTGAAGTACCTGATGTCGAGACGTTCAATGATTTTAGTGTGGATGTATATTGCTTGCACGCGCACCTCCCCCGACAATGATGACATCGTATTCATCGAACTCGAGGCCATGGGGATCGACCTTACGGGCTACTTTTCTGAAGTCTCTGATGAGCTTTGGCTCCTTTGCGAGCAAACGCCGGAGAATAACGATCAAAGCTGCGAGGCCCGCAGCACGAGCCAAAACGCGTCCACGAGAGTGTGGACCCTGCACCTGGAGTAACTTGAGCATTCCCAAGATCTTTGTGAATGCCAGGTTGAGCGACATTATTTCTTGATGTCGTGGTTGCTGTCAGAGATGTGGACCGGGTAATGAATGTGAACATGTGAAAGTTGCGGTATCAGCCAGATTGCATCCGATATTGACTGGTTACTATACTGTGAAAATGGTAAGAGCATACAGAGGACATGGTGGGGAATGGCGATGAGGATAAGAGATATATAATGTAGTATAATGTCTTTCAGTGGGTGTACACTGCATAATCATGCGGCACTGCCACACATAGAGGATTTGTGGCTGTGCTATTCTGGAGAGGCCTTGCGGCGCGCGTCATGAACGGGTCTTGTCCTCGACCAGAACGTATATTCCCTACAGCGCTCTAATACTGCTACCCGTTCATCCCCATCGTGGCCCGTGCTGGCCTCCCGTCGACGCAAATATCCCTTTGGGATTCTGTCAAGAGAATCTCCACGACCTTCATTATCTATTCCTAGCGACAAACCCCCATCAGCCCCCTCCATGCCATCCGACAGCCCACCCCCCACAAAAGCAAGTCTCCTCAAGTGGTGGTCTCAGTTTACTTCAGCTCAGAAGTTCAAGAAGGACACAGACCCTGCCAAAGGTGTGTGCTTCGTGCTCTATTCATGTCCTGCTGAGACGCCCCCAAGTCGCGTGCTAACTTGCCAATTTCCAATCAGCGGGACAAGAAGAACACCCCGTGTTTGGTAAACCACTCAGAGAAAGCTTGAAATACGCGAGCGTTCAGATATCAACCGCGAACGCTAATGGTGAACTGTATGTGTGGGGTTATATCCCCGTCGTCGTCGCTAAGTGGTATGTGGAGTGGGTCTCGTAAAATCACGATACGTGGATGTTTACGTTGCCCTTTTTCCAGTGGCCTGTACCTGAAAGAGAATGGTTTGTATGCTGGGCTACTTTACGAACGTGTTGCTCATCCTTCTTGCAAACATCCCAGCTACCGAAATAGAAGGAACATTCCGTGTCAATGGATCTACAAAACGTATGCGAGATCTGCAAGCAGCTTTCGAGGCGCCACCCAGAGTATGTTTGCATATTTTTGCCGTTCTCTATATGTTAGTGACATCGCTGAACAGTATGGAAAATCAATGGACTGGAAGAATGAACAATATACAACTCATGATGTCGCCAGCGTCTTTCGAAGATATCTGACGCAAATGCCCGTCAGTACGCTAGTTATTCTTCGATCTCATCGAACCAACATCTGTTCTTAGGAGCCTGTAATTCCACACGGCATGTATCATGACGTAAGTCTTTCCCGTACATCATACTTGCAATACGATTGAGCCACTGCGTACAGTTCCGCGATGCTTTATGTCAGCGCAAATGCCTTCATCATATTGTTCATTCCTGACAATTGTATACAGCGAAGAAGTCTTCTAATCAAGATGAAGTTATTTCAACGTACAAACGGCTAATACAAAGCATGCCGCGTGCCAATCAGTATCTTTTGTTGTATGTCCTTGATCTGTTATCGGTCTTCGCCCGAAAATCAGACAAGAACCTCATGACTGCTACGAGTAAGTAACTATGATCTAAGTCTTAGATTGCTTGCTCACACGTTATAGATCTGGCGGTCATTTTTCGACCTGGACTTATATCTCATCCTAATCACGAGTTATCGCCAAAGGAGCACCAGCTAAGCCAGGAGGTTCTGGAATTCTTGATTGCGCAACAGGACTGGTTTTTGCTCGATATCCCCCCGCCTCCAAAGTCAGAAGCGAGTTCTTGGAAAACTCCACGTTCGCGTGCACCGACAGAGGAGGAATCGGAACTCATGGTAGTTCCAAGTTCTGACGACGAACATTCTCAAGTCGGGGGAGAGTGGAAGCTTGTAGGAAGAGAAAAAAAAAGGATCACTCGACGACGAACTACGCTGGAGCACCATGGTGAGTCTTTTATATATCATGAACTCGATGAGACTAATCTAATACACCAACAACAGATTCCACTGATAGGGTGGAGCCACCTCCGGATGCTCCCGACCTATCTCCTGTTGCGGAAGCACCCTCCAGGCCAGAAAGCCTGTCATTCAGTGGCGCTGTTTCTGTCACTCGAAGTCGGACGATGCCATCCAACAGAGTTTCGAGGGAACACAGCGGAACAAATACCGATGAAGAAAGACGTCGGGCAAGGGTCCTCAGGAAACAGAAGAGAACATCAGCGCAAGGCAAGCGAGGAGGTGCAGAGACCCCTACACCAGTCGGCAGCCATGCCGTTGGGTAAGCTGGACAGTTGACCTTTTATAATATTATACCTCGGGTTCTATGTAACCTTTCACCACGGGATCCAATTTCGATTTACTCACTCTTTCATGGTATTGCAGCTAAAGCTCAGACGCTGATCTCATAGTGGTCTGCTTGCGTGTTAATTTTTTATGTATATGATTTAGGTGAAGGACTCGTCTTGAGTAACATGTAGGCTACTACTGTATGGCTATAATCACTGCTGATAAGTGCGGCTTGCTGTCGTGCCGTGCGCCTGATGAACAGTTCCAACAGAATATTAATATAAGGTTGCAAAGTACTAATAATAATGAGTACTTGCTATAGTTAGGTTGCACCCCAGACAAGAATAACCCAGGTGGCTAATTGAGCCCTCGTTATGTCCCACACCTGGCGATCCTATTCACGGCACTAACGTCGCATCCAATCCGCAGTCCCTCTTATAATACACCTCCTCAAACTCGGTTCAGTCTAAAAAGTCACTGCAATGGCATACTCGAACACAGGAGGTCCATATAACATGCAGCCGGTATCGACGCCATACCGTGACATTCCAAACGCGGGATCAAACCCAGATTTGCAGGATTATTACGACGAATCTGGTATACCCGTAAGAATTTACTCTATGTTCTATTATAAATAGTCACTCACTAGTACCCATTTTTCACCCACTCCACCACTCCAATCCTCGTTTATAACACCCTCATCTGCTGCGCAGCCTCCCCATCGCCTGTCAGGCATCCACGCTCATTCTCCATTCGATTCCACAAACGACGTTTCTCAGACCGCTGGACAAACCGCACCTGTTTCGGCACCATTCCTACAAGCAAACCAAGCTAACTATTCCGCCATGCCAACCGCTGCCGCCAGAAGCTACGAAAACCTGGATGCCCCACCAAATAACCAGTGGCTAGAGAAACAACCACAGTCGCAGGGCAGCCGACGGGCGAAATGGATTGTGAGTGTGGTTACCATGGCCATTGCTGAGGGTGTAGGTTGACTGTGTCGTAGGTCGCCGGTTCTCTTATCGGCCTCGCTGCTCTTATTGCCATCGGTGTCGCTCTTGGCGTCACGCTTTCAAAAAAACACTCTTCCAACAGCTCCGCCCCCAGTGGCACCAACCCCAACACTCCCAATAACTTCCCGAAGAATAATGCACTGATACAGTCATTCTACGGTCTCGCGTACACTCCGTTGGGGTCACAGCTACCCGACTGTGGTAATTCTATAGGTAGGAGTAGACTTTATAGCAATAGATTACCGCTAAATCCAACTTTTCTAGACGAGGTTATTGAAGATATCCAGGTGTGTTGCCTAATAACACATAATTCACCTTTTGTTTAACGTAGATGTCTTTTTGTTGTAGCTCATGTCACAACTCACTACAGTATGTTTCGTTGTCTTCGTATTAAACTTCACAACCTCAATGTGTCCCTTACCAGAGAATTCGTCTGTACGGCGCTGACTGCAACCAGTCATCACTTGTGGCAAGTCACAACGTTCCAATTCTCTTCACTCCAAATTAAAATGTTCTTTGCTAAAGCTTTCGGCCATTCAACAAACTCAAGTAAACATGAGTGTATACCTTGGTAATTACCCCTCAGCCACTGACAACGGCACGGCATACGAAAGGCAGCGTGGCGAGATTCAGGTTGCCCTCCAGAACTATGGTGCCAACAATGTTGCTGGTGTCACAGTTGGTAACGAGTTTGTCCTTGAGTAAGTCCTTACTTTTTTTTTTTGGGTCGAGGGTGTGATATTTACTATTTACTAGTTATGTCACCGGTCAAGGCCAAAGTGACCCCAACGGACCTGCTGGAGATGAAGGTAAAATTGACCTTTGCCTTTGCCCTCCAATGATGAATGCTAATACATTGCATAGCCGCTGCTATGCTTATCCCTTGGATCAACGATACCCGATCGATGCTCGCAGATTTGAACCTGGGCAAGACCATTCCCGTTGGCAACTCAGACGCCGGCAGTTACTTCAATACCAAAGTCCTTGAAGCTGTTGACTATGGAGTGCGTGTCTGCCCCAGGGCATGGGGCAAATCAACTAATTGCGGCGATTATTAGATGTCTAATGTACACCCCTGGTTTGCTAACCAATCTATCCAAGATGCTGCCGGATGGACGGCCGACTTTTTCAATACCACAAATGTGCAACCCGCTGCACTACTTGCCAATGACCCGAAGATGTACATCGCCGAAACCGGTTGGCCAACGGTCAGTGTACTGCCGTATGTGTGGGGTGGCTCGTCTGATAATCATTCATTTTATTCATAGGACACTTCAGAATTGAACGCTAACCCGAACGATGGTCCTTCGATTGCTTCAGCGGGAAATCTTCAGGTGCGTCTATACTGTACCGCATTATCCGTTTTCTCATACCCTGCTTTAGATCTTCTTGAATACTTTTGTGTGCGCAGGTAATTATTTATGAGATTTTTTTGGCATACATTTGGTAACCATTTATTGCGTTGTCTGTTTCAGCTAACGCGAACAGTACTGGCTACTTCTTTTTCGAAGTGAGGCAGTTCCACTTCTACTGCCATTGATTGTTACTCATCTGTCATCTTTTTTGCAGTTTTCTGATGAGCCCTGGAAGGTAAGTGGGAACACAGGTATAATTAAAAGGCGTAGCTAATGCATGTTCTCACAGGCCACAGAGTACGGCGGCGTGGAGGTAAACCATCCCGTACTTTGCTCTGTTCTTACAAACTTAACTTACCAATACTGTTGACAGGGTTACTGGGGTCTGTTCAATTCGAAGTAATTGTTATTTCCGCGTTCTAAATCCGCACCTCGAGACTGATTGATACTCCACTCCAACACAGCAAAACTCTCAAACCGATAAACATCCCAAACTGCAACACTACTTCTACCTAAGTGGAAACGCATGGAACAAAATCTGGTTTCTACTATATCCCAAGCTGCTTTCGACACTTTCTTGCCTCTCGTTCTCTGTCAGTTTGAATATCTTGCGGACCATTTCAACTCTACATATACATTTGCCTCGTACGTTGAGTAGTAGATAGCGGCTTTCTCGGTTGTGTTGTGATATGAGAATGGAGGTGTGTTTCGGACTATGGACTTGTGTTAATTATACAATGTGGATTGAATGCATTTCGTGCTTGGGGAGGAGTACACACACTAAGTACTAATAGTGTACCACCAATTGGCATATTATAGAGATCACAAACGCCAGTACGTTCATGGCATTGATGGTGTAGCGGTAACATGCGGTCTTCCCATTCCAAGGTGGCCGCGCTCCGGGTTCGACTCCCGGTCAATGCATTTTATTTTTCCAAATATTCATGTATTCGAGCGACAATACTGCGAGTCATAGTAGGTTTCCTCTATCTATTAGTGTCGCTAGAATAAAGTGTGGTATTTTGCGAGATGTTTTCTAATCCAAGCATCCTGATCAGCACGAGGACGGAACACAATGAACATCTATACGTACTTGTGTCCTCTGTCAGCTTCTCTTTGAACAATAAGCCGCATCCACGAGGGGCAGATGCCTTTGACAGTCTCCGTAACCTTGGTCTTTTTCTTGCCATCCTCCTCAAACTCCTCAAGCTCTCTCAGTTTCCAGACCATAATGCCTTGATCCGTGACACTTTCATACAGCGCCGCCTTGTCATGTTCATCCCAAGTTTGACACCCCACCAGCTCTACCTTCGTTTTGATAGCCCCAAAGAGAAGACTGATCGTCTCTTGTAGCCGGAAGAACTGCCGTGGCTTGCCCTCCGTCCCTGGTTCGACCGGGTCGACGGTGCGTACGCGCGACTGAGCTAGGGGAGTCGAATCTGCAGCGGAGACGCCATCGCGGTGAAACAGCTCGAAATCTGTACAATCGTCTCCCAGCCTTGTCAGTCGTTCGAAATGGTGCCCCCCATGGGCTATGATAGGGAACGCCACGGAAATGGGGTGGTCGAGCACGACGGAGTTCTGGCAGGTGAAGTTGAAGTCGCTGGGGTAGGGTGTACGCAGTGATTTGGCGTCTGTCTCTGAGATGCCGGTCATGGCGAAGGGGTGTTATGGGGAAATGACCAGGTTTTCTGGTTGTGAGAGTGGTTAACAGATGGCCGCATCGTGATGTTGATAGACTTGAGGTTATATACAGCAAATAGTTCTTTATTAGAGTACAGACAGGATGGCTCATCGGCCTTCTCGGGCATGCGTCCACTCTGGTATACTCCAGTTGCGTCAATGTCGTCATAAGGTCAAGACACTCCTGCCAGACTATTTTATGATTGTAGCACATTAGCAAGTGGAATCATTGAATTTACGCAAATAGGTCATATCCAAGGTATTGAGCCACTTGGCGTCCCTTATCTGAGAGAAACATATGTGTGCTGAGTGGATGTGGATATGGAATGAACGGTGCTATGGCAGTCTGTACATCACAAGAAAACCCCTGTGCTCTTGACAATCCCAGCCCAGCTTTTGAAAACATACGACCCAAATATCTGTGCTTCAGTCAGTGACGTCTCGGCTGCTGAGGAAGTCTCGATGAGCGAGCTCAGAAATTGATACGTCGTTGAAGGTGACGTGAGTTGGTGTAGTTCTATCAAGGACATTTAGCATATGCATCCGATTCTCGCATTCCAGCAGAGTGTTTACCTGAGGCTAGATAGATGGCAGCTATTGATGCTCTACGAGTATGCCATGACTTCTGCATTGCTCTTTAGGATTGCATTACATTCATTGTAACATAGAGACTAACCTCTGTTGGATAAGCAATCCAGCATGCCTCATTTGCGACTTTAGCAGCATGCGTAATGGCAGGTTCGGGATCCAGTGGAAGAAAGGTCGATGATGATGCAAGGACAGCAAAAGCCTATGGTGCGAGACAACGGTATCGTAAAAATGTTCACAACCACTTGAAGGATAGAAAACTCACGTCTGGCAGGTAATTTAGGACCGGCTCATTGTGTTGCAGCCGTGCCCATAACACGTCTTTCACCACGGTTGATTGGGTGGCCTTCATTTGCTCTCTCGCGTCTTCCAACCAGGTATCAATCAATGACTTGCGCGCATTGTCGCCTTGTCCAAAAAGTGACGTTATAGCAGCATCAGGAAGCGGTTGGGCATGAGGTGTTGGAAGAGAAAGGACAGAGCGGGATAAGGCTTCTCGGGTGAACCCATGTGTTTTCACGAGTGGAATGGCGAGCTGAAGCAAACGAGCACTTGAGATTGTTGAACGAAGTCATATGAGCTTGAGTGACATGAAAAATCGTACCTTGTGGTTGCCATTGGCGGTGCGCAGCGTTCAAGCTTTGAACGTTATGATGGTGTTTGGAAGATTCAAACTTATTCAAGACGCGTCTACAGTTTTCCGAAGAGCACGTGGGCGAGTAGGCTCGGAGAAGGTCCAGAATCGCAGTCTCTGCACCCCATACCACCATCGTTTGGCTACCTTTCTTGTTGTTCGTTTACTGTAAAAGGCTTGAATAGCCTTGCTCTGTCCTTTGTAAATCTATAGCTGTACTCTAACTCTACAAGATGTCTGACTGGGGTATTCCTTCTCTCTTTCTTTGTGATTCCGAGCAACTTATATCTTACCGAAATATCAGAGGGTTCCGAAAGCGAAACAGCTGCGCCTGCAGCACCTCACATAGCCAAACTACCCGCAAAAAAGAAGTGGGAGGGCGAAGATGAAGAGGAAGATAGCCCTGTCGTAAGTAAATGTCGATCTAGCTTGATCGCGAATTATCATCTAACCCGTCCAACCTGCTACTAGAGTGACTGGGAACAGTCCTCAGACGAAGAAGAAGAAGAGAAACCCTCAACTACCACCTCTGCCGCTCCCATCAAGAAGAAGGGCACTCTGAAAGCCAAAATCGCCGAGAAAGAGGCTGCCAAAGCTGCTAAAAAGGCGGCAGGAGATGACTCTGATGAGTATGACTCTGATGAGGTTATCGACCCACGCGAAAAGGCGAAATTGGACAAAGAACGTGAAGTCAGAGCCGATCTCGAGAACGCTCGTGCACTCTTGGGCGGTGCCGCTCTTGGAGGTAGGTGATCCATGCTTATCGTGGAAAGTTGTGGATGATCTGAGATGTTTGCTGTATTGTCCCCATTGAATCTCTATTAGGCACTTCTTCCAAAGAGCTCGACTCACTAATCAGTGTCAACCCTCGGACTAAAGAAGACTTCCAGGAACTCTCAAGGGAAATCATTGAATTTATTATCCAACGGCATCAGAACAAACCCTTGTACGCGTCTTTTGTCGAACATCATGTGCGCGAACTCGCTGCTCCCCTCAAGGATATTGAAGTACGGAAAGCAGCTAGTGGGCTTACTACACTTGCCAACGAGAAGCAGAAAGAGCAGAGGGAGAAGGCTAGCGGCAAGAAGAAGCCAAAGAGTACTATTAAGCCAGCACTAGGTTCTGCTAAGGTCACCGGCAAGTGCGTAACAATGCTGATGATGATGCTAAACGTGTTCAGGAGCTGACATGATTCTGACAGGCTTGACACTAGTGTGTATGATGAAGCATTAGATGACTTTGGTACAAATGCAGATGACTTCATGTAGAATACCAGACCACTTCACTCGTGTTCATCTACCATTTAGATAATCAAATCTGTTAAACAATCCTTTTAAAATTCCTACCAGCCCCTGTACTATGATAGGACGCTGAGTTGAAATTGCTATATTACTTTTAGTCTTCGCCATCGCTGTCATCATCAGCTTCATCAACAACACCAACGATTCCACCACCCTCCTTTTCTTTCAATATGCGTCCAGCCTCTGCCAGTTTTGATGCGAATGTCTTCCTTGCTCCAAAGTTGGAACCAATGTCCCAGATTTGCAGTTTACCCCTTGTTCCGGCAGCAGCCACGGTTAATGGGTCGTCAGGTGAAAAGACAGCAGAGAAAACTTTCCCCTAATAGAATATGGTTTGTATTAGGGAATAAGGTATCACACAGGCCGCGCAAGGGACTTACGACTTCAAGGTCACGCGAGGCCACCATGCTGACATTGGGCTTCCCATCAGGTGCTGCTTCTACATTCCACACTTTGACCAGTTTGTCTGCTCCACCTGTGCAAAGACACCCGCGAATGTGAGGATTCACGTCCAGCGCAGATGCAGCACCATCATGTGCGGATAATGTGAAACGGGATGGCGAGGGAGAATTGAGGTTTGATGGTAGTGTCCGAGCGTCGAAATTAAGGACTAGGCCATTTTCCAACGACACCTACATGCACGTCAGTATCATAAATCAATACCTAGCAGTAAGGACTAACATAAAATGCATGAGATTCCCAAGGGTCCCATCGCAATGCTTCGACGTCAGCACCGAGGACAGCACCGACACCAGCATCAGGTGCTCTGGAATCAAATGTTCTGACTGTACGATCATAGCTTCCAGACAATAGCACAGTAGGCTCTTTTTCATTCCAGTGAACAGCCTGGACTTTATCTTTGTGTACGGCAAAGCTTCGTATAGCGCTAGCAGCAGCCGAACCCTCTTCGCTGTTGGTCGCAGAGCCACGACTCAAGTCCCAAAGCTTCACTGTTTTGTCTGCCGATCCCGATGCCAGCATATTGCGATGCGTTTTATTCCACGAGATCGAAAGAACACCGTCCACGTGATGTAAGTCAGATAAGGGACGCTGCTTCATCTTTTTGCGCTTTTTCTTGCCTGTTCCCACTGGAGTTGGTATGTGAGCGGCGGTTTTATCCGGGCGACCGAGGACCATGTCTGGGTACATAGCTTCGACAACGTCTAGAGACCAAATTTCGATCTCAGGGTCCATCGTACCCACGGCAATGTAGTTGCCAAACTGTTTTGTTGATGTATCGGAAGGTGTGGACGATGAAGCAGGTGGGAAGTCAAGCCATTCGAGGCAGAGAGGGAAATTGGGAAGCATAAGGTCGTGGTGTATGTAGAGATTTTCTTGCGATTCATCATAGACATAGATTTCCAGTTGAGATATCTCGTCCTCGGTTTTTGCGGCTACCAAGAGATTGTCAGTGGGTAACACTTCGAGATCTTCTCGCTCGTCGTCTTCTTCCTGCAAGACAAGTCAGAAGATAAAGAACCAAGATAAGGATGTATATCTCACTTCTTTGAATGTGATATAGGGATCTTCGTCGTTATCGCGATAATATGTGAGCCCCTTGATGTTACTAAATGGACCCGTACCTGGAGGAAAGAGAAACGATTGTAAAAAGAAGAAATTGCAGGGAATGCCAATGCCGCGTACCAGATACTTTTGCCTCGTTATCATATTCATCGAGTTTGTATTCTGATAGATCGTCATCCTTTTTCTCCTTTGGCACCGCCGGAGGATCTTGATCTGTATCCATAGCATCATTGTCATCGCTATTATGTTCGCGTGAGGAGGCTGAACAACGAGACAGAGGAGAACACTCACTCTACCCACGCATTTTCATCATCTGCATCGTCTGCTTCATCGCCTTCTGCACCACGTCCCATCGACTTGGCTGCCTCATGAGCGCGCTCGAGCTCTGTTCGCGCATCCTCCAGCTCGATACGCGCCAATGCGCTAACACGTTCTAGCTCCTTTTCGTCGAGAACATATTTGTTTGGATAGCGAGCAGATACACCTCGTTTGACCCTATAGAGGACATCAGATTTGTGGTTTGAGCAGCAAAGAAAGTGTTGACCAAGATACGCTAGAGATGAGACCACTCATCCTCTTTCACAGATCTTATGGCCCACACGCGTGCTCGTAAAGTCGAGAGTACAGGCTACTGAGAAAACGGCAAAAAATTTGCTATGCCTATATATGGAAATAGCCTCAATATAAGCTCTGCAGGTTTGCAGGACAGTCACTGCCACTGTTCGAACTCAATCATGATGCTGTTCTAAGTGAGAAATATATCCAAGAGTATTATAAGCCATGTACGGGCAACTCCAAAAAAAAATACGATCCAAGATGCCAGGATACCATCCGAATATGTAGTGCTGAACCTGAAAACCCATCCATAGAAAACCCTCTCCTCATCATGCCCCTTCTGCACTTAAACAAGACCACCACCGCCCATTCTCACTGTGTCGCTTACCGCACTAGCAACTTCTTTCCAAAAACGGCGCAATATCGAGGTGTCCCCAGCATTAGCCAACCTTCGTTTGACTAGCTCTGCAGTGGTTTGGGGCTCCAGGATAGTAAGTCGCCTCCGACGAAGCTTGAAGATTAATGATACGAGGGGGAGGAGCAAAAATAGAAGAAAGAAGGTCGTCACTCTGCTCTTTGCAAAGTATGGCCCGATAGACTCTTTTATCAGCGTGATTATGCTGGGAGATTGGCCTGCTGAAATAGGGGGTCCTAGTACAGGTGCGCGTGGCGTGCGAGGGATGGAAGGATTTCGCAGAGCATTTCCATTCAGGTGCGTGCTGCCAGAACCATTGCCTTCTCGTCGCTGCTGAGAAGACCGCCTTGTCACAGTTTTATCGGAGGCTACGGAGGCTGATGAGCGAGATGAATCCCACTTGTCTTTCGCGCCAAGACTTCGTAGATCTGAACGAGATTTTCGTGGTACGGCTGTACGTGTCGAAGTCGTGGATAGAGAAGAGGTAGACGATGATGATGTAGATGATACGGGTGAGAGAGGACGGAGAGAGGGCGATGAAGACACGGTTGGAGTAGCTAGTGGCAGTTTTGACTTGAGCTCCTGTGAATGGAGGTTTGCGAGCGTGGATTGCAGGCGCTAGCCAATACCGAAGACAAGAAGTATTAGAAAATACGGGGTACTAGCAAGATAATGCTTACCTTTTTAGCATCTAATGGAAGTTCATTTTCATACTGCAAAAACTCAGTTGCGTAACTCCACTCATCGAGCCGTGGTAAAACCTGTAAACAGTAAAGTTCGATGATTTTCTCGTAGCCTTCGGCGTCACTTGGTTGTGAGTCCTCGTATTGACCACGTTTTGATAACCAATCTTCTATCATGCCCCGACCAAGATTGGGACAGTCTACTTTCAAGCTGGCCGATACGAGAGTGATCAGCACCTGAAAGGGTAGGAATGCAGAATTTGGCTGCATGGAAGTTGGAGTGAATAAGATCAGGGAGCGGGTGTGTGAGTTGGTTATGAATGATTGAGACGACAACAGTAGTGTTTCACGCAAAGAGGCCGGCAACGTTTCCATCTCTGCAGTTGATGGAGGAGAAGTGTAAATGGTAGTTTCGAGGGTAATTCGGAGGATATCCCATTTTCGACGCTGTAAAGAAAGAGAGTCCGATGAATTCTGTGATGGCGGCTTAACGAAAGCAAATGCAGATGATATCAAAGAACAAGTGACAGAGACACGCCGGTGGAGAAAAGCTTTTGCAGCGCGGTTATAGAGCGAACTCAATGTTGCTGTTGTTGAGTTCGAAGGTGGAGAGGAAGGGATTTCAGGCGAGGAAGGAAGATCCTTGCCCTCTGGGGGAAATATACCATCGTGTTTATGAGACATGACTGTCGTCGTCGCTGTCGTCAACGTTGTCGCCGGCATTGCTCTCGCGGTAATGTGGTCAGTTAGCAGAAGGGCTTCGGGAGCGGATTCACATGCTCCGTAGAATATGGCGATCACGTGCTCTCTGGTAAATTCTACTACTGTGACTAGTACTACCGTGACCAGTCACCAGTGCTACAACTTACATTGCAGTTCGCCTCCGCCTTTCTGACTACAGTATAGAGTGCCTCATTAATCGCCAGACATCCCAGTCTCCGAAGCCTTGACTTCAGGAGATGTTAGCAATATCAGTCGTCCACTCTCCGGCAACCGTCATAGTCCACAATGCTTCTGTGATAGTTTCAGGATCGCTAGCAGACTGAAAGCACACACGGATTGTAGACTGAGGGTCAACGATAGCGCACAGAAGCCCACTGTTTGGTGCAGCAATACCGAGCTGTTGATTCCCAGCCACCCAGCGATCCACATCGAAAACAGCCTCAGCAACCTCATTGGTATTTGTTATATAGTACACGCGAATCTGCGACGCAGAGAAAACAAAATATTGAATAAGGAGACTGCAATGTGTACATGGGAACAAAGACTCCCACCTGTTGAAAGTTATACCAGCTGATTGCTGCGATGGGAGTGTTGGAACGTATGTTCCTTGCGACAGTGATGACATTGTCTGAATATGTAGTGGACAGAGGTCCATTTCCACAAAGTTCGTGGATGTTATCATCCTTATTTTGGTAGTAGACACGAGTGGGATTTTCGTTGCCGGTGAGCTCAATGGCAGCAGCACAGGAACCGAAGCTGTAAGGCGAAAGGATACCTGGAGCAAATGTGTTAGGGCGTATATATTCAATAAATGCTTTAGCTATTTACCGTTGGATGTCCTCTAAACGCTGAAAAGGGTTTAAGTTCAGGTTCAGCTATTCCTGTTCTGTAAGTGGATGATTCAGTATCAATATATGAAACTGGACAGGACAGAGCGGCCGTCAAAAGAGTTACTGCCAGAGCTCATGTTCTTATTCAGAAGCATAGGGGGCAAAAATCCAAGAACATTGAGGAAAAGAACAGAATTCAAACCCAGGGGGAAAAATCATTGCACTTCTGACTGTCTACGCCCAACCGACGGCAATTCCATCGTAGGACTAGTTTTCTGACAAGATTGACGGAACCCACTAGTACAGAAAGCGCAAAATTTAGTGATAAAAAGTTCACATACCGTCGAGCTCACAGACTTTATCAGTATAGTCCCAGACGCCGATGCACCCTGGTACATCGTTACATGCAGAAATTACTATTTGATAATCTTGTTTTTGTTTTTCCAATAATGCACTCGTCGGGGGCAGCGTCATGCGGATAGCTCACTTATAGTGACCTCAACTTCGAGAGCGGTGAACTGCTCCAAATTTGCTTGAAGAGTGGAGGAAACTTTACCATGGCAGTTGATTTAGGACCTTGATTGTGAACCATACAAGGCTGAGGAATCATGAAAGCCATGACTTGTCAGAGATAGCTCACCAGTGCCTCAAAATCGTAGTCATTGATGTACAGTTTAGCAGCTGGATCCGCAGCGCGAGCTGCTTGCAAAGCGATGGAGACGCATTCAGAAGCGTGTTGTAAAATATGTCAGACCACCACATTCCGTCGTCGATGAATGGTTCTGATTGAACGGTATCGTTGATATTGTACTGAATTGACCAGCACGAAGCGTACCATTTACAACATCTCAAGAATCTGATGGGATAAGCAAAAATTTAGAAGTTTGATATAGATATCACATCGAACTTTTTAGAAAAAGTAGTACTGAAATATGTCCAGGTCGAAGGAGCGCGTTAGCCCTAATTTCAATTATGGGGGTAGATGATGAAAACACTCACGTCTCGCCCTTATTGGTTCGCACGGAAATGTATTCCACTATCTCTGTGGATAGAGAAATGAGCATCACATACCCAACTAAAGTTCTATAATGAGTCTGGATAATACTTGTGAGAGCCACCAGAGTTCTAATAATGCATTAGTGAAATAAAGAAAAAGGATGAGTAATGTAGCACGCCACATACAGGGAGGCGCTGAGAGTAAAATGCGTTATTGTACGTGCACACATAGCCTGACACGCAAGTAGCGAGTCCCGTCCAACCCTGGACGCCGCCTAATAAGATGTAAGTGACAGACGACGTTTGTTGCGGATTCATGACATACATTGTTCGTATGCTGCAGACTGAGCTGTAGCGAACACTATGAGTGCGAAGAGAATGGGCAGACGGTTAGCAATTGCCATATTGACTTTGTCGTACCTCAGCTTTCTTTCTCAGTTGCCCCAACTCGGTATTTAATCGCAAAAAGATTGGAAGACTACATACCTCAAATACAGATGAACTTCTGAAAAGCTAATTTTCCGTTCGGACCATCGAGTGCACTGGCGAGACTAATATATTTGTCAGAATGACAAGGACATATAGCATTTCGCCAGAGCATAGTTTCTCCGTCTAGGCTATAGCGCAAAGAAATGTGCAAGCTCTCATTTAAGGATTACATGTATTTTCTGCGAAAGAACTCTAAGTTTCAGTGAAGGACTCCAACAATGATAGTCTGCCTTGAATATATACGGATATTCGTGCAGTAACAAGCCAGTAAGGAAATTGTATGAAGATATTCTGCAACATACCTGAATATGTTCGCATGTACATCCAGTGTTCGCTATCACTATACGCCCATGAGCTGTTCAGAAGTTCCCCTTCCGGTCGGATTGCTCAATACACCGAGCAATACTCCTGGCTCAGATACAAAGCAGAAAGTTGCTGAGGCTTCATAGCACGTCGCATGATCGCACAAACTTCAAAGCGATTATAGAAATTGAATTGTCAGTGGAAAGCCAAAGCCAAAAGTGCACATGTCAGTCAAGGTGGTACAACCTGAAGTGGTTGTTGGCTCAGTTCGTTTCATGGCCGATTCCCACGCGAGCGATTCGGCACCCTGAACTTTTTGGCATGTGGCCCAAAGCATGGATGTGATAAATCCATAGAGGAGTGCTGTAAATGCCCAATTTCTCCCTCGCAGTTACACAATCATTTGCCAATTCCAACGCACGAATATATAGCCAGTTCAAAGCGTTAAGGCCGATAGCTTACTGAGCGCTGAGCATGTACTCAACAAACCTTGACTACTACACCTTCCAAAAATGGAATTACATCATTTTCAAGCTTGACTTTGTGGCTTTTTGTGATAACGTGAACTTCCAGTCAATGGCTCTTTCTTGCGCTTCATGACTATCTGCTCCATGGTTACGGACATGCTAACAGGTATTTTTAATATAGCACGTAGAATATCAGCTACGCTTGGTCCTTCGTGATGCGAAGAACACCGCTCTCTGTTATAATAGAAGGTGGCCTTGACAAAGCGGCCACATCAGCCGATGAAGTGGTGGGCGCGCTTTGATATCAAAACAGGCCACCGGAATGGAGGTCAAAGTGTTCCTACTATGAGGGGTAGCTACTCGTCGCGTCTGTGGACGCCAAAGCGGCCACCAAGATGTGACCACCATTCTGATATCGTATAAAAGGTGAATTTGATGCTGCCTTCGTTAACTAAACCTCTTCCCATCAACACATCAGCCCTCAGCCCGAATACCAGCTTATATTTAAGAGATGTCTTACCCATATCCTTGCCCTAACCAATCCCAGCCTGTCCCTCTCTCACCTTACTCTTCTCTCGACGATGCTCTAGGCCCAAGAAATACCCATGTAAGCTGTCGAAGCCGTGATAAACTGTGATGTGTTGCTGACTTGTCATAGTCTGACCGGTTCTTGCAAACCATTTATTCAAACACCGATCATTCTACCACAAGTTCCACTTATCCATACCCAGTGAAAAAAGTCCTGCCAAACCACGCGTCAGTGGACTCTGAGAACTATCACGACTCGCCACCCATCGTGCCTTCCCATTCATTGTACGGGCTACTTTCTGCAGAACGCCCACGCCCTGTGAACATTCCGGCAAACTACACCCTTCTCCCGCAGCCAGCGCACGACGAAGAGCTGTCACATCATACCCGTTACGGAACCATCCGTCTTCCTCATATTTTGTTCCAACGCAGGAGCGGAAAGCCTCCGTATGGCGTGAATGAGCTCCTCCATATCACACACATGCCCTCCTTAGCTGGAGGGGATGACAAGGTGTTGGAACAGGGCGAGAGGCAGATAAAAGTCAAAGTCATCGTGAGTATTACATTGATTCAATCCTTCGCTCACAAATTGACGTCGTACCTCTCCTAATAGTGGCCTGGATACAGCCAGTTTCCTTTCGAAAAACGTATTAAGACACAGAATGGTGAAATTTCACGAGGTGTTTTGCTAGTGCTGCTTGCCCAGGCTTTGGACGATTGTGTGACATACATTAGGGTGAGCATGGTTCCAGTCACGTTAATGGGCCCTGATTCTGATGTATCGAAAAACAGAGTGAGGACATCGCCGTAGAGAGAGGGTATGAAAAGTGGGCCATAAGGACACCCAGGAATGGCTTGAGAGGCATTTCGGCCAAGGACTGTTTAATCACCGGGATGACGCACAGAGCTGGATCAACTTGGCAGCCAGAAATATATGTCCCAAGACTTTGAGACAAGAACTGACATAGAAATCGGTACCGTTATTAATGTTATTAGTATTTTAGACACCTTCTAGCTGGATACTCGTCGGTTCTGTACTTATCGATACCAATATATAAAAACTTGACACACGGCAATGACCATCCAAGCCTTCCGAGGGTGATAAAAAAATCAAGATTGTGCGAACGGTTTCCAGATCATCGAGCAACTTGGGCCGAGTGGAACCATGCTGAACAATCGATTTAAGTACTGATTTTTATGATGATGAGAGACAATAGCGATCAAGGTAAATTTTCAACATACGCAGAGTCAAAGAACGCATTTGAAGACCTTCCCACCAATTTCACGATCCACTATGTTCGGCGTAGTTGTCACCATTTGACGGAAAGCCTTGTTCCAGGGAAACTTCAGCACCTAAACGAGAAATCTCAGAGAAAGCAGCCTTCAGAGCATCCAGGTCAGCATCTAAACTCTCAGCTTGAGTCTTCATCTGTAAGAAAACGGTGAGGAAACCCATTCGAATTCGAGTCCGAGCGAACATAAAGAACGTACAGCTGCTATCGTATCGCTGGCCGCTATTAACTCGTGGTGGTGGTTATACACCAGTGATTGTCTTTCACTGTCTAGTTGACGGATCTCTTCGTCTAAGATTTAGACATAAGGTATAGATAGATAATGGGGTCCAGCTCACCTGTTATAAGCTCGTTCTCGCGCTTCAGTAAAGTGATCAGGGACGATGTCGTTATAAGCTGGTCATAGTAGGATCGTGCTTCAAAAGCTGGCGAGTCTGATAACATAGTTAGATTCGCAGGGTAGAAGTCAATCTACGAGTGTCCCACCTAGATCCATAGGGTCATTCGGTTTTCCTGTTGGAGGTGGAAGACCAATCCCAAGTCCATAATGTCTTCTTAGTAGATCCCTAGCACGGCTTTTCGGTGGGGTAGGAGGAGCATTAAAGCTTGGTGTTTGGCCAGCGACACCTGACGAACGACGAGCATTGGTTCCGGTGGGAGTACTGGCGGGAGGTGTTGTCGGGCGAAGAGGAGAGAAGGGGGGACGAGGTATTGATTTGCGTCGCTGTCGAGTTGGAGAAGGGGGCGTAGATAGAGGCTGGGACATGTTATGAGAATAAGTGCAGTATAAGTACTTTCCCTGTTGTCCTGCTTTACAAACAAAGCGAAGCTTGTATTTTGAGTGGTCACAGTGACAGTACTGCGTAGGATTACTATAAAAGGTATGTCATGGATATGTCGCGACCACGTGATCGACTTACCCATGCTTGATCGGCGCGTTCCAGCTCAAATGACTCTTAGCGAGCAACCACGACGAGCGTGCACGACAGACACGAAAACATCTAGAACACATAGTAGACAAACCTGGTTATCGAAATTAGATCCTTATGGCAAATAGTATCTCAAAATACGACTGGCTGGTTGCCGATAGTGAAGGTGAAGAAGATACATTGATTACAAACGCTAGTGCTGGGCAGGTAAATCCAGAAGGTGAGTGCAACCAGATACAGAAGTGTACATGGCAGACCTTATGTTTCACTTGCAGTGTCCGCAATTCAGACTGCTACATTCACACCCGTGGATTCCCCGCCTCTTCCACACCAGACAACGACTGAAATATCGTCTGCATCCTTGTTTACACCTCCCCCAGCAGAAAAATCTGCAATATCCACTATCTCCCCCTTCACTGCCGAATCTCCTGTCAGACCAAGACCGCGCCCCAGGCCAAGGCCCCGTACTAGCATTGTAAATCAAAGCTGGCTAGACGGGGACAAAACTGGTGGAAATGACACCTCCATTGATCGAGCCTCGACAATCGCTAGTACTTCATTGGTAACATCATCAGACAAAGCTAGGGACCCAATATCCACCTCTACAGCTATATCCACAATTATCGACGACCTTTACTCTTCGTATGGTATCGCAGAACGTGCCAAGATGCGAGTGCGGAATTCTCGAAAATCCATTCAAGAAGGACCTTCAGAAGTGCAATCCGCCAAAGCCAGCTATAAAATCAACAGCTCTGAAATCATTGAACTAACGTCTGACGAAGACGAGCGTTCTCTTATACCTGCCAAGCCCTCTAAGAGACAAAAGTCACAATCGAAGCCTAAAGCTAAGAAGAGCACGAAAATGGCCCCTCCCTCCGACATTCTCTTCTCGGATCCACTCCTACCTGATGATCCACTACCTCCTTCCAGCATACAAGCACCTTCCGAGTCTATTCCCTCTACAATCCCTACAATTCCCGCTACTACGCCTCCCGAAGTATCACCTCTCCGCAATCCAGTTCCTTCTCCATCCCTATCCCCACGGAAACGTAAGAGGCGGCAGCTCGTCATAGACTCTGACGCCGATGCGGATGATATCGACATGGACTCTGGCGTGGCAGATGCGCCAATACCGTCAGCATTAGGACCACCGCTTTTCTTTGCATCTTCCTCTCTGCCTATTCCTGAGGCTGATGCAGAAGTTCCGGATGTTGCAGCTGCGGAGACAAGTTTTCAGAAGAAAGGGAAAAAACAAACAGAAAGCAAGAAAAAGGACACGAAGAAGCAGGCAGTAAACAAGTCGAAGAAGAAAGGGAAGCAACAGATTGAAGTTGTCATTGACACTGTCGATAAATCAAAACCCCAAAACAATGCTTTCGTTGATCCCAGCCTATCTACTGCTACTACTAGCGTGCCTCCTGCACCGCTATTGGACGAATCAGATCTATCCCCCGTTCCAGATTCCGAGTCAGAGGATGTGCTTCAGCATCAGAAAGCCGAAGGCAAAGAAGTGCTTAAAGCTGATGTGGAACGGTCTACGGATACGTCTAGGAATAAGAAAAGGGCTACAGCTACACCTTCCATGAAACGAAAAGGAAAGGGAAAGAGCAAGGCTATTTTGTCTGATGATGATGAAGCGGGATATGCTGACAAGTCTGAAGTGCCTTCAGTGGGTGCAGACGCAGACGTGAGCATAGGTCTAGCGAGTAAGGTAATGTAGTTTTTTGTGTCTGTTTACCGGTAATTACTGACGCTTTATTGTAGGAGAATATCCACCCACACCTAGGCGAGATTCCGCAACAAAGTAAGCCATCTACAAAGGTGTCACCTCCACCCGGTTTGGAAATTGCTGCAAGAGGGCGCTCTACTAGTATCAAGCCTAGTATCAAGCCTACGCCTATGTCTGAGTTGATCAAACGTGTGAACTCACAACCTGGGTCACCTTTCGCTCATTCTCCACGTCCTGCACCCATCTACTCCCCTTACCTCAAGTCTTCGCGCTCGCTCCTCTCCCGCATCGCTCCACTTCACCCCAACCGTCGTACTCCTCCCCCACCTTTACCTAGGCCACCACCACCAAAGAAAAGTAAGAAGCAACTGCAGATGGAAGAGCGAATAGAGGAGGAATTAGCGGAAACGATTGAAGGCTGGTCTTGCATGACTAATGAGGAACGAAAAGAGCTCAAACGAGCGCGAATTGATCTTGAACTTGGTGGGTATGATTGATAAATTACGAATGACCCTTTTCTCTGTTGCTGTCGATTGCTCTGACAACTTCTCCTGCTACCCCCTGCTACTCGTATTCGCTATCTCTAGATTTTTGTGATTGCGATGATTTCCTTAATCGTAGAACAGTAACGCATAACTACTTGTAATCGTAAGGCTATACGATTAAACCTTTGACCTATGTAATGAAATACTTTAGTTTTACTAATACTTAGAACAGGTGCAGTCGTGCAGTGTCAGCGACAAGGCACGGAGAGCAGTGGCTGTGTCCCGTTGCCCGAGTGTGAACAGCTTTCTGCGGCATAGAATTGTTACGCGGCATCCCCGTGTTGAGCAACGACCATGGTATTCCCTCAGCTCCTCACCGTTCTAGATACCCTAAAGGACCAAGCAAAGGATGCTGTATGGGCCCTCACTTCTTGCATGTGCCAACAGTCAGCAAAGGTCAAGATTAATGGCCGAACCTGTCAGTAATATCAAAGCCTCTCCACGAGGCCAGGGTGAAACACAACTGGACTGACCAACTTTAATGGTTTACAGTTAATATCATCAAGGTTCTCGGAGAGGGTGGATTTTCATTTGTGTATCTAGCTCAGGATGATATTAGTGGTGTAAGTTGAAGTCCTTGTTGAAGATAATTATTGACGAGTTCGTGTTGTTTGCAACAGAGACAATTCGCGCTCAAGAAGATACGCTGTCCTACTGGCTCGGACGCGGTAAAAGAGGCTATGCGGGAGGTGGAGGCTTACCGACGATTCAAGTGAGTTGGTGCAGTGCTCTACGAATGCTTTTATTTACCTTTGGTTTCCGTGCACTCTTAGACACCCTAATATAATTCGTATATTGGTAAGTGACATACACAATTTAAAGGGTAGAATATGTCTTTACCGATATTTTAATATTAAAGGACTCTGCTGTAGTACAAGATCCAGAAGGTGAAGGGAAGATTGTATACCTTTTCCTGCCTTTGTATAAGGTAAGACTTTTTTTTGGTATTCGCCCAAGAAAAGGCAACAACTCTCCGCAGAGGGGAAACCTTCAAGATGCTATCAATACGCACGTCGTGAATCGAACGCATTTCGCAGAACAGGAAATGATACGCCTTTTCAAAGGCACATGTGAAGCTGTACGCGCAATGCACGATTACCATGTCAAGGCCGGCACCAATCTTCCTTCTAACTCCTCTCGCCCCAAACCGTCATCATCACGATCGCGCCATGAAGATGACCGGCGTCACTCAGAAGACGACGACGAGATGTTCCCTCACCCTGAGGGCGACGGCGAAGACGGGTATTCCTACGGTTCCGCTGTAAATGTGCCACTAGTCACGAAACACAGAATGGAGGATGAAGGTGATGTTGTATTTGATGGGGATGAGGAAATAGAACATATACAATCGGGAGCAAATGGAAACGCAGGGAGGAATGAACATGTACCCTATGCCCATCGAGATCTCAAACCTGGGTAAATGCCATCTCCTGCATACTTGATTGTTGCGCTGACTTCGTCTACTTGAAGAAACGTTATGATTGCCGATGATGGTGTGACGCCAATATTGATGGACTTTGGCAGCACTATCAGGGCAAGGATAAATATTGAAAATCGCTCACAAGCTTTGCTGCAACAGGTCAGATATTTTACCACAAATTACTCGTAAACCTGCTAAACCTATGTTTCCCAGGATATTGCTGCTGAGCAAAGCACGATGGCCTACAGAGCCCCAGAATTATTCGATGTCAAAACAGGCGTTGCCTTGGATGATAAGGTTGATATCTGGGTATGTTGAAAACTAGAGATATGTTGCACTGGTCGCTAATCCATCCGCTTAGTCTCTTGGGTGTACACTTTTCGCACTAGCATATTCGCACTCGCCGTTTGAAAACACGCAAACTACGGAACAGGGTGGTTCAATAGCCATGGCTGTACTGAATGCTCAGTATAAGCACCCTAATTCGGCATACTCACAAGGACTCAAAGATCTGATTGACTCCATGTTAAAAGTGAATCCAAAAGATAGACCGGATATCCATCAGGTAGGAATGATCTATCTCCGTTGCCATCCTACAGTATTAAAAACCTGCCATAGGTAATCTCAATGACGGACAGAGTGCTGCAGACTCTAATGTAGACAGCTATATCATAATCGCCAGCATTGGATATTGGTAGCCAGTGGTACCGTTCTCTTTGTCGATCTTCATTAGACATCTATGAGTTCATGTGGACAGTGTGCATGCAGACGGTGTATTTTCTTGCGTTGGACAGCTCAAGCAAGAAGCTGTGTTCATTGACAACTGCGAGGCAAGCCATCAAGACACAATAAGAACCGATCAAACTTTAGTCGACTTGGGTCTCGGTGATTTCTTTTTGATAATACGTTGCTCGTAAACCTTTGGCTTTTTCTTATCGGCCTTGCTCTCAACTTTACGCCCTTTCTGTGCTTCCTTTCCCCTAGGAGAGGCGGTTTCCCGCGTCCGTTCGCCGAGCTTTCGTTTTTTCCGTGAAGATTCCGAAGCCTTGGACGACTGTTCTTCTACTGGCTCTTCTGCTGGCTCTTCTGTAGTCGCGACTAGGGCTTTCGCTTCTTTCTTAGCTTTTGCCTTAGCTTTCATTATTTTTTGCCGCTGTCGTTTCTCTTTCACAGCGTCCAACTTTGTTTTCTGTGAAACAGCTATAAATGGGGTGAGGCTGAGTGATGCACAATTGTACTTACTCGTTTTTGGGCTCTGTTCGATAAAGTTTCAGGTGTTTTTGTGGTATCATCCGTCGCTGGTGTTTGTGCAGCCTTTGCGATAGGCCAGGCATTATCACTTGGCCTAGCCTTCTGCGCCAGCGTTTTGAATCGCTTGAAGCGTCGTTGATGAGCCTGAACGTCGTCGTATCTGAATGTTAGGACCGCAAACCAGTTATTTTCCTTGGGATGCACACACCATGGATTTTTTGTGAACATCTGCCATCTTTAGGCTTTTTATTAGCTTCCCTTTGCATAATATACACCCGTTCACGTCTTGATCCAGTGAAACGAGATAGATGGGATCTTTCAAGGCTTCTTGTACGGTGACCGCTGGTAGGCCACTTTCTTCGTCTTCACTGATTTCATCGTCCTCTTCATCTTCCTCTGCTGCAAGTGGACCCTCGGACCCTTCATCCTCTTCTTCAGGCGCATCTGAGTCTGATTCAGATGCAGTATCTGTTTCGTCTGAATCAGTGTCGTTTAGACCCATGATCTCCTTCATATCCTCGTCCAGCCCGAGTTCTTCCTCTTCCTCTCTTCTCTTTCGCTTCCTTTCGACTCTCTTGTACATTGTGAAATGCTGTCAGGGGATCAAGAATGGATTATATGCGTCAGATAGATTCACAAGGAAGGTTTAACGAGAGAGACTGGTTCAAAGGCAAAGCGTATAAAGCCACGTGCGCTGGGTATCTATTTTTTTTCTTCCGTTCCGGCCGATCATTGCTGCTACAGCGCGACTGTGACTTTTGCTCAAAGTCGTCATCAGCTAAAGTCCACAAGCTGCATGCATCGTCGAAGTGTTCATTTACTTGGAGAGATTAGGCCTGGTGCCCATGTTAATTTGCCTACCCCTCAAGTTCACTCCATACGATTGCAGTCATTCTCTTCTACAGCAAAGCGCCATGCAAATGTGAAAAAGGTTCCTCCTGAAGAATTTCAACGCGCAAAGCAATTTACCAACAAGCTTGTTGATGTAGCATCGCGAATCAGTCCTCATGGCGGTTGGAAACAGAATGCAAGTCGACGTGGGGATGAGAAACGGTTGGCCAACGTCGTCTGGTCGTCGCAGAAGTCTCGCAGACCTCCCTCAGAGACACAGGCTGCATTCATGTCTCCATCAGAGGACGACATAGCTGAGGTAGACGCACCTTCATCCTCTCAATCAACTACTATTCAGCCTGGAGCACTTGTGGAACTTCGGAGGTTTGTCTGGTTCGAACTATATGATATATACCCCATTAACGTTCTCTAGAAATACCATAGCTGTCTATGCCGTCGTGCTGGGGACGGCATTTTATGAAAGACGCATTCTTAATATCTCTATGACCTCTCTCGGTGAGGTCATTCAACACACCGACACCGACACTTGCTTCGAAATACCAAACGTGTTGCCGAGAGATCTAATACTGCGAAGTGGGACTTCAACCAATCCCTCGAAGAGAACGGAGATCATGGCCCGAGTAGAGGTCGTAAAGCGCATGCGAGAAATTGAGAAAGAAATTATGAAGGCGTATAATACGATTGGTCGACAGAGTCGATCGCTATATCCTCTTGTGAAGGCGAGGGATCCAAACGAATGGGGCTCAGTCTCCATCGCCGAAGCCGTGAAACTATTGGCTCACTATCGACCCGATCATTACACTACTCTTTTGGCTGTTCACAAGCATCTCATGGGCCGTCCTCATGAGTTTGTAGCCGATTTCACGTCACATCGGACAGCCCAAGCGTTCGCAGTTCGCCCCCAGTCCCATGTTAATAAACTCAATCGAGTGACTGACTTGCTTCATCGAGAGGATCCCATATTAATGGACTTCGTCACCAAAGCTCGTGGGGTCATCGAATCTAGTAGAAGGAGAGCGCTAGAATCCTGGCATGAACTTCCAACACGAATAGATGCTGGAGTTGTTCATTATACAACCGATGAACTCGTCATCATTGATGTTCTCCGCCAAGCCTTCCGTCGCAAACGTAGCACGCAAGTTGACCCTTATCAAACGGTAGTGTCAAATATCATCAAGAAATTCGACTGTTACGACGAGGTAGTAGACGACTCATTGCTTCGGCAGGTCTTAGTAGACCTTGGCGAATTCACTCCTTGGGAAGACAACGCTTCACGTAGAAGGGAGTTAGGTTTGGATTTGCTCCCTGAGGATAAATCACCCACGGCGATAGCACGAAACGAGCTAGTCAAAAATTCACTGTCTTCTTTGTCTTCCGTGTCCCAAAAATCGAGTGGGGGGTCTTTAGGTCCACACGATTTCTACTCGCATGACTCGCTGGCACATATTCGTCATGACTTTGGTGACCTACCCGTGTATGTCGTGGACGATATGGGTGCCGAAGAACTTGATGATGGAGTTTCAGTGGAGAAAATTCCATCAGAGCCCGGTTCAGCCTGGGTCCATGTTCACATCGCGGACCCGACATCCATCCTACCTCCGACTCATGCCTTATCTGAACAAGCCCGTAGGCTGGGATTCACCTCTTACTTTATTCATAGGACGTGGCCCATGCTGCCTCGCTCATTGATGTACGAGAAGCTGAGTTTAGGCACAGTCTCAAAGACTGGGCAGCCGGAACCAGTCATGACCTTCAGCTTCAAAGTCGACAAAGAAGGGGATATCACCGATTGGACAGTTAAGGCTGGGCTAGTTAGGAAAGTCATATCCATCGACTATGACAGCGTTGACCAAATATTAGGAGTTGCACCAATGCCTCGACCACGCCCCTTCGAGTCTGGAAATACAACGGACATCGGTATTGCTCGGACATCGTTGTCTCCTTCTCACCGAGAGGATTTGGAACGGTTGAATAAAATCTCAATGCTGATGAGGCATCGGTCTACCTCACAGGCTTACAACTACGTTATCCCAAGGGCCGTCCTCAGCCTGTCACAAAAGCCACTTCATGGTGCATCCTTTGATCATCCAAAGCCACTACAATATCGCGGTTTCCCGCAGCTCACGTATGAAGTTTTGTCGCAGCAACATGTTGAGTATGGCTCCCGACTGATGGTGGCTGAATTTATGAAGTTTGCTTGTCGGGTTGCCTCTCGGTGGTTCTCTGCTCGTGGAGTACCTATGTTGCGCCGTAGTTCCAAGGCACCTATCGCGCTTCATGATCTGGCTTTAGAAGAATTAGAAGCTTCGCGAGATGTTGATGGCTATGTTGATCAGTATATCTCACTCCGATCGGATGTCTACACCCCTCCCGTGGAATACACCCTTACACCTGGCATGCACTGGAATATGGGTGTCCCTGAAGGCGAGGGATATGTTCGAGTGACTTCACCTTTGCGACGGTACGGAGACCTAGTCGCGCATTGGCAAATCAAGCATGCTTTGCTGAACGAGTCCTCGCCTCCACTTTTTTCGCCTGAGTGGTTGACGTCGTATGGAAAGGAGCTGAGGCAAATAGAAGGACACACCAAGCGTGCAGCGCAAGATCACCAAAAACAGTGGGCGTTGATGTACATCAAACGATGGATGGAAAATGGCAAATCCAGAAGTGATCTTCCTGATCCTTTGAACTGTCTGGTTGGTCGTATAACAGGGTCGTTGAAAATCGACAAATTTAATAGGGAGGCCCGCTGGACCTGTTATCTTCCAAGCATTGGATTGCAAGGCACTCTCATCTGTGATGACCCAGTCCATCCCAATCTTCCTATTGGCACGGAGGTCGATGTCAAGATAGACAGCATCCGCCTCGGTATCGTTCCTATGCTGATACTGCAGCAGAAATAGGCTTATGTCATGGCACTCAAATATATTAGTTATAGCTATTGTACTTTAACACTCCACCTCTCAATCGTACCATTATCAAGTTATGTATCGTACATTCCTTCATTTCTCCGTCGGAATGTGGTTTTCTTCCACAGGGTTTGAGAAGTGAAAGCTTACTGCATGACGTAATATTGCTGACTAAGCGTTAAAACAGTATGTATGGTTCGACATTTTTTGGCCTTCAAAAGGTTTGCTTCCCATGCTTTGGAGACTTTAAGAACTTCTGCATCCCGTCAAAGTTGTATTCAAGTTCTCACTGCAACACCCTTTCCATGTCGCACCAAAGCCCCGTCGCTGTCACGGGCTACATGTCTGCATTTCTAGACTATGTTCTGAACTATGTGGTTACATCGCCTGGTCGAGCTATCTTGCTAGCCTTGTTGTATACCCCAATTGCTGCCATCGTGTTGAACGTCTTAAGGCAGCTTGTATGTCTACGTATTGCCTTTTACATTGCCTTGTAAATTGACGGTTTGCTCTAGGTTGTTCCTCGTGACCCTTCACTACCTCCAGATGTGTTCCACTGGATTCCCATAGTTGGTTCCGCCATAGAATACGGTAACGATCCTCTGAAATTTTTCTTCAAATGCAGAGATAAGGTTAATATACTTTGAATGAGTTCGTTTCTTTCATTGACCCTCTTTGTATTAGTATGGCGACGTCTTCACATTTGTGTTGCTCGGACGAAAGGTCACAGTTGCCCTGGGAGCCAAGGGTAACAACTTTATCTTGGGTGGAAAATCCACAGCATTCTCTGCGGAAGATGCTTACACGGTAAGGTTTTCGTCCAGTCACATGAGCTCATTTACTAAATTTGCTTCAGCATCTTACAACCCCGGTTTTTGGAAAAGACGTCGTGTATGACGTTCCCAATGAAGTGTTCATGGAGCAAAAGAAGTTCGTTAAAGTTGGTCTTTCGACAGAAAATTTCCGGAGTTACGTTGGCATGATAGAGGATGAAGTCGATGAGTTTATGCGCAATGACCCTTCTTTCCTCATCTACCAAATGAACGACATCAACGAGTGGGGACGGTTTGACGCGGCGACTGCTATGTCTGAGATTACCATTCTGACTGCTTCGCGGACTCTGCAAGGGAAGGAGGTTCGTAGTAACTTGGACAAATCTTTCTCGGAATTGTACAACGCTCTCGACGGTGGATTTACGCCCCTCAACTTCATGTTCCCAAACCTCCCGCTCGACAGCTACCGGCGCCGGGATGAGGCTCACAAGAAAATGAGTGAATTCTATGTCAACATTATTCGCAAGCGCAAGGAAGGTAACAATGATGTAAGTCTGCCTTTTTTGTTTTGGTTTACAGTGTGAATGACGAATTACCTCTTTATAGCACGAGCATGACATGATTGCTGCCTTGAGGGACCAGACGTATCGCAATGGCAGACCCCTGCCCGATCACGAAATAGCTCACATTATGATCGCCCTTCTCATGGCTGGTCAACACACTAGTTCCGCTTCCGGCTCCTGGACGCTTCTGCATCTCGCCGCAGACCCTGCAGTGCAGTATGTATCTTTATTGGGCTTCTGCCAGGTCGTAAACTCACAGTCACGTGTAGGGAGGCACTTTACCAAGAACAAGTCAAAAATTTTAGGACCCCCGATGGAAAGCTCAGATCTATGACTTACGAAGATATTCGTGATTTACCCGTTCTCGACTCTGTTATTCGCGAGACTTTACGCATTCACCCTCCCATCCATAGTATCATGCGCAAAGTTCGCTCGGATGTGCCTGTGCCTACTACACTCTCTGCTCCTTCGAAAGATAGCACTTACGTCGTCCCCAAAGGCTACTTCGTACTTGCTTCACCCGCTGTCAGTCAAATGGATCCACGTGTATGGCTTAACCCTGGCAAGTGGGATCCTAGCAGGTGGAGTGACCCCGAAGGCGAGGCTGCTCGGGCATACGACACGTACCAAGATGAAAATGGGGAGAAGATTGATTATGGCTTTGGTGCTGTGAGCAAAGGAACCGAGAGTCCCTATCAACCATTTGGCGCAGGCAGACATAGGTGTATCGGTGAACAGGTACGTCGTAAAAATATTATAACAATATATGAATACTCATGCATCAATCGTAGTTTGCTTACCTTCAACTGGGTGCCGTCATTACGACTATCATTCGTCGTGTTGAGTTACGGTTGGAGGCTGACACATTCCCTGCTAACAATTACCATGTAAGTTTCACTCTAGCTGACCTTGTACATTAGTTGACACTTATGTCTGCAGACTATGATCACCATGCCGAAGAAGCCTCGCAATATCTGCTATAGACGTAGAGCATTCGACTAGGAGAACATTTTGTTCAATTATACCACATAAATCCGATATAATAATGCTACCTTGCTTTATCAATATTATCGGAATTCATAGAAATAGAATATTTCCGGTTTTCTGATTATCGTTCTGACAAAGCCATTGAGCGACCAGTAGAGATCGAGACATCGAGGCAAACTTGAAGGCGAAAGTACCCAGTAGCGTAGTGTTTATCTTTGTTTATCGATAGTGGCTGAGACCACTTTTGCTTGTTGCTCGCATAAGTTATACCGCACAGTCAAACCGTGACCAGAGCAACCTCAGGTCGTCGTAGATAGCTGCAACCATGGCCTCCCTAATCCCCATTTTCTTCTTGCTCGTAGTCACTGTGGGCCTTATGGCCTGTGGCTATCTGTTCGTTCCTAAGGGTCCTCAGCAGACGTAGGTTCAACTTTGAACTCGGAAACTTCACTTAAACTGCACACCTGATGTTGTACAGGCTCGTTCGAACGTCCATTGCGCTTACTCTGGCGGTCTGCTATCTCATGTGGATGATTACATACCTTGCACAATTGCATCCTTTGATTGGTACGTAGACAGCTCAGTTTCATCTATTTCGCTTTGCTCAAATGCACATGTACTACAGAACCCTACAGGTCACCAAAGGTTGAGAGCTAATGGGTAGATGTATTTGCTCGGGCTTGATTCATAACCAGGCAAGTCTCTGTCATTGTACCTCGAGGAGTGAGGTTGACTCACCCAGAAATGCAGTTTTATAACATTGTTCGGATAGCACTACTTCATTAATTCATATCCTTGCGCTTCTTCCAGCAAATACTAGTTCTCCGCTAGATTCTAAGTTCTTTTGCAGTTATATAAGGTGATCATACCTCCTTGTTCCAGTCCTCATCAATATCCCAGCTGTCTAGTGCTGGCTCATCCCATTTTCCCCAAATACCGCCATCAGCATCAGCTTGGACCCATGTGTTAACATCAAGGTTCCAAGCAGATATATCCTCTTCTATCAGGTTATTCTCACTGAGGTTTGAGTCCGTCCAGGGTGCTTCTATGTAGTCTTCGTCTCCGTCGGTCACTTCACTTTGTTCATCTTCATACAGACAGTCTTGATCGAGCTGCTTTTCATCAAGGTGTGGCTCTTCTTCGCAATGTGAGTGCCAGTCTAGAACCGCTCGAGAGATACCGCCAACGAGTTCGACCTCCCAAGCACTTCTTTTCCCCCCATCTTTTCGCAGCCGCAGTTTGGTGTGTATCTCAATGGCATCCATCATCACTTCTATACGGCCCCCGCATGACACGCTCACGTTTGGTATGAACCACAGCCCTTCCATTCTGGTGACTTCCTCCCCTCGTTGCTCCATGTTTGTCACTATGAGGTCTCCTACGTGGTCAAGCGAACTAGGTTTCCCAGCACTAGCATGCGAAAAATAGGAATGCGCAGCCAGGAGTTCGTGATTTGGCCTCCCCAAGGCCCTTTCCAGTACGTTCTTTCGCTTATTCGATCTCATTTCCGTTGAAGGGCTGTCATCTAGCCTTCGAAATTCGGCGACTTGGCTTGCACCGCCTAACTCCTCGTCTCTGCCCCATTCATCTCGCTCCAGTGCCGTCCCAACGCTGCTGGTAACGACACTGTATCCCCATTCGTTTGCTGCTTCCTGACACCACTGCACAAACTCGTCCACTGTCCACTCGAATTTATGATCTTGGTGTCGGAAGATGCGCGTTGTGCGCCCTGTTGGATCTGGGTATCCTTCATCGCGTGGTGCATCGGGAGCAGAAAATCTTGCGTTGAAATCGTAGGAAGGAGTTGTCATCAGAAATATGCGGGGGTGGTAGACCCCAAGGATGACGGGGGCAAAATCAGATAAGATGGCATCAGGGAGGTGTTCAACACTCCAGCACGTGAATAAGACTTGGATGTTGTATGTTGGAGAGGAAAATGTAAACGGACTTACACCTCGGTAGCAACTATGCATTCTGCGTTGGTGAATTCTGGATTGATGGCCTCTAGTCCACCTTTCCATATCTGAACTTCAAGAGGCTCCCAACGCGCGTACGGCTCTCTAGCTGATGGAGCAGTGCATTCTACAGCGTATTTAAGGTCTCTAGATGAAATGTCGAGGCCTGCGAGACGTCGCGGGTGCAGGTTTCGGATTTCGTTTTCATGCTCCTCTTCAGGGTGGTTTCTAGTAAGAATATTGATAAGGTTTGGCTGCTTAGATGTTTCTAACAACTCTCTGTCGGATGGTAGCCATGGTGCGGGCTGGCATAACGTTGCGAGGAGTTCACCCTCTCCACATCCAAGGTCAACAACCTGGCATGATGTGTTACGATATAAGACAAGTCTCAAGGTTGGATCAGAGATCTAACGAACCCATGCAATGTTATCTCGTCGCAAGACGTTCAATACCCATATTTTTCTCTGTAGAAACAGTGGCGGCCAGAAGGTCACCTTGATTTCTGGAGTTGTTGTCAGAGTAGGCATATCCATCGCACGGATCGCATGGTATGTGTAATCAGCTGGCCCTTTCCTGCCGAAATGTGGACTAACTTGTTAACGCAAGGTACTATTATAGTTCATCCATAATCTGCTTTTCTTATCTGGTACGTCCGATTCTGTATGCTACTTCACCTGCTTGCGAGAAGGACAAAAGTCCTTTTCAAAACATGAAGTAGATAGTAAGAAAACGCTGCAATTTGATCTGTTCATAACAATGAAGTCAACGTCGAATAAAAAGATTTAACGCATTTGAAGCTAACAATTCCAATACACGATTAAGGGCTTGCAAACAAGTGAAAGAACATGGGCACAATGACATGCCATTGACAAGCACTATTATATGAGATGAGCGCATTCTACAACAAGGGCAGTTATGTTTGAGCAAAAAAAAAAAAAAGTGAAACCGACTACAAACAGCAAACAGACAAATTATTAAGACTTTCAAACGAGTGCAGCAGATTGTAAGTATCCTCGGAAAATAGAGTCCCGAACTGTGACACTCGGATGTTAGAATCGTCAATATGACCAACTTAGTCAAGCTCACCGTTTCCAATGATACTCTGTGTGGCTTTCGTATCCTGGACGACGGATGTGATGAGTACATGAGTTAGGGGAGGAAGTAAAACAGAAATACCACAACGCTGGTCAAATGGGTATATAGCACCCGTCTATTCTCATTGTTCCGCCTATGCACTTGCAAAAAGTGAGCACGGAAGTATTGTACAACCGACTCGTACTCATTGGCGCGGTCGCCATAGGAAAGGATACTAAGAGAAACGGCGTTAGCACGTGGTGCAAAAGGCACCGGGAACAGAACTAACTATTTGGAAACTGACAGCCCACTGTCGAGTTTCTTTTTCAGGATATCCGTCTTGTCTGAACGGTATGGTCAAAAACGACAACCATCTGATGGAAACGACTAACGCACTCAAAAATAAGACTAGATGAACTCTTTTCAAGAGTGGATTTGAACAAATTTGAGTGAATAGTTGCAGTGAGTCGTCGATTCTGTTGGTACGGGGATCTTCTTCAAGATACTGGACAAAGGTAGGAAAAATGTGAACAAATGATGCGGAGACCACTCAAAAAATCATACCTGGTCAAAGGCACTGATAGGGCTGACAAATATGATGGCGTTGGCATCATCAAAGTAGGGGACCCATGAATGCCGCTGACCCCTAGCGCCACCTACGTCAAATAGATGCCAAGTTACCGTCTTTCCATGAATATCAACATCGAATATATGCTCTGCAACACCCATAGTTTGAATACGTGCATGAAGTATGTCATCTATTACTCGCTGTATAAGTTAAATCTTACAAAAAATCATGTGCCACCGACCTGTAATTGGCACGTAGTTGCGCCCTGCAATACGTGTTATATCATTCAAGAAGCTGAAACCGATATGTTACAATGACTAATTTGACGCATAAGTGATGAATAACTTACAATTCTGACCACTCGTCTAACTTTATTTTCCTATTCGCGATCAAGGACTTCACAGTTGGATGTTCCCATAAAGCTTTGATTTCGTCCTGAGACTGATCCAGCATGGTAGCAACATCGTCCACTAAAGGGTCGGCATCGATGACCGATAAGGCTGTGCCAGCACGCTCAATTGTCAGTTCTGAGGTCTCGGAAATCTTTTTTGACCACCTTCCGATCAATTTATTACCTTTTTCTTTCGTCCTAGCTTGCCAACCACTCCTGACGAATACTTCACCCTTTTTCGAGCCGGCGACGGTGACACCCCCGCTCAACCGATCCGCTAACTGAGGTTCGGTGTTCGTGAGAGGAAGAAGACGACGACGAAGGTCAGCAATCGAGGGCCCGTGCCCTGATTTAATGGGGCTACCGGGTGCTTGGACATTTGTTGGGGATGGTGGGGATAAAGCAACACCAATCTGCGAACTGGCTGGAGAACTACGCCGTTTTGATGGTAAATCTTCGGTGTCTTCCAGGCGATCTATGGTGCTGTGAGCGTCACTGCCATCGTCGACATCATCCCAGGACTCGAGGGTGGATAGAATCTGTCTGATGGAACGAACAACGTTAAAGTATACGACTGTTCGCCATGACATACGCTCGCTCTCAAGGGAAGCTGGGCTATACATCAACTGAAATTGCTTTTGCAGTGTCGATTTGCCAGACTCTGCCTGCCCTAGTAGTAGGAGCTGATGATGATGATAGTCAGTACTTTTGTTCGAGTATATGCATACAGGATGTCTGAAAAACCTTAACATCGCCTTTTGACTTCTTTAGTTTCTCGCGCTCCTGCCTAAGGTCTTCATCAATCTGTTCTGATATGCGCCGTGCCTCTGACTCTTGCTGCAAACGCATATGTTTCTCTGCATCTGTCTCTGTAACAGGCGGACGCAGAGCCAGAGACAGAGGGTCTTCCTGACTACGGATGGACGATGTTCGCATCATTGTGGAAGGAAGAGAAAAGAAAACAGTCGCATATCTGTCCAAATTCAGCATTCAACGTTATAAGATTCAAGGTCACACCCCTTGCGTCACGATCCCGTCACACGTTACAATGGTGCGCTTTCCTCTTCTCCGCCATGATCCTCGGGCATTACCACTGACTTTTGCTATTATTTAGTCTGTAACTTTGCATACAACACTCGGCGAGCTGAAGGTGAGTTTCATGCAGCAAGCTCGCTCCTTAACGCCCTTTCTGAACCATTGTGCACAGATAGAAATTTTCTGCGAGGCAGTACCTAAGGCGGCAGAGGTACGCAAACTCCCGTTCAAGTAACTTCTTCCTGTCGTGATCGGCCGCCCATGATCAGAATTTTCTCGCACTATGCGCGTCTAAGTATTACGATGATTGCATTTTCCATCGTAACATCAAAGGCTTTATGGCTCAAGCTGGAGATCCAACCGGTTCCGGCAAGGGTGGTCAGAGCATATGGGGTAAACCTTTTGCAGACGAGATACGCTCCACCTTGAAGGTATCGTATGCTCGGGACAATTGGTCCGATTCTTCCGGCTGATCTAAATGTTGCCTTGTACCTCTCCTCTAGTTCAACGCCCGTGGTATGGTTGCTATGGCGAATTCTGGTCCAGACACCAACAAATCCCAGTTCTTTATAACCTACGCCAAACAACCCCATCTTGATGGCAAGTATACTATATTCGGGAAAGTCATAGATGGCGCAGATTCAACTCTTGACATCATGGAACGCGCTCCCGTCAACCCGAAAAACAGACCACTCTCAGAGATCAAATTGACACATGTAAGCCTACTCCCAAGCAATCAATTGATGAGTGACCCTGGATGACTCATATTATCTCTCAGATAACTATCCACGCAAATCCGATCGCTGATGCACAGTTGGTATCACGTTGAATGACTATCGTATTCTTGTTTCTGGTATATCAACTCGATGGACATTATCACAAAAGTATTACTGCAGACTGTGTCCTGTTTCCAACTTTACATGGTGTTGTTTCAAAGGTAATCCCACGTAATACACCGCTCGTGGCACTAAATATACAACAGAGAACACCCTACTCTAGAATGTACGTCTGAACGTTGGTATCATCGCTTGATAAACCCTACTAGCTCTTTTTGCAATTCTCTTTGTCTTCGCGCCTTCTCCAAATCATCGACGCTTCGTAAATCGTATATGATGTCGCGTGTTTTGCCAAAGTACACCTTGAGATTGATATCAGGATATGGCAATGATATTCCAAGTCAAAGTAGCGGCGACCTACCTCCTGCAAAAGGTTCCGCATTTTGATCTCCATGTCTTCGATCATCTTGCCCGTATTAGTGATATGTGAGGAGAAATCATGTAGAGGCCAATCGTTCTCAATCTGGTGAAATACGAAAGGGCATCAACATAGGAAATGTCATGTGTGCCGAGAATCGGAGCTAGATGATCAGAACCCACCTGTCTCGTCATACTTCCACTCAGGTTCAACTCCCCGTCCTTCTTCCATCCCTCAGTTGCTGTCTTCTGAGACACAGCCGGGAGTGCATTCTGCCGCTTCTCGGATTCTCCATTTTGCCGCGTAACAAGCTGCAACATAACCGTAGATGTCAGCTTGTAGTGTGCTTGCCTACCACGTTCTGAAGCTTCAAAAACGTGGATAGAGTCCCATGTTCCCGAAGGTTCATCAGGAGCAGACGAGTTCATGACTGGGGGCACAAAATCCATCAGTCTCCACGTAGTTGGTCATGGGACGATTGAGGGCTATTCACCTTTCTTGAGAAGAACCACGCCTGCGAATCCTCCGTCGTCCAAGTCCCAGAGGTATACTGAAGACACGCCACCCTCGTAATACCTATTCAAACGCCATTTGTTAAGCGTGAACATTAGAAGCAGTAACTTCGTACATTTCTCGGTAAGTATCGAAGGCTTCGTTGGCAGATATCTCGAGCTTGCGAAGTTTCGGAGACGGCGTTGTACCATCCTCCAACGGAGGATCATATTCATTCGACCACGGGGACCTAGCCAAAAAAACACAGGAGATATCCGTAAGCTAGATTTCTTATCTCGGTCCACATCACTCGTGCCTCTGGTTATGGGCTTGGCTTCGAATGATAAGTCCCCACGCCTGCATCAGGAGCGATAGGATAATGCGTGGGTGATCTCGACCGCCCATCTATCTCTGGTCAAGAAGCTGATGTTTGACTTACCTGTGACTCTCCCCGTCTCTATTGTAATCGCAAGCAAGATACTCCCGTCCAGTCGCGTGGTCTACTTTCACCTGCAAAGGCTGATCAACGCTGCCTAGTAGATCATCTGCGTAGTCGGGACAGATTCCAACCAAGGCCGCAACGTTTTCTTCCACTCGGGTTGGAGGAAGGCGGCGCATGAGATCTAGCATAGAATCGACTATATCGGTCATATTTTCCGAATAATATGTGGGATGTTGAATAAATGTGAGTTTCGAGTAGTTTCAGATCGAGTGAGTGTAGCTTAGACCGATAGAAATGTTAAGATTGAAGAATGTCTTTCAAGTCGCTTCTAGATGTGATTGGTGGCACGTGACAAGGGCTTGATGGATTCCGTATAAGGTAATAGTATTGGATATTTCCATATCTCACCGCCACGGTGGCATTGTAACAATCCAACTGGAAAGTCCCGGAGATAGCAGGAGGAAGTACTCTTGAGACAAGAATGACATTTCGCATCAGATAGTAACTTTCTTTCCTGATCGCAATGGTACTAGATCATCGGTACTACCCAGCAGAGCGACAGTTCTTTTCTTACACCCTGTCATCAGTGTCTCTCACGACCTCCCGAAGTTCCTGTTCCTTTACTGCTATATCCTTACCCTTTTCCCGCACACGTTCCGTGCCATCATCCCCCTGAGCCTTCTTTATATTTGCAAGCTCCATGACATTGAACTTCTGCAGCTGATAATAATCTTTTACGATGCTGACACCGCAAATGCTCTGGAAGTGTATCATTAGCTGCGAAGAAGCTAGTATGCAGTCAAAAAAAAAAATCAGAACGAACCTTGAAAAGTTCTATCAGGACAAAAACCTGAGCATCGTTGAGATCGACAAGATAATTTTGGGGCATGCATTTTGCTACCTCTTGAATGAGATCAATCCGCGGGACTGTGTTGTGATTTCGCGTCCGTATCTCAATCTTGTACTGTTATAGTATTTTAGTCAGTGGTAGAAGTAGCATGATATAAAAACTATATCAGAGCAAACGCACTCACACGATACGTTTGTGAAGGTCCGTCGTCCTCAATTTGCTGAGCAAAAAAAGGGGGGAAGACTCGTTGGCAGAGTGATCGTATTTCTGGTAGGTTGGCCGTACACGACCCCGATACCGGTACAAAACGGTGAACATACCTGCTCGTCGAGGATTTAATTTATGTAGGTTTATGGCAGAGACGACAGACAATACCCACTTCGTTCGAGCCACACCCGTTTTTTGCACGTTTTCAATATGGGTCGTTACGAGCCTCACCGGATCCACAGGAGGTTTGCAAGATATAAACACAACTGGTAGGGAGACATGCATGAGAACAGCACATGAGGTGAGCCGAAGCATATGATCCCATCACTTACCACAGGGTGTATTCGTTTGACAATTTGCTAGATAATGATATGGACCGTTGTCGTAAGTTGACAGTAATTATAGCGGGTGATATTTCATACCAAAACGTTGTTGTTTCCGAGGCCGCTTGATAGCGGCCAACTCTTTCGCAATCTGAGCTTCCACTGGCAAGTCGTCATCTAATTCTTCGGCATCAGAACAGTCTGCGATGTCTTCGGCCACGCGCCCTGCTCCCTCTGTTGGCCATACTTCAGCAGCGACCTTGTCATTTCCAGCTTAGATATTTCCACTCAAATTGTAATTTCGAAGTGCACATACCGATTCGAATAGATCATACAGCTCCCCGACACTTTGCCTCTCTTTTCCTTTCACGCAGCTCACCCAGACTCCCGGTCCATCAATCACAGGCTTACCCCATGTCGGCGTTCCGTCCTGGTCAACCACACAATCAAAAAAGGCATCAGCTAAAGTGGAACTTGAAGTCGTGGGATAACCACTGGCAGCACAATAGCTACAAAACTACTTACCGAACGGTACTTGCGCTTCCGGGGGTTTGCCATTTGATTCCGTGGGTCGGTCATTTGTGTTTATCGCAAAGGTATCAGCTGGTTATATACCGGGTATGAACTTTGGATGAGCTGAACTAGAGACGGAAGAGAAAAGCCTGATGATTTTGAGATCAGTCATGCCCCCTCATCTTGATAACCACGTGGTCGATAACAACATGCAAAAAGCCTGCAAGGAGAGCACAAGCACTCAAAAATGCTACTATCCTGGAACGATCCTCTTATAGTTTAGCTGATTGGCATGTAGAAAACAGCATATCATACTACTCTGAGTCAAACTGCGAGAGAATACGCCCACAACCGTAGTCTAAGCTATAGTAGCAAGCAAGGATTACTGTAACCAAGGCTAAGCCAGCTGTAGTTAGTACAGAGGGATGTATTTAATGCGGGTAGTTAAGACCTGGAAGTGCATGCCCAATACATTAAGTGAAAAGTTGTCCGTAAGATGCTGAAGAACAAACCAAAAAGGTGCTTTAAGTTAGACATAACTTGAATAATGTGTGCCTCCACCTCCACCGGGTCGTAATTAATTGACGAAGGGAATACAATCCAATCCTGTTGTCCTATAGCCTACCACTGGGCTACCTGCGGGGAAACTCTCAAGGTTTAAACGAAACTGAGGATTATTTGACTAGTCTTCCTCCTCCTCTTCATCTTCGTCGTCGTCGCCATCCTTCTGTTCGCCGCCCGTCCATTTACGTTCCCATAGTGGCGGAGTCGAAAATCGATCACGGTTGAGCAAAGGATGGTTATGGGGAAGGGATTGTTGGGCTGTTTTCATTCGTTCCAATAGATCTTCTCGTTCGTATAGAAGGTCGTTGATATAATCGATTGCTATGCAAATAGATGAAAGTCAGGCTCAATCACAATCAAAGAAAAGGAAGAGCAGGGAGGATGAGCAAAATATCAACGATACTTACTCTTCGAAAGAACAACATTTTCACTTCTCGGTCCAGCTCGTCCATCTACCTTGTCGCCATCTTCGTTCGTTTTGCCTCGTCCTCTTCTCTTCTTTCCTTTCCTATTGTTCTCCTCTTCCTCAAGCTGTATCGCCTCTCTGAGTGCGGGAACAGTATCACATAACGCTTCGTACCCCCTCCTGATATTCGCTCTACGTTTTTGTTCTGACTGGATATGATTGGCCTTCTTTTGTGAAGGCGATAACAGTGTCGGCTTGCTTGAAGAATTGGAACGCGAGTTAATAACAGTATCATGGGAAGAGCTAGGAGAAGGACGTGGACGTTTGTTGGAATGTGTTGTTTCTGCTGGCGGTGATCTCTTAGATGGGGGTAATGATGCAACAGGTGGTATTAAGGTGGACGACGATGCTGACGAATCGAGAGGCGAATGGCTTGACAAAGAGGATGGACTTTGGTGGCGTGCAGAAGATGTAGACACAGATATTGGGTTGACTGTACGGTGAAGAGGGGGAGAATGGAGCCGAGAGCGTGCGCTAGTTTGGACCGGTACTGGCAACGACTTGGACTTTGACTTGGTACGGGTAAATTCACTTGAAGGGTTACTGGATCGCTGATTTTGGCGGGTAGAATACAGGAAAGAAAAGCAGTTGGCTTGTGGATGTGGATCCCGGTTCATTGGTGTAACCGACCTCTCCCGGAGAGGTTGTGGTGGCTGCGAAACGAGAGGGTACTTCCACTTTTCAGCAGCATCAAGCGCCATGAGATCCTTCGTTGCCTTTTCGAGAGCTTCACGTCCATGCGCAGGTTGTACATCATCGTGAGCGATCTCGAGCTGCATGTCCCATTCTGGTGAAAAATCAGAGCAATCGAGCGAGGACAGGAAAGACTGGAAGGCGTGCGACTCAGAAGGGGTTAACAGAGACATCATATGGCAAATATACGGTTCCAGATGACCTGGGACCAAAAGACTCGATGGCAAACGTTGGGTGGAGGTCGTTGTCGGTAGTTGGTAGTTGGTATTTTCACTGTAATACCCTTTGGCTTACCGGTGACAGAGGGCCCGAGTGGGGTGATTTTCATTTCATAAGCATGTGGCTGTGTTTCCATGCGGATGGAATGAACCCTTTTGGGCGCTTAGTCATTGAGTAGGTCAAAACATCTATCTTATCTTTTTTTTTTGGTCATTACCCCACATTTCCTGTGTAGTTTTTTAGAAAACGAAATAATATGAAACGTCTTGCGCCCCCAGTCCTGAAAAAAGTGACAATAATCCCTTTCCACGAATCAGAAACTTCCGAAACGAGTGATGGAGACCCTCAGTTGTGTCCGCCGAGGCCTGGGTCAATTAAGAGCATCAAACTTTCTTCGTCTCCTCTGAGTCACCATCGGATCGGAACACTGCCTTTTTTTTGTAGAGTTTTCATCGGGCATCATGCATCATGCTTCGTACTACACACTGAACGTCCAGGCCTGTGGCCCCGAGTTGTATGGGATCTATGGGATTAGTCAGGAATATAGTCAATATGACCGCTTTTTAAATTCTACATCGTGCCTTTCTGAAATAAAAGCACCGTTGCTAACAACGATCAGAGTATTGAATGCCCGTACCCTTTTATTTCAGATTCTGTGTCACACCACTGCTGCTGATTTCAAGTTCGCAGTAGAACAAGAGCGCATGGACACTACACTTGATGTAATCCGGAGTTGTCCCAAATAACAGAGAACATGAGGCAAAAAGAGCGCGATCTGTGGCCATTGAATCTAAGTGAGGTCAGGGGACCAACGCACAATCTTGCACAAGCAACATGTGTCGGTTATGGTTTGGATTGAAATGCCCAACAAGATATACCCTTAAAGAATTAAAATTCGGTGTCAATGCTTGGCCGATTGTGCTTTCGATGCACGAAGTAGAGATGAACAGTGCTTACATTTTCGAGTGAGCCGATAGGGCCATGATGAGCCAGTTTTTATACAATGAGCGTCAATGCGAGTGAATGTGTAAAGTCAGCATGAATAGGTTGCCATAGCTATGGACGTGGGTGTGATCCAGAGGCCATCTCGTTAATTCCCTGGAGTACCCTCTCCGAGATAACCGCATTTATGGAGAAAGCGGCCTTTCAAGTTCAGACATCCAGACACGTTATCGAGTTTGTGTGTCAGTATTTTTTTAATAAAACCCAGTTCTGTGGCTTAGGGGCCAACTGGAGTCGTACTGGCTGTAAGTAGACACCAAGGACCCGAATGCATCAGTAGGGGGGGCAATGTTCGAAATATCATTAGTGCTCACCTGTGTCCGGTGGGTTTCGTTGGATATAATATCTGGCAATAACGTCATTGTATGCGCCCTACCGCCCACGTCTTGGCCACACAGCAGGTATCAATAGCAATCTTGGATGGTAAAGCGCGCGGAAACGAACACCCGAAAACTAGCTCGAGTGCGCGCGCTTTTGCACCCATAAATGTCAAAGCCATGTTTCTACTAGTGTGATCTTAGCATTGAATACCTAAGAAAATCAATAGACACGCACATACAACACACATCGAGCCACTGCCAAGCACTGGACAGTGGCTATCCACGAGAGAACAAAAGCACCAGACTTATGTTGGGTAACCAATATGGACACCATGATGGGGCAGTGATGTAGTACGAATCCATGGTATGCACTGCAGCATGGCTTGGCCATAAGTACATTTGTAGCTGGATTGACCGTAAATTTTGTACGATCACTGATCATGACGGGCTATGCGTATTGCTGTTAGTGGAAGCGCAGTAGCATGATAAGGCCTCACTCACGATTTTAGCGGCTTGAACTCCATGCCAAGGACTGCACAGGAAGACCAAGTATCTCAAGGTATTACCTTAAGGCGCGCGAAAAGAGTACCTTATCAATAATTATAATCAAGGCTTCCAGTGCTATGAAGGAACAGAAATATTTTGCGGACTGTGGCAACATTCACCAGATTATAGCAGCTTGGCACTTCCTTGAACCTTTAGTATTGTTATAAAATTACATCTAAGAACGAACATAACATATGATAAGCGCATGATTGGCTACCGCTATCGTCTATCTATTTCAGGGGGAGACCACTGCAGTTGGACCCTTGTGGCTGATAGATATTGAAGGGTGAGAGTGGTACGGCAGATAACAGCGAGTTATGCACGGAAAAATGGTGCCAAGTAGAGTGAAGGCAGAGTGCGAACAGCGCAAATGTGAATGTAGCGAAGATGGAATAGTTGGTATCGTTCGAATGAGTAGAGTATGCTGATGGAGATGGATTCCTATTACGGAAGAATGCAAAAAAAAAAAAAACAAGAAAAAAAAACAAAAAAAGTCAATGGAATAGCTCCTAAAAAACCACGATGAGTGACGATAAAGCAGATGGTTAGCTATACACGTACATTCCCAATATTTCACGATGGGGCGTCAACGCTTCTCTTAATGAACTACCGCTGAGATGCCAGGGATGACAACATGAGCCCCTGAGCCAACTCTCCTTTCCAAGAAACTCTCCTCAGGGCCTCGGCATAGTCAACCCATTCTCTTTTCCGCTCTCTGCTTTCCAACCAGTCATGGTCGAGGGATGCAACTTCAAGTTCGTAGAAGTGATATGTCGTCGATGGTGATTGTATCGTCGTTACATATCGCGTAATCTTGCCGCGCACACCAGCTTTTGAGGGGTGTGACATGTCATGCAATATAGGCAGGAAGGGAATAGGTCTATGATTAGGAGGTGAGGAGACGGAGAGGGAGACAAAGGGTGAGACCTTCTTCCAAGGCTTCCCGCGAGGCTGCTGCCTCTAACGTCCCATCTGACTGTTCCCATCCTCCTTTTGGTACTACGGACAAAGGTCAGTGAGCGAATGTTTGACGCAGGAGAAAACAGTCCGTAAACGAAAGAAGGGCTGACGTAGTTAGTGTGACAATGGACTGAACAGGAAAGGGATATTAGTCTGCAAGCATCGACTTACAAACCCACAAGTCCTGCCGTTTTCGACTGGTGATGACTAGAACTTTGCCCGCAGCTCTAGCTATCGGGATTGCGCAACAAACAACACGAGGAACTTCGCGTCCTTTAGTACCCATGGTAAATGCGGAGTAATATGACGTGGAGGAACAAAAGTATTGAGATGGAAAGAGATGAGCTTGCCAGCGGTGTAAATTCAAGGCGTTTGCATAAACAAGACTGGAGCTGATTGGCGGGTAACTAGAACACTATCGGAGCTGGAAGATATCTTCGCGGGTGTGCGAATATCGCTGGCAACCTGGGGGTTTTTAAAGTGATTCGGAGTTGCTGTGCTCTGTCGGAGGGCACTGAGCGTGAGATGGCAGAAAAACAACAGCGAAGATATTAACGTGCTAAAGCTGGGCAAGAAGGCAGAGGAAGCTTTCTAGGGTTCGTTGGGACTCTTCAAGAAACCCAAGGAACGATTGAGAGGGTAAAGGAGGCGAAGACCAATGTAGAGGGAAACTTGTGGGAGATGCCAGTGGTGCACAAGAAAAGTAGCCAGATACCAATAGCAGGTGTTGGTGAGATGGAACTTTTTTTCCTGTCCGAAACTTGGTCGTGTGTCTGAAATTACGAAGTGGCTTGTGGATATAAGTACACTACAGGTTGCCACCCGTTCACGCACGTTCGCCGGCATCAGTGCCGGCAACGCTGGTGGCTCTGTCGGATCTTGCCCCTGACCTCCCTATGGAGCCGTCCTTCAATCAATGTTCAAATCATTCACATCCTCTTTGTCTTCGCTTTTCTGCCTCAAATACGTCAGCTACAAGTCACATCGTGTGCACGCGTATTCACAGCTATTTTAGTGTGCATAGCACTTCATTTATCTACTTCCATCCATGGACGACACACGCAGACTTCATTAGGGCACCCGAAGGCGGGCATAAATCGGTTGTTCTGGAGCAAACACCAGGCTCAGCGCATCTGGCAATGGACGTGCTTCCGTGTCAAGTGTAAAGTACAAGTTCCACGCAATGTAAAGTAGGAAACTCGGCTACTCGTTCCACCTGCAGGATGCAAAATATTGTCAATACTTTCATAGCGGAGATATAATCAAATGGATACACATACGCGACTAAAAACATGCATAGGACACCAAACGCCATTGCACCAAACTATCGCATTTATGTCAGCCTCATAATCGGCCGGGGAAAAAAAAACTGGAATACGTGCCTCACGCAAAGCTTGTGCGCCACTTTTGCTCTCGGCCAACAGTCTGAATAATGCAACAAATTAACAGCAGCTTCTACAGCACATACTGCGCAATTGGACGTACGTTGGTAGAACAGCTACAGCACCAATGTACATGAATCCTCCGGCCACAAAGGGAATGACCTATAGACGCCAGCGATAAGCTAAAAACAGATCCAACGCTCATAAATGAAACCGGGCTTACCAGATCTGCGAATTGCACCGTTGTGCCCAATATGCCAGAGGCAGCTTGCTGTACCCCTGCTGCCAAGTCTGGGGATTGATTGCCCACGTCGGAAGCGGAAAGGTTGTGTATCGCAATTCCCATAAACGTTCTGCATAATGTCATGTGCGATCAGAATGACAAAAATCCGGCGCTACTGGATAAGGTTCACTTACCCAACCTAGTCATTTAAGAGCGAAGGGGTATGGGTTAGGTCATAAGAAGTTTACCAAAACGGAGCAACGGTAAACATACAAATGCGCCGATAGCAGTCAAAAACTGTGACTGCATGGCCTCTCGTTTAGTGAATCCACTTCGCACAAGAATCGAATAATCGGCTATTTCGTGAGGAATTTCGTGCGCAAAACAAGCCAGAGTGGTTGTCGCGCCAATAAGTGGAGACGAGTAGAAGGAGGCCGCCATACTGACAAGGTATTTGAAAAAGGACGGTTACGTGTAATACAAGAATAATAGATAGGGACGCTTACGCAAGACCATCCGTGCTACATTAGCACAATAATCAGATTTGGGAAAGAAGAGAGAAATGATGGACGGCACATATTGTGTACAAAGTCACCAAAAAGATTGAGATATGCCGATAACTTCGACGGAGATGTTGCAGAATTGTGAGGCTCGTCAGAATCTACTTTATGATCTGCGGCCGTATTTTTTGGGCCGCGTTCTCGGAGTCCATCAGCTGATGAGGACACGGATGCGCCAGAGGTGGTCGCTGAAGTTTTTGAGGGTTCAGCATGCGAGTGCGAATGCGAATGTGAGTGAGAATGGCCGCCTGACTCGTCTTCACCTCCCAAAACTCGCAATGTTTTCTCCATAATAAAAAACGTCGCAAAACCAACGAAAATCCCTAGCCTAAAAAGTCATATATGAGGCATAGTGAAACGAACATGAACTATCAACTGACCCAATAAGGATATTCCTCTTTTCCTCCACCATCACAAAGTGCACGCCGGGATCTTGGTGCTCTCCCATGAATGAATGAGGGACAAGATGTAAAAACACGTCAGAAAGTAGGCCTCCAGTCTGCAAAGAGAGGCGTTATAGCATAGATCCTACGAAACACGCATTTGTGGTACTAACCGCAAATGCGGTCATGGTATTTAAGGTATTAGCGTTAATTTCCGCAGGTATAAAGGCCAGAATTAAATTAGGGACCCTAGTCCCAAATATCAGTATACGTTCCGGTCGCGTTTTGATAATGTCTGAACCCACGAGCTGATGTAGAACGTTCCGAGGACTTGAGTAATACAAGACGTGCTCAGAAAGACGAAATAATAGGCATGACGCTTGCATCTACTGACCTGAGTTCCATCCAGGACCAAAAGGAAACAGCCAGGCAAAGACCTGACGCATTACAGGAGACTCCTTTTCCTCTGCTGCGAGTTTGAGAGCATTGAGACGTTGGATAGGAGCACATTCATGGATGTCTGTTTCCTGTTGGCAGAATACATACAAAAAAGAGAGCCCGTATGCGAAACGTTATAGTAGTAACTTATCAGAGTGACAGCTATGAATGTGTAACGGTTTTAACCACTGACCCGCACTACCAAAGGCTCCGCATCTTTACCTGAAGCCCTAACAACGTTCAAGGCAAGACAACACAAAAGAGTGAATAACAATAGTCGATTTAGATGGCTGTATCGTGCTGCCATGATGATAGCAGGAATTGAGAGAAAGTCTATGGCGGTCAACTCATTGCAGTTTCAAGGAACAGTACACACGCGAATGTCGTGCGAAGGCTATTCCTAATTTGGTCATGGATCGCGTTCGTTTCAGCCTTGCTTGAAAGACCACCAGCAGCCTCAAGCTTATAAGCTCACAATATCAGAATCCAATGTATCCTACGCCTCAAGAAAAGGCTGCTGTAGAAGCAGCTGAAAAGCTCATGGTGGAAACTATGGCTAGATACGACCCTTCTCACGACGCGTTTCATGGTCAGTGGCTCTTGCGTACGCATCAACTAGCGTATGCTCAAACTCGAATACGACCGATATCCTCCTTCAACTAGTCGAACGCGTTCGAAAGACAGCATTGTCAATTGCACGCGCTTTACCTTCGCAAAAACCTGACCTCTTGGTCGTCGAATTGGCTGCGCTCCTTCACGATGTCCTGGACAAGAAATACGTTTCTGCGGCCGAAGCAGCTGACCCTTACAAGTTCTTCTTACCTTTCTTTGAACAACTGGCTTCAGGGCTCGATCTGGATCTATTAACTGATGGCCGTGGACGTCAAATTTCAAAAATAGTGGAGAATGTATCTTGGACGACAGAAAAGAACTGCGCGAAATGGTGCATTAGAGGATTGGCATAGGGATTGTGTCGAGCTGCATTGCGTTC